CCAAACCCCTTCTTAGGACCTCTCTCATACCATATGTCCTCTCTTTCTTTTCTAACCAGCAGCTTTTCAGTCTTCTGAAGGCTAGATCCACTTCTGTTTCTCCTTATTTAGGTTTAGAGCCTCCAATGAATAATACTTTTAAAATAGGGTCCTCCATTCCCCCTATGTCCAAGAAGGCCTTAATTAGGCATTCTGCTGCCAGAGAATCCTCGTAGCTACTCCTTTGGGGGGATGTTGAATTGAATTGCCCCTTGGGAGAGTTGTGTCTCTTGGAACCAGAATTGTATCTTTTTCTTGACATTTTAATTTTTTAAAAATATCCTCATAACCAAATATTGAGGTTTATTGTAAATTGAAATTAACAATCATGAGTCAATTAAGATTAAGGAATTATTACTGTAATTATTATGTTCGATATAATATATATTTCAATTAACTTATTTATTGACATTTTATAATCATAAAATTATAGCGCATTCCTTAAGCCAACTCAACAAATACTTGTTGTTGATATATAAGGCTTAATGATTAATTATTGAACTTATAATGAGAATTAAATCTAAAGCTTTTGAATTGATATTTTTAGAATTTTTATTTAGCAAAAGCTAGAAAGACTCTCAAATTCAATCGTCCTATCAATAATGAGTAGTGTTCCCTATTCTGATCGATACAATTCTAAACTTTATCCTAATTCTCTCCTATTATTTCAGCGACTTTTATTTATTTGTGTATTAAGTCAAGGTAGAGGCACTCATGCATCAATTTATCATATTCAACTTTACTCTTCATTCGATTATGATTATTCACACTTAAATGTTGGTCAAGATATGGCTATTATTATTTTTAGAAACTAACCTATGATTAAGTTTTCGAGAATTGTCTCATCCCTAGTCAGTACTTCTTTTTTAGTTTGTTTATCAAGTCATCTCTTATAGAGGTTACCAAAGTAGATACTATTATTTCATGACAAAAATTTTCTTGCATTCCATTTTAACTCTTGAGCTAAAAGGATTAGAAATGGAATGCCGATTACTTAGAGGAAATTTTTGTATCATGAACGAAAATTCCCTTTATTAACTGAGATTGATAATTTCTGATTTTTTGCTGTAAAATGATGAATATTAAATTGTTTGACAAAATATTAACCCACTTCCAAATTTAATTCAACAAAAAATTTATTTTTTTGTTAAAACTTACTATAAGTGAGATGAATAACTCCTGTTTTTCCACCAATATATCTTATTTGGTCAAAAATCTTATTTTTCTTTCTTTAAATTAATTGAGTGATTAATCATTAAATTATAATCCTAAACTGAAATATTAACCTCAATTCTGAAACAATCCGTATCTCCAGAATCGAAAGCTTGAGATTTGAGGTTAATTAGAAAATTTTTGATTTTGAATTACTTCGTTGTCTTTTATTTTTTAACACTTTGTAAAGTATAAATAATTCAACACATAATAATTTGTGGAGGTAAACAAAAAATAGCATTATTATAATATATGATACTAGGTTTAATGAATCCTACTTCCACAATAAAAGAAATCGAATTGACCATTCTCTGCTTAAATTGCATGAGAGAAAAAATCTTCAGATCTAATTTTATGATCTTTTGCCAATTTTGGCTCCTTGAGATTCAAAAAGATCTTTATAAAATCTGATATTTCAGGAACAAATATCAATAATCCTCCATTAATAACCTTGAAATTTAATAAGAATCCTCCAGAATGGTCTGAAAACCGATCATTGGCAATAATGGACATCCCGAAAGGTAGGGCTACCATTCGATACCCAGAATAGACTCCTGTACACAATTACCCAAGGGATTTTTTGATGCACTTATAAATTGAAAGAGATGACTTTCCTGCTTTTCTCTACCATAAATGAATCATCCTTCAATGATTTTGGCCTATTAAAATTTACTGTAATTAAAAATATGTTGTTTTTCTTCCTATCACCACTGTTAATTTAGTTTATAGCAGCCTCGTCTATGTTTCGATTGTCCTATAGAAAGTAATAATACATAGGTCATGGCAGTTGAAATTAATATAATAACTGGATAATAACTATATATTTTTCAAAAATTTATCACACATTATTGACTATTAGGTTCGCTTTGTTTGATTTGCATAAGAGATTAATTTATGTACCCAAACATGAAAAAAATACAATGATCAATTTTGCTTAAGGAAAATTTATTTAAGAATAGTACCATAACAATTTTTAATAAGATGAAATAATTTGGAATATTAATATGGCTCTAATAAAATCAGGGTTAGATTTCAAACTAAATTGCCTAGTTGAAAACTATTGAATTAATTTAAATTATTTCTTTGAAAAATACGAAGAGTTTGATTGGATTTTAAAAATTAATAATTCAATTAAAAATATTTATTATAATTTGTAAAAATTTAATAGAATATGTTATAATAAAATTCACATTATTGCGTAAAAGTGAAAGAGTTCGTCTAGTTTTTAATGTTAAACAAAAAAGTAGATAAGTTAATTCAAAGGATTAATTATTTAATTTCTAATTTAAAAGGTGATATGTTTGAAAATAATGATTCTCAAAAATAGCATAATTGGATCCAAAATGACATAAAATTAAAAGAGTGAGCCTATTAAAAAGAGAGATATTTCGAAATTGATTATTTTAAGGTCTTGTTAACTAAAAATATTTATTGATTCTTACCAGCGCTTCAATTATAGAATAAACTCTAGATAGCATAAGAAATGTATAAGGAGAAATATGGTAATAATCAAAATACTCCATTTTCCCCCAAATCTGTAAATCGACTAAAATATCTTTAGAATCATTCTAAAAATTAAGAAAGTTCCGCAATTTATGATTATAACTGCATATAATGTAGCTTCTTCTAACAAAGTTATTTCCAAAAATGAAATTGGGATTAACATGCTGATTTTGATTGTTAATTATAAAAAATGATAACTTTTTGAAAGAATTGAATTTTCAGTATAAAAGCAGGAGAAGACTTCATGAATAAACTAGATATTAATAATAGTACTTACTTTGAAGGATAATTTGAATACTGCTACAGTTCCTGGATAAAAGTGGAATATCTTAGGCTTTCCTTGTTTATACGTCTCTTCTATACTATAATCTGAATCAATTCTAGAATGTATTGGACTATTTTTTTACTTAATCTCAATTGAGACTAATTCAAAATATACGAAGTAAGAAAAAGCAATAAAAATTCCATGAAATAGTAAAATTGGTTATTCGTTTAATATAAGATTGTTATCATTAATTATATTTTCATTTTGTGTATAAATGGAGATATTTTATTATTTAATGGAATTGTTGGGATATTAAATTAAAATTATACTTCCTAATTGTTCGCATTTGCAAGATATTTATACGGTTTTATTATCAATTTCATCATTTTATAATTCACATTTATAGAATTTTCCATCTTTATCGATATTAACGCAATCATAGGAATAGAGTTTTTCTTAAGGAACCAGTTCTTAGCAATATGGAGTTTAAAACATATCTAATATGTATTATCTAAGTGTAGATTGATAATCAATATAACGGCCATTATAAAGATGATTCTATAAATTAGTCTTCTTCAATGCTTTATCATTTATTTCGAGATTGGTTAAATTAAAGAATGTTTGCAATTGGGTTTATAATTTTTGGGATAGATTTAGATAGTTGTAATTTAATTCTATTTGTTCCTTTTGAACAAAATCAATCAACCCATCTAACAAATCTCTTTCAATATTAAATTGTTTATTTAACATTTCTTTAGTAATTTTGGATAATTACCATTTTAGGATTTGTCCTTTGTTAATTAATTGAGGTCCATTTACCTTTACTTGAACATTAACGTAATTTGCAATCTTTTCAATAAGGCTTATTAAACCCTCTGCAACATTAATAATCTATTCTTTATCTTAATTAGAATTAATAGTGGCTGTTGGAATCTTAAGGAATATATCATCAATTAAAAGTTATATAACTGATAAAGAGTCTATAATGGCTACTTTTTTTTAATAGGTTTTTTCATCCAAGAACACATCATTTTAGAGAATTTAATCATTATAATCAGATGATTTTTTTATCATTTTTTGGGCAATGGTCATAATTTATTTTAGTTCTGCTTGTAAACTAGACGGAGTAACAGTGGATGAAGTATTAACATTTGCAATTTTGATATAAAAGGATTTTGTGGTATTTTCAAAACAACTCTCTGAATTTTCATTCAATAATCTCGTTGAAGTATTTGAATCTTTATGATCTTGAATTATTCTTTTATACAATTTAGTAGTTTGATACACTAACAATTGATCATCAATATTATCAGCTCCCAAATAGGTTTATATATTGGAATATAGCTAATTAGATAAAGTAATACAATTTTATTAGTCATAATGGTTCAGTAGAATTTCTAATAATAATGAGATTTGGTATTTTAAATTATATTACTTAATATTGTTCTGGGTACAATTGAGCACAGTCTTTGTTACATTTAACTATTTCTCAATATTTAAGTAAGATCCCTTTGAATCCATTGCTTATATTAGAAGAATGCCATCAATAAACGGAAAGGTGGCTTCAATACTATATGAACTTGAATAGCTGCTCAAGATTAATGAATAATCATTAGTTCTATTCAAAAAATCAATTACATCCTATTTTTGAAGGAAATATCTCAATTAGTATGAAAATGGAGCTGATTCAGAAAAATCACAAATTGTAATTACCTTTTAAGGTTTCAAGGCTTCAACAGTCTATTCACTTAAGCTCACTAAACATGTAGGAGGCTGATTAACATTTATTTATAAATCTTCTTGACTAGGTATGATTTCATTTGTAAACTAAGCCAAAAATTTTAGATTGATTTTATCTCCTTTTGTAAATTCCTAAAAGTAATCAAAAATCCGAATTTATTATTAAAAGTATTCCGATTATAGTATCTTGATAAGTTAGAAGTTATAAATAATAGCTACCTGATACTCTAGAAGGTACTACCTATCTTCAAAGGGTATATTAATGGTGAACTCCATATTTTCATAGTTATTGATTGACCTCATTAAATATCCTTTACTATAAGTAACATTTAATAATTTAAAATCATTATCTAAATAGACAATATTTTATCTAAATTTATATGAGTGTTATTTTTTGGTAGCCACTACAGACCAACTTTAAATCGTGTAAGGTTAGATAGTTTATTTGGGAATGACTTGGACGCTATCAGTTTTATTGATTTAGATTATTTTCTTATTTAAATCTAAGCAAATGGAATTCATAGTCAAGTCAGCGCACTCTACATTTAATGAAATACCAGTATCCTCATTCCATTCATATTAAGTATCTAAATCTTTACATGATATGAATATATAAGTTTCTTTTCTGTAATTCTGAATCTTTTTAGTGCCATTGAATTAACAAAGTATACCTCCTGAGCTAATGTCAATTGTTACGTTTCTTTTAATTGAAAAGTTCATTAAAGCATCGAGGGTTGTTTATTCGAAAGTATATGAAATTCTTGAAGTCAAGGTATATTTTTAAATAGTCACATTAAAACTACTTTGACGTGTGATTTCTGAATGGTTTACTCTTGATGGTCTTGAATTGGACTCGTTTCGATAGACTTCAACTAAGGACACAGAATATTCAGAATTATCAACTTATGTTGTAGCTACAGTTTCAGAACAGTCCTTCTTTTTAATTAAAAATTCCAAAACAATAGTTTCAAAATTAAAATAAAGAGGCTTTTAAATCCAAAGAATAGTGGGAAATTGACCAGAATGGGTTTCCAATTTAATTTTTTGTATACTTTTTTAGCCAACAAAATTTTGAAAGTCTAAATAGAAAGTAATTTTGGACTGTTTTGGTAGAGTTTGCAACGGGATTACTAATTCTAACATCTATAATTTAGTTAATAAAGCAACAAAGTTATCAAGATCACCATTGCCATTGGATCCATCTACAGTATAGGTCCATTTTATTTCAATAAAACCTCTAAGTCCATCATTCAATTTCGATTTCAAGGATATTGTATTGTCATCGCAAGGATTTATAAGATAAGTGGGTAAATCATATATTATAATTGGAAAGACAGGGTTTATTGGATGTTTAACATAATTGAAGATAAACACACTTAACTTTTTATCGCATTCTTGATGACCGAAATAGCTATCATAAAATAGAATCTTATCCCCTGGAAGTATCTTGGGTTAATTTCCTACTCTCAATATTAACTTAGTATCATCAGCAGGATCAATATAACAACTAGGATTCTTGCCAAGTGATTAATAAGTTTTATTTTCTAATATTAATAAGCAGACATTATCTGAAAATTGAGTTGTAAAAAATTATGGATTCAAAGTAAAGTCGAACTTCACTTATATCGACAGCAAGTCATCAGAAAATATAATGTCAATTACTGCAACTTAACAAGCTTTAATATTATAAACAATTTATTACTTGAACACCATGGGGTATCAGGATGACTCACAGAATTAGGTGGTTAATCACAAGTCATTTCTGAAGTTAAGACCCTATTACCATTGCAAGTTAGACAACCATCTATGTTGCAAGTTTTGCATAACTCATCGCAAACTTAACAAGATTCACTCACATAATCATCGTAAAATCCATCAGGACATGAACATGCAGGAATGTTAATCCGATCTCCTTTGCAACTTAAACAATTTATTTGGGAATCCTTGCATGTTTTACATGAAAACGAGCATTCTTTAATTATTAATGATTAAAATACAAAGGCAAAGAGGCTATCCACCCTCGTAATATCCATCTTAACATACACATTGTTTAGTGGATCTCCCTTCTTTACATGTTAAACAATTAGCAGAACTCTTTTCACAAGTCAAACATTGATTATCACATGCTACATTAATAATAATTGAATACGTTCACAACTAAAAGTAGAATTCTCAAAATAACCAGATTTGCAATTACAAAGTGGAGCTCCTTCTCTAAGATTGCTAAAACAAGTTAAACAATTCGAAGTAGAATTTAAACATAATTTGCAACGTATGCTACATTTTTAGCAATCGACTTAAGTGCCATCATCATAGTACCCATCTTTACAAGCACAGTTTTAAGAGTTGCTTTGTCTATTGGAAGTATTTGAAATGGAACAACTTATACAACTCTCTCTAGATTAACTGCATGTTTAACATTTTGGATGGCATTCTTATAATGAAACTATTAATACTTTAGCAAACTTCATTTTCATCTGAATAGAAACCGGATGAACAAGGACATTTATTAATAACAGATTGATCAATTCTATTTTAATTAGTGTCACAACTTGTGCAAACATCTCTTCTACCTTAACAAGTCAGACATTAATTGGAGCACTCTATAAAATAATAGCAAATTGTACTTTGGCAAATAAATTAGCCATTATCATAATATCCATTTTAGCAAATACATTAATTTACATTCAATAATCTGAATTGTTGTTGTTAATTACATGAAGTACATTTGGTTGAAGTCTTCACGCAAGTCTAACAATAAGGACTACATAATTAGCACATCTCAATCCCAACGTCATAATAACCATCTAAACAGATACATTAGTTAGAGTTATTTAAAAGTCTAAAGTAGGTTGATTCACACGATAAGCATTTTGTAGCTGAATTTATGCATGTCTTACAACTCAAATCGCATACTAATTATTTTGTTATAAATTCTTACACGAACATTTCTTTTAATTAACCTCATAATATCCGTCTTTGCATGGGCACTTCAAGTTATCTGAATCAAAATATCGAGTAAAACTTTCACACTCCAAACATTGGGTTAACGTCTTACATTCAATACACGAAATATTACAAGCTAATTAAGGATAATTTTATACCTTCACATTTTAAAGTAGTAGTATTAAAATAGTAACCACTAGAACAAATGCATCTATTCTAGCTATTCAAGCTTAGATTGTATGAGGCATCGCAGGTGAGACAATAAGTAGGAGATACTTTACAAGTCAAACAAGATTTATCACAAGGTTAACAAACTAAAGTAAGTGAATCTTCGTAATATCCATCTTAGCATTTGCAAATGTTTCCTGCTTACAGGATTCTATTTTTATCTGCTGAACATGATGTACAATAGTTCTATTGATTTATACATGTAAAACAAGTTTGATCGCAAAATAAACACTATTTATCATTGCCACTCTCATAGGTACCGTCTATGCATTTACATTAATTGTTAGATAACAATCTCAAAACTTTACAAGAAGTGCAATTAGTGATTGAATTTTGGCATGTTTAACAAGTAATATCGCAAACTTGGCACAAGCCATTAATTTCTGTAGTTCCAGGCTTGCATATGCAAGTTTGAGTTGTAGTATCTAGTATTCTCATCAATGATAAATCGCATTCAATGCAATGTGTAGAACTGAGTGTACAATTTACACAGTTTTGATTACATTTACTACATTTACCCAGATTATTTACAAAATAACCTGAATTACATGGACAAGTATTTCCTTCTAAATGTCTTGTAGCTTCGCAGGATGTACAATAATCAGCAGTGTTTTAACAAGTTAAACATGAACTCAAGCATATCTTACAATTAGGAGAAATTCCATCATCATAATATCCAGGTAAACATTGACATACTCCTTAATTAAAGACTCTAAAGGAAGTTGACTTATCTACGCAAGATTGGCAAAATTAATTTCCATATTGATTACAAGTAAAACAAGAATAATGACATTTTGCACAAGTCTCAACTCCACAATCATAATAAGAATCCAAACAATTACAAGTGAACATCTATAAATTAAATAATCTATTGGATGTTAAAGAACATGTATCACACTTTGTAGAAATAGAGCTGCATTAAGAACAAGAATAGTGGCATTCTATTACATTTATTAATCTAAATACTTTAGCATATAGAATTAGATCCATCATCAAAATATCCTTTTTAACATAGGCATTACGAATTGGTAAGGGTTCTAAAGGAGTTTTGATAACAAGTTAAACAAGTAGTATCAAATCCTGAGCAAGTTTCACAACTATAATTGCATTCTAATATTTATAACTGCAATCATACATTAACAGATTGGTTTGCCAATATCAAAATAATGAGGTGAACAAGGACAAGTAGAATTTGATAACACTCTCATTTCAGTAGCCAAGCATTTTGTACATTGGTTAAATTTAGATCCATTGCATTCTAAGCAAGAATAATGACAACCTATGTTAAATTAATAAGATATAACTTTGACAGTCAACTTTGCCTTAGACTTAATAACTACTAATGGCAGCTCCGGTTGACTTAGTCTGGCAATTACAAACATTTCCTTATAAGTATCTATCTGACTTACAAGATATGCAATTATCAGGAGAAGTTACGCAATTCAAACAATAGACACTGCATGCTAAAGGTTATTCTGATTTATACCTATGCATTCAGGCTTTCCAGCGTCATAGTATTTACTCATGCATAAACAGGATCCTGAAGGATCCAATTATCTCATAATTTAAGTGTAACAGGATGTGCACTAATTTGATTAAGCTCCATTACATGTTAAGCAAGTACTATGACAGACTAATTGGAATCACATATATACCAATGCAGATTGGATTGCCAGGCTAGTCATACGTTTTTGCTGGACAAGAACAAGATTTGTTTGTTCCTAGATCCCTAAAAGACGAGAGTGGACAAGATGTGCAATTATCTATTGTACCACTGCAATTAGCACAACGATATGAGCATTCTGTTATTTAGGATAATTATTTACTAGAACAAATTATGTCACCAACTTATTTTTCCATAAAGGTATCTTGACATAAACACATATTAGTCTTAAATTCTCTATTATTACTAGAGGAACATGTTAGGCAATTATCTAGAGCTGGACCAAAGCAGGTCATGCATGTGTAATGGCAAGCTTTAAATACTAAATATAATTACGAGAACATTGTAATAAACCAACATCATAATATCCATTAAGACAAATGCATTTAGACATTGCTAATTGACGATAAGTAGTGTTGCATGTTAAACAATTATTATTCTAACTGCCATTACAAGTCTTGCAAGTGAAATGACACTCCAAACATTCTAATTGAGTGCTGTCACTGAAATAATGAGAATCTTTGCACAAGCATTTAAAAGTGGTCCCTATTCGATCTGGTTGTCTAGTGGTTGGACAACTTGTGCATTAATCTTCTCCAGGCTAATCACAATCAGAGCAGGTATAGTGACAAATGTCTATAGAAAAAGGGAAATTAGATAATTACATAAACAGTTTATATCGTTAGTGCCAGTATCATTGTATGATTTGTTGCATAAACACTGATTATCAGAAGTCAGATGACGATTAGACGAGGATGAACAGGTTGTACAATTGGTGGCTAAAGGACCATTACAATTCTCACAAGTGTAATGACATTCTAAAATTGAGAAGATAATTACTAAAACAAACTTCAGATATGCCATTCTCCCCATAACCTGGTTTACAAACACAATTAAGTTGATCAGAGACAATTCTATTCTATCCTGCTATGCACATTGTGCAATATTAATTAGATGTATTATCAAATGGTTTTTAACATCTTTCACATTTTGGATGACAAGCTAGAATTAGTAATTGAAACTATATACGTAAACATATGGTAGTCCCATCAATCTAAGTTTATTCAACTGTTTTAATTATGCAGATGCATTGTCCATCTATTAACTATTTATTATATATATTTGGGTCTCCACAATCAATACAGTCGTCTATATTTTGACCATCGCATTGATAACATGATGGATAGCATACTAGTTTAAAAAAACAGGTAATTACATTCACATAAGCTATCGATAACCCCAGTATTATAACTTCCTTTAACACAACCTAGTCATAAGTTTAAAAAATATACCTAAACAATCAGATCCGCTAGGTCCAGTGCATTTAGCACAATTTTTAGTGCAGGCTCCATAAAAAATAACAAGGTCTCTTAAACCAAATGACTCTCCATCTGGTGGTTCATCTAATGTTGAACTGAATTAGATTTCGACTTGACTGTTTGTATGACTTAGATCATTCTCATTTCTAACAAATATAGTTCTATGTTATTCATTTAAGTTTCCACAAATCTTCCAAAAGTAACCCTCGTACCATTAGAATCGTCTTTCCCAAACTAAAACACCATCTACTCTCATCTGACCTGCTTCATTATCATAGGAGTCTATCTTAGTATATAAAAATTAGATCTTTAATTTGTAATGGGGTGGAATATTAAGAAAAGTCCTCTTGATGACCGTGCCAACTCCAAGCAAATTATAGCCACCAAACAAGGCGACAGCTAATTTATATTATTCATATTTACATCCGCATGATGTTGCCTATGAAATTCCATTTATTACGGTCCAACCATCAGATTATATTTGGTTTTAATTCAATTATGTCCAACTAGTCTTGAGGGTCTTCCAGAGTGAGCATTGTAAATATGTGTCAGTCTACTAGCATACTAAACATCCATCTGGACATTTCTCAACTGATAAAATGAAATCTCTAAATCCCCAAGATTCCTTTTTATTTTATTTAAATGCCATACGTTGTCAGGAGTTTCATCTAAATTTGTTGTGAACACTATCACGGCCGTATTACCACTATGTTTAATTTTTAAGTTCAAATTCACAGATAAATCTTACCAATCAGCACCACACTTATAAGTTCCATCATAGTAATTGAATTTTGACTACCACGCCATCTAATAATCAACAAAAATATTCGCTTATTCAGCGTCCCATGAATCAATTCTATAATATTTATTCAATTTACTTCCAATATTACAATTGCAAATTTACTTAAAAATGAGGTGGAAGTAAAAAAGTCTTAGTAACACTTATTTGCCTTGCAAAGCCTTAATAACCTCCGAATAATCTTATGCCATTACAGTTTGTGAATACTGGTTAGCCACCACTGACCACCCAACCTATTTTTAAATGAATATCGTAATTACTGTCTGCATCAGAAAAGCTATTTCCTTAAAATGAGGATGATATCACTTCTGAAACACCCAAAACTTATATTATACTATTCAGATAAAGAATCGTTCCAAAGATAGGTTAAAACATTAATAAAATTAATGTGAAACGTAATTAAGGATATTTTTAAATACGTAACTTTTGAAAATAATAATCGAAAAATTTAATTCAACGGACAACCAAAATAATGATATTACTTACATCAATTGCAATCGTATTGGTATCAAGATAAAATTAAGATAATAATTAATTATCCCCACCAAAACGAGTTTGAATACATGCGATAACTAATTATATTATTTGTGTGTTGAATAGCTGATATTTGCCTTCCTTCAATCCTTTACCTACATCATAAGATAAAACATTTTTCAAAAATAACTATTTTCACTATCTTCTTGTACCTTAAATAAAATTTGAAATTAAGTTTAAATTAATTTCCTAATTAAATTTTATTTTTGAATAAGATTTCAGGTTACCCTGCAAGTACAAATTTATGCATATTCAAGGGAATTATAATACATATTCGAAATAGAGTGCTCATATTAGAAATTCATAAATTTAAATTACACTATTCAATTTTTATTTATCTTGCTAGCTTAATATTGCAAACTTAACGTCAATATTATTCAAAATAATAATATTTAGTTTGAGGTGTGTTAACAGATATTTTCTTGAATGTGAATAAATTTTGTTCATATTTGAAAAATCAACAATACAAAATGAATTTAATTTTTTCTAAAAGTTATATATAAAACCATAAGATTAAATTAACTTAACTCAATTCAAATTCGCTCTAAACAGTCTTAATACAGATTCACACACACACTAGTTCCCTTAAAATTTAATTTTCTAGCTTATCTATGAAAAATATATCCTTTTTTTTCTATCCAATTTTTGTTCTTTCTCTTATGGACAAAGAGCAATTGTAATATTATGTATATTTGTTTAGAACCTACTAAGAAGTGCTTTGATGATTATTAAAAAATGAATTTGATAATTATAAGTAAATAATTTTAATGGAACATAATAATATATTGTAATATACCCTAAAACTCATTCTTAATTATATTTTTGTTTATTTTTTTATTCTTTATGTTTAATCTTTTCATTAGCATCTCTATAAAATTTGATATCATCATCAGTAAATTAGTATTTCTATTCTTGAAGTAGCCTTTTATTTTCTGCTATATTCTTTTCCTTTTCTTTTTCTAAATATAATTTTGCTTATTCTTCTTCATATTGTAAATTTTTTCTTCTAAACCAATAAAAAATGATAAAAACAACAAGAGTAAAAACAATTTTTTCAATTTGTATATAAGCAAGATAATCTTTTTCGAAAGGAGTAGTTTTGAATTCACCTGAATTAAATTGTTGTTAAATTTCTTCGTCACTTTGACCCAATGCTTTTAATGTCATAGGATGTTTTTAGAATATTGTAATTGCAAGCATAACTGTGAATATAGCTAGCTTAGGCCATATTTCTTTGAAGATTTAAGCTATTGATTTCGCCATTCTATATAATATTAAATATATTTTTGATTAAAATAATTTATCATCACATTTCACTAGCTCCGCCTTAGGTTCAGTAAATTTTCGCTTGGCAAACTTTCTTTTATTATTTTATCGAAATCATATAAAATCTTTAAAATCTTAACATAAGATTCTTCATCCAACAGCCTAAACATTTGTTTTTTCTTCATTAGATAGCAATAAAAACATAGATTGTAATTTTAAGAAGATTTAGATACAAATATTCTCATTATTTACCTTTTTCTGATAATATTTAGAATAATCAACAAATGCAATTTCAGATAAACTCAAAGGATTGTCATCAAAACTCTATTTTCAATCTTTTACTGATCACCTAAATTCAAGAAAACCAGTCGATTTATTCTAATTATATTATTTATGTCAATATTCCATTAATCCAAGAAAGCTTTCCATAAAAAATTTAAAATGAAAGCAAGGAATTCATTAACAGTTTTGAATGTTTGAGATTTAGTACAGTAAAGACTTTTAAAATGGTCTCAATAGATATCTTTAAATTCTAAAAGGTCTTCTGTTTGATAATTAAAGATACTGTCATAAAGCCACTTATTAAATGAGGCTAATTTTTCACTTTTGTAATTCAATTAATTGGATAGTACTAAAGGCATACTCTCTTCGAATGAACTAATGTGTTTGTTATTAAGAATATAAGAAAAGATGGTAATTAACCTTGATTTATTGGAATAACAAGACAAAATAAAAAGAGTTGAGTTTTCTAACAGAATTAGAATATTTCTCTACTGGGTTAAATCCCTACTATAACACCATTTAGCTCCATCTAAGACTTAATTTTCACATTCTCTAATGGATATCATTAGCCAATTATGAAAGTTTCTACAATGAATCCTTTCTACCAATTTCTACTTTCCACTTGAAATTGACAGTCTCATTTATTTAATTAATTTTTGGTATATTGCATAAAAGTAATTGTTATGCTTGATTTTATCGGTCGTAAAATTAGGTATGGTATAATCCTTATATAGAATTATCCAGCTTTCCTGTTTTTGGCATAAATTTCCATCTTCTTCGCAAAATTATTTTTTTTCTTATGCCAGAATCTGCAATAGTAAATTACAGGTTCTAATGCAAGGTTTTTTACACATCTAGGGATCTCCAAAAAATAAAAATTCAAATCTGAAGCAATTCCAATATCAAACATATAAGTTACTAATATTCATAATATTCAACAACTTCATCAAATGAACTCAAATACAACAGCTATTTACTCTATGTGTTTCATGTTCTCATTCATCATTGATTCTATAGTTGTTTTGTTAGAATTTGGAGACGTTGGTCTGTTTGAATATGTGTCGTCCATTTTATATTTAAATTAATGATTGAAGAAAGTTTTCTTCAGAATGAAAATGAAGACTTTGGTGAATAACTCCTTGAGGATTTTACAATCATCAAAAAATTAGGAACAGGAGCATTCAGCAAAGTCTATATGGTGGAATATCAGGAATCAATTTACGCCTTGAAAGTATAGTTCAAATTGTTATAGGTTGTTGATAAATAATCGGCTACTGGAAATAATATTGTTGACAAGCTTAATTAAGAAGCCTCCATACTTAGCACTCTAGAGCATCCAAATATTGTTTAATACTACAAGACAATTGAATCAAAGAGAAAACTTTATTTTCTGATTGAATACATTGAAGGCAAATCGCTTCAGGAGTGTATTGATTAATCATTGACTGACTCTTAAATACGATAAATTATATAATAAATCATATATGCTGTTGCATATATTCATAAAAAAGGTATCATTCATAGAGATCTCAAACCTGGTATGAACATGATTATATTTAGATAACATTTTGATTGATAAAGAATGGAATGTGAAAATAATCGATTTCGGATTGAGTTTCAAAACAATAAAATCAACTACTCATGAAACATGTGGAACTTTAATTTATATGGCACCAGAAGCATTAATGAAAAAGGAATACTTCAAATCAGTGGATATATGGAGTCTTGGAATTATACAATATATGATGTTTGCAAACTGTCATCCATTTTGCACAGATGATACAAGAGAGACCTTCTTAAAGAAAATGAAGACTCCTTAGATTGCATGCTATCCCGAAAATATGAGCAAGTTTAAAATTAGCATAATCATAGAATAGAGCGGCCATTTCATTTTTTGAAAAAACTGCAGCATGGGAACCTGAGGCTCGTCTTACAGCTGAATAAGCCCTAATTCATCCTTGGATTAGCGGTGTGAATAGTCAAATGCCGATGTCGTCGAAGGATATAATCCAAACATTTAAATGTTAAAATGAATTCCATCAAGTATTTAATTTCCGAACATACATAGATGATTAAAATGTTGATGATACTAAAATTGATATAGAAGGTTAGCTAAAAACGTGATTCGTTATAAACACAATAGCTTAGAGCTCACTCTTAGTTTTAGCATAACTTAAAACCTTTAGTTGTTACTTCAAGAAATCCAAGTTCTTAATAAAAGTTGAAAACAGAATCTTAATAGCTCCAGCCACCGTTGTCTGCCCACAGAACAACGCTATCAAGAATTCAGAGTAATGCTTCTTTTCTTAGTTGTTCAGATGTATGAATGCCTTATAATTAGTAACCAAGGGAGGATGTGAGATTGAAATAAATGAAGGGCAAGTAATAGTAATTTAAATTACCTCCCATAAACACTAAATCCGCAAACAATTCGCCTTATAATAGTAAATCTCAGTAAATGTTCACCTTCAGTCCATATAAGAAAGTACAAACAACTGTAGAGCTTAAGAAGTCATAATTTAAATTATGATATATAATATTTTATATGTCTTTTTTAAAGAAATTATTCATAAAATCAGCGAAAGAAAAAGAAGATCAGTAGGTGCATCATAATATCAATCAGATTTATAATACTTAACCATTCCAAAAGAAATCAAATCCAATCTATAATTACAATGGCATATATCGAATTGAATAATTTGAAATCATTCTTGAGTAATAAATAATAGACCTTGAACAACTGAAGCAATTGACTTGGAGAGGAGCTCCATAAGGTAATTTATGATACAACATAAGTTTACAGAGCAAAAGCCTGGAAACTCATATTGAAATATATTCCACCTAATCATATGAGTTAAACTAGTGTTATTCAGAAAAAGAGACAAGACTACCTGCAGTACATAAAAAATTATTATGAACAAATTCATGAGAGAGATGATGGCGAAGAGAAGATAATTAAAATTATATCAAATGATGTATTGCGAACCTAGCCAGATTATCAACTGTTTAGAAACCCTAAAATCTAGGATCTATTTAAAAGATTACTTTTTATTTGGAGTCAACGACATCCAATGAGCGGGTACCTTATTTCTTAAAGTAGTTATGTCTAAGGAATAAATGACATTGCAGCTCCATTGATAGCTGTGCTACTTAATGAATATGTCAGAGTAGATTTTAATAAATTTGATGTACCTTCTGATTTTCATAAACTTCCCGATGACATACTACTAGATATAGAAGCTGATATTTATTGGTGTCTTTGCAAAATCATTGAAAACATTCAAGATTATTTCATCCACAATTAGCCTGGCGTGTCTTTAGCATATGATAAAATAAGAAACATACTGAATACTGTAACTTATATAGATTATGTAGATTGATCCAACTATTTTAGATTACTTTCATTAACAGCAAATCGATTTTAATCATTTTGCTTTCAGATGGGTTATTTGTCTGCTAATTCGAGAATTTCCTCTCTACTTGGCTATCAGAATAATGGATACTTACCTATCCGAAGGAGATAACATGGCAAATCTTCATATATACACTGTTTCCAATTTGATCCTTAAATGTGGACCTGAAGTATCAAATGCATAATGATTTAGATCAAAAATAAAAACATGGGTGACGCTGTCATCTTTCTACAAAACCTTCCTACTAAAGATTGGACAGAATTAGATATTGAAATGCTTTTGCAAGAAGCCTATGTTTTTAAGGAGTATATGACGAACAAACAAGGTTTGAATTAATCTTTGACTTCCACTTAATCAAATCGAAATTCCATTAAATGAAGATAAATTCTCTTTATTAATTTTAATTAACGAAAAATAAATCTATGCAACCAATGTATTGCCAATCTCCCAAATAATCTATTAAGAAAGATTCTTGTTTGCACCAATTCTAAAAATTACTCTCGGAATCTCTCAATCGCAAATAAGCTCAACAAAATAAAGAAAATAATAGAAGTAGTTTTTAAATGAAGAGCTACAGCAAATTACTCTCTCCTCCTCATCACCCTATTACCACTAATAATTAACTTAACTAAGACCTCAAAAAAACCCTTAATAGAGTCAAATTTATGTTAGATAAAGTCTCCTCAGAAAATCTGGCCTTAAAAGCAGAAAAAAGAGAATTAATATAACTACTCTAAGAGAAAAACTAATTGATAGAAAAGTTAGAATAAAATAAATCAATTATTATTCAACATTGCTGAATTATGCAATTACATTTGTACTATGAATATATATAAATTAATATATAATATGAATAAATCAAAAACTAAATCGCCTCCTCCTGGGATATAGTAATAAAGCTTATCTGCAGAACCTAAAGAAACCAAGAAACAGAGGACAACTTTAGATTATACATTTAAAGAAATTAAGAAACTTGAAGGTATATATATATTGTAACTACTATCCAAGAATTAAAAAATAAAGAAGTTAAACCCAGAGAAGGAGAGCAATGGATATTTAAGGAATAGAAGAAATAAGAAAATTTGGAAGTAAAAAATGACACTCCAAAAGAATAAGTGCTTAAATAATAATAATCATTACCTGAAGAAACAGAGCCTGTCTAACCATAATAATAATAGCCTTAAAAATAATAGGACAACAAAAAAGGCAATGCCCCACAGCCGCCTCCTTCTCAATTGATACCATAAACAAATGTTGCAACATAATTAATCACATTATAAAATATACCATTAAATGGAAAGATAGTTGGTGGCAAATTACAAGAAAATAAAAATCAAAGTCAGCAATCTAAGTTCAAACCGGAATTGTGTTGTTAATCATTAATTTTATGTCAAAATAAATTAACAAGCATCAGTGGGTTTTATCAGATTATGCAAACTGTCATGCCTAATGTCGAATTGCTTAGATGGATAGATTTATCATATAATCAATTGACCACTCTAGATTATAATTTTAAGGAATTGCCTCATTTGCAATCATTATATCTAAACTTTAATTAGATAAAGGACATTAATGAATTAAAATAAGTATTTACATATTCATATAAACTAAGTTGTCACATTTATAAGAGTTCAGATCTCTAAAAATCTATGGAAATCCAATTGAATAGATCATCAATTTTAGATTATACATAATTGACGTGCTTCCATAATTGAAAAGGATAGATTCTGTCCTCATCAGCAAAAAAGTATTAAATTAGAATATTTCATTTTAGGAAAGAGACAATTCATCCATGATTGTAAAGGTATTTGATTTTAAACCTTAAATGAAAGCTTAAGCGGATAAAGAGAAATTGCTATTACAATAAACCTAAATTACACAATAAAAATCGAAGTCTTAACCAAAAAAGAAAAAGTGATTTAATATATTCTAATAAATTGATATTTATATAAAAGGGAAAAAAGTAATCAATAATTTTTATTAAGATTTTTTCTTTTTATTTGCTGTTCCATTTTTAAATTATCCTACTTAACTACTTTAATCTAAATAGATATAATAATATTTTACTCTTGATTTAATATCCTATAGATCTTAGTCTGTATATTCAGAATCATTGATAACCTATTATAGTCTTTCATTTTCTTCAATCAATAATTGAATTTTCTCATACAAATCAGCATATAAATTATCCGCCATTTTCTGTTCATAAACCTATTCAACTTAATTATAAGTTAATTTTAAATGTTCTTCATCCCTTTTTAATTGTTATTATTGCTTATTCAGATTGTCAATTTCATTCTTCAACCTTGCAATATCAGAAATCATTTATAAATGAGAATTTGAAGATAATTATTGATTCAATCTATCATTTTCAGTTATTAGATTCTAAACCTTATTTTCTAATTCATTCACTAAATCTTTAATTTAAGAATCATCATTTTAATCTAATTTATTTTGTAATTCATCACATTTAAATTGGTATTACTATTATTCTGATTTGATATTCTAAAGTTATTGCGATGTTTGTTTACGATTTTACTAAATTTTTTCTAAATTATCCTTCATTCTTGAAACATCAGTTTATTCAATTAGAGATTAATTTTCTAATTACAATTTGTCGTTTAGCTATTACAATAAATTAATTTTTTATTCTAATTCTTAAATAAATTATGATGATTGCCCTCTTTGTACTTCACTTTCCCTTTATTAAATAGTCTATTACAATAGATTATTAGAATCTTGTAATTATTTTAACTCATTAATTAAATTTGGATTGTTGTAATTGATTGGCTTCAATTATGATTATGATCCTTTATTATTATTATAGTAAATGGGAGTATTTATCAGATTATAAGGTTGAGGGGATTGAACAACAGTTGGCTATTGGATTTGCTTTGGAGATTGAAAAATGATGGAGTTATCCCGATTTTAAGCAGGACTCATGCATACGAATTGTTTGGTGGGATTAACGAATTAAGATAATTGTGTCTCATTAATTGAATCGTTTTTTTTATCATTTTTACCTCCAACTTTAAATTAGATTGAGTAATCATGTGATTAGTTAGGATTTAAATTGGATTTAGAATTACTGTATTATAATGACTATAGAATAAGTAAATAATTTACAGGAGGTTTTTCTTGATGACTCGAATTAGATGCTCTTTTCAGATATTAATTGTAATATGGATTGGTTGCAATGGAAGTGGTTTTATTGATAGTATCAATGTCAGTGCTTGCTTTGTGATGAAACTTATTAGGTGGCATTTATGTATTTTAGGTATTTTCAATGCTTGAAAAAGGTGATCTTGATTGATATTGATTGCATTTTAAAGATTACTATGGTGGTTCTAATTTTGTAAGGATTAAATTTACATGAGGGATTCCTTCTTCCAACTTAATATTGTTACATGCTAACAGCCAAAATTTTAATTATTATTATTTATGAAATTAAGAAAATTAGGATTATCAATACTATTATGTAGTGCTGGGTCATACAGTCTTTATTGTAATGAGAAGACTAAAGCATATATTTGGGGAAACGGAGTATATTAGGCACTTCCTGGACAAGGCTTAAGCTTTAATAATTTCACTCCAAAACAATTGATAGATTTTGAAGATAAGAATTTATAGAAGTTATTTCTTTCTGAATAATTTGAAGGTGGTATAACAGGAAACGGAGATGGATATATATGGAGTGCTCACAAGTTAAGTAGTTCAGAAGATAAAAATATAATAGATGGAAAAAGACAAAATATTATTAAAATAAATGTACCTAAGGGTAAGATTTAATAAATCAAATATACCAAATAATNTTGTAATTCATCACATTTAAATTGGTATTACTATTATTCTGATTTGATATTCTAAAGTTATTGCGATGTTTGTTTACGATTTTACTAAATTTTTTCTAAATTATCCTTCATTCTTGAAACATCAGTTTATTCAATTAGAGATTAATTTTCTAATTACAATTTGTCGTTTAGCTATTACAATAAATTAATTTTTTATTCTAATTCTTAAATAAATTATGATGATTGCCCTCTTTGTACTTCACTTTCCCTTTATTAAATAGTCTATTACAATAGATTATTAGAATCTTGTAATTATTTTAACTCATTAATTAAATTTGGATTGTTGTAATTGATTGGCTTCAATTATGATTATGATCCTTTATTATTATTATAGTAAATGGGAGTATTTATCAGATTATAAGGTTGAGGGGATTGAACAACAGTTGGCTATTGGATTTGCTTTGGAGATTGAAAAATGATGGAGTTATCCCGATTTTAAGCAGGACTCATGCATACGAATTGTTTGGTGGGATTAACGAATTAAGATAATTGTGTCTCATTAATTGAATCGTTTTTTTTATCATTTTTACCTCCAACTTTAAATTAGATTGAGTAATCATGTGATTAGTTAGGATTTAAATTGGATTTAGAATTACTGTATTATAATGACTATAGAATAAGTAAATAATTTACAGGAGGTTTTTCTTGATGACTCGAATTAGATGCTCTTTTCAGATATTAATTGTAATATGGATTGGTTGCAATGGAAGTGGTTTTATTGATAGTATCAATGTCAGTGCTTGCTTTGTGATGAAACTTATTAGGTGGCATTTATGTATTTTAGGTATTTTCAATGCTTGAAAAAGGTGATCTTGATTGATATTGATTGCATTTTAAAGATTACTATGGTGGTTCTAATTTTGTAAGGATTAAATTTACATGAGGGATTCCTTCTTCCAACTTAATATTGTTACATGCTAACAGCCAAAATTTTAATTATTATTATTTATGAAATTAAGAAAATTAGGATTATCAATACTATTATGTAGTGCTGGGTCATACAGTCTTTATTGTAATGAGAAGACTAAAGCATATATTTGGGGAAACGGAGTATATTAGGCACTTCCTGGACAAGGCTTAAGCTTTAATAATTTCACTCCAAAACAATTGATAGATTTTGAAGATAAGAATTTATAGAAGTTATTTCTTTCTGAATAATTTGAAGGTGGTATAACAGGAAACGGAGATGGATATATATGGAGTGCTCACAAGTTAAGTAGTTCAGAAGATAAAAATATAATAGATGGAAAAAGACAAAATATTATTAAAATAAATGTACCTAAGGGTAAGATTTAATAAATCAAATATACCAAATAATTTGTATGGATATTCACCAATAATGGAGAGGTCTTTTAATATTAAGTAAAGGATGGGTAATTTGTCAATACTCCAAAAAAAATCAATAGTTTATTAAACATCAAACAAATAGAATGCGGAGAAGATCATTTTGTGGCACTGACTAATGATGGTTCCATTTTAACTATGGGTGATGATACTTATGGTTAATGTGGATTAGGATCCAATAATAGAAGCACAGCTCCACCATTTTATGAATCAAGAATTAGGAATCCAACAAAAATAGAAAATTTACCAAAAATAAATAAAATTATATGTGGATCCAATCACACACTATGTATAAGTACAGAAGGATCAGTTTATGGATGGGGATCTAATTCATAAATGCAATTATCTCATTCAGAAGAATTCTCAAGAGTTGGAGAACCTTTGATTGCTGTTTATAATCCACTAAGAATTTCTGCCTTAATGGACAGCAATAATTAGGTTTTAGATTTGGCTGCTGGAAATGAATTTAGTGTATTTGTTACAAAGAACAAATAAAACTCAGAAACTGAAGTATTTGCTTGTGGTCATAATATCAGAGGACAATTAGGTTGTGGGTTTGTTCGACATATAAGTGATATCGTTAAACTTGAAGGACTATCGAATTTTAAGATTAATATCAATGGTAAATAGGAAAATGTAGAAGTCAAATAAATCGAATGTGGATATAATCATTGTCTGGCATTAACAAATGTAGGTGCTATTTTAGAGTGGGGTGATAATGAATATGGATAATTAGGAAATAAAAAAAGGTATGAAATCTTCATTTATTGTAGATCATTCACAGACAAACCTATAGTAGTCTCATAATTTGTGTAAAATAGAGTAGCTTCCATATCTTGTGGCAGTAATAGTAGTGGAGTAATTGTTTAGTAATGATAGGAGTATATTAAATCAATTCATTAATGCTAAATAAATATTATTATAAAAGTGATATCATCAATAACTGAGTCATCATCAATTGTCCACATTCTATATGCAACCCTCATTAATTCTTCACTAGCTCCTTCAATATTATTTTGCTAATAGTATTTTCCAATAATATCAACAACAATCTGATTGTCTAAGAATTCCCATATTCCATCTGAGGCTATAATGATAAATTTATCATTAGATCCCAATTAGTATTCAACAATATCTGGAACACTACTAACTCCAATGGATTACGCTACCTAATCTCCTATACTTCTACTCATAGCTAAACCTGGATACTGGGTGCCATTGACCCAAACTCTCATTGGTCCAATTGGATTACCTAAAATATCTACATTATTTACCATTTTAATCATAGAATGTATCTATTTTACCTCCTGATGAAATTACTCTGTATTATTCTTTTTTAATAGTTAATTTATGATCAACTGTTAATTAATAAGGTTTAAATTTTGAACCATATCCTATAAATTTCCCAATGACTGTTCTACTATCGCCAACATTAAATGAATGAATTTTACCATTTTCTTACAATATTATACCATTCAATGTAGAACCACTAAAATTTGTATCAAAAGATTATTTGTTCACATTAACAGAGATGTTTTAGATGGATTTCTGAAGGGTTTCTTTTATTTAGTGAGATTATTATGATAATTTATCTCTTCGAATGCTATTTGGTAAATTAGCTTATATGAAATTGGACACAAATTGTCCATTTTGTCCATGTCCATCACAAACAAAAAATAAATGCAAATTTTCGACGAGATTAGTTTAACAATAAAATATGTCTTAGTTTACTTTGTTAGGGTTATTTGCTATTTAACCTTATCTGGTTTTATGAATGTATTTTAGATTTAATTGAATATTATCTTGAGATTCAAGACTACATAATGATGCTGTTGATCTATTTTTATTATAGATTTCCTCTGCTTTTAAAATGTTAATTTGACTATGAACTCTTCTCTCAGGAACTGAAGAATCTGGATTAACCTTTTTTGTTTAAGTGAGATATTTACTTACATAATTATGCCACAATTATTTTCGAGATCTGATTGGTATTCTATTTATTTCTTTGGATTTATTTAATTTCATGATAGAGTCCAAAAAGGAGTTGTATTTATTGTGTGTATTGTTTAATTATTATCTGCTTTATTATGAATAATTATTAACAACCAATCCTTTTGATATGAGTAATATATACTATTTTTAGTTATCTAATATTGTTTCTCACTCTAATCTCTCTATCCCTAACCAGGTCTATCATTTATAATTGATGTCGCTTTATTGTAGTTATCATCTGTTAATATGATGATGTAATACTTTTGTTGTCTCTACTATTGTACTAATAATTAGCTTCAGTTTTGAAAATTCTTGGGCTTTTTAATCGCTTAGATGCTGATTTAGTGTAATCAAAAATCCTTGAATTCATATTATTTATAATAAACAAATGGATGAAAGTGGAATAATAGGATAAATGATACTCGAAAGTAGTGGCAGAATAAAAAAAGTAATCCCTTTAATCAATATTTAGAGCAGCGGCACTTTGGACAACCCTAAATTAATCCCATTTATAACAACTATTGTTTCCTCGACAGCGAAGATTTTAGAAAAACAATCACTCAATAGAGTAACATGTAAATTCATCATATATCATAGTAAGTTATTAAGAATCAGATATCATAATTTACATCGATTAATCAGACATAGTTGTGTTAGAAAGAAAAAAGTGATGCAAATATATATTAAAATATATGTATATATACTTTAATTTTTGTATTCAATTATTCTTTAAGTATGAATATTCTAATTACTTAGAGTCAATATATATTGAAAATTTAGAATTTAATCTAATAAAAGATTATAATCACAATGATTATTTCTAAGTTCTGTTCTGAAGATGGTAATTGCAAATCCTGAATTTTTAATTTATGTTTTAAATTTACTAGTACTCTAATTATTATAGAATCAATCCTTACAAAAGGTGATTATCTCTTTAAATAATAGCAATTTGAACATTATTTGTATTGCTCAAACAAAAGAAATCAAAATATTTACCTAACAAGAATAGTGTAATCCACTCCTTCTTATACGCAGTGATGGAGCCTTATGAATTTTTTAATGATCTATAAGATAAGGAAGCATTCAAGAGAAGAGATTCCAATCTTATTTAGTATTTGTAATTATTATATAAGATTAAGTAAAACAACAGTAAATTAAGAATTCTGAAATTTCTAATAGCTATAAAAATTCCTCTGAGAAGATTTCTTAAAGATTAAATTTAAATTAAAATACCTAATCAATAAATTAAGTTATTGAATTTATTATATCTATATTAAATAAGAAGTATCAGCAATTCATGATTAAAGTGTATTACTAAGAACTTACTTTAGTTATGATTATTGTTATTCTCAACCCGAATATAATTTTTAAGGATTAAATATTAATTATTGATCATTAGACATAAATATATATATATATATATTATCCAAAATAGAGGTTTTGACTAAGAATAATAATGAACATAGAGTATGAATAAACAGCGAATTTTTTCTACCCTCCTGATCAATAAGGGAACAAATAAAAATTTATCCATTCTAGAAGATTACTGAAACCAAAGAGTGCTAATTCTAATCCATCTACATAATTGTAAGATATCTAATTTAATTATGGATTATAGAACAATTTCAAAACGAAGTTCTGACAATTTAGGTCTACATACTCCTCCTATATTGGAAGAGATAAAGAAGGGATCAGGAATATTAAGAGATTGCTAGATTAAAAAAAATAACAATTATCGGATTCTTAGTTCAAATATAAATGAACGATAAAGCTATCCTTAATAGATTAGTTTTGGAAATAAATTCATATTTATTGATGAATAGAAATTAAATAAGTTCACTGAAAGTCCTTAATCCAAGATAAATAAACTGCCAGAAATCTTCAATTACAGAAACTCATGTTAAGGATTCAAATAGAATTATAGAATCTAAAGTAGTCAAAGTAAAAGAGAGACTATAACAAATTTTAATGTTGAATGTCCTAAACAAATATATATACAACAATGTCTGCAACGATTAGAACTGAAACAAACAATTTAAAAATAAAACCAAAATAGATTACCTAATTAACCTATTTCCTTTTTATAAGCAAAATAATAAAAGAAGATGATAAGTCGAATATTTTCAGGCAAACGTGATTCATGATTTTAGTAAATATCTCATTCCATTGTTGATTTTTGTACTTTAAAGGAACTTGCTTTTTTCAACCCCATTTTTGGTGTTTAAGCATTTAATTTTGATATTGCATCTTCCAATTGAGATGTCTCATCATCAACACAATCATCCTCCTTCCCCATTTGATTAATTTATTATTAAAACGAATTTTTCAATGCAGTCTTTCGTAAATCTGATTAATTGCTTTTCTTGGCTACTGGTGAATCTATATACAATATAATAGTTTCGATACTTGCATCCGGATTGAGTTACTACTTCATAGATTAACTGAATTAACTAAATTTACTTTAATGAGGTTAGGGCTTCTAATCTAATCTAGTTACTGATCCATTATTGGACACATTAGAAAATGAGCCCATAGTGTCTATTCTCCCATTCAAAGCAGGTTGTCTCTATTGTAATTGCATCGATCCAACTTGACTCGAAGGTCTATCACAATTTAATAGTGTTTATTACCCTTATTACTTTCCTAATCCATAGACAAAGTCCTTCTCATATTCTCGAAGATTGTCTTATATATCGATCAAGTCTTGCTCCTTGAAGATCTCCTTGAAGTATGGATGTTTTAGGCAATCCTCAGATGAAACTCTTCCTTTAGGTTCTGGATATAACATCTTCTTTAGCAAATCTACTAATTATAAAGGACCCTATAATACTATTATTTAATTACTGTTTATATTTATTTTAGGTTGTAATTGATCTCACAATTCTTATTTGCTCTCAGGATGGCTTTGTAGTCAGTCCCTTGGAAGGGTTGTCTACCAGTCAAGAGAATGTAAAAGATTACTCCTGCACTAAACACATCGCATTTTTCATCATAGAAGGGATCTCCTTCTTTATATGCCAATATTTCAGGAGCAACGAATCCAGGTGTTCCGCATCTTTTAAATAGGATATCTTCATTAAGAAAACAAGCTAATCCAAAGTCTGCAATTACTACATCAGTATCATTATCTTTTTCTTTTAATAATAGGTTTTCTGGTTTCAAGTCTCGATGGATGCATTTTTTTGAATGTAGATGGCAGAGTGCTTTCATCAGATTATACATTAATTTTTGTAGATTAGGGGCAGATAAGGGCTACGATTTGACTCTAGATAGCAATTCGCCTCCTTTCAAAATATCCAAAATAAAATAAATGGAATTTTAAGTTTCATAAACTTCATGCAGTCTTACTAGATTTTCTTGATTCAATCTTCTCATTACTTTAATTTCGTTTTCCAATGATTCCCTACCTTTAAATTGTTCTAACATGAATTCTTTATTAAATGCTTTGACTGCGTAATTTATACCAGTAGATTTTTTTGTCGCCAAATAAACTTTAGCAAAACTTCCTTTGCCAATCATTTTCGTAACTCCAAATTCATCATGGAATGTAGATTATAAACATCTGCAATTTAGAAGATTCTTAAAAGCATTATAATCTTCAAATTTTAAATCAATATACTTTCCATTTCGTGACAACCTAATAATGCTACCATGTTAATCATGTTTAATTATATTCATCATAACAATAGTAGTTTATATCTAAAACATTGTTTCTTTTTTGATGTAATATAAATGCTCATTTCCAAGTTAGATTGTAATTGGTTTCAATTATTTCGACTTCCCACCAATCTTGTAGCAATCCTGCTCGAAAATTATATTATCATTCTAGAAATTGAGACAAGATTTACATCGTAAACTTCCTAATTCAGAATCTACCAAAGAGATGACTACTTTGCTGCAAGATCTGGATTATCAAAAAAAGAAGCGATTTCAGTATTCATAATAATATTTTATTAATTTATATTAATATATATATATAAATGGGTGCTGCTTGTGCAAATGCTAAAATGAATTAGACAGTTCCTGTAATAAAGATATCGAATGGAGAAGAGTAAACTGAAAAAATACAAGAAAACCAATAACAATAGTAAAAGAGTACATCTTCCAGAGAACAAAACAATACTAAACTAAGCACAATTTCAAAATAAGTTTCAAACATTTCATCAGATGGAGTGCCAGTAAGAAAGAACACAACATCACGAATGTCTATTTCAGGTGAGGACAGAGATAAGAAGCCAAAAGTTCAAGGGAAAAATTAAGGGCAAGAATAGTTGTTAAAACAAAGAGAATTTATACTTGAGAAATTTCTGAACGATATTTAATTGTTAGACAAGTAGTTAATGTCAGATGTCATCTAGATGTTGAGATTCTTCTTGTCTCATTTGGAATAATCTAATATTTATTGGACCAAGTAATCAATCAAATAATTTTAGAGTTTGGTTAATTAATAAAAATGATTACAGCATTGTTGTAGGATTCACCAACAACATAGGGGAATCAAGAAAAATCAGAATATTGTACACCAAGCAAATTGAATTTGTGGCTAATCTACTTGATAACTATCTGTTTTTCTAGCAGTTTGCAAGCTATAAGATACATGATTTCAGCTTTAGATTGAACAAAAAACACAATAATTTCTATGTATTTTCAGAATAAGAGTATTGCGATGTGTCTTTAGAGAATATTTAATTGTAACCACAAGATATCCATCCCCTATTAGAGTATCTCCTCAAAACTATATAATAAATGCATTAAAACTTCTATGTTCATTCAGGGTAATTCATATTTGTAATTAAGAATTAAGCCATCCAATGTTTACATGACTTATCATAAATAAAAAGTATTTAAATTAGACTTGAGTTTTTCAGCTTTCAGATTCTCTAGAAGACTAATAAAAAATAAAATTAAAGATTTTAGAGCCAATCTTGTCAATGACTTAGAAGATATAGCCATTCTTATCATTAACTCCTTCTACAAAGGCCCTGAAATTAGGCAACAATTAAAACAAAAGAATATAGATTTCGCCAATATTATTGAATCCCTATATTAGAAATAGAAGAATGTTCTTGAATGTTACATCAAAGATATTGTCCTTTTACTCTATAGAAATAGATAATATCTATATGATCTTAAAGCATCCGATTATGTTTAATTATTGAATTGTTAATCAAAGCCTGAGTTAAAAGATCTCATTCAAGATATTCCAAACACTAACAATAACAATCCTAACAACAATATCAAGAATGTACTTTTTGAATACTAAAACAATAAAGTAGTCTTTTATAATTTAACATAAACAAGAAATTAAAAGTCATACACTTAGTATGAATTAATTGATCAAAATGGACAATAGATTAATATCATCAATGGGAGTGCTTACATATAAGATAATAAATTATATTTCGCTTATGAAAATATGATTGGGATGATATCTATTAAGCTGAGTTCTGAGTAACTAGAAGATACTTTGGAAATGCTATAAATCTCACTAAGATAATATTTGGCTACTAAAGAGTAATAGAAAAAAGAGAGGATTGATTCTGCTTAGAAAAACTATTAATTGCAATTATAAATTAATTAACATAGTCCTACAACATATATTGAAGATTAATTCAAATTCAAAGACACTGCTTAAACTTAAAAATAACCAAACAAGAATTTTCATGATAGAATTTACTTTACTTCTCAAAATTTATAAGAAATATTTAGCATCATTGATATAGAATAAAGAAATTACATCACAACCTAATAATTCTATGATTTCCTATAATAGTAAACAGATTCAATCGACAATTCATTGCTTCAACAACTGTTATTTGACAAGATTTAAGAAATTGTTTTATTCTTTTCTGATAAAAACTTGACTTTCCATGAATTCATGCAAATATTTTCCTTTAGATCAAAATAACAATTGCCCATCTATAAGAAAATAATTAAGCCTTTGAAATAAGCATAGAATGTAAAATCATTCACTATTATTAATAATACTGTTCATTATTATGATGGTCAATATTTATATAATGATGAAAACCAAATTGAAGTTCAATATGATCTAAAATATCTTATCAATAATTAAAATCAACTGTTAATTATTGGAATACAGGATGGTTGTCTATTAATTAATACCTAAAATAGTTCTATATAGACAGATGTTAAAATCAGTTAAGATTTTGGATTTTCCAAGTTCAATGATGTATACTTCATTACCCAGTAAAATGAGCTTATATTTTATTCTTTAACACAAAAGAAAAGTGTAAAACTCGATATAAATGGGATAACATCTTCGTGCAACTTAATTTACCATAAATATTTTATTCTATATTTACAAAATTAGAATGTTTATAGAATATTTTTATCCTAAGATAAATATTGTATAACATCATTCAATGTATTTGAAATCTTACATGAACATGGAAGATTAGACTAGAAAATCAAATTAAAGCAAATAACTACTAAATAAAATTCAAGTGATGAATTGATTGGGGTGTACTCTATCAACAAAGTTCATTATCCCATTACAAATCAAACTCCATCATTATTCAGAATCTTATCTGTTTCAAAGGAACAATAGAATTTTATACTAATCTAAAGAATTGTACATGTGGAATTTGAATCATTTGATGAATGTTATCAAGTTTGTAAATATTTGGACCCTTATTTATTGGATTTCTTTTTGAGTATGGAATAATACGATGGAAAAGTGAGATTAAATTATATTATAGAGAATTGTGAGCTTATTTAAAGAGAAGATTGCAACTTTAAAGTAATGAAGAGATGCGTTAAGAAATTGAATGAACTAAGATCGCACGATATCTTTGTCTAGGATATGCATCCAAATAATGTCTTTATTACACCTAATTCAGTTATTTTTGCTTCTATTATATACAAAACTAATATTCCTAGTATTTACTAAGAAAAATCAGTACCATTTATGTCATCGTTAGAATACATGGAACCTAAATCGTTTTTGGCTTATACTTAAAATTTAACTTAAAATTAAATCTTTATTAATCCCAGCAAAGCTAATATTTACTGTTTAGGATTGATATTTTTAAGGATGCTTTCAAATTATCAGATTAAAAATACTAAAGAATAATAATTTTATTTAATGGAAATAAATTTGGCACTTTAATAATTTTAATTCCCTAATATAAAACCATTACTTGAAGAAATGCTAAAAGAGAATGAAGAATAAAGATATGATTCTTATTAATTAATATAATTTATTAGAAAATATTAAAAATTAAATTAAAAAGAATTGTTCTTTACATCACAACCATTACAATTATTAGAGACTTAATAACAGTAAACTTTATATGGATATTAAAACAATACAATTTATTAATATTAGCAAGTATTTAAAATATACACGAACATTTTATCTACTAATTTACAAGTATTATGCGTTTAATCAACTGAAGAAGGTTAATTAATTCTATTAGTCAAATAATTAAATTAAAGGGCATTTAAATATTTACTCCTCTATATATCTTTATCACAGAATCAATATGAATCGCACCAATAACACTCATGCTTGATCTTTGAAGAATTAGTTAATTTCTAAAAATTTGCAGAGGAGGAATAAGACGAAATTGAAAATAACCAATTATAAATTATATAATAGAATGGATTGCTTGTCTAATCACCTCACGTGGTAGCTAAAGAAGTGTAGGTCCCGATATTCGATTTACAAAATGTAAATGAATGTACATTTTTGATAAATGGAGATGAACTTTACTTTTTTGGATTTGGAATAACGAACGAAATAAGAAGAGTGGGATCACGAGATTGTTTTGTATATATGCCTAAAAGAAACTTATTCAAAAAGATTGGTTATAGAACAACCTACTATGAAGCTTAGGCACTAGATTTTGGTGAATATTGGTTGTTATTAGAAAAGACTTCTAATAATAATAAGATCAGAATTCAGTAAATTATTAAGGCTTCATTTTTATGCACTGAAAGAGTTATTAAATTAAAAAATAGCAATCAAGTGTTTTATTTTAAATATTTGTAAAATGTTATTGCCCTCTCTAATAACCTATGTTGGTATATCAACATTGAAGCATTTAAAGCATTTGAAATATAATGTGATTATATACCAAAATCATTAATCTTAATGCAAAACACTTAAAATAATACAATTTTAACATAAGATGGCGCATCTACATTATAATTTGATGGTAATGTGTTAAAAGTATATTGATTTATATATTGTATCAATGTTATTTGAATACTTGTTACATTGTAGCTCTTGAAATTGTAGATTCACTTTTAGAATCCATATCAATCATCTCAATTCCAGTTAAATTTACTAGTAGTTCTTCGTTGAGTAGACCATCAATTTAAGATGTAATAATTTAAGTATGCTTTAATTATTCATCATCAAAAAAATCATTAAGTTTTTATTTAGGAAATATTTATGTACTCATTAAAATTTCCATTGGTCCTAAATTTGGTAAATCAATCAGTCCATTTCTTACTCTTTAACTTCCAACACTGAACCTATTTTTTAAGTCAAATATTGATGAATTTTTATTATATCTCTTTGGGCCATCGTCTTTATTTTTTTAAAATGACTTAACATAATTTTTAATAATAAATCGTAAATTCGGTATCAACTCTCTACAAAATACTTAGTTGTTTTATAACTCTGTGAACATCCATTGACTCTATTAGCTTAGATATGCTTATTGCTAAGATTCTTTTTATTATCGTGCAGTAATCATAGATTTGTTAATTACTGATTGTCTGCTTGAATGTTTTTACTTCTGTGTTTACTTATTTTCTCTCAATTCATCAATCAACAATAATGTATGTTCTAGTATTTCTTTTGATTTTACCCTTAAGGATGCAAATTTAATTTAGGCATTTAATTATAACTTTTTTTATAGTCTTAAATAATTACAATATTAAATACCCCTCGAGAAATATATCAAATGATTCTTCATCAACATATTCTTATAATTATACTAGTAATAATGCATAAATGATAAACAATTTCTCTTATCTTAATTAAATTAGTTATATACTATCCTTATATAATACTTCTTTATAATTATCTTTAGATCGACTTTCTAAGTATTTTTCAACAACTGTATAAATCAGACATGCTTCATCAAAATAATGTTTCAAAAATGAGATAGTATGAAAATGAGTTGAAAAATCCCTGTCTGATAGATGCTATTCGACTTATAAGTAATCAAGGATTTCATTAGAAAGGTCTAACAATCCAGTTGGATATCTCTTAAATTTCATAGAATAACTCATTTTACTGTAATTTAGAAACGGGTATTTTAAATGATTTCTTTATCTATTTTAAAATGCTATATGATTGCAATCAATTTATCGAAGCTTTCACTATCGCTAGAATCTAACTATTCGCAAATTAACATAAATTAATAATAACATTATTATGTTAATTTTTCTCTTTCATTTAGTACACTCGTAATACATACAGGATGGAATAAGAATTATAGAAAAAGGAATGAAATTATCTCCTGATAACTATCTAGTTAACTAGAACTGTCCAGCAAGTTTAAACATCTTTTGTGATAAGCCATTTTCATCAATTTCAATTCAAGAATAAGAAACCTTAAATTTTGTTTAAATTCAAGTACGATGTTATATTTAAATAGGTTTAATAAGTGCTAAAATCGCTAGAGCCTGAATAAAATAAACATTAATATTATAATAAAATTATCAATCAATTATTATAAGAAATCGTTCTATATGATCAAAACGAAGAGTTTTTGTCATTTGCCTTTAAATTTAGTTAATTTTATCCAGAAAAAGATTTGTAGTTAATTTAGGAAAAGTTTTATATAGATTCATTTAATCGATCAGCCATTTTAATTGATAATAATAATAACAGTTTGTAAGAATAAAATACTACACTATTTATGAACTTTCAAGATTTATATACTCCTTCTAGCAATATCATTTTAAATCACAAATTATAATCAGCTAATGCTTTGTATCCTCCGGATAAATTTAATATAAGAACAGCAGATAAGAAAGGTTGCATCTATTTTACTAAACCAATTTATCTATCATAGTTTTATGTCTTGAGTTACAATGCTAATTCCAAAATTAGAATCAATTATGACGACAAGTTAATTAAGGTGATTTCAATTCCTTTTAAAAATTAATGGGTATTAGTTTTTGGTCCAAATGGCTATTAAATCAATAATATTACAATCCCTTAGCAGACTCACATTGATTCACTCGTAATTCAAGTTTAGAAATAACCATATACAAAATAATAAATTACTGTTTTGGTCATTCACCGGATTCTGGAAAGATATTATTAATTAAATTCAGAAGATGTATTAAATTCATTGAGTGAAGAGGAGGGTGAGGAGGAATGGCAATTAAATTAAGAAGAATGGGATTCATTTTATGATGAATTGTATTATTAGTTGATAAAAGAATTATTGGAATTTTTAGAAAAAATTTTGGCTAAAATTAATTAGTTAAAAATATCAAATTAATTTGAATCATTAACTTCAAGATAAATACTAGATATATTATAAGATGTATGTAAGTATTAGATTATAAAAAGATTAAAAATGAGATATCATAAAATGAGATCTTGATATTTTAAACTTTATTTTCAAATTTCATGGATGAGAGGTACTCTGAGAATGACATAGTCTTAATGTACGTAAAGTTAGTTGAAATAAGTGAAGAACTAAAAGATAATAATTTAGATTGAATTATAGTAACAAATTCATTTAAGTGAATCTTCGTATTTATGATCTCTTAACAATTTAAATTTATTTTTATAGGCCAAAAATATTGACCATTATTTAGAGAAAGGATTTTCATTTAAGTCTTTTAACGGTAGTTAAAATGTAGATTTTGACATCAATTTCTTCTTTTCATTATAATAATAACGATGTAATTTTGCTTCAGGTACCTTGATGAATTCCTCTTTTTGCAATGTAGATTCCTATTTTTCATTTTGATTCAATAATATATTAAGAGACTAGGAATGTTAAGATGTATTTTATGAAAACAATTTAACAGATCCTCTAACTTTTTTTGGCATTACAGGATTATAGTATCCCACTGCAGGTTAATTATTATCAGGGGTTTTTATTAATAAGTAATTTTTTTTAATTGGAGGAACATAATTAGATTATATAGATTATTTATGAGATGTTGACCAGGTTGAGTAATTGGTTTTAGACATTTATGGTTATTGGATATCTTTTAGGAGGGTTTTTAAGAAAATAAAATTATTGCTTTCTTATTAATGAGAAGAATGATTGCTGAATCTTAAATAAATGGGTCTTTTTTTGACTTTAGATGGTTATGACTTAGGAGTTATGGAGAAACGAAATTTGGATTTATTAAATTTAAATTATGTTTTGTAGGTGGTTTTGGATCTGATATCTTCTTGCTCATTATCCATGATTCCGGTGATGAAATCATATTAAGACTTGGTCTATAGAATTGATTAAAGTGATTATTTCATGAAAATTATTATGATTAATTCTCAATAAATAAAATATTAAATTAACATCACTTATAAATGAATTTCACTTTTATGATAGATAATTGTTTATCTTCTTGTTAAATAACTTATAATGGACTCACTATATTAGATTATGCCAAGAGTGCAATAGAATATTTTGTAAAAAAGAGAACAAAGAATCCAGAAAATAAGTATGATTAATACCATCTTTTTTCGTCAAAGTAATTTTTAGTTCCTTACATATTGTCTATAGTTCTTCAATCTCAACATGGACAAATGACGTATGCCATTTTTTACAAAAACTCAAAACCATTCAACCATAGTTCGAAACTAACTTCAATTTGGATGAGTGTTTCCACAATTTAAACAAATTTAGAACTTTAAATGGTTATTTATATATATAATTAAATACAGGCACTGACAATCTTTATGGAGGGAGAGATGTCTTGAAAATTGAATCAGCCATCATATTTGTTTTCACTAACAGAGAATACGTTGGACCTGCTTTCCATTAATTGATAAGGTGGGACTATAGACTTCTTGCATTTTTGTTACAACCTCCTGGAATCGAGGAAAACAATGCCATTTCTATTTCAACAAACTGGCATCACCTTGCTTCATCTGTAGGTTAAGGAGTGTGTTTCGAAATTCAAGATTATAACATTTTATTTTAAATCTTAGATGATCCAAAATTAACCCCACCTTAAATATCTCTTCAATTAAATCTTTTAGATTAATAAAATAAAAATGATGAAATTTTATCAATCTTTGAAAAAACAAAGATTGATTAATTATCAAGTCAGCCTTCTTATTTGGTGAGATCTCCTTAAAAACCAAATTAATCTTTTGCTTCTATCCGTTTAAAATGTTAACCAAATATGACAATATTCACAAAAGTATATTTACCTGAATAATTTCCGTTTTCAGATTTCAACGTACACAATTTAATTTATCAAATAGAATTATCCATCTTACCCTGAGTATTATGTTGATTTTAATGTATCCTTTAAAGCAAAATTGCCTCAATAATTGCCTTATTAAGAAATATTCATTGAAAATGCTTAGTTGTTGAAATTTATTCAGGGTATCTCTACGACAAAAGGCAAAATATTATAATTCCCAATATTTTGTTATGAAAGAAAAGAAGAACTAAAAGTTCAATATTTAGTTGGATTGTTTTTATTTTAACAGAATTCAATAACCATGGAATTACGATTGTATTATCTCTATAATTCAATATCTTAGTTACTTTCCTAATTTCTTAAATTATTATGAACTCCTCATGTAATGTGGTAATTCTACAGATGAAACAAGAAGATTTGCAGAATAAAAGTTTTTGCAATATCTTTCTACAATTCCAAATTATTATGCTCCATGCATCAGAAAGAATCAAAATGAATTAAACATATAAGTAAATCGATTTTAATTTGTTTTAGATTCAAAGATAATTGATATTTTTGATAGATGAACAAAATTAATAATTGTACATGCAGAAAGTGAAGACACATTAGGCCAAAATTCAAAAGATCAAAAAATAAGTGGATGATGAAAATTATAAGAATAGATAATTACATATCTCGAGAAAATGCCTATGTTGTGCAGCATTCAGTGAAAATTATTAAATCAGATTCCAAGATTAGATCAATTGTGAATTCAGATAAGTAATATAGTTCTAAAAGGATTACAACTTTTAAAGATTTATTCCGCAACAGGAAGTGCAATCCTGCTTGCCTTAAATGCCCATTATCTCGCCTACTCTACGAAATATATACTTGGATTCTGATGAAATGGAGATTAGATTAGAACCTCAATTTTGTGGAAATCCATGGAAATTACAAAGGAAAACTTATAGGGATGGTGTAGAAATAAAAGTTTATTATTAAAATTAACAATTAGAATGAGTAGGAAGATTTACAATTAGAAGATATGATGCTAACGAAAATGGATTCTGAAAAGAAATCATAAACTAAAAATAGACGAAAAGGATTTATGAGGTTAAAGGATATTCAAAATTGTAATCATAAATAAGTTCACATTGAATAATAAGAAATGGAAATAGAAGAAAATCAAACTGAATCATAATCATAGGGCAAATAAGGTTCAGTCAAATTCAATCCTCTTTTTTAAGTAATTATTTCTTACATATAGGCTAAATTTAAATTGATTGTCCTAACCAAATTGAATAATTCTGTATCCACAAACAATTGAAACACAAAAGTAAAAAAATTATTATGCTTGTCTTTTAGTAGCTTTTTGTAATAAAAGCATAGTTTTTTTAACTTAAAATTTGCTTTAATTTTTTTTTTTGATAATTTAAATTATTGATGTTTACAAATACTCTCGGAGCATAAAATGGATTGCCATAACAATAATAATAAGGTTTGGCAGGACAGAGTGCTTTAGTTTTCGGTAATTCTGGTGTTTCCAACAATATTTTTGGGCAAACACAACAAATGACTACACCAATAGGATAAGCCTAAAATTAAGGAGTTTTTGGATAATAACCAAATTAACTCAATTAACCTCTGTTATATGGAGGATAACCATAATAACCATCAAATTTATTATAATAACCTCAAGGATAGTAAATGGGCACTTTAGGCTAATAGACCGCATAATTGGGTTAAGTATAATAAACAGGATTTTTAGGATAGTAATCAACATTACAAGGAGGATAGATGGGATAAATGTAATAGCAACAGTAACTTTAGTCATAATAGCCATAATAACAATAATAATAATAATAACAATAGAATAAACATTACACCATTTAACAAATTAAAAATGAGACTTAAAAACATATTGATAACCTTACAAAAACCATCATTAATAAAGAGAAAATTGAGAAAAATTAAAAAAATTTATAGTTAATTGAAAAAAATTCTCTTAGGAATATTTAGTAATAATAGCAATAATAACCTCAGGTAAATCCATCAATTGGATATGGAATACCACAATAATAAATATAAAGACCAATCCAAAAGGTTGATCCTCGAAATCATACAGCTAAAGTTGAAAAATATTATGGTGAATGGAATAAGGCAATCTCAAGGATTGCCCAAAAATAAGGAGAAACTATCAATCAATTGAACGAGTTAAATATTCTTCTATCCCAATAAGACACATTTTACGGTACAGTAATATTCTCATTAAATTAGATATAGATGAAGAGTCATTGATAGATTCAATAAAATAATTGGGAAAAGAACTTAATTCTTTGGAACACAAGATTGTAGATGTTGTAAAATTGTAGGAGAAAATATTAGGCCTAGAAAAGGAGGAATCTGAATGGGATTAAATTGTTAGTAATTTAAGTGAATGTCTCACTCTTTTAGAAATATAAACTGTAATATAGTGTTCATTAAATTATCTAGAAAGAAGTTGAAGATCAATTACACCAAGCAGAAACTCATCCAAAAGTCTTAAACAAATGAATTGAATTGTACTCATAAATATTTCAAATAATCGATTAAATTAATTATTATTTATGAATACAATTGTTCTTAAATTATTTCGCTTGGCAAAGATGGGATAGAAGGAAGAATTCTTATCTTTAGTGCAAAATAAAGGGATTATGAATAAATTATAATATTTAAATGGAAAGGAATTATCTATGCTAATATATGGCTATTAAAAATTGAATTTGATGAGTCAAGAAACTCAGCAAGAATTTGAATAGTTATACTTAGATAGCATTAAAAAGCTTAATGTTCATGATCATGTGATGTGTGGATGGTCTCTAAAGAATACTTAGAACAAAGCAGTATAGAACGCATTAATTTAATCATTCCATTAAAATTGGGAAAAGATTAAGCATATGCAATAATCAAAGGCCAACATAGGTTTAATTGCTTATTTATCTGCGAATGAAAAAAACCCAGAAGATCCCATATGGAAATAAATAGAAGATGTTTTTTATGAAACAATGGAATTTTAGGATTAAAAAAACTTCATGATTATCCTCTATGCATTCTCTAAAGTATAACCAAAAAGTGATTCTATTTGGATTTCACTTGAGAAATATATTTGGGGTCAAGGATTTGACTAGTTCTCTAGAAGAAACTAAGTTCTTATGGTTTATTCATTTGCTAAAGTTGGAAAGGGTTCGATGTAATTTTGGGAAGTGGCAACAAAATAAATCCAAAACCTTAAATTTAAATATTCAGACGATATTTCATTTTGTATTTGGGCCTTCGCTAAAATGAACATTAATAATTAATAGTTTTGGGAGAAGATGATCAATAAGTAGCTTTAGATTTGGGATAAAGTAACTTTAGCAGATATTGAAAATACAACATGGGCCTTAGAAAAGGTTTAATAAACTAATTCAGATATTTGGAATTAAATTTTATAAAAATAAATTTCAGAACATCAATCTATTTCTTTGAAGTATAATGAATTTGATGAAGTTCTAACAATTGGTAAGAGATTACACAATTTGAAAATGACTGAAAGTCCATTATTTTTATCTCTATAAAATAAAATTACATAGATGTTGGCTGACAATAAAGTCAACTTTAGTTCTTTGCATAGACTCCATTTTTTGGCAGTTTTTATTGAAAAAGATAATACCATATATAATGAATAATTAATCTAATAATTGATTAATAGTCTAAGTCAAAATTAGTCTTATAATTCCAATTTAAATTTGTTAAATAGTTTAACTTTGCTTTTGCAGGATTAAACCTTAGCTAAATTTAATTTAAATAATAAATTCAAAGATGTCATCAATTAGTGTTTTACCAATATGTAATTCCTTGACATTAAATCGGCTATTGATTAAGAAAAATATTTTTGGATTGGATCCTATTTGCTTTAATATTAAGAAAATGAGATTTTGTCATTATTGACATCTGAGTAAATATATGAAAAAGTAGAGAATAATATTTCTCATTTATGCAGTTTGATTAAGATTTTATCTAAACATAAGAATGCTGCACCCTTTTTTAATCGATTAAGAAAGTATGAAAATCCAAAACCTGACGTTTTTATAAGTTTATTTTATAATATGATCCATAAATATGGATACTTGATACCTTAAGAAAAGTATAAGAAACTGAGAAACATGTTGAAATCAATTAGTCAAACAAAAGATAAAATGGAAATTTAGAACAAATTTATAGATTTTATTTTAATTTAGAGTAATAATATCATCGAAGAAATCAATGCTTTATTATAAATATAGATACAAGATTATTTAAAATAATATCATAATGACATTGAAGTAAATATTCAATCAGATTATAAATTAGGTCGATTTGTAGAAAATATTATAAGAACAAGTGAGTAAACAACGATTAGAATTCTAATAGTAGATTGATTTAAAAAATCATTAATTTATAGACATAGTAAATTTCGACATCCAAGGTTAAATCGAGGAAGATACATAATAATGATAGATTATTCTTTATATATGTTTTTAATCATTAAATAATTGAGTTAAATAATTTAGTATATTTGAGAATAGTGTAAATTACTGTTCGTAACAAAAGTATTTATTAAATACTTAATTTCTATATAATTACAAGATTTGATTTTATTTTTTTTAATTCTTTAATGAATCTAACTGACTTAAGGTATTAAACTTTTTTTAAAGTATCATATTTGAATTTAAATAAAATGCAACATTAAATATATCCTAGATGCGAAAGAATTTTTTATTATATATGTAATTTACTCAGATTTAAAAATAGAATAATTCTATTTTATATAAAAAATTCATAAATGAAATTTATCTATTGGAAAACTAATTAATTAAATTTAACCTTTTGATAATTTCAACTCTATCCAATTTGTTTAACAATTTAATAACTTTGAATAATAATATGAATGAAAAATATATGATATAAACTCAACTCAAATCAAATCCTGATCCAGATTCCTTTAATGATTTCAATAGTTTTTCTCTAACCATTTCTTTTGATTTATATTCAGGCAAATCAATTCGATTAAAACTAAAAAATTAACAAAATTATGATACCATGCGTGGGCTTTAATAAAATGTTCCGAATTGAAGTCTTTGGATATTGAAAACTTTTTTGGTCCATTTGGTCCTCTTAAATTTTTAAATCCTCCGAATGGAACTAAAGGACTTCCAGTTGAGAACATTAAGAAATCAGATTTCTCAGAATCGCTTAAAGTCTTTAATACTTCCCAAAACCACAAAACAGTCTAATTGTTTTTTTCATAATTCACATATTCTGTATTCGCTTGAAGGTCATCAACTAAATTATATTTTATAAATTCTTACCGTCAACTGATGGCACTCCAATAATTAATTTTTGCAAATCTCTCCAATCCATATAAGAAAAATATTCTTTAGGTAAAATATCAAAGAATCCTTCTCTTAACACTAGAATCTACCCTTTAATCTCTTCAATCATCAGTTTTTTACTTATAACTTCACAGATAAGTCTTTTATGTTTCACAGTAACATTAGATTATAATTATAAGAATACATCTTATAATTTAATTTATTTAAGTGCTTCATCACTTAGTTATTTTCTTTTATTCTTTCTTATTAATCTTTTCTTTTCTCTATTTTCCATATCTTCAGCTGTTATATCTTCCGATTATTTCTTTTATTTTGGTTCTTCTTTTTCTTGCTGCTTTTATTTAAAATATTGCATCAGATCTTATTTAAAAGGAACTCCTTAGTGCTATTTCTCTTATTATAATTGTTCTTCTTATTATTATTACTATTACTACTATTATTACTATTATTATTACTATTATTACTATTATTATTACTATTATTGTTATTATTAATCTTATTATTTCTGTTATTCAGTTGGTTAATCTTATTTAGTTTCGATTGGATTCTTTTCTAAATATTCTTATAGAAGATCAGCAAAGATGTATTTTTTGTTTTATTCAATTAATTATGCATATTCTTCAGGAATCCAAAACTCAAATAAATCCTTATATTAAACTTGTGTCTCATCATTCATAAATTTAATAAATGTGTCATAATATCCTTCATTGTAATGTTCTAAATCATCAAAACTTGGTTTTTTTTGAAGTATCATCTTAAATATAGTTGGAATGAAATAAACAGGTAGTAATAATCCATCATAAATACTTTTTGCTACTATTCTACCCAAAAGTCTATAATGACTCATATCTTCAGCAGACTTTTTATTAGAATTTATTTTATAAAACCTTTTTGTGGTTAGTTCAAACTTATCTGTTTATAATATATCTTTAACAAGATTGGTCATCCATTCCTTCCTGATTCCTCCTTCATCTTATCCTCTTTCCCCTTGATATCTAATTTTAATTTCACATTTTCTAAATTTATTTTTTTCAACTTACAATACCTTTTCTAATGATTATTACAATCTTGTTTCTCTTACAACATTAAATTCAATGGTTTCACCTTATCTTCCTCTTGATCTTGAATTGGGTTTGTCATTAATTTTTAAAGTTTCCAAATCCATTTCAAAGAAATGCTTCTTATTCTCAAAAGAAACAATTTAGCTCATCTTAAAAAATACAAAGCCCAATGGATCTGCTTCCTTAAATAATTTTATAGGATTCAATGAATGACTCTATTTTAGATCATAAGTTATTTGTAATAACCTCTGATTAATCAAATAATTGATAATCCTCTTGCCATTAATGCATAAATAAGTGAATAGTTCGTCAATTTTCATCTACATTTCATTCTCGTTTCTTACTGATGAAAAAGATCGCTTTAAATGCATTGTTTATGTTTATAATAAACCAAATTAAAGTGAATTAGTTGCTGAACCACTTAAATTTCTCTCAAAAAAGTTTGTTTCTGCATTAGTTTTCTCGGAATGCTCTTAGGAATTTAACTCTTCATGAACATTCTGATATAGCCTTAAGAAACATTCCAAAAGAGGATAGAGCTTCTTTTATAGTAATTCTAATGATCTCGACCCTTTGTAATTAAAAATCAATAGTAATGTTTCCACAACATTCAGCCATAAATGATGGGTTTATCTAGTTTATAGAACATTAATAAATCTAGCTCTGATGTCCTTTTTTGCTTAGGTGTCAAAATCGCTTGAAGAGTCTACGCTTTTGCCCTGCTGAGTTAATTTATACTTCTTTTTATCCATTTAAATTTATTATCTAGTTTGTGTAGAACTTGGTTTATTAACTTATTTATTTTATTAATCAGTCAAAGTTAGATTGAGATTAAGGAATCCTGTTATTGCAACAAAGCACCTTTGGATGATACTTGGATCTGGAATTTTCTAGTTCAACTCTTTGATAATATCATTTTCTTAAGTATTTAAAAATTATGCTTATTCAGGATCATAATCCTAAATTTTTTCTCTTTGTTTTGTAATTTCTCTTAATTATTTTCTTTTTTTGTCTAATTCAAAGTTGAAAATTTTGGATTGTTAAATGATATATTTGGTTAATTCATTTATGGCATGTTCAATTTTTAATTTATCATTTGCATAAGAGTTTAGAATATTAATGATTTCATTGGAATTTCCTTCTCTCAAGAGTGGATTATTTAAATTTTTGCATAGAGAGGAAATGATATCAATCTCAACATGAGAAATTTTGGCACTAACTTTTCTTTCTCTTTTTGGGATTTATTAATTTAATTCATTTTGGTCTATTTCCTCATTTTTGGATTATTATTATTATTATTATTATTATTATTATTATTATTATTATTATTATTATTATTATTATTATTATTATTATTATTATTATTATTATTATTATTATTATTATTATTATTATTATTATTATTATTATTATTATTATTATTATTATTATTATTATTATTATTATTATTATTATTATTATTATTATTATTATTATTATTATTATTATTATTATTATTATTATTATTATTATTATTATTATTATTATTATTATTATTATTATTATTATTATTATTATTATTATTATTATTATTATTATTATTATTATTATTATTATTATTATTATTATTATTATTATTATTATTATTATTATTATTATTATTATTATTATTATTATTATTATTATTATTATTATTATTATTATTATTATTATTATTATTATTATTATTATTATTATTATTATTATTATTATTATTATTATTATTATTATTATTATTATTATTATTATTATTATTATTATTATTATTATTATTATTATTATTATTATTATTATTATTATTATTATTATTATTATTATTATTATTATTATTATTATTATTATTATTATTATTATTATTATTATTATTATTATTATTATTATTATTATTATTATTATTATTATTATTATTATTATTATTATTATTATTATTATTATTATTATTATTATTATTATTATTATTATTATTATTATTATTATTATTATTATTGTTATTATTATTATTATTATTATTGTTATTATTATTATTATTATTATTGTTATTGCTGTTTTTCATCAGCTATCTTTAATTAGTTCATTTATTATCCCTATTATGGAGGTTATCGAAGTAATTAAAACTGTTGTAATTACTAATGCTGTTGTAAGATTGACATCGAAGATATAGGAAATGGAGGGATAATTTATCTTGGTTAAGGAGCCTAAGGGGGTTACATTTAAATGATTTATGCATTTGATGCTTATCTGATTTGTGATTACTACTCAATTTACCTAAATTAAAGTGATTTAAATGTAAAGGATGTCTAGTCCCAAGTATCTTAAGATTCTTGATTTTTATCCCCATATTACTTGAAGATTAAATCATGGAATTATGTATCCTCATTTCTGTTTAGTTAGGAGAATAAATCAAAAATTTTGCTTTCATCTATTCCACCATTATAAATAGCTGCTTATCTCCTCATAATTTTATAAAGATTCTCATCATCAGCCTTTTTCCCTTTTTCCTTTTCTTCTGTTGTGATCATTAGAGATCCTCGTATAATCTAAATTAAGTAAGACAGATGCAAGTTGGTTTGATTAGCTAATAGAGGAGTCAACAGGATATCTAGAGATAATAAATAATTTAAATACTTTTCTCGATTGGTATGTGGGATTCAGCATTATGAAATAGTGTCATAAATGAAATATTTTTCTCGCAATATATATTAATTTGGTTAATCAAAAAGACCAATGGATTTTCAAGATCATCATCCTAAGATTATTCATCTATGTTTTCCTCTTCTATTATAAATTGTTCTTTAATTTATTATCCTTTAGCTAAATTAGCCTTTTCTCTCTTATTAAGAATTGGACTGATTGATAATTATTCAGAAAGTAGATCCCTTAAGTTATTGGATGGAATTTTCTAACTCACTAAATACAAAATTTTAAGTGTAAGCTCTAAGTTGTTCTTCTATTCTTAATATAAAATGAGTAATTGGATAAGTAGTTTGAATCCCAATCGAGAACACTTACTAATCTAACGTAAGAGATTAAAAGGAAATTATATAAAACTATTTTAATCCATCAGTAGAGACATCAACATCTCTAATAATATATTGTCAGTAATTTGAAGCTGCTACTCATTTGGGAGAATCAAAACTCTCTTTGGGATATCTATTAATTTTCCTTTTAAGTTGATGTTTTCTTCAGGATATAGTATACCTTATAATTTGGCTTTTAGCTATCCTTAATCTTGTAAATCATTCGGCATTCCATTCAAAACTACTCTACTTTGTAAAACATTGCAAGAGATTTAGGTTAAAATTCTGTATTATTATAAAGATGACTCATTGACATTGACTGATAAGGAGTTTGCTTAGTAATCTTGCTAAAGTTGATTTGGTGCTTGACCAAATTTGGAATAAAAGCATGGAATTCCAGAATGGATTTGCAAATAACTTAATGATCCATTTAAATAATAGGATAAATATTGTTGTAATTCTTCAGATTATTTAATATGATAGATTGTTTATGAGAGAAGCAATCTAGTTATAGCGTGAATATACTCAACAGTATGCTTTAATTGAGTTTCATAAGCTTTAGAGATTAATTATTTTTTATTCTCAAAATATTCATTGGAACTGAAATAAAGACCAACAACAGAAGTGATCCAAGTTTTGTAATCACGTTATTAATAGACTATATTTTGGGTTGTAATTTAAAAATTAGGTAATGGGAAATTGTAGAATTTTTGATCTAGACTACAAAAGAGGATGTTCAAGTCTTTTTATGGAAAGATATTCTGTTGATTTTCTTTGTGATGTTTCTCTTCCTCTCTATTTACACTGCATTTGGTCATAAAATCACTATCGTAGGAATAATAGTCACCCCAAGAGTTAATATTTGAGTAATTAGCTTTATATTTGATTTGAGCGTTCTCTATTTATAAAATATCCTAATCTGAATCAGAATCACTCAAGTCTTCATCTTACTGTTTCTGATTATTTTGTCTCTGATTATTGAAATTCTTTCTAGATTGATATAAAGGCCAAACAATTTCTTATTGATGTTCATCCTTCAGTGTTTGTTAGACTAAAGGATGAGATACAAAATGCTAAGCTGAACCTGGAAGACCTTTAAAACTAGGGTATAATTGATAAGAAATCAATTAATTCCTTAGACAATGGATATAATGAAATTAGAAGGAATTTTCAGCAATATTTTGTTGTAATCTAAATATGTCTCCATATCTTCCTTATTTGATATGTTCAAAATAGACCTGAGATTATAAGAATGGTTCCAATACTTTGGCAATAGTCTATTGATATAATTTGACAAATTGTTTATTTTCACATTCTCTAACACTATTTAATGTACTGATAATTTTAGGGACAATATTCAATTGTGATCGTTAATCAGTCAAAATTAATAAACAATTTTGAAGGGTTAATGTTTATGTGAAAAGTACGAGCAATTACAAAATATGATAATATTTCTTTAAAATATTATTGTGATCAATTTTCAATTCATTCAATAATAATTAGAGTACCTCTTAGCCCAAAGTTACGCCATAGCCAACCGAGAGCAGATTGATATCACTTAAGTAATTATTCATAAAACTGGACAGTTTATCAATTCCTACCCAGGTCATATATTTAATTATGAATTCTAGGAAGGTAACTTATCTGTCTTCATTATTAATTTGAACAGGCAATTATACTTTCAATTGTCGTAAATACAATATCAATTAAGGAATCTTGATTATGAGCATCTCAATTATTCTCAATAATTGATCCCATCCATACAAGAAAGATCTGTTTTCCTCTTTGTATTTTGTTAATTTGATATTGAATAATTGTTCAACAAAGTTCTCTTCAAAGAATCTGTCAACTATTGTTTAGGCTATAATGTTTATCAAATTTATTATATTGGAATTTAATTACGGTTCTATCACATGATCTATTTCATATCTGATTACTATATCAGTTTATGTCTGTTGCAGAAGTTCTTTCTCCTTTTCCTTTAATAGTTTTTCTTATTCCTTTGTTAATTTCCCAGTTATTTACAAAGAGGATTGTTTAGCTGCATGAATTCTTGATAACTCGCAAAACTTATCAGTAATTGAAAGACCTTGTTACTCGATAATGGTGCTATAAACTATTGGATTATTAACCAAAACAGGATAGTACTATAGCAAATATTGTAATGGGCATTCAATATATTTTTGGGGGATCTGAACTTAGTTTAATTCATCTAGGCCCTTAATTTATTAAGCATGCCAATCAATATGTTCATTCAGCATAACTTATTTTAAAATCAGTAATGTTAGATCATTTGCTGTTCTGTTGTCAATGGCAATCAAATACAATAGATTTTCTAAAAATACTGGCTATGATTCTTCTTATTCATTGGTATTTGAAAAGATTTTGTAATGCAATAAAACATCCAACAATGATTAGTTATCTTGTTTTTATTTCTACATAAGAATTTGATATAATTTGTTTTGATTATGCAATCCAAAGTTGTTTAAACATTAAAGCAGCTAAGTGATTACTGATTTATCAGAAATGAATCTTCTCTCGATCAATTATTTTAAGCAAATGCTATTTTGATTATTGTCTCTCTATTCTTTTAAAGAATAATCGTTATTTATAAAAGTATCAAAATCTGTGAGTAGATTTTAAGCATTGTTGGACTCTTCTTAGAGATGCAAGTTAACTGTGCATATTTAAGTTAAGAATTACACGTATATTTCAATCTAATTCCAATATCTCTCTATTAATTGATCATGTTTGTTTTATAAATTCATCACAAATTTTGTTAAGTATTTCTATGCTTCTTATAGTTCTTTGCAAAATAATCTCAGAGTGCTATATTTAATCTCATAAAAAACATTCAGATCGTTTGTTATTTATTAGGCCTTTTTAAAAATTTCAACATAGCTCAATTCCTTAACATTTATTTATTTTAATTGTTCATATTCATTTTGACTGTAGATTATAAATTGATCATTTATTTCCTAAAGCAAAACAAATCCAAATTTAATCATTTCCTAAAATGATAATACAAATTTTAAATCTTTTTAAGGTTCCAAATCAATTAGAGCCACGTTTTAATATATTTTCTCATGCTCCTATTAAGATATTTATTATAAGAGTGCTAACCATTATAAAGCATTGTAAAACAAGTTCATTTTTTAATTTAAATCTTAAGTCTATTACACCTATCTCATAGCTTATAGTGATACAAAGATATAATCCAATATTTTTTGAATGTGCTATTATTTTTTTGCAATTGTGAATAAATATTCTAATTGAGTATTATTCGGTCTTTAATTAGTCAGTTATTAATCTAAAAGTGAATTGATTGTTTCATCTAATTTCTATTAGAAATTATTTATCAACTAAGCAATTCTATCCTATATTGACAATTATGGATCATATAAGGGGAAATTTTCATTTAATATCTTCAAAAAGGTTTCACTCTCAATCACAGTCATATTCTTTTAGTTTTATTCTTATTCAGGTTAATTCTTGACTTCATTTTAGATTTATTAATTGACTACTTAAGTATCTGGATTTTCATTTTTCAATTCTGATTCAAATAGTAGATCATCTAAATCGTCCTCATCGTCAGATATCCTTCCATTAAATATCATGTCTACAATCATTGATGGCTCTGGAATTTCCACTCTTTAAATGGCTTTCTTAGCTAATTTCTAATTAATTCCCATTTCACATATTTTATCCAAAATCAATTTGATTTCTGGTCTATCAAATATTGACTTCTTCTATTCCTTTACTTCATTACCCTATAATAGTTGAATTAGTTCTTTTTAAGCAAGGACTTGATCCTTCTATTCTTAGCCACCTACTTTACGGAAGTCTTAGATCTAAGTGTCTTTCATTAGGTAAAACCTTTGGATAAGTTGTTCAAATAAATTCTTTAATGGGCCTTCACAATTGCTCTAAAGTAGTAAGTCAATCATCTATCTTAGCAAATGAGTTTAAGACAGTATTAATTCATTGGATACTTACTCTAACTATTATGGATCAATGATGCAATGATCAGACAATTAAATTTTATCCAAAAGCATTTTTCTGAATATTGATTGCTTGATGATATTATCTATGTGTAAATTAAGAGCTTCAATAAAACTAGGTAGAATCTTCTTAACAATCTCTTATTCTTTGTTGTTATTACAAGGTAATTTTTAGATACCATCTAAATACTTCATCATATCAATTATATCTAAATAGAAAGACTTATTTTGATAGCAAATGAAAGTAAATGATATGGGTTGATTTTGTTGTTCCAAATTTTGAAATAGATTCAAAAAGAACTTGAATGATTTAAGGATATCCTGCATATAAGTAACATGTGATATTAGTTTTAAGCCTTGAGATTATTTAATTTATTGATATTTTTCATTGAAATTAACAAAGAATAACTGGGTTATTTCTCCATACTTTTTAATTAGAAATTCTTTTGATTCTGCAGTTGCCTATTACTATAATTTATTTATTAAATCCAAACATGACTCTTGAAGTGGTATTAAGTTATCTTTGCTAATTCTCCTTCTTATTTGAGTATCTTCATCATAACTACTCTAAAATTTCTAAATCTGAGATTTTGCTGCCATGAACATCATGATAGATTCATGAAACCCAGCATGTTGTGATGACAAGAAATATATTTGTAATAATTGAGGGATTAGCAAATTGATATCCTAATACTATATTCCTCCTTGACTTACACAAATCTTGATCAAATAATGAATAAGATGGAAGCGACTCAAAATATAAAAGCCTCTATAAGTTTAAGGTGATATATGCTTGATGATCTTTCTAAAGAAGTACTTATAAGTCATGTGAACTGATAAGGCATCGTAATCAACTAGTTTTCCTATGTCTATGATTTTTTGATCTCCAATAATCATATAATTCTATGATATCAGATCCAATTCTTTCCATAAGGAAGTAAATGGATTCAATTTATTTTTTTTGCACAAGATTCCAACATAATGTTCCACATACTTGTCCTTGTTCTTACTTCCAATGAGAATTGGACTCATTATAATCTTTTCCAAGGCTTCAACAAACCTTTGGTTCTTTAGCAATGAATTGAATAAGTGATCTTTTTGTCTTTAAGCCTCTTCCAGTTATAATTCTTCATATCCTTAAAATTATCGATACGAGGATGATTTCTTCTCTGGTTGTAGTTGCATAAATAATTACAGCAGAGCTTGGAGACTCTTAGAATATCCATAAAATGATGATAACTTTTCTTGATTGCTTACAATATCTTCAATTTTATCTTTGCTCAAATCAACCAATTGGGATATTGATACAAAGGTATTTTCGATCACTTTTTCAATTTGCTTTTTGGCCAATAGACTTTGGCTATATAGCATAATGATCTTTTTAGCAAAGTCCTCACTCACTGTTGGGTCATGTAGAAGTTCTATTGACGGCAAATAACATTTATCAAATATCTATTTAATTAGATTATCTTGTTTTTATTGATCTTTTTCATTATTTGATGATAATGCCAATGAAATAGCTTATTCGTTTGTGCTGATAGCAATCAACAAATTAATTATGGTTACAATCAAATGAGATCCTCGCGAACATATCTTCAACAGCTCCATTATTCTTTATACTAAGCATTATAAACTGTTATTTTCATAGAATTCTCTGACTCTGCCTGGGTTCTCTCCCATATTCATAGCTAACAAAGTTATCAAATATGTGTATAGTTATTCATTTAGTTATGAGTTAATATGCAAAGTATCTTCCAATATTTTATTCGACCAAATATCTGATAACAATTTGTGATACCTTTCAGGAACAGGCATCATGAATTCGGATTGAGCATTTTAGATTTAAACTTAATCAAATTCTTATTTATAATAAGCAATTAGTAGATTAAGTAATTGAAAGCCTCGAATTTGAAGTTGGAGTTATTTTTTTTTACAGCAATTCTTTAGGATTTCTAATAGGCCTTGGATGATTTAAGTTTCTAATTAATAGTCTAATTATTAATTTTGATTGTTTCCAGGAAGTTCAATTATCAAGTTCACAGAATAAGTCAATAAGGGATTCAAAATATGATAGGGTAATTTAGTTGATCCATCTTCCAAAAATGATTTCTTGATGATTTGAATTATCATGCAATTCCATTGTTGATAATTTGGTTGTTTCTTGAAGAGTTAAGTAAATTACTAATCTAACAATTATTAAAAGAATATCTATTAAAATTTAGAACTTAAAGACAATTTAATTTCATAGAAACTCCCCTCTGCAATTTATAGTTCTTGTTTCCATTCCATCAAGGAGTCTTGAATTCCTTGAAGCTCAAATAGCCATAACTTTTCTAAAAATGTATTATGTTCAAACAGCTATATTTATTTTGATTTTATAAATTGAAGACTTTACACCATAATATCATTTAGTGATTCTTCTTTATTGATAGTTATCATTCTAATTAATAAAAATAGATAATCTTTTTAATCTATTAATCTATTTGTGATGTCAAACATTAATTTGTTGTTGATTAATTGAAGTTCTTGGAAGGCACATCTGAAATGAAAGATATAATTGCTGATAAACATCTTCTAGATTAATAGTTCATTGCCAGAATAATGACTTAACAATCGAATGAAGACTTAATCAAAAAGTATACTATCTTTTTAAAGGTTATTCTCTTTAACTATTTAAAGGGATTGCTCATAAGGGTTTTTGGTGGAATCAAATTAAACTTCACGGGTAGTAGGTGGACTTTTTAATATTTTTCTAAGATTATTCATTTCTAAATATCTTGTATAATAGATCATGTCATCAGAAGGGTAGGTGAACTTCAAAATGCAATGATCCATTTAGAGTTAGAACAATTCTGTTTAATCTTAATCGCTTAGATTATAGATGCTCTTTTAGAAGAATGCGTTGATGTACATGAATCTTAATAACACTCTCTCAAAAAATTCAACTAAAGGATTTATGTATACTTATACTTTTAAATTTACATGCTTTAGAGGTATTCATGGATTCTAAGAGGAATTGCATACATTGGACAATTTTGTAAATCTTAGATAAGTCGTAATCAGGGTTGTGAAATATCAAAGTAACCAGATGTTCATAGCTGAATATCATATCGACTTTCTATCAAAGATAAATGAATACCTATTTTAGGATTCCCGCAAGTCCTAATAAAATCACAACACAATAAACACAAATTCCAAATTTAAATAGAATCACATTCTCCAAGTAATTCAATACATGGATTTTAATTTTATTCCTAGAATAAAGCAACTCCTGCTTCCAATATCTTGTCTATGGTTTCACATATAATGCGTATGTATTTAGGATCTTGCAATTATTTGCATTTGGCAAACTCTGAAATCCTTTCTATTAAGGGTTTGTTAGTATTTTCAATCCAACTGTAGTCCTCAGTGTCATTTTGTTTTTGTTTCTTAAATCGCTTCTCCATGCTTTCGAAATAAGCCTAGGGTATTCGCATCTTTAATTAAATTAATAAAATATGTTTTTATATTAGGAAGGTTATTTTTACTCAAAAATTTACACCTTTGTTTAAAGAAAGCATGATAGTCATAACATTCTAACAAGCTTATAATTGCAAAAATTATGTCAAGAAAGAAAAAGACATTAATGTATTTCTTAAAGTAGAATAAATGTTCAATTGTGATTTAATTGAACCTGAAAATGTGTGATTTATTATGAAATCAAATATCTTATTCGATAAGTTCATCATTAGTTCCTTCTTCTTATTATTCTTTTTTGAAACAATTCTCTTATTCTATCGATTGTATAATTTAATTGATGTTTTCTATTGCCTATTCAAATTTTAAGAGGACTAATGGTTAATTTTTATTTTATTTAAGTACAGTACTAATTTCATTCTTGAAATCATTCAAATCTCTAAGCACTAAATATAGTGTGAATATTACTTAGATTAATTTGATTCCCTTCATTGTCGAATTTATGAAGAGGGCTAATCTATGATTGACTATTGTCTATTGAAAATGATATTCTAGATTCTGTGGTAGATTCAGTAGAACCTGTTTTGAGACTCTAGAAGTCCTCTCTCATCTAGGCTTCATCCAAATTCTCATTAAATGCTATTCCTCCAGTTGATATTGTCATTGAACTCTTGAGAAACCAAAGGGATTTTTTTTATAATTCGCAGATAAATGTTGAATTGTTATTGCTTAGAAATTTCTTTAAATAGTAATTGTAACACATGAGATTTGAAATGTCGAAAAGGGGTGTGACTATTTTAGTTATTAATTATTCAATTGTAAATGCCAAAGGCACAACTTTGGTTAAATAAATGAGAGAATCATCCTCTTTTTAAATAAGTAACTCAATCTAAGTCATATCAACTGGAACTACTAAATTAGGGTTCAAGTCGTCAATGTCATTATTCGTCATAAATTTAAGGTTTGCAAACATAGTTCGTGCCAAATATGATTCCTATTTACTCATTGTGTATAATGGAATGCTTGGACCTAAATTTCACCATATTCTTTTTGTTTACCTCCTTTCACTTGCTCTTATAGGTACTCCCATAGAGCTTTACTTACGTAATGAGCTTAATTACGCTTATCAACTTTTAGAATTTACTCTAATGAGTTTTATTGTATAATTATTGGTTTTATATGTTGTATGTTGAACTCTCTCTTAACATTGTTCAATATACTATTTAATTGCACTTGTTCTTCTTAGCATATGCTACAGTTATTGAAATAAACATATACCAAAGGGAATAGTTGTCGATCTTAGAAAAATTTGGATTGCAATTATACAAATCATCCTGAAACTATTCATACCTTAACTTTAATCATATTAGTTACCATTTCAGACATATAGCAAATATTTAAGGTCCAGAAAGATCATTTCCTATGGTAAGAATTTCATCGATTATATTCATTTATTTTTATATTTTTACACTTATATTTTGTTCATTACTATATCCATCTCAGATGAAACATTTCATGATCAAATCATAGAGAAAATTACTAATTTAAATATTTCTTAGATTATTGTATAGATAACTCACATCTCCTGATTCCCTTTGATATCAATTATTAGTATTAATTCATTAGTTATATTTCTTACTGATTCATATTTTATTACTATTAAATTTTATCTTTATAATATCATATTCCATAGAGTAAAAGCGATAATTCTAATCAAATCTAAAAAAGGAACCAATTATTTAGTATTGTTTGTATGATTCTAAAATATTTAGCAGTAATTCTTACTCAAAAGAAACTGACTGATAAACAATATAATTAATTATATCTTGTTTACTTTAATATCAATAATTAGTTAATAACAAATAAACACACTTTTACCTCAAAATCGGAACTGTATTAATCTTATGTATAATTACTTCAATCTATTTTATCTAACTAAAAATAGATGAATTATATATCAGTTCTATATCTATTTAGGTAAACTATTTGATTCCTGAATCAAACTTATAAAATGTTTAATAAATTTAGAAGTTCATGAGTCATTTTAAAGATTCAATTGCTAAAAATATCATCTGAGTACAACTTTAGATCCAATTATCTGTTTTTGACAATCACAACTTTTATTATGTAAAGACTTTATAATACTATTTCTTTAGATTGTAATATCCTGTAGGCATAATATTCTCACTTAGTGATGATATTTTACTTTCTTTTTTCTTTCACCTAATTTTTAAAGTAGTTTGATATTTGTTATTGGCAATTTCAATAAAGTTTTAGTAAATATTGTTTTATCTTAATTTTGAAAAAATAGTCTTTGCCTTTTTTTCTGAAATTAATATATATATAATATAGAATATTTATTTATATTAAATTATGTGATTGTAAAATTGTCTAAGAAAATTCAAGGGTAATTCTACAGACAATTTTTTGAATTTATTTTCTTTTATTCATATTGATTCAAAATGAAGATGTAGCAATTATTCTTATTATTATGATTTTACTCACTTTTATTTTAGGACACCCGAATTTAATATTTAATTCTTTTCAGATTTAAGCCAAGATTTGCATATAGTTTTTGTCATAGGAAAAATACTTGATAAATTGTTCACATTATGGGTGTGAATTTGAGATAACACAATAATTAAAATAATGCTCTCCTATTTAAAGACTCTTTATTTTATTAAATTTTTATGATGTATAATAAGTAAGGCAGAATTGCTCTTTCATTTTTGTTTTCTGGGAATATAAGTAGAATGAAAGATATTTTCCTAAATCAAATGAAATTTGTAAACAACATAATTAAATTTATCTAATAATGAACGACTAAATGGATATAGAATTCGATCTGTTTGAATTTTAAGGTTTGTTGGGATAGGGATCTTTTGGAACCGTGCTTAAAGCTTTTAACAAAAACACAAAATAAACAGTAGCTGTGAAAGTATGTTATTAAAATACCTAACTTATTGTAGGTAATTAAGAAAAAATAAATGCTATAATATGCCTAACTAATGCAGGAAGCACAAATTTAGTAAGAATTATAACATCCCAATATTGTTAAATTTTTTGGAGTTTATGAGACTGAAAATAAAATCCTTATCGAAATGGAACTTATTAGTGGAGGTAAAGATGTTCTACAATATAGGTTCATTAAGTTCAATAACAAAATGTACTGAAGAATAAGCCAAATACATAATGTATTCCATTTTTAATGCATTACAGTATATGCATAATAACAATATTGCTCATAGGGATTTAAAACCTGAAAACATACTTGTTACTCACGATCTCAGCTTTGTTAAGGTGACCGATTTTGGATTAAGCACAGGATACTCATCATTGATGACCAAATAATGTGGAACACTTATATATATGGCCCCGGAATAATTAAATAACAGGATATACAATAAGGCTGTGGACATATGGGCTGCTGGAGTTATTATGTATTAACTACTAGTGGGGGAACATCCATATTATAAAAAGGGATGCGACATTCCTTAATCTCAATTGACTATGCATGAGAATTGCAAGAAGATTTTGAATGAGTATTGAAAAATTAATTAATCTAGAGTAAGTAATTCAGTCTATTTCGAAGATTGACTGAAATCAATCCAACAAAACGATATAGTGCTACTTAGGCTATGTTACATCCTTGGTTTAATAATGGAGGTGAGGAGCCTTTGACAATGGAGGAGCAATTTTAACAGTGGAAACAATCTCAAAAGTTCTAAAATATCATTTCGCTTTTAATGTTGTTAAGCAAGATGGGCTATAAGAAAGTGCTGCATAATAGAGAACTGTATCATTAAGTTTCAAAGAATTTAAATAATAAAAAGAAGCAAGATGTTATGAACAATTATGAATAATTATTCGCTGACTATTAAAAATCTTTGAATGATGCTCAGAAAACTAAAATTTCTACTGTTGTTCCTACTCCGAGTTTAGATCAACATAATGATAATAATGAACAGATTATTTTTCAGTCTTCTTTGATGAAGCCTTTTAGGTAATTATCTTCGTTTAATAAACATGACGCAATAAGGATTATCAATACAAATTCATAAATTTAGACACCTTCAAATGAAGAAGATAATGAATTAGATCAATAAATCAAATTTTCAAATTAATCATACTTAATAAAGGAAAGATTAGAAAAATAGAACATCCGTCCTTAAGTAATGATTTAATCTCAACCTACTAAATTAACATCTAATCTATCTGAAATTGATAGCAATATACAAGATATTGATACCCAATAATAACACCTAGAGAAACAATGCTAGTAATCAACAGCCACCAATACTAGTGTAAGTCCTACTAAATCTCCTCTTAGAAGAAAACGAGTAAAAAGGACTTAAATTAAATAATATCTTAACGAAGAGATAGTTTAATCTAATGTATAATAAATATAGCTTATCACTCAAAAACCAAAGCAATAGCATTAATAATAATAATAGTAATAATAACAATAACAATATTAGTAATAATAATAATAATAATAACTATAATAATAACTATAATAATAATAATAATAATCTACTACTAATGTAATTAGATAACAGTCTCCTTCACCAAAAAATAAATTTAAGATACAATTAAAACCCTTAAATCATTAGTAATAACCTGTAAGTTAAACTTCTTAATCAAATGGAAATCAGTCATTACGGCTAAAAGTTTAAAAGCTATCTGTTGATAAAGAATTCTTTGCTCCTCCAGTTTTAGATTTAAGCAATTTAGCACTTGAATGTTTAAGTCCAAAGTATCGCAAGACTCGTACAAATAGTTTGCATTATTAAAAGCGAGTCTATGCTAATGAATTTTAACCATCGAGGGTGTTGGGAAATGCTTACAAAAAGAATTACGATTCCTTTTATATGAAATGAGTTCTTTTATAACTATAATTTTTTATATAATTTCTAGTTTTCTTAAAATAGAGTATTTGAATAATAATTCTGAATATAAATTCATAAACATAAACAATAAAATTTCATATTCAAAATTTTGGACCGGCATTGATAACTTCTTATGTAGCCTTATCTTCATATTTTTTGAAGTTAATCTAAAACTTCTCAGCTAATTCAAGAACTTATTTATCAAATTCTTCAGGATTTCTAAAATAAATTAATATCTTACTTCCATGTATTTCTTGGGTTCAAGATTTATGTTGGAATGTTTTTAGCTTATTTGGGGATGGCAAAATTGAAAATTGGGAAGTTTTCAAACTCTACATCCTTTAATTCACCTCCATGGATCAAGTCAATGATTCCTCTGGTATATTTCAATGACATTCTTTATCCGACTCCATATTTACCACCTGACCATCCAGTGTTGATTAACCAAACTTTGGTATCATATTTCTTGATCTTTTCAGCCAACATATTAGCATAGAGAGTTGGATGAAGGGCTAAGAATGCTTCTCCAAAGCAAGCTGAAAATGTAGCTTATGGCTCCTTGACACCGACTTCAGTTCCTGCAACTTTAGCAGTGTATCCAGAAATGAAATGATACATGGCTTATTCTGGTGTCAACATAGAGACTGGAGGTAAAACACCATAAGCATCACATGTCAAGAAGAAAATATTCTTGGGATGACTTCCTTAAGCTGGGAATTTAGCTCCTGGAATATAATCCAATGGATAGCTGACTCTTGTATTTTCTGTAATTGAAATATTTGTGAAGTCGACTTCTCTAGTTTCTTCAGAATAATATTCAATGTTCTCTAAGACAGCTCCAAATCTAACTGCATTGTATATTTCAGGTTCTTTCTCCTTTGTGAGATCAACACATTTAGCATAGCAACCTCCTTCGATGTTGAAGATGCCATTGTCAGACCAAGCATGTTCATCATCACCAATAAGTCTTCTTTTGGGATCAGCACTAAGTGTTGTTTTTCCTGTGCCACTCAATCCAAATAATAAGGTGACATCACCATTTTCGCCTTCATTGGCAGAACTGTGTAATGTGAGAATTCCTTATTTTGGGAATAAATAATGTGTGACTCCAAACACTCCCTTCTTCATTTCACCAGCATATTGAGTTCCCAAAATGACCATCTTACGCTCAGTCAAATTAACAGCAACACATCCTTCTGATTTGATTCCTTCAATTGGTTTCTAAATTGTTTATGGACCAGCATTGAAGATGTAAAAGTCAACATCTCCACTGAAATCCTTCCTTAGTTCCTCGTCTGTTGGTCTAATCAACATGTTTTTCATAAACAATGCATGATAAGGTCTGGTGCAAAACACTCTAATTCTTAATCTGTAATTAACATCCCATCCTGCATATCCATCAATTATGAACAACTAAATGATTAAATTCATATGGTTACTTTCTCTTTGTTGTTTAAATATTCAAGAGCGATCTTTTCAACTTCATTGTATGAGTCTTGGCTCAAAGCAATGTTAACATCACCCCACCAAACATCTCTTTCTGTGACTTCATCCTTGATGATTCTCTTATCCTTAGGAACACGACTAAATCATAGAACAAAATTTCATACCCGCATTTCTTGCCTGAGTATGCGACTAAAGCACCAGTGTTGTTTAAGGAATCTGGTCTTACAGTTGGATCCTCACCTTGGGGTTGAGACATTGAGAGCTCATAGATGAAAGGAACACTTGGGTTTCTATAGACAGTTGCATTGCGAAGTCCCCATTTTGATAAAAGTTCTTAGGCTTAGAATGTTTGATTCTCCATAATTAATGAATTTTATTTATGACGATTTCATTTCTATAATTAGAACTTAAATATTACGTATTTATATAGGAATTCTTATTAAATCAAATAATACGTAATCGGATACTCATTTTATACGCTTCTAGAAACATCTCTTTTTAATTACGTTTAATAATTTGATGACGAACCATTATGATAAATAATTTTTGAACAATTAATGTTATTACTCCCATTACAATATTTTACAGTAGGAAAGTCTTCACTTTTAAACCATCTCATTATAATCAAATAGTGCCAATTGAAGACTCTAATTTATCATTGAGTCCTTTATTCAATCCAAAAGAGAGTCTTCGCTGCAATTACTTTGTAGATGGTTTAAATGTCCATGACTCTTAGTAAATATGGGAGAAATATTATAATTTTAAAGTATATTTTAAACATATATTCTCTTGAATTCTGCACCACCACTTTTAGTGTTGACCCAAATAAACCTTATTAGTATATTGGAATAGAGGAATATTTTGTAAAACACTTTATACTTCTGAATAAATTTTATTTATATATTGATATATATAGTCTACATGAAGAAGGATATTTTTGAATAGCTAAGTCCACTTTAAATAGTTAAACTTAAAGCAATTTTCTAATTTTAGAGCATAATTTATAAGAAGTGTTAAATGAAAATTAGATTATAGAGCATAAATAAAATTATAATCAAATGTCATATAATATAAATAATTATTATTACAATATGCAAAAGACTTATGTTATTAAAAGCTCTGTTCCTTCATATTTAGAAAGATATTCTCCGTTTATATGTGCATGACTCCTAAATGTCCATGTACTATGTGTTTATAACTTTGTGAATAAGCTATGAATATAACATTATTTATTGTGAAGATGATTGATCTAGTCGACTTTTAGGGAATTTTTAAACAAAGAGGTATCCAAATTGATGGAAAAAGGTAGTTTAATCCATTTTTAAAAAGAGATTTCTAAAACATATCATGAACTTGTAGATTAAAAATGTTTTCAGAGGCACTGATTAAAGGAGGAAAACTATAAAAAGTTCTTATTTATGTGTTTCTAAACGTCACAAATGTTAATTTATTAAAGAGGATAAGTAATGGAGGAATTACAATTGAGAATTATCAACTGCAAATTTATAATAATAAATACTTTTATTATTCCAATTAGTTAACGTGTTTCGAACATAAAAGAGCTTTGTTATAGAAAATAAATGCTAATTGTTGTTAGTCACGATTATATTGTAATTTAAATTGAATTTCAATAAAGAATAGAAAAATTATAAAATTGGTAAGATTTACTATTTATTCTTGGAATGTCATAGAAAACGGGACACTAAACAATAAATTAAATTATTAATACATGTGAAGTAATGCTTCCTGAATTTGATGCAATTGATGATAAAATATTCTAATAATGGAATGAATATATATTTTTTATACATATTCTAAAACTATTGAAAATTATAATATATAGAGTCATTCTGATTGCTATTTCTATTTTAATCATCAATTATTTTAATGTAAATTTATTATTAAGTTGAACTTAATATGATGAATACCAAAAGCCTTAAATATCAATTTCAGATATATTTTTAATTTGTTAACAAACTAATATAAGTCTTCAATAATATTAAACTTCATTAATTAAAATCTGTTAAAGGAAACCTTTTGAAATATGCTTTCTTATCGATAAAATGAGTAAAAAAAACCCAAAAACTTTCACATATCTAATAATTTAGAGACTTCTACGATATCATGTAAATCAAAGAATTCCTTCAAAGATCTAAGCGATTATAGAAGTAAAATTTGACTAAAAAGTAGATCGCACTCCTGTAGAGAAAACATTAAACCTACATTAAAATTAAGAGAGCGTTACTAAAATTAAACAAATGCTTAATAACTTAGTATAAACCGATAATAAATCTTCAACTTCTTTATTTGGATAAAGTCTTAGAGATAAATAAATATAAGACACTAAATCTACAAGAGGAGATAGTATTTGTAATAATGCAATTTAATTTAAGATTCTAGAAATGCTTCAACCTCTGGTTATGTAAATAAGAATCCATTAAATAAAACAACCAAAACTAACGATTCTTTTTTCAAATAAAATATCCCCACCCCATAATCAACTCGAGAGTCGAATTAAAATAATGGTAATCTATCAAATCTATATTACATGTTTTAAAATAAATAATCTGATCCATAAATTAAGCATAATAATTTAACTTTATCTTAGTTAGCAAAATAATAATAATAATAATAATAGTAGTAATCTTAACAATAAAAATAATAAAGAAATAGCAATAACACAACTCCTTAAAAATCTGGAAATAATGGTAATAATAAAAATATTTCATCAACTGAATATCTCAATCAAATACAATAGCTTAAATTAAAAATTGATAATAGTTTATTACGAAAACCTGCATAGAAAACAGAAAAAATATAAAAATCCAATAATTCCTAATTGATCAAAAGTATCTCATCTTAGATTTTAAACAAATAACCTTAAGATGCTAATTAAGGAGTAAAGAAGGAAGTCATCTAAGAAAGAGTCTTTTAATTATTACTGGAAAAAGAATAGTTATGGAATCAAATGAATACTTCATTAGATAATATTAACTAAATTTAATTAAATTAACTATGTTAGTAGATCCAGTAATCTTTAAATTCCCTTTTAGATCGAAAAAATGTATTCATTTTAATAATTATTAGAGCGAATACTTATCTAAAATAGATATGAATATCATTGATACATTCCTATTAGAATCTTATACAATCCTTATAATAGCACTTGAATACTTAAAGACCTAACAAAATTTTGACTAAAATTTAAGAAATCTCATTGTCTATGTTACTTAAAGTAACTTTTACACTCTATAATCAATGTTTAACTTTATTCCGAATGTAATACTTTACGTAATTTAAGGATACCTTAAAATAAAGAATAGATATGAGATAAATTTAATTAAAGAAACCTTAAAATAAGGCCAAGCAAACCCTGTAAAAAAACAATTTCATAATAAAATCTATTCTAGAATTAATGTAAGTAAATTATCAATAATAGGAATTGACGACACAAGTCACCCAGAGATATATTCTCATTTAGGATTCAACTCAACCAGTTTAGATGTCTATTTTGTTTAGCAAAAGAAAATCCTCCATTAAATAGCAAAAGAAATTATATAAGATGAAAACCATAATAATTTAAACTGTAAAAAACCTTCAAAACTCTATGAAAAAACCAATAAAATATTATTGCCAAAAAAGCCTTTGAAAAACTACACTTTAGTTTTAGATCTTGATGAGACTCTGGTGCATTATTAGGAAGTATTTTTAGATTAAAATTAAGCTTCCTAATGGAGGAGGCTAATTTTTAGTTAGACCTTATGCAGAAGAGTTTTTGGAGAAATTATCTAAATATTATGAGTTGGTAATATTTACCGCCGCTTAATCAGATTACGCTAATTTCATTATTGATATAATTGATAAGTAAAAAGTAGTGACTGCAAGACTTTATAGAGAACATACTTGTTACAAAGATAATATTTACCTTAAAGTAATTGAATAAAATAAAGTTAGGATTTATCAATATTGGGTAGAAGTTTGGAAAGAGTTATTATAGTCGACAATATGCCAGAGAATTTCTAATTATAGCCAGAAAATGGTATTTACATACTGAGTTGGACAGGTGACTAGAATGACAGGGCTCTTAAAGATCTAATGCCTTTATTGGAATGTATTAGTTTATAAAATTTAAGAAATTGCATTAAAAAAATGTAAAGATGTTAGAGATGCATTAAATCAATTTAGGGAGCAAATGATCTAAAAGGTTTAACAGGGTATTAAAAACCCATATCAAAATCTCTCCTTGGAATGAAACTTAATTGTGAAGATATTTTATGTGTTATTTATAGATCAAATTTAACAATAAATTTAATCTCCTCACACATTTCTAATAAAATAAACAAACCTAACAATTGTTCTTGATTAAAAGTATAGTTATTTTTAGGATTACTAATTTCCAATAGCTGGTTTTATTATTTTAGTTTACTAGAAGGTGTAGTTTGCACTTAAATATTTACAATCAAATTCTTAATGTAATATCAAACCATTTTCGTATTTCTTTTATGAAGAATTCTAAAGGTTAAAGTGATCTGGATTAACTATGAAGTGGTACTTTGATATTTCAGGGTTTCAAAATTCTTTAGCTTTATTTTCTCAAACTAAAAAAAAAAAGAATTAAAAAAAATTTAAATCTTTTTTAATGCCTCCCAAAGTTGACCCAAATGAAGTTAGATTGATTAACATCAAAGTATTCGGAGGAGAAGGTGGTCCAGCATCCACTCTTGCTCCAAAATTGGGACCTCTCGGTCTTGTAAATTTAATTGCTTATTAATAAGAATCCAAAATAAGTCGGTGATAAAATTATTGCTGAAAGTGGAAAATGGAAGGGTATCAGAGTCATGGTTAACTTGAGATGCTAAAATAGAAATGCTGATGTTACCGTAATTCCTACCTCAAGTGCATTACTCATTAAAGAAATCGGAGTAATTAAAAAATTAAAAACTTTAGGGTTATGAGAGAGATAGAAAGAAGACTAAGAATGTTAAACACAATGGAAATTTAACACTTGAACAAGTCATTAAGGTTGCTAGAGCTGTTGAAGAAAAGTCATTAGCCAAAACATTCACAGGAACAGTCAAATAAGTGTTAGGAACTGCATAATCTTTGGGAGCCACAGTCGACGGATAACCAGTAAAAGCAATTATTGGAAAAATTAATTCTGGAGAGCTTAAAGTTGAGAAATGATAAATAAAATATATAATACAATAAGTACATTAACTTGATATTTTTACGAACTTCATAAAATATTAGATAGATTCCTTAGGTGAACAAATAATCTATATTTTAAGCCTAGTTATTCAATGAAAATATTCCATTTCGAACTATTAAAGTAGTTGTTTAATGTGAAAGCTTTAATTGAAATAGCTAGGTGATAAATTAAATTTGAATAAAAATCTAGAGGTTCTCCTTAATGTATAAAGATGATAGAAATGCTAAACAAGTTATATAAAGAATAATCATAATAATATTTATATTATAATTAAGAATAATAATTAATAATTTGTCTCTTATTAGTGTATTTGAATATATAATTGAATATAAGGTTAAATTTCATTATTATGTAGATGATGGAAAGGATTGATAATAATTTATCATCAGGCATTAGGATAGTTTAGCTAATTACAAAATTGATCTATAGATTAAGATAACGGTTTTGGGGTTTGTGTTTATTTCCAACTCATATAATTTTCTGTTTGAATATTCAACTTTTAAAGGAAAATGAATATTAAATTAAATAATTTAATATGAATTATATCAAAATGAAATTGTATCATTTCAAATTTTCTTTAGATTTTAAAAAATAATCTTTAATCTGAAACTCAAAAATCCTCTTTAGGTCGTTGATATCAGAATTTAGAAATTGTTGAAGTTTTTGAGTAGGTTAGGGTTATTTCTCTTAATAATGTAATTCTGATTTAGAAAAAAGATTCTGAAAATATTAGAGTTAAGATGAAATCTTAATTCTATTTTTAAATTTATTTGTGATTTCAGAAATCTCCTTAAAATCTTTGATATCTAAACCTTCTATTTAACCCTTTTTAATTAATTAATTAAAGCATTATTTTGATGATAAACTATCTAATTGTTTAATTATATCAGCAGTCGAATTTTAAAAAGTTTAATTAATTGTATTCTGAATAGATTCGTAAGTATACTCTGTATTCTTCATGATAAACTCTTGCTTTGATTATTATTTCCTTATAATTTTCATTTTTCTTGTTCTACATTATAGAATTAAACAATTACTTTTCATCCACCATCAATACAACCACATTTTATTAAATATTGATCTATCTATCTCGCCTTTCTTTTTTATTGATTCTACCTTCATTTTTATAAATTCTGTAAATAGCTTTGATAGTTGATAAATTATGTCCTGTAAGGTGAGCAATCTGTATTATAAATGTTACAATACTTAGATGGCAGAATAATCATTTTCTAAAAACATTTTGATTATTTTTTATCTGTCATCTGAACTAACAGAATTATATTTTTGCCTTTTAGATTGTTTAAGACTTAAGTTTTTCATACTATTTAAAAGAAGTTAAATAATAAGATTTAATGAATATGTTTTAATGAAATTTCTTTTACTCAAATAAACATGGTTCCGAAGCAATTTTTGAAATTGATTTGACTCTCTCGGTTTATCCAAAGAATACTCAATTGATATATTGAAGTAAATGACCATTAAATTTTGAAATATAATCTTAAGAAATTGTGAATAAAATCGCAGAAGCATTGAGGGATGAAATTAATTAATGTATATTTTAAGGAATTTGTTCAATCAAGTCCAAGTTAATAATACAAATTTCTAATATTCATACTGAATTATCCAGAAATCAATGATATTATTGAATAATCTTTAATAAAATTAATATATTTATTTAATTGTTATTCATTAAAATTATGTCTATTGATTAAATTCAGATCGTGTATGCATAATTATTAATTTTGAATCAGAAATTTATATCGAACGTTATTTTTTTATATTATTCCCAATAGATTCAAATTTTGTAAAAATGATGTGATATTTTAATATATATAATTAATATATTTATTAAATAATATTTCAAATGCTTAAAAAACCATAATAGCAAAATCAAGAATACCAAATCAAGCCAAAACCCAGGGAGAAATTCAAGTCTTCAAAATGCAGAGAATTGATTTAAGAAATCTTACAACAAAAATTAAAAACAGGATCATATTAGGATGTAACAACTCAATCCAAAGACATCGCTGAGAACATTAAAAATAGACTCAAATAGCAATACACTGTAACAAGTAGATATAAGTTTATTGTACATGTGCTAATTGGTTAATAAAGAGGTAAATTTTGATGTTAATATATTATTTAGGCTAAGGAGTTAGAGTTGGTTCAAAATGCTTTTGGGACTATGACACTGATATGTGTGTTTCAGAAACCTTCATAAATGATTCATTATTTTGTTTGGTAACAGTCTATGCTGTCTACCTTTATTGAATTGATTATTTATGATATATAGTTGAATATAAAACTAATTAATGTTGTATGCCTCTGGTTAGAGAATTATTAATTTAATAATGTAAAATAAATACAAAAAGGTCTAGGACATCTTCATAGAAATGGATAAAAAATGCCTTTTAGAATAAAATAAATATGAAACCAGATTGGGTTTATGCGAGATTGATGGACATAAGAAACATGCGGTGATTAAAATAATTGGAAACGATAATCAACCTGAAAGTTTGAGATAAATAGAGGCCATTAGAAATATGGCTGCCAAAACCTAAATGCTTAAGGGTAATCCATATATAGTTGAATGTTATTCTCGCTAAAGAACATAAAATACTTTTTATTTTGCTTTCAAAAAATGTAAATAAAACATATTGTAAGCAACTTTGGACTTTTATGAGATTCTGCATTTGTTAGCATCAATGATATAATTACTAAAATTATTCTAATAGAAGGGGGAGTATCATGGTAATTTGAAACCCACCAACATTTTTTAATAAAAGAAGCTTAATTCCACAATTTGTTTCTCCACCACAGATTTTTTCCCTTTTCAATATTCTAATAGGATATAGGAAGAATACATAGATCCAGAATTTGATAAGGAGAGACCCTCTATAGCAAATGATATATATTCTTTAGGGAAGGTTTGCAATTTCGTAATTAAGAACAGAAAGTGTCCTTACTAAAATCTAATCAATCAAATGAGCTGTAGCAAATAGGACAGAATAAAATTAGATCAATTAGAATTATAAGTTGAATAGATGATTGAAAAATATGAGTAAAAAAGTTTAAGAATGGAATTGAATTAGAAAGGCATAACAGAGGAAGTCATCTAAAAAATAATAATGCAATAGGTGGAGAATTAAAAAAAGAAATAATAGGAATAAATTAAATGGTCAGATTTCGAAATGAGTTTAACAGCCGATAAAGACTTTAATCTCAGAGATAGGGCTTAATTTTTGTATTTAATGTCATAAGAGATTCGCAATTTGTAATCTATAGATTAATTCCTATTGGATTGTTTAATTTTATCGTGTCTTTCAGAATCCTATAATAGTTATCAAGAATGTTAAAAAATAACATAAAATAAAAAATTGAAATAATTAGTAGAATCAGACTTAATGTAGATGAATAAATATTTAAATATCATCAATTTGCAATGTGAATTGTATGTTTAGGATTTAATTCTCAAGGAATATGACGTTGGATTTTTGAAATAATATATATCAACTTACTCACAACCCAATAATTTATTCAAAAAGGCTCTTAGTTTAGTGATGGAAGATATAATTAATAAGAATCTAACAAAAGAATTGTAACTAAATGATGAATTAGATAAATCAGATATAAAAGCATTGAACTACATTTTAGTATCAAATTAAATGAAATAAGACGTGTGCTATGATTATAAAGGATTGCAATAATTTATCCAATCTTAATTACAAGTAGTATAATTATGAAATAATTCACTCTACATAACATTCTCATTCTTTTTCACAAGCTGTCTATGTCTATTGTAGTTTTTAATTACATTATGTTGACCTCGATCTTTAAATGTATCTAGATTAAATTTGTGGACTGGTAAAACGTTTTGGAGGCTAAGGTAAATAGGAAATAAAATGTATATTTTTAATTTCTAATACTTAACATTTATTTCTTACTATTAATTATGTAACTAATTTTACTTTTTCTCAATTTTTGTCGCTCTCTTACTTGCTTTTGATTTGTCTTGTCTCTTTTTTACGCTTTCTGAATCAATCATAAAATCAAAATAAATTAAAATGTAAGCATATAGTAAATGTAAAAGAGAGAAACTTAAAGAAAAGATTCGTATTCTACAATATCCTGAGTAATTCAAGCCATAGGTCCATCATAATTACATAGTTTTGGATGAAAAGTATTTGAATTTGGGTGGTATTTGTGTTATACTAAACATCCTCAAGATTATGTATTGGTGTTTGACAATCCTGATCATGAAGACTATGAGTACAAAGAAAATAGCATACAATTTCAAGATGTTTTGAGAGACTTTGATAAAGTAATAGGCTTCATTAAAATAAGTGTTTTGACGTTGATTCATCATTTGAATCTCCAGACGATGAATTATTGAGGATGGCCTTTTTGAATGTATTTAATCGACTTAAACAACCTCCCTCAACATATAAAGAGATAGAAAGAGGCTTTTAATTATCATCATCAAGCAAACAAAAATTATTTATTGTGAATGAGCATGGAACTTAAGTAAGAATCAAACCAGATGAAACTCGTCAAATGGGATAAGGAGGTTTCTTGAAGTACAATTCAACGACTAATCATTGGGAAAGAACAGGAGAAAAGGTCTCTGATGTTGCCACACTTTTTAGAATTTTATTATTGTACAAATTATCTATGCATGCAGGGTAATAAAATTGAGTATTTCAAACTTTTAGGTTCTTCATTAGGCAATTTTTAAGTCTAGATGGTACTAAGATATACGCAGTGTTGTTTTAAGAATTGCGTAATCTTATTATAGAGGCACAGAGGACATATATGAAGAAGAGAGTAAGCATAGCATTTTGTGACATTCTATCATTAGAACCAGTAGATGAAGCGTATTGAATATTGAATATTTTAGGTTTCGACCTTTGCGCTTTAATAAAGTCATCAGATCTAAACTAGCAGGGCCAGATTTGCCATTTGAATCTCATCAAAGGGAAATTAGAAAACTATTAAAAATAATTGATTATAATAAGTTGGCTAGAGAGTGTAATTAATACCCATATGAGATATCTGGAGAGATATAATAATAAAGAAGACTGACAGCGGATGTGTTAAATGCTTATGTGTTTTATTTGGAATAGATTGCAATTGAATTGAGCAAAGTGAGAAAGAAATACAAAGAAAATGATTTTGCTCAAATTCTTTCATCTCAAGAGTTGAAAGAATTGGTGGCTGATTTAAAGGAGTAAAATTTCAAATCAAAATCAACCAAATAATATGTGAGAGATTAAAGTAAGGGAAATTGGAAAGAAACAAATAGAAGAAAAATAAAGGTATTTTTGAAGCGAAAGATGGCTTTGGAGATTGAATAGATTTTACATAATGCCAAACATTAAACGGATAAATTGTATGGTAGGAAATTATTGAGTCTTTGGGATAGATTGGGTATGGAACCTTAGGGTCCTTTTATTGAATATTTTTATCCAAGGAAAAAGTAGAATTATAATAAATTTATTCAGTAAGATTCAATCTGGACTTATCAGATAATCAATGAGAAGGGCGAACGTTCATTATTCAATAAGATGGAAAGAGCAAAATTGAATATATCAATTTTAAAGGCATTAGTCAACTTAGAATATTTGAGTTCGCAGGATTACATTAGAGATCATCTGATACCTAATAGTTACTTTGATTTGGATGGGTAGAAATACAAAGACGAACATTATTAACCATTAAAATAGGCTAAACAATTAAAATAGGATTTATTCTTTTCAATGAAATTAATATAGACAGTCAAAGCCAAGATCTAAAAGTTTATTCAGAAGGATGAAAATGAGTAGGGAGAGAAGAAGAAAAAGCCTTTAACAGAGGGTGGTTTGAATGGAGATAATCTATTAAACTTATGGGGATTGTTGGATGTTCCAGTGTAACATATTTGTGCATATTATGGAGAGAGAATAGCCTTGTATTTTATGTTCTTGTAGTTTTTTGTTCAGGAATTGCTTCCTATATCATATTTTGGAATACTGACATTTATAGTATAAATACTGTATGATGTTGAAGCCTTGGCCAACAAAGTGTCTATTATATTTTTTACAATAATGATTGTGTTTTGGTCATCGACTTTCTAGGCTTTGTGGATTCGTTAAGAAATGTAATTTTAAACTATGTTCGGTTTGGAAGATATGGAATTGAATTAGGTTGAGTTGATTGGATTTGTTGGTAAACCTAAGAGATCGATAGCAAATGATAAATTGAATGATCTTCAATATTCATCTAAGGAGACTTGGTTTAAATTCTTTTTTAACATGATATTGGTAGCGATATTTTTAGTGATTGAGATTGTGATTATAGTGGCACTATAACTGTTATCCTTGTATTTAGAAGATAATCCAGACGTTCCGTACATAGAATTCATAGAGTTATCTGTTTTTATTCCAGCGTTGATTTGGGTTTTCATAGGAATTCTGTTAGACAACATTTATAGGCCTGTGGCATTCTTTTTAACGAAATGGGAGAATCACAAATATCTATCTTAATTTGAGACAAGTTTTATTATAAAGAGTAATAATTACTATTAGAATAGATCTTTTGTTTTCCACTGTGAATCGTTTGGGATAGCCATTTATCATAGCATTTTTTTACGAATAAACAATCGGGTGTGTAAATGACAATTATTGCTATTCCCAATTGTAAATTTACATGAGAGTTGTGTTTATAATTGAGTTTGGTAAACATATTTTGTTTGGATTTATATTTCCAATAATAAAACAGATTTATCAAAGGGCAAGATATGGACTAGTGAGCATAGTAGATTTTGGGGATTCTTTGTAGAAGAAAACACGTAAAATTCTAAGAGTTATACTTTATAGCGTATTATCATTTCAATAAATCTATTGAGGCTGAGACGTAGAAGGAATCTTTCACAATAGATCAAGTTGATGGAACAATATGGGAGTATTTAGAATTGAATTTGCAATTTGCTTTGTTGGCCAATTTCGGAAGTCCTTTTCCTTTGATCTTCATAACTGGATTGGCGATGAACTATTTAGAGTTGTTTTTGGACAAGTTCAAATTGATATGGCTAACAAAAAGACCAACACCTTAAACAGCAAGATCAATAGGTCCGTTTGTATACTATATGAATCTGATTTCATATATTTCGATTTTCATCAACAGTGGATTGCTGTCTTATACGAATTAGGACGTCTTCACTGAGATCAATAGTTTCACTTTGTTCGTGATTTTGATGATCGCATTTTTTTTGTTCAAATTTGTCACTGATATCATATATGGGAATACTGATAGTTCTGCTGAGTTGGTACGACAAAGACACCAGTCGATATAGAAGAAGTTGCATGTTAGCATAAGGGGGAAGAATTAGATGAGCTCGAAATTGCCATTTCCAATAGCCAAGATATATGGAACTCTATTGCCTCATTAATTGAAGAAGCAAGAATGATTATAATTAAATATCTAATGATTTAGAAATTATTTACCAGATTTATAGATATTTTATAATAAAGGAGAGAGAATTAATTAAAATGTAAAATTGATTTCATAACCCATAGTAAATAATTAATTAATTGATCTGCTCATTGATGAGCATCATCTCTACTTCTATAGGTTTGAGTTCTAATCTGAGTTTGTCAGTGACATCCTTGAAGATACTGACCAGTTGTTGTATGTCAATGTTCTTGGGCAATTGAAGCACTAGTTTGGTAGTCATCTGCAGTCCCTTAGTCAATAGGTCTTGTAGAGATGGTTTCATACTATTAAGATCATATGGCTGATGCGAGTAGTTCAAGCCGCCCCTATGATTAAATGGAGAGATAATACCAAGGTGGACACATGATGAGAATGAAATCTTAATTGGTATGAGTGTACTCGAGAAAATTCATCTGGATTACAGTTGCTATGGATTCATACACTTACAAATTATTGGTAATGTTATTGATCTTTCTAAATTAATAAATATTGTATTTTACATCGGATCAATATCTATACAAATCACCGTTTTAAAACACTTCGCCAATTGGATTGCTAGACCTCCAGAACCACAAAACCCATCTATCACATCAGAATCTGGAGAACTGGCTTTCAATTTATTTGCAATATGAACGCTCATCTCCTTAATTCATTACACAAATCTCTACCTCTGGTATCACCGAATACCAAGATTCCTCATCTAATTATATGCCCTCGTTGAACTTTTTAAACAGAAAGAAGCGCTTGCGATAGAACTTTTAAATCTATTTAGGTATGTCCATGGATATTCCTGGATGCAATTGGCAAGGGAAGTTCTTTTTCGTGATCTTCAGCTTCAAACTCTCCAGAGCAAAGAACTCATTCTGAGGATATCCCAAAACAGATAGTTTGCGATGCACTAGTTTCTAGGTCTCAATCATTTTATTATTATATATCATTTTATAATCATTGCACCCCCTACAATATTATTTTAACGAATATTTTTCCACACATGTCAACCTCTACCCAAAACACTCAGTCATTTAAGTTTCGATCCAAAATAAGGTATCTATTCTAAATCACAACCCCTCAAGTTTCTTCCAAGAGACTCAACAGCCAACCAAAATCATCAAACATTACAAAGAAGAACTCAAAAATATATTAGATTATCTCCAAGATCGAGCACCCCTCCTCCCCATCTCTAAACAAAATCAAACCACACTCTACATCCAAACCTATTACAAAATTGGTTACAAAAGCACTTTTTGTGATGAAACCAAAGACCAGTTTGAAAATTTAATTGAGGAAATTAAATTAAATATATTCAAAAAGTAATCTCCCCCCCATTTTATATACCCTAGATACCCATTCATCTCCATCATCCATGAAAAACTCAAACTACACACTCAACACCAGATCCACATCCAATTTTAACAACTAAATCAAACCCCCCTCGTCCTCTATTCCAAACAACACTCCAAAGAACAACTAACACCCAAACTGATATCTGATCTTCTGTGGCTTTCCTTGCATAAATTCAATCTCACCATCAATCTTGATTGCACCAACAAATACATTCAGTCCTTAAAAGAAGATCAGAATCAGTAAAACAATATCCTAGAGGCAGTGAAGATTACCATCCGCCAAAAGGAATAAAATTCAAACCAAACTGAAAAACATTCCACTCCCAAAAGATCAACTCAAAACATCCACTCCATTTTTAATAGCATGTCCAAAACTGAAACTCATAAACCTCAAGACACTTAAATTAAATCGTTTTACTCTCCTACCAAAGCACAACCCACTAATAATCAACATGTTATCAGACTATTCTCACAAACACAAACTGTCAATTCAAATAATCAAGCTCTATTCAATGATCTAATATCAAACATCAATTACGAAGTCGAAGTAACTGGCAATTAAATTCAATCAGTTAAACAAGTCTTGAATCTCTAACAAATATATCAAGAGAATTAGGATTCTGCCAATGTGTCAATCACTCTCAATCGCAGCGATCTTATCAAATGTATCATCAAAGCACCTGAGGATTCGACTGTTAATGTCTTCATTAACAATCATAATGCCAAAACCCTATCCTATGATTACACTCAATCAGCTTACGTATTCTATGGTAAACAATAAGAAGAGTACACAGTAGAAGTAAATAAGAAGGACTACTTCGAGTAAAGACGCTCGATTTTCTTATAAGGGAATTCGGATGTCATTATTCAATTTGATTTAATAAGTCAGGTGCAAACAACCATGAAATTCAGAGTGTACGATTTAATACAACAAGAGGAAAATAATGAAATAGATAATTGTAAATTGGAAATTACTAAAATTAATTCAAATGAAGAACCCTTAATTGGAATTACTAATGATTAAGGCATTTTTATGTGTTAAGGAGTTATGTTCAATAAAATCAAGGTTTAAGCCTCAAAAAAAGGATTCCTAAATATATCATATGAATTTGATGTTAATGCAAATAAAGCTGGTGAATTTTATTAAATTCCCATGATTCCTGATTATTATAGTTTGATCAACTAATATCATATTCTAATTTATATACCTAATTCTAATAATTATTAGTTAGATTTTAATATGATTTGTTCAGGTAATTATTTAATTTAACTATTTAGATGGTATTAAATTAGATACAAAAAATAGAGTGCATCAAAATTAGAAATCAAAATTGGATGTAAAAAAACTAAATTAAAACAGTATGTTATATAATTTTTCTCTACATATCTCATGTTTGAATCCATTCGTAAATAACAATCAATTTTAATTCATAATTGCCAATCAAGTCAATAAAAGAAAATCGATTAACTCAACAAATGAACCAACGATTAAAGAGAATAACACTATTAGATATCTGGCAGACGTCGCTGCTTAACGTATAATAAATTATGGAATTGAAGAATCGATTAGAATTTTTATCACATATGGACATTTGGTTATTGATACCTAAGTTATATCAACTAATTAATTGTTACAATAAGAAAAGTGCTTTGGAATTATCGATTGTATATATTATTATAATTGTAGTGGACAAGAGACATTTGGTAAAAGAAAATGAAATTATTTAGCAAACAAAGAAATAACAAAATATCAAGAAAGTAAATTCTTCTTTCGATATGACTACAATTCTATCACAAATTACTAACCAATAAGTGAACAAATGAATAATTCACAATTTTGTTAATTATTATGTTAAAATAGATATAAATCATAGAGTTATTTTATAGTTTCAACAATTGATATAATAAATTCTGAATAAGTTTAGAAATAATTAATTAATGTCATTTATGGCCTCTGACCTTAACCACTTTTTCCATAACCAGACTAGCAAATCTTACTAACTCTTCTACATAATAAACAGAGAGATCATTAATGTAATTGCATTCTAATAAGGTTTATTAGATTTCTTTGATTTTATGAAATGGCAACACTTAACCTATGGTATTGCTACTCTATCTTTAGGCACTGTTATGCAAACTATTGTTGCCACTACCATGCAAACTTCCATGCACACTGTTCCTGATGCTTGACATCTTTCTCTTCAATTACGATTATCTCATTTGTGATCTGGGTCTACTTAATACTTCCTGTTTAATCGAATTTCTAAATTTGTTTAATTCAAAAAACATGTCCATTATTTGTTAAAATATATATTTATTTCTGTTAAATTTTAATTAATTGGAAATGTGGAAAATTAAATACTTCAGTATTTCTTTTTTATTTTAGGCAATTATTGATGTTCCTCAATGATTTTCATTAAGGCCGTTGGTCTCTCAACACTGGGTTGCATAGACCCATCTTTCTTTTAAGATTCATGCTTGGATCTTTTCAGGTAACTACTAGAATTTCTCTCGTTTGAAGAGTTCTTCCTTAGAACACATTCTTCATCCTGTCTTTGACTGCCATTTATAATCGGTAATTTTTAAGAGTGATGCTATTTATTAAGTGATTGGATCACATCTTTGCCATAATAATATTAATTGATTTAAATTTGATGGTCAAGTCTATCCTTAGAAGCACATTTACTAGAGATTCTATTTAATAATTTACGGTTGTTAAATGGGTTCATATCTCTCATGTTTTTCGTGAGTAGAATTCGAAACACGCAATCTTCGGTTAATTGGCAATACACTTTCTTAGATTGTCTATTTTGATATGGATTTATTTAAATTTTAATTCAGATTCGGACTCTTCTCTATGTCTCTTTTATCCAAATGAGTGATTTATTTCATCAATTACTGCAGAGCTTCATTGGACTAGTTTAAAGCGATCGAATCATTTGTATCTTAAGATCTGATCCTATTAGATTGTTGATTCCTCCGAATATGATTGGAATTATGTTAATTTAAATAATTGCTCCCAGGCAATTGGCAATTTAAATTGATCAGTTCCGATTTGTTCACTAACAACCCCTTTCTAGTAATAGGCCATTTGATGGTTTTCAACAAGTCATCCTCGATCTCATCTGTAATCAAACGAATCCCAAATTCCTTAGCTTTCTTCTAAAGGAAAGAGAGTTGGAGTAGCTTATCTTAATAATAGTAAGCTCTAAATATTACCACAATCAAGACGATTAGCAGGATGCACTTACATCATACTCTTGATCAATTAAACTAATTCTTAAGAGTAGATAATTGGGATTGGCTAATATTGTCCTCTGAGAACAGACTTATACAACCCGTCCATGTCCTTGGCTCTAAAGGGTCTAATCATAGGATTGTTAATATGAATACGGTTTCAAGGCACATGTCTCATAGATGACGCAGCCTAATGACCAGATATCTGCCTTATGATCATAGGGTTTGTCTTACCAAACCTCAGGACTTGCGTAATAAGGAGTACCAGTTTGGGTATACACAAGTCCGTTCTTAGCCAACTTGGATACATTAAAGTCTCCAAGTTTCACCTGATCATTCTCATACAAGAAGATATTAGCACACTTCAAATCTCGGTGCAATATTTTTTTATGATGCAATGCTCGCAAACCTTATAACACCTATATTGCAACTTGCCATATCTCTTACTCTGGAATCATCTGCTGTTTTTTAATCTATCTTTAGATCTTCTATAGCAAATCTCCTCCTTCAGCATACTCCATTATTATACTTTATTACTACAACTGCAATACCATAAATTATTATCCTCAATAAAGCATTCCTTGTACGAAACTACATTCTCATGGTGAATTGATGCTATAAACCGAACCTCATTCAATGCATTCTGTTTCTCCCTGTCCCCAATATCCATCAATTTCACCTATTCCTATAAATCATTCCAAATACTTTCTTTAAAGCATAAACCTTCCCATCCGATTTCCTCTGCACTTTGTACACAGATGAATAAGCTCCAGAACCTATAACATCAACCATGATTTCTAACCTAATTTTTTGAGGATCTCAAAATTTTATAGTTTACTTTCCATTATTTATTTAATATTATATAATTCTTATAATCAAAAAGACAATTCTGTTTGTTAATTTTTCAATGTTCTTTTCATTTCTTTCTGATGCTTCTTCTATTCTTATATTTAACTCAAACTACTTTTTCTAATTATATATAAAATTTGTTATTAAAATTTAATGAATTAGAAAATTGTGATGAGAAATGAAGACCAGGAGGTTGAAGTGTCTGGAACAGAATAAGTAATGTATAAATTTAAACATAGCCAGTTGAAATATAATAAGAGACCATCAAATTAAACGAAGCCCATATTGATTTAATTGTCAAAGAGTTCGATGTTGATAGATTTCAAGCCACAAGATGGTTAAAAAAGAATGAGGGTGATTTACAAAAAACCATTAAGTGGGTAATTAGCAATTGAATTAATTATTTATTAATTGAGATCAATGCAATATTAATAGTATATCATTCAATAAAAATTCATTTTACATATTCCTTTTACAAGTTTAGTTATTCATAAGAATATTAATAAAATTTAAAGTCATATTCAAATAGATATGACCTTTAATTTTAATTATTAAAATATCCATCCAATCTTAATCTATAAATAGCACGAAATAAATAAAGATAATGTTAATCATAGGATAATACATTATTTTTACAATATATTGAAGGCCAATATTTAAAATCAACTAAGATTAGTATGTATATTCAGTGATGTTAAGAAAAGAGAAAAAGTGTTGTTAAAACTACAGTTAAACTTCAATATATAATAAAATAAACAACGACCATTGTTACGAAAATTTAGATGATATTTTATCATTATAGATGTATGATCATACAAAAAATTTCTTAGTCAGGATATTCGAGGAGAATTCTTTCATTATCATTTATTTATTTGAGAAGTTCTAGGCAAATGTAAAATCGAGGCCTCTATTTTGACCTTCAGAGGTCTCCACTCTTGGTTTTTATTTTTTTTCTTTTCGAGGATTTTGTTGGGAGAATAATTGTTATTTTGTGTCTTTCGCCATTTATAAAACCCTTTTTGGCCTGATTTGAAAATCTTCAATTTCTACTCTATGTAATTCAATCATGGATGTCTTCCTTATCATCTGCTTTTACGACTTATCTGTTGGAGATAATTCTGGACTGTAGGTAATTTATGATGTCATAGTTGGAATCAACATTTTTTTCATTTACTATTAGGAGGGCATTTTCTGAGATTTTCTCATTTATTAATTAATTAATGATGAAAACAATCCTTCTTATTATCTGCTTGGCTTCCATAATTCAAAGTGAGAGAGTACCAGAAAACATCGAAGAGATCAAAATCAAAGTCGAATAGACTACCTAATTTGTGGAATAAACTGCCGAAGTAGTTCAAAAACGAATCCTTGAATAAGAAATTGAATTAACCCATGATAATCAAGGAGGAGAAGATATCAATAGTGAAGTGAAAGTACACCTCGAGGAAAGTGAAACTCAATAGGAAATTAATACACAATAAGAGGTTGAACCTGAAAATAATCAACCTCCATAATCGAATGAAGATGATGACGTTGTATCTTAAGGAGAAACTATTTAGACATCTGATACCAATGAGAATCTCAATTAAAATAGTGAAAGATAGGAGAGCTAAACCATTGAAGAAAGCAATGAAGAATAATAAGAAAATGACCAATGCATCTCTGAGAATTGCTAATCATAGACTGAGTAGAATCATAATACAGAATAAGAATAGAAGTAGGAATAAGTTGAGGATTTGTAAGTAGAAAATGATGTGGAAGTGGACTAAATCCAATAAGATAATGAATAAGTGACTTCAAATTAAGTTAACGAAGATTCAAAAAGTGAAGATACAAACTAACAATAAACAGAGTAGGTAGAAGAATAAGTTGTTCTAAATATAGAATAAGAATAATAAGATTAAGAATTGACTTCAAATGATAAAGAAATTAATGATACTTAATTAAATGAAGAAACTTAAGAATAACAATAAAATAATGAACAATCAAATGAATAAAATGAAAAACATGATCATGATAATTAAGAAAATGTTGAACAAGAACATCATGAACATACTCATGAACAACATGAACATACTCATGAACAACATGAACATCATGATCATACTCATGAACATTAAGACCATCATGCACATGAACATGCTCATGACCATACACATGAACATGCCCACGATCATTCACATGAACATGCTCATGACCATTCACATCATCATCACACATATGATCACACACACTATCATCATTATTAATAAGAAGAATAAACCATTACAAATCAGGATTAATAAAATGGATGGTAAGTTCAATTATCTTTTATTCCCAATTACTAAGAGATTTAGTCTAAACTAATCAAAATTTAACATCAATTACCAGAATTATTAGCAAAATATCTTCCTAATTCAAAATAGGATTAAGTAAATTACAGTGTTTTGATTGTGTCATTCCCCTCATTGCCAATATTTTTATTGCTTTTGATTGTAATAATGTGATATTTATTATAGACTGTTGGAATTAGAAACAGAGGAACAGCCATTTAATATATGATAGCATTTTCATTCGGAACCATGTTAGGAGATGTATTCTTCCATATGTTGCCTGAAATCCTAGGAACTCACTCCCATTCTCATTAAGGTCATGACCATCATGAGGAGAATCCTTAAATGTGCTTAGTTTTGGGTGGTGTTCTATTGTTTGCATTCATTGATTTGTTTATTATTAAATTGAAGAACTTTAGAGGTTAAAGAGATGCCTCACATGATCACGAACACAATAATTCAGTTATTGTATTCTTATTTGGAGACTTCTTACATAACTTTACAGATGGTATTGCATTGGCTGCAACATATTCTATCAGTTTAGCATCTGGCATTACAACTACAATAGCTATTTTTATGCATGAAATACCTCACGAAATCGGAGATTTTGCTTACTTATTAAAATAAGGTAAATGTGTTTTCGTTATTCTTTTCACTTAAGTTGTCACATCAATAGGATGTTTGGCAGGAGGATATGTTGGTAATTTGTTATTCTTAAAATTAGGATTACACTTTGCTAAGACCTTTTAATAAGAACTATTGTGTCTAACTTGTGGAAGTTTCCTCTATGTAGCTTTAGTTAATATCTTACCAGAGTTAAAATAATCATTCTCATATAGACCAAAATTAGAAAGATTGATCATGAATCTAATTTCTATTGCAGCTGGTTTATATTTAATGAAGTTCGTAGGATAATTAGAATGATTTGTAGTGTATAAGTATTAAAAAATCAAAAAATATTTCATTCTATATTTAGTCTTTAATGTATAAATAAATATTATTTTGGGTACATCAACATAATCTTTCACTGCCAATTGTTTAGTTAACGTGTTTAGCAAATTGAATCCAAGTATATATTATTTTAATCGAAATCTTTATAAGATGAATAATAAAATTTATATTATAAAGCTATTTGGAATGAGAAATGTAAGTTGGCTAACAGGTCTTTGTTCTTTGTCTATTATATATTCTGTCTTTATTCAAGAACTATAATATAGCTTTATTAAATAATAATTATAATGTCATCAATCAAGGATATCAATGAAAGTGGAGAACCTCAATAGAGTGTTTTTTACTCCTTACGTCATGATCAAGAGTAGAGCCATAGCTTTCACAGTTTAGATGATGATCTTAATGAGAGAATAGATGCAACATCAATTAATGTAGAGATGCAGATTGTGAATAATTGCTAATCTTAAGATTCTCCAATTTCCACCCAAGAAAGCCAAGAGGCATAATAATCACTCATTTAGTTAAGGCTATTGGGGAGAGAAGTTAAGGATCAGAAACCCTCTTTTAAAAAGGAGATTGTTCCTATCAATATCACGTTTTTGTATTTGGAGTATATAACAAACAATCCTGGAATGAAGATCTGGTTATTGTCCAATATCTTGTTGGATATTTGTTTGAGGATACTGATATTAGTATTTTTTTGTGTGGGGACAGTGGATGAAGACAAGTTAATAGATCCTAATAAAGATAAGACTGTTACAGCTTATTTTATAATCTTCCTTTAAATTCCTAGAATTTTGCATTTGCTTACAACTTCTAAATTGATTTTTATGGATAAATACAATCTCTAAAATAGATCTTATCTTCCCATGAGTTACGTGTTCAGAGCCAATTTCATTCAAGAAGTCTGTCCTCGTTAAGAGGATCTCAAACCGATCAATTACAAGGACAACATTCTCTCTATCAGATCACTGATGTTTATCCTATTTCCAATAGAACTTTAGTGGATTCCTATGTTTCCTTTTAGAAATCGGAAAAATTCTGAAACTACTATAATCATTAGTAGTTACATTCTAAAAAGCATAGAAGTCATGATTTTCGAACCAACTCTCCTGATTATAATTTCATTCAAATCTGAAAAGTTACAACTTTATACTAGATTGCTCTTTGGATTAATATTGCTAGATATTATAAAATTTGTAATCCTCAATTTATGTTTAATCATCTTTAGCAATGTGGGAAAAAATTCTAAAGTTAAAATATGATAATTTATTCTACTTTCTTATTTTATATTACAATATCAATCATAATTATAACATTATAATAATTTAATGGAAGTGAACCAAACAAGAAATCCCATTTCATCTGAGACTGATATTCTGATCAAATCAAATGAAATGTATCTCCATTCTGATGGATTCTACCCTTAGTCTGCCAATTTAGAGTATTAACCCATTAAATGATTTAGATCAAAACTAATCCTTTTGGACTCCCTATTTAATTTCTACTCTGTCCAATGTGAAAATTTTGACATTAAGGTCTCCCAAGATGAAGTCATCTAATTCAACAAAGAGATAATTATAAAGCAATAGAAATCTGGCAAATATTTATAAGCAATATACATCAAAGATAAGTGGACCTTATAATTAACAGAAGAACTTGATAAGACCTGCTTGTTTTCCATATAACCTTGTTTCAAATCATAAATTATTGTAACCTTTCATCTCTCATAATTAGAATCAAAATTGCGTCACTTTATACAATGAAGTCCACATTAGTTTGTCCCCCAATAACGATGCTTAAGGAGATGTCTAAGATTGCTATCTGACTTGGGATTCAAAATAGATTACATTCACTAATGAAGTTCATCTAGCCTCCAATTTCATATTTGAAACAATCAATAAAGCCTTAAGTAAATTATCCTATGGTTCTTTAATTAAAATAAAGTTAATTGAAAAGAATGCTTATTTAGCAATGACTACCAAAAAATCTGCCTTGATATAAACCAAGAATCTAATCAATTAATCAAATGCCGACATCCAATACAATGCTCTATTCTCTAATAATTTAATTGTGAGTTGGTAAGAGTAGGAACAAACATCTGAATTTGATTTATGGAGAATCTATCACCCTCAAAAAGCCTTTTAGCAAATTAATTTGAATGATTCATTTTACCTTTAAAATGTTGCAAGTAATTAATACATCTCATTGACTACTATTGTAAACAATTTTGAGGAGGCCTCTCTTTTTTAATTCTAAGAAATCAATGCCAATAATCATTTTATTAGCGGATTTATTGTTCATTAAGATAAATATTTCACTTCCTCACTTCTACATCAACAAAATTCTTTGTTTTATTAGCTAGAATACAAATCATAGGTCACTAAAGAAGATTAATTATTATTGGAAGTTTAAAGTAGTACAAATCAAATACAAATTAATTGGCTTCATAGTGCAGTCAATAGTATTCAAAATGCAATTCATGTTTTTACTTAAAATTAAGAATTAATATAACAATCAATTAGATCCAATTAACAAAGCAATCCTAAATTTGAATCAATTTACGAATTATGCAATCAACTCATTCAAATCTTATCAGACCTGATTTGTTTTTGTTTGGAAAATGGATTTACATTAAAAATTATTGATAGAAATTCTATCTTTAATACCAGAAAAAATAAAAGAAATCAAGATCTCCTTAAACGATATTATATCATTTAATATTTGAATTAATTATTGGAACTCATCTCTTGGGATGATCAATTAACTTAGCTATCTGATGAGGTTGGTTTTCTCCTCTCAGAAGAATTAGAATAAAGCTTAAGATTGAGAAATCAGATTCAAAAAGTTTTGAAGACAATATTCTTATTTTTCTCTGCATTTGGTGCATACAATGAATAAAATGGTCTGTTTATATTGTATAGCTATTCGAAATTTGTTTAGCTTCTAGGATGCCATATAGGAGCATTTGATTGCTTAATCCAATTATTTTCAACAAATCAAACTCTCATTCCTACTGCATCATCTCTCTTTTTTAATTAATCAGTAAAACAAGCATAGCAGAATTAAATTACACTAATTGATTTGATTTTTTAAAGGGGTTAATAATTATATGGGTCTAAAATTAGATCATTTTGGTCAAACATCCCCAAGTTCCTATAAATCCTTTGTTTTTAGAATGATGTTCCATTTAAAAATAATCAAAAAGCCATAGGAGTAAATTTGAAGACTGATTCCTTCATATTTTCGAAGCTGTTTGTTAATAAGGATGATCAATTCTTTTATTTAAAAGTTGATGATCAATTAATAGAATTAAATCAAATTTATCAGAGTAGTGTCAAGAATAATTTAGAAATGATCCAAGATTTATAATAATGCAAAAGGTTCGTTGATGAATACTTAAATTTGGTTGGCTCTCTTTGCCAAAATAGAAATGTGTAAAATATAATGTATTTTAAAAATATATTCCTTAAAGAACATCTCGTTTCATATGTGAGCGATTTAAAGAATGATGACTATCTTAGATGCAAATTAACTGCTATTTTAATTAATTTGTACATAGATTTTCATCCATTTTATAAAATCTAAATTCCAAAATTAATTTTTAAAAGCTACAGATAATAAATCGAAGAAGATTTTGATGAAGAATTATTATAAATAAACAAACAGAAAATTAATGATGACGATATTAAATTCATTGAAAGTATTTAAATAATAGTTTAAAACTATTTAAAGAAGAATTTTATTTAATAAAACAAAGTTAATTTGTGCATAAGAAATTATTAAATGTTGAATATGTATTTACAATTACTTAGTTTTAAATTGCCAAATTAAAATTAATAACTTAAAAGAAATAATAACAATAATAACAAAAATAATAGTTTTATAGATCCTAAATTTTTTCTTTATTTCGAATTCCTAATTTTAGCATTTTCACTCCTTCCAGATTCCATATCTGAAAAATCTCCCAATCAAGATTTATTACAATAATTTGAATAATTTTCAGAAGATAGAAATGTGTTTAATCTCTTAGCTAAGTCATTCATTGAATTTGTATATTATTTAGCAGAGATTTTTGAAAAGGATATCATTCACAAATGTTTAAATAATAATAATCCAAACTTAAGAGACAAAATTAAAATAAGCTTAAGCATACCAGGATAATATATTGACATATCGAGTACTCTATTGAAGCTATTATCTCACAAATAACTGGCATCTCAAATTAAGCTAAAGATTTTTAATTTGATTGAAAAACTACTTTAACCTAAAAAAGCTATATTACTTAGGTTTGAATAATCTATGATTTTAGAAAAATAAATTGAAATAGATATATGTAAGGAAATTGAAGAAATTAACTTTAAGCTACTAACATTATTATATAATGAAAATAATTTGCAGCAATATTAAAATCTTATTCAAATTATGAAGAATTTCAATTAAAAAATGGATGGATTTGAATATTTATTAATATCGCAGAGGATAATTAGGATTTTAAATCTTGATTAGGCTATATTTGATATCCTCATTAGTTTCACGCAATAGTGTCGAGATATAACTATAAGAATGTAACAAAGTGTTGGAAATTATTAGAATACAAATCAAGATGAAAATGTCATTTAATTATGCCAAGAGTTATTTAAATTTTTGAGGATTGCTTGCAAAAATAATCATCAAAATAAAATTAAAATTATGAAATAATTTGATGTCATTGAATAATTTTTTACGATTGTTGATCTAGGATAATTTAATTTACTAATTACTATTTATGATAATTCATTTGAATTAATTGATTGCATAAGTCCTAAAACTATATATCTATTATTTGAAAACATATGCGTTGGAACTCTGAGAATCCTGTAATGTGTCTTATGTTAATAAAATATGATCTCACATAAAAATCTTGTACTAATATTTCAGCAAATATCATCAAGATCATAATTCAATGAGATCATAGGTTTAGGATCATAAAACTTCATGAAATTATTCATACTCGATTAACCATAATCTCTATAAACTTTAATGTTATTTGGAAAGGCTCCTTATATATTATAAGTCTAAGGATACGGATTTATAATTAATTTAATTTAATTATTTATTTCAACAAGCCAAAGCAATTAAAATGAGATTTATTATAACTTTAGAGTGCAATAATAAAAAGACCATAATCATCAATCACAATCAAATAATAAGTTACATCACAATTTACTATAAAACTGTTTCTCTTATGTTAATTTATTTCGATTAATTTTTAATTTAGAAGATATATTTTCAATCCAGATAAAAAATTGGTAAGTAGATTCTTCACAATAAATATAAAAGAAGGATTTAAACTAAATATTCTTGAATACAATTTTGAAATATCAATTGTTAAAATTTCTAAATCTACTGTTAACTCAAAGCGAATTCTCTAATTATGATGATGAATACATTGAGCTGGTTAAGAAGTTCATCAGTTATGAAAAGAAACTTTTTAATATACAGATTATGTCTCTAGACTATTCAACATATGTTGATAATATTTAAAATCAAAATAAATTGAAATTGCTTTCTAAATTGTATAAGGATCATCATAATATCTAATAAAGTGAATTTTAAACGATTTCAGAGTATTTGATTGACTAGTATTTTGAATGCTTTATATTCAATAATTATTCTATTTTACTATTTGATCTAAATTTAAATTTAGCTTAGAAATTATCGGAGTATATCGATACAGTGGAAGATTCATCTACAAAGTCTAAATCTAACAGAAACTCATCTACTTTAATTTTTAAAAAGAAAACTTAATCTCTTTCTCTAATTGAATTTGGAACTAATGAATCGAATAATCTATCACAAAAATTAACTCCATTTAATGAACTCAAAGTTTAAATGGATGATCTCATTTATTCCATTGAATAACACTTAAATGATAAATTAACTCCAGATGAAATCAAAGAGAATTAAGATTTACTTTATCTGAAATAATAATAACTAAAGTTACTGTATTTAAGGTAATTGGATTTTAAAGGTTTCAAATTTGAGTAATAATAAATTCATAAGAATAATCTTAATTAAGATTTATATCTGAATCCAGAATATTTTAATGATTAAAGAATTCATGAAATAATCAAGATTTAAGGATTACTTGATAGTAAAATTATGAAAAATGTTATTGAAATATTAACCAATACGCATTAAGATCAAGCAGAAGAAAACTTTTAGATGTATAAGCAAATTTATTAAAGATTATAATTAATGAATTAAAACTATGAGATTCAAATTGAGAATTTTCCTAAAATTATCTTGCCATTAGTAAGGATCTTAAAATAAAGTTTGAATAATCTTATTAGTAACTATTAAGGAGTGTTAAATATTCTTGAATTCTTATGGTAACTTTTGGATATTCACACGTATATAAGAGCCGATTATGAGTAAACAGTTTCACAATATATAATGAATTAGAAGGACATATACAAAACTTAGAGTGAACAGATTTTATAGAACAAGGCTATCAAATAAATATAAAATTTAATATGCAATGAAGGGTTTTTTGAGATCTTTATATAATTTTGTGATTCATATCAAAATTTAAGAGTTATCCCTTTTGCAGAACTTGGATTTCTAAATTAAGATCTAAAGGATTAAATATATTATAAATTTTTATTAGTCTCAACTAAATTGATTAGAGGATAGGAATAAGCAAATAAGTTGGCTTAAGAAAAAATTATTTCAGTAATGAAGAACACCCAAAGCAACTCATTGCTGAAAATATTTTGCTTGAATTTTAATAGCTTCTAAAAACTGAATGATACACAAAAGATGAGGAATGAGATTACTCAAGATTTAAATCGCATATTGTTTTCTTATGAATTCAATCAAACGCACAGACTAGAAAGGAAGAATAATTCTTAAAAATTAGGGATTGTTAACATTCAAATTAGATTTTTATAATTAATAGCTGAAGATCATTTTAGACCAGCTTAGGATTTTTTAAGGATTTAAGAAGGATTCTCACAAAATTACGATATGATATAACAACTATAAGATATCTTATTCAATCATTTTGTTTAAGAAACCTTCATAAATCTCAGTTTTGATGATTATGTATTGATAGTTGGATGTTTTGATTGTATGAAGGAATTAATTCAGGGACCATGTCATGAAAATTAAATGAAAATATGCTCAATACAATTCTTAAAATTGTGCTATAAACTTCTCAATTTCGATGATTCTCATGGCAAATTTACAGCAATGTATATTAATTTGACTAAAGATCAGCAAAAGTTTTAAAATAGAACCAGGGAAAAGACTTAAGGTGAATTCAATAAAATAATAGTAAGCTAGAAAAAGACATAGATTTAATAGGAGTATGTAGAATATTATAAAAAATATCCAACATATTGCAAAAAGATTTTATAATCTTTTAGAAAAAGTAACAATATTAATTACAGAATGTTTATGCTATCTGAAATTAAGTACAGATGTTCTACTACATTAGAATCTTTAACGGATGACTAACAGACATCTTCTGAAACATTAGAAAAAATAAATAGTATAATTAGTGAGAAGTTAGTTATCAAGAATATCGCAATTTAATATGAAAAGTTTAAAATTCTCCATTCATCTGGTAAAAATTACACAAATACAATATTTTCTCATTTATTTGGGGATCAACAAAAATTATCAATTCTTAATTAAGAAATTATCTCTGATTCTGATAGACTTTGGAATATCGAAGAGACCATTGATGTAGATGTTGCTATACGAGATTTTTGTGATTCCTTTATTATTGAAACTGGATTTTCTCTATATAATATTTTAGCTTAAATCTTTTAACATAAAAATATGGATGTATTAGAAAGAATTTATGAGTAAATTGATTCAGAGAAAACATAAAAGAAATAACTAAAGTAATTATTGCTATATAAATTATATCAGTCATGGTTTTAATTGCAAAAAATTACTGAAATGATTACTAAGTAATTTTTATTATTATAAATAGTAATGTTGTCAAAGGGAAACAAAAAGTGGCAATTAATGATAAAATTTTCTTTAAAATTTACAATTCTAAGATAATTCAATAAGATAAGTATTTATTAAAGTAGCATGACACTGAAAATACTTCTGAAAAGGAGAAAGAAGTAGAAAAAGATTTTTATTAGAAGAAACTTGGATATAGAGCTTTAAGATTCTATGCTACTAGATCAGGATCAATAGAAATAATTCTACCTTCAAAGCAGATCAAGTAAGTGATATTTCCACTATTACCTCATTGTTTTTCATTAAACAATTCAATTAAACAGAAGTTTAGTAAAGATATTGATAGAACAACTTAATAAACCAAGGTTGAATCAATACTTTATAATTCTAATAAGACAATTCAAAAATTGAAAACTGAATACAAATTTCAATTATTGTATAAAAGACACTTATTAGTTAATATGATAGCTGGTAATTAGGAGATTTGGAAACAAATTATATTTTATGTTATTGTAATGTAGAATATCATGATTTTGTTAACAAATAATGGAAGATATGATCATGTACTTGATGATTTTCTGTTGGCCTTAAATATTATTCAAATAGTATTGTAATTCGTCTGCTTTTTCATTTTCATCATAAGAAAACTACCATATTTGAGAATAAAGGCTCAAGAAATTGTAATTTAAAGATAAATCAACCGAATAAGAAAAAGGGAAATAAAATATAAATATTTAGATAATTCATAAAGCGTAGTGTTGTAGGAAGACTTTATCTTAGAAAAAACAGATAAGTTTTTGCTAGAATAAAACAAATTTGTAAGATTTTATTAAAATGTTACTGATAGGTTAGTCTTATTTAAATATATATTTTTTGATTATGAAATGATCTATTTTTTAATTTTTACTTCAATAGCGATTTCAGGATTGTTTACAAAAACATTATTAGCATTACTCCTACTTGATGTATTTTGGAGATTTCCAGTGCTAACAGCAATGATAAACGTAAGGAATTAAAATTTAAAATTTATAGTCCGTTTGGCGCCCAATAGTGTAAATTTTACTTACATTGGCTCTATTTTTCATACTTTAGTATTATTATTCTTTACTAATTTATGATTTCTACTCTGAAGACACTAACTATACTCCATATTGTTAAAGCTTGTTGCAATGCTTTTCGTTCATTCTGGATGTAACATTTAAAAAGGATAGTGGGTCTGCAGGGTATGTTGCAGCGTCTAATGGTATTAGTTCCACCTATGCAAATCCCGATTTCCGTTTTGGTATACTCAACTTTTGGGAATTCTGTTATTATTTCTTTGTAATCAGTTTAACCTATTCCATCTTCACTGGATTGATCTTAGATTCATTTGGGGCTGATAGAGAAGAAGCAGAAGAACTGGAAGCTGACATAAAGGAATTGTGTTTGGTTTGCGGTATAGACAAGGGGATCATAGAAAAGAAAACTAAACATAAGAAGGGATTCAGATTTCATGTAAAGAATGAGCATTATGTTTGGAATTATATCTTCTTTATTTCCTACATTTAAGGGAAAAAGAAGTCTGAATATAACGGCATTGAAAGTTTTGTCGATGAGGAATTAAAGAGGGAAAGCATTTCATGGTTTCCTATTAGTAGATCCTTATCGATAATTGAATAAGATGATGTGGTATGAAACATATAAACTCATTTAGGATTAAATTGATCAAATGATAGATCAATAAATAATGAAGATTTCTCAAACTTTAGATACCAAATTGTAAGAGAGGGGTCTTAACAAAAACCTCAATTAGAGTTGAAATTAATTAGTATTTTTTATCTTTATTAACAATTAATTTTGGATTATATAACTTATGTTACCCGGATTTGTAATCTATTCAACTTTTTAATCCTCTGGAATGATTGAAATATCACTATTCTGATTCATAAGAATATATATATTTTTCCTTACAATGTGGTTTTTGCTTTTTTCTGACTTTATTCTTATTTGAATTTATGATTACAAATTAAATATACATTTTTAATTAATATTAGATTTTGTAATTATGCAATCTTTAGATATTCATATAGTAGATTTCAAGACTTTTATAAATAAATCTAATTCTTTTGTCAATTACTAAAGTGAACAATATTTATATATACTAAATTAAATTATATGATATGGTTCTCTTATAAAACACAAACATATTATATCAATTTAAAAAATATAATAACACTGGATTTCATGAATTATTGGAATCTAATTATTAATATAGATATATTTTAATTAAAAATAAATTTCATCATAACTATTTAAACTACTTATGCTTCTTATGGCCTTATTCACTTTCCAAAAGCTATTTGATAAATTCGGGGACTCTCTATTTTTCCCTTTCTAAACTTCTAAGTTATTCTTATTAAAAGATTGTTACTTTTTGAATTCAATAATTTATCTCTAACCTTTCAAAAAATCCTTAACAGTTTCAGTTCTTTCTCGATATCCTATGTTTTTGATTAAAACTTCAGGTAATTTTTCATCAAATGGATTATATTGTACATTGATGCTATGGATATTCTTATAAAAATGCATATCATCTTCATTAGTTTGTAAAAATACCTTCAAAATTCTCCTTTTGAAGGTCAGGCTTTTACACATATCTCAAATCATAAGGTATATACCATTTGTTGTAAAATTGCTTATTCTTATTAGGCAAGTTTGGTAGGGATGGTAATTTTGTGTGCATTCGCTTGCTTTTATCTTCCTTGGGTTTTAAAGAGATTTCCTAATTTTTTGAAATTTTTACTTGGTTACCCAATAAATGGAGGTTCAGTTTTGGAAGGGGCTTCTAGTTTAATTTCTCTTTTATTTGAAAACTTGATTAGTTCTTAGGAGTATTGATTCTTAAATTCTTTTGATTAGGCAGGAGATCCTTCTCTAATTTATTTTAGATTTAATTGTTAATTAATCATAATAATAAAAAATAAAAGCTAAATAAGAAATTTTGGCAACATGGTAATCAAAAGTTATCTGAATAAATAAAATTATATTTTTAATATATGGGTGCATGCTCATCTCAATAAAGAAGACCTGCTTAGGTTCAAAAGCCAGGATAAAATTCTGGACCTTAAGCTGTAGCTGAGGAGTTTAAAGTAGGGCCAGACATTTTTGTTACTCTTAAATAGGGTTCTATTAGCAATTTTTATAAAATAGATAAAGTTTTGGGAAGTGGTATCAGAAAATATAATATATTTAAGGTGCATATGGAGAAGTTCGATTAGTTATTCACAAGAGTACAGGATGTAAAAGGGCAATGAAATAAATAAGAAAGGATAAAATAATTAAAGATGATGAGAACAACATGTTCTCAGAAGTCAATACACTTAAAGAATTGGATCATCCTAACATAGTTAAACTGTATGAACTATTTTAGGATGCAAAAAATTATTATCTAATAACTGAGTATGAGTAATAATCATAATTAGATTTTTAGAAGGAGGAGAGTTATTTCAAAAGATTACAGACATGAAACATTTTACTGAGAAGATGGCTGCAGATATCATGAAGCAAATATTAGGTGGTGTAGTACATTGCCATGAGAAAAAAATTGTTCATAGAGATTTAAAACCTGAAAACATCCTTTTTGAGAATAAGAAACCCAATTCAAATTTGAAGATCATTGATTTTGGAACATCAAAAAAAGTTGAAAGGAATCAAAATTTAACTAATCGATTAGGAACTGTATTATTAAATTACATCTATTTTATTAGCCCTACTATATTGCCCCTGAGGTATTGAAAAGAAATTATAATGAAAAATGTGATGTTTGGAGTTGTGGAATTATACTGTACATAATGTTATGTGGTTATCCACCATTTGCTGGTGTAGATTAAGAGATTTTATAAAATATTGAAATAGGGAAATATGAATTTGATCGTATTTATTATCAATTAATCTTTTTAGCTGAGGATTGGGCCAAAATATCAGATGATGCAAAAAATTTAATCAAAAAGTTGCTTACTAAAGATTATAATTAAAGAATTTCAGCTTAAGAAGCTTTCAATGATCCATGGATTTAAAAGAATGCACCAAATGCTCCTATTGATTTCAAAGCTATTAAAAATTTGTCTTCTTTTTTTGTATACTTTCCAAAATATTTTTAGGGCAAAAATAAGGTGAGAGCTGCATTAATGCAATTCATTTCAACTAATCTCATGACGAATGCTGAGAAAGAAGGGCTACTTGCTGAATTTAAGAAAATAGACAAGGATGGTAACGGTTAAATTAGTAAGGATGAATTAGTTTAAGGTATAATCATAAGATAATGAAAGTTTATCTTAAATAATATGATGAAATCAAAGCAAAACAAATGGTTGATGATATATTTGATAAAGTAGATACTAATAATTCAGGTTATGTGGATTTTACAGAGTTTATAACATCCGCTGCAAATGAAGAGAAGCTACTTAATAAATAAAGACTATAATAAGCATTTAATATGTTTGACACAGTAAATTATAGTATAAATTTAGAATGGTGATGGTTAGATAAGTAGAGATGAACTCTAAGAAATTATGGGAGGAATTGATGACAATCTTTGGAAGGAAATTTTGACTATGTGTGATTCAAATGGTGACGGGTAAATTTCTTAATAAGAATTTATTGAATTTTTAGTTAAGAAGTATGAATGAATATGTATTTTATAATCCAACGATATTAATCATCCAAATTACATTATTATATAGGTATGATATATTCTAATTTTATTTAAATTATGACTATAACTATATTATCTTGAATTTTATTTAAATATTGGACATTGTAGATCTAATATAATCCAAATATAATGATGGTACCGATCAGGTAAGTGTTGAATTATAAATCCAACTACTTTCTTCTAAGCTATTGTAAAATATATAGATAGCCTTATGTCTCTAAAAACTCTTGAGCATATAATCGAAATAAGAGATGATATTTTATGCTTATATGAAAATAGAGTTTCATAACGCTCCTCTAATTCTGTTGTTGCGATGCTGATGCTTTTGAATTCTCTTATATTAGCTAAAAATGATAAAATAAATACATTTTCTGTACAGATTTCTATACAGAACTATCAAGGTCTCTGGTTTCATCATAATTTAGGTCGATGTCATGAGGGCTATCTTATGGAGTATGGGGTTAACTCCAATCGTAAAAATCCTCTTAAATAATTTGGTCTCTCTACCTTCTAAATAATCTTGTTATTCCTTGTGTAATACAGATTAGACAACATTCTCATTCTACTACTATTAACCTAATATTATTAAATACTTATTTCATACAGAAACATTTTGGATATGACATTTTTTTAATTAATTACTTATGATACATAAAACATTTTTCAGAGCATCCCAGAGGATACCATCAACTGGTCTTTGATTAAATAGAAGGTCCTCAGTTTGTTAAACTTTCGAACTATTTTTAAGTTTAAAATACCTCAATTAATATTAATTTTGTAGTTGGGCATGTTCAATCTTCAAATAAATCAAAGAGAATATATGCAAGAACACAAAAATCTTGATATTTTCCTTCTTCTCAAAGATATAAAATATTCCATTTTTCTAATGAAAAAAAAGCAATAATTTCTTTTTAGGTGAATAAAATTTTATTCTATTTAGTATATTTAGGTTATGTAATTCATTAGCATTATCCAATAGAATCAGCATTATTTTTAATTCTAAGTTTACAATAAACAAATATTTTTAGTATCAATAAGATTATGTAAAGTGTATCATTATAACATGACATTTTACATCTAAATCAGCTACATGCCTCTGAGATTCTCTAGAGAAAGTTTTCTGACCCAATTTATTTTATTTTTCAATACAAAATATAATAAATATCAAGAATAAACGAAAAGGATCTTAAAAAATTTGAAAAATGATTTTTATTTTCTTAATCATAAGTTTTTTTGAGCTCTTCGATCAAATTTTACCTCAAAACTACAATATTTCTCATAATGACAATTATTTATTTATATATATATATATGAGACAAATATTACTCTATTAATAAGCTAGACATTATTTTAATTGAATTGCCAATAAAATATTTTCAGTCTTAAGCAAACTTGCATTTCTTTGTTTAAATTGATTAATCGTAATAAATAGAGTGGAGAAACCAAATTGCCATTTTTAACCGAAAAATTATATAATTTAATTTTAAATTAATTTAATTATATTTTTATCAAATGTTGGATTTATCGAAAAGAGAATTTACTAAACTCCCAGGAGAAATAGATGTAAACTTTATTCCCATAATATACCAAGGCATTTATCAAGGAACCAGACTATTATAACACACTAACTGCTTGTAATTGCAAAACACAATAGCTGTTGAGCTTCATGCATTTCAAAAAGCTATAAGCCTTAGATTTATCAAATAATGAACTAGGAAGCTTTGTGAAGACAAACACATTATAGGGTTTGTTTCTATTAAAAGTATTGATCTTGAAAAAAAATGGTATTACTCAAATAAATGATTAATTTTTTGCCACTGCAAAGAATATTGAGGTATGATTGTTTTTGATGTGTTTTTATTTAGATGCTAGACCTTTCAGAAAATAAAATAACTAAATGCGGCAAATCATTTTTAGACCTACCTAAACTTATTACGTAAACTGAACCTATTAATTTAGACTTAATTTAAATAAAAATCAAATTGATGATTTAAATGCTTTTAAAATTTTCAAAACCAACCCTCTCTAAGAATTACAATACCTTGGAATCAGATAGAACAATATAGAATCGTATACTTTAATATTAATATAATTTTAGAAATTACAGATCCAAATTCGAAACAACATTGACCATATTCTTTCCAAATTTATAATTTGTTCTAACCATGTTCTCTCAATAGAGGGAACTTAATGCTTTTCATGAGATTCTATATGTTGATCATTACTTAGATCAAACAGAGGTCCCTTTACAACAAAATTAAATTGAATGTTCCTTCCATAACGATTCTTTAATTGCTAATTGCATAGTTAGTTAAAACCAGACATCCGCTAAAAAAAGCAAGAGATCAGTGAACTCGTGTGATTCAAGGTTTGGCTCATTTAAAAAAAGGGATCCAGATACATTAAAAAGACAAATAGAATTCAGAAAAAAGGAATTAGAGAAATTAGATTAATCGATTGAATAAATTACTATAAAAAGAGATGAAATAAAGATTTTAACTTAAAAGTACTAATACTTCTTATAAGATTGTAAAATAATTATTAATTTATAGCACTTTAATTATAAGACAACTCTCTTTTGGTCACAGTGTTGTAGAGGTTAGGAGAATATTGCAATTCTATTGATAGTTTGAATTAATAAAAAGGAAGGAACTTAGTAGTTGAACTATTAAACTCTATGAAATGCAAAGACTCTCTTGACATCGATTAAACTTTATTGAAAATGGAGGCTATCATGAAGAAGATGTAAGAATTAATGAATTGAGTTAAATAAATTAATATAATCATATAACGATTTAATCTAATATTTCTGTTTCTTATAGAAATGATTTTTGAACATATTAGTTAGGCATTTATACTAATTTTCTTTAATGAAATAATATTAATGAATTTAATTTTAATACTCACATTATTATGTTTAATATAAGCCTAATAAATTTCACATGGAATGCATTATTTGTCTGAGAAATTTTATGGGAAGCTTGATACAAATGTCTTTTATTATTATTTAGTCTAAAATGAAAATCCTAATTATTGCGTGTCCAATCATTATTAGTGTGTGTTTTTGAACCATTTATATTTGAATAACTATATAGATCATTCATTGGATTCTCTAAAGCCTAAATTCATGAAGAAGGTATTTAGTCATTATTATTCAAAGGTTTTTGAATTCGTTGAATTTTTAGATATTCATAAAAAAGCTTATTTCAGAGATTCTTCAAGGAGAGAACTTGAAAAAAGCTTTGAAAAACATTATTAAATTTGAAATATTAAGTAGTTGTTAAAATTAATATGAAACCATATCAATAATTTTGAAATAATCATTTATAGATCTTCATTTATTCTAATAATAATATTGAAATTTCATTTTTAATATTATCTATCAATCAAATAATCAACCTACAATGTACCTCCTCATTCTAGTTGAATAAATAAAAAATTACAGCTGGAGTATGCTTTATGCGTTGCCTGTATTTTTTAGATTGCAAAATTATATAATAGAATCAAAAATTAAAGCAATACATATTTAAAATAATTGAACATTTAATTTATATGATAGTTTGAGATTCGAGATAAATAAAATACTTTTTATAAGAGGAGACCAATCGCTTTAGAAAAAATTATTGTGGATCTTGTTATAAAAAAGAATTACTATCAATAACATTTTTCTTTTTAATGACTTATAAACCACTAGATCGAGAAGAATTTGGCTTATAAATTTAATATAATTTTAATGAATAAATATTTTTGTAATATCTTCTTTATCATATATTTATTATCATTTATTAGGAGTACTAAATTGATTTTCAATAATAATATTAATACCACCGTTTATTTATTTATGAGTACAAAAAATAAACCATTTATTAATCTTGTTAGAATTGGGAATGCCAATAAAGAATATTCTACAAATACTTCTTAACGATTGAATTAATTAAAGTGGAGATATGTATAATAAATTTACTTCCCAATTCCATTAATTGAATATAAATATTATAATAATTAAATTTATTTTCGATTTCCCTTATATATATTTAAGTTATTGCTTCAATTGAAAGAAAATATTCTTTTTTTTTCATTTATAAAATATGTTTTTTAATAATTTATACTACCCAATTTTGCAGGGGAACTTTACATTGTTATTTTTATCTAAGTTATTGAATGATTAATTTACCTTTCCATAAATGGAAGTTGAATTTTTATGATCCTGACTTTGAAGCTGAATTCGAAGCTCATTAAAACAGAATTAGACTCATTTCTTTTCAAATGATAAACTTATTGGTTTCCGTAGCCGCTCTAATTTGTTTAATCACTTTTGTTATTCAACAACAACCCATTTAACTAATAATAGTAATGATAGTAGTAGTGGGAGGGTGTTTTTTTATGCTTATTGTTGGTAAGAAATTGGAGCCATACCTCAGATAAATTTTTTCATTTTATTTTGTTTGGAGTCAATCAACAAATGTATTAATTGCCTTTAGTGGATTAAATATGTATTACTTTGTCATCATTTAGACCAACATTTGTGTTCGGATTCAATACTTGTTGCTTTGCTGTAGGTACTTTATAGTATAGCGATAACAGATTAAAATTAGTTTACACAATTCTCACTCCTTTTATACTCTTATTGGTTTTTGATGTCTATAAGGCTGATCAAATTCAATATGTATTTTAAACAATTGCTTGTGTTGTTTGCATTGGAATTTGGACTTATATGCAGGAATATACAGCACGTCTAGCATTTTCACTGAATTTAATTGCTAATAAATAAAAGTAATGCCATTCTTATATTATAGAGAACTAATCAATGAATTTGTGAGTGATGCCATGTTTGCGATCAGTCTGGATTCAAGAACGAGGTAATTTATTTTGGAATTTTAAAACAAAAAATTTGAAGAAAGCATGAATATCAAAGAAACTGAATAAATGAAGAATTTTCTCAGACAATCTTATTTGATAATAAAAAGTTAGGAGAGCTAAAAAAGATTAACAGACAAAGGATTTTAAAGAGGGTTAAAATTGGAGGAATTTTTATTTAAAAAAATAAAACCTGAATAAGAATCAATTTTTAAGGACACTGACAATGAAGTTGAAATAATGTATCACAATCAAAAAACAGATTAAATAATGAAAATTTAAATAAAGTAAATGAATTTCGGAAAGCCAATCTTAATCGGAATAATTAAATCTGAACAAGTATCAAATCTAATAGGAGAACATCAAAAATAAATAAAGGAACATTAAAATCTTATGATCAACTTTTCAATCTAAATTGTATCATAGCAAGAGAATTTATATAAATAAATCAATAAAACATAATTTGGTAGTCTCAATGAATAAGAGTAAATTATGAGTCTAAAGTGTTTAAACTTATCTATAATTAATTATATTAGGAATTATATATTGTATTTTCAAAAGAATAAGATTTCTACTCAATTACAAGTTTACAAGAAGGTTATGATTTATGATTATCTTAAATCCATTTAATAATACTTTCATGCTATATCGTAATATCACGATATGAAATTTAATATTTTTAATCATGTTGGTAAAAATTGTCAAATAAACGTCAATATCAAATATTTAACATAAATACTGTTTAATATCTTTGAATAAATTGCTAAATAATCATGCTACATCAATAATGTATCTCTCAAAATAATTGAAGAATATTGTTAAAATAATCAAGTCTTAGAAACTAGAAGGAAGGTTGAAGATTCCTAAAGTGCATCGAAATAAATAATTGATTTAAAATTAATTCGATTCTAATTTGATGTTGAAAGTTCATAATCACTTGATTTGTCTTGCTTCAATCATTTCGGATAAAATCAACGAATAGAACAAGATGAAAGTTATATCATTTAGGAAGTTACAACCAGTTTACTTGATTGTCTTAGCCCAATAAACAGGATATAAATTGATTAGAATTTAAAACTTGAAGATGGCAGTTTTAGTCATAAGTTTTCTTTCAAAATATATTCGGATTAATCATAATTAGAACCATCATATTTTAAAACTATTGATAAACCATTAATTTATTGAGTTCTTTAATTTATATAAAAACAATTTTCTAATAATTATTAAATGAAATAGAAATTTTAATATCATTAACGGAAACATCAATATCGTTTTAAGAATCTTTTTGGTATTATAGAAGGACTTATTTTATCTAAGAGTTAATTGCTTCTTTCATTAACGAATCTGAATGGCAGAGTCAACGATTATAAACCTACTGTTTCTCCTCCTGTTATAATCACTGATGAAGGAACCTTCAAAGTATTGAGTAAGGCAATTATTAAGGAATTAGAGAATTCTTAGACTCCTTTTTTAGTACCTTTAAGAAATCCCTCCTCCAATGGTTTTAGAAGTAAATTTAAAGTGCCTTTCACTAGATTAGTAACGGTTGAGAAGACTTCTAAAGTTGTTAATGCTTTACCAGCAATCATCAATTTAGAACCTAAACTTTATTAGAATTATGTTAAAACACAATTAATCACTTCATCAGGAGTTCCTCGAATTTAAGAGTTCATGTATTTGATAGGTATTTATAAGTCGTAAAATGAGCTAATTCTTAACAGCCCCTTAAGTAGATCATCCATTTACAATCCTTTCGAGTCATATGAAAGATTAAAGCATGTCTCAATAATTTATAGACCCTTCAACCAAATTTACGGTGATTTTTGAACAGTGTTAAAAATTTGAATTTAATCCTCATAAATTTATTTTTGGATCCAACTTTAACTATTTTAGAAATTGAAAACAAATTAAAGGAATGCTCCTGATATGCAGATTCTCATTGGAGCAATCTTTATAGATGCTGTATAGGCTTAATTTTCTAGGATTAAACCAATTTCTATTGGAGCGCTTTTATCATCTGAGCAAAATGATTCTGTATCTGGACTCAATATGAGTTTGAATCTAGAATCTTAAATATTATCCTCAATTTCAAAATGAGATTAGAATTTAATACCAGTTTAACCTTTGGAATATAACTCTATTTATAAATTTACATCTGTAAAACACAAACTAACAGTGTCTAATTTCTTTTTTTAAAGCTCATCAGAAGATTAAACATATTCTTAAAGCTCATCTCCGAAAGATTTATGTTTATCATTCGTATTCTCCATATAAAGTGGCATTTGATAAAATGTATGTCCTTCTTCCAAATGGATCAGCAATTTCCCAATGATAATTTCAATTTTATTATCTAATTGCTCTCCTTCAATTAGTGGTTTAGAAAGATCACCTTAGATAAAATAATCATTTATTGTAGGATCCTAAGGAACAGTTTAAGGGATGTAAGGTTATAATTCTTCATTGATTTCCAGGATTGTTTAAATGATGTCAAATCTGAAATTTCCCTGGATTACATCAACTTTTACAGTATTATTCATAAATTAAAGTTACTTAATTGTTAGTACTTATGTGAATTAAAACACATTTAATTTATGAAAATAGTTCTCAAGAATTAAGGGACATTGGAACTCTAATCCATTTTATCTACCAACGTATAAATTAGCTTAGGATAGGGTTAGCTTCTTATTGTAAGTCAAATCTTCGATATGAATTAAAGCTCTACTATTGGAGAACTCTTTGATGGTTTACAATCCTTAATTAGATAGTTCTTCTACTTCGTTAATAGGAAAGATGTCCAAGAATAAGTTTTTATGAACTCTGATTTAAATTTCCATTTCTTTTTCTTGCTAAACCTATTGTTATTATTACGGTTAAGAATTATGTTTAAAGTGTTATAAAATAGGATTCAACTTTTTAAAAGAAGTGAATTAGTAATCAGGTATTCTTAGACAAATATTCTGAATAGATATTCTCATACTTTTACCAAGTTACAATTTGAAAATATAGTTTTCGTAATCTACTTCAATTGGCTTTGAATATAATCTCTTTGATCCTGCAGAAATAATCTAAGAACTGAACTAATTTGAACGTGTTCTATATAACATAATCTATGTAGCAGAGTATTTTTTAATCGATTATTAGAGCATATTTCTATTAAATTTCACCAAAGGACATTAACTATCAATAACAAGTATGTTTTGGATTAATAAAATAGTTTATTTAGCAGAAATGAGAGTCATCTTTTCTAAATCAATTTGTAATAAATCTTTATTTAAATGATCCAAAACATTTAAGGATGAGGAGTCTATAGATAACTGTATATAAGTAAGGGGTTCCTCTTTTACTTAATGCTAAGGTTTCTTTTTATTCATTGAATTCTGCTGTTTCTCAAAATATTAATTTAATGAGATCAACCAATATAAGAGATCCTAAGTGATACGAACATCAACTAAGGGAAGTGATCCTCTGATGAGTGTTTCACTCTTCTCTTATCTATATTGAACTGACCCTCTTAAATCTTATTTACCATTCTTCTTTACATCCTTCTTTTCTTAAAAGCTTATGTAAATTAACGGGTATATTTGTAAATCGTCAATTACATTCTACCCAATAGTCACTATGTTCTATCCTGAAAACTCAATCCAAATTGAGAAAAATGAGATGCAAAGGAATTGTAAAGGGTTCTCATTTTTAGGGATTCCCTCATATGGTTCAATAGCTCCTAATTTATGTGAGAATTTTTTAACTGGATTTTATTTGAGTTTGATATCCTTCACTCTTAATGAAATAGGTTTATTGTTTATGAAATAATTTAAATTAACATAGGGGATTCGTATGTCAAATCCAAACTTGCATGGTTTTTTGACTTCCTAGTCTGGTAATTGCTATACTTCACTCTAAGGTAGATATTGCATTAGATTTAAACATAATTCATGATTTAAGGAACCAATAAAATCTGAAACCTGTATATTTGCCATGTAAAACTTTTCTCTATTTTTGCCATTAAAGATTTAAATGGACATTTCTAATGCCTTGCACAGTTTGCACTCTTCCTAGAGTTTGTCAAATATATATATAGCAAAGTCTTACTCAATCCTACCCTATTCTCCCAATCCCATCATTACCACAGGAGTTACATAGAATTGATATTTAGGGTTTTCAAGACAACTCCTAAAAATCTCTTAACTTTAAACTGTATTGATCGCATTGTTGGAATCTGCTCTAACTCTATGAGCACCAATACTTTGTATTTAAAATTTGATATTATCTTTTTGATAGCTTCCCTGGATCTTTATGATTTCAATAAAGAAATGACTTTCAAGATCTTAAAAGAATCTCCCTTTTAATTTTGGAAAGGTTTGTGAATTTTCACTTACAGCTATTCTAATACCATCGAATTAGCATTTAAAAGTTTCAGCCTAATTTTTGACGCTCCTGTTTCCAAAATCCAATTGTTCTTGTGAGGTATTGAAGATACTCTGAGAGAACTCAATGAATTGCTTTTCTTAATGTTGAGGAATAGGATGTTAGGCCAAAGATTACTATAGGTTATTATTGAGAGTATCCATATATGAGAAATTCACAACTAGTTTAGTTTGAGCATTCTTTTTATTAGTTGTTTGAGAATTCATAAAGGAAAACTCTGTTTTTTCTAATTTTTATTAGAATTCTTCATCATCATCAAATTCTACCAATGTTTCTCCTTTTAAGTCCATCATGATTTTGTTCAATTCATCAGTTAACGATAAGCATCTTTGTGCAGTAGACAATAGATTTTTAATTTGCTTCGTATTAAGCACAATATCCAAGGGAGATATCTTTCCATCGACCTTTGTGTTCACTCTTCCATTTTTAGTTTCTACAACCATCTCGAATTTTAAGGCATTTTCTATTAAGGCTATCTACTCTTTTTATAATTAGAGTTCTATCTGATCTATTCCAAAGCTTATAAAAAGTAAATTACTATTTATGAGATTGAAACATACTTTAGATTTTGCTTCTGAAAATTGATGTTAGTATGATGAATATGGAATTCATATTATTTTCCTCCTTCTGCTATTAGAATAATTTCAATATTCTTGATCGTAATTGATGAATTACTTAACAAAGTATCAACCAAGCCTAGGAATTGAATGAGTCCTGTTTGTGGTCCCGTCGATTTAGTTAAGTCTACACTCTACTCGAATTCTGAATGTTTATAAACTTCTTCTCTTAACTGAGCCAATTAACTGAGCTTTATGATCTCCTTTTGTTTTGCCTCCTCGGTCTTATCTAAATATTCCTTTAATTCGTCTATATTGATTTCCTTCACCAGTGCAAATACTAATTTGACTCCACTAGCCTCAAACTTTAAATTAGCCACTTTGATAGACTCTTTTAATATCAGTTTCATAAATTACTTATGTAAGCCTCTTCAAGAGTAAAAAGACTTTGGCCGAGAAGTTAATTGATGAAGGTTTTATTGAGCTTCAACATCTCAACTCCTTTGAGCAAAGTGCCCATATTCAGTTATTTTGGATCTTCAAGATAATCCCCCAGGAAATTGTCGAGTAGTAATTGAAAAGTGTCTGAGAAACCATTAAGAAAATAATCAGAAAATGGCTTGAGCCACTCCTTGACTTTCTGCATACAATAATTATAATAATAATAAAAATCAGATAATGCACAATGTTTAAATGACAAGAGAAATACCTGCTACGAGTCAATATACTTTTTATATGAAATTATATGTTATAATAAGTGTCTATATCTTGATAAGATAAAACTCATCAACCTTTAAGTTAATCAATTTTGTTATAAATTTCTATTAATCTATCATCTATTGTCTATTTAAAATTCGACAGTTCCTAATCACTCAATATAAATGATTACCTCTTGCTCCTCCTCTTCATCAGGAATGGAAAGTGACTTATTAATGGGGAACCAATTGATACTCTCTCGTTTCAAATCTGAATCTACATAACTTTCAATTCCGTTATAATCTGATTTCTTTTTATCCTCCAAATAGGAAATGTAAAAGATGTAATTCCAAACGCAATGTTCATATTTAACGTGAAATCTAAATCCCTTTTTGTGTTTTGCCTTCTTCTCCAAAGTCCCTCTATCTATCCCACAAATCAAACAAAATCCTTTGATGTCATTCTCAAGTTCTTCAGCCTCATCTCTCAACACACCAAATGAATCTATGATGATACCAGTAATTATAGAGTATAACAAACTAATTACAACGAAGACATAAACGAATTCCCAAAAATTGAGGATGCTGTATCTGTAGTTTTCATCTGCATACACATCACTAGACGAAACAAAGCCAACAGAACCACCGTCTGTCTTGAATGTGACATCTAATATGAAAGAGAAACATTAGAGCAAGTTTTCACAATATGGTGTATATTGATCTGCATAATAATGATAAACGATTAGAGAATAATAGTATTACATTATTATGTACAAAGAGAGTACCAATAAGATCGATCCACTAGGTCTCCAAATTGCCTATGTTTATGAATTAATCATTTTACATTCACTATCGATGTCAACGTTGGGAATCGCCAAAACACGTCCAACAGCAACAATGCCAAAACTATATTCACGTACAGACCAATAAAGGCCAGGGTTGTAAAAATTAAGAAGTAAATCATCTCATAATCCAACAAGATGCACTTATATAATGTTAAGAAATCTGTTAGATTAAAATACATTCTCCTCCATTTATTCTATTCCAATAAGAAGGAGTCAGTCTTCTCTAAAACAAAATCCTCTTGAAGTACTATGCTTTGAGAATTATCCAAATATTTATATTTGATCTCTCTCATTCTAATTCTATTTATTTGCTTCTCAAACACTATCTCTTATGATTTTATTCTTAAATATGGCAATTTTTTCACTATAAAGATAAAAAAACAAAGGAATTACAAAATTATTTATGTAATTGTTAATCCAAACAAAATATCCCCGAATATCTTCTCTAAGTTTGAATCACTTGAGAATAAGATCATTAGATTTTCTAACACTATTACTAAAAATATTATTTATTTCCATAGTTTCTAATTGCTAGCTAACAAATTTATCACAAAATTCTTTTTGTATAAGGCTTAGAATTTATATTCAGTTTTTAATTTCTAAATTATGTGAGATGAATTTGACAACACTGATTCAACCTTCCTCTATTAAGATAATCTATCAATATCAGAAGCGAATTTCTCTTTAATTACATTGTTGAGAGCAAAACAATGAGGAACTAGTGGAAACATCACTTTTTTTAGTTGTTTTGATGGTAACAGTATTTCTATAGATCCTGTTCTCGTTGCAAAGAACCTCAAAGCTCTATATCCCAATTTCTTCGATTGAGCCTCCTATTCACCTGAGGCTTTCTTTAATTTGTAAGGATTAAAAATCTTGTCACTAAGTTGGGCACTTTCTTATAGCTACCTTATGTTTCTAAATAATAATAACAACGTAAATACTTTGTTAATTGCGAAGCCTAAAATATTGCCTTGTAGAGATTATAAAAGACTATAGATTTATATTTCTTTTTCTATGTTTTCGTATTGTCTATTTACTCATATATTCTTTCCAACACATCTTAATCTTTCATCTAATATACTTAGGCTAAAAGATTAAATAAGGAGAACCCCGTCTCTATAATAAAGGAGTCCCAAAAGTCTTTTACAGCTGATTCCACTGTCACTTCCTATTCAACTTAATACCAATAAGTATTGCTATCTTTTATTTAAACTTTTTTTCTTTATATATTTTTCTTTCTCTCCTTCTCCTATTCGATATTCTTCGCGTCTTCCCCTAACAAATGGGAAAATACAAGGTTTGTGTAATTTTTACCAGAACCATGCAAAATTTTGTATTTCTCATATTAAATTGTAATATTGCGAATCAGTATCTTCTCATTTATTATCATTGAAATTCTCTTTAAAATATCTGATTCATTTTATTCATTATCAGTTAATGATTCCAATGTTGTTGCACATCTGTATTTGATTTCAGATAGCATAAACAATTTATAGTTAAGTGAATTACTTTTTCTAAATGATGTGACTAATTGTTTACAATAGACTGGACATTAGATATAATACTAAATTATCTATTATTAAATGATTGTTTTATCCTGAAGATTATTAATCTTTCTAACTTGTTCTTAGGTTTACATTCTTGATCTTTCTTTGTCCTAATTCAATAAAGCTTAATCAATTTTACTGAATCTTTGATAGAGATTCAAAAACTTAATCTAAGAATCATCAAATCCCAATAGTTTACCACATAACCTTAAAAACTAAGGTTAACAGAGCTTTTCTTAGTTTTAAGGACAAGGACCTTAGATATATTCTTTAAGGCAATCAAAACAATTCAAAATCAAAATGTAATCATCCTGGCTCAAAGCATAAAAGGATTCTTAATTGAAGAAATTCAACAAAATGTTCATCAGATGTTAAATGATATCATAATTCTAAGCAAATCCAATTTATTCCCTAAAGAAATCTTGAAATGGTCTAAAATGATCTTCAGCTAATAGTTAAATCAATTTCATTTAAACTTACAAAATCCCCAATTTCATCGCATTCTTTTTCTACTCTAATCTATGATTTTCATTGAATTCATATGCCAAATACACTCTACTGATATCATGTTAGATTAAGGATCGCAATTTTAATGTTTCATCTTATTATTGATATCTTTCAAAAATGCTTGAAAATATTTTTAACATGTAATTGCTCTTGGTTTTTAGGATCTCTTGCATTAGTTTTTATTAAGCAAATTAATTCGCAGATTCAATTCCTCTGACTAATCTTATTGAAGTTAATAAAAATTAATATAATAATTTCTCTTTCTTTTTCTTATTCAATAAATACAATTCTGATTATTGAACAATCTTTATTTTATCATATTAATTACAAAATGACAAAAAGATTTCGAAGAACCCTTAATTAACAAGCAAATTCTGCAAAGCCTTTATCGCCTTTATTTAGAGAATCTATTCACTTTTAGAATGATACTTTCCCTTTTTATTCAACTCATAAACCTTAACTGTCTAAATATAATCATCTCTAATATAAGTATGTATATCCAACATGTGCCATAAAAACTTTAATATCTTTTTGACGAACTTAAAATTCTTGTTTAAATTGTTCATACTCGATGAAAAACAATTAACCAATGGCACAATAGTCTTTGAAAAGTTTTCACTGATTATTTCGAAATCCTCATTCATAAATAATTATTATTTGTAGATTTAAAAGTACATATCAAAGTTTTCTATTGCCAAAACTTGTTCATTTATAAAAAAACTATTAATTTATTTGTCAATAAATTTATTTTCAGATTTATTCTTCAATAAAATCAACTCATGAATTCTATTATCATTACAATAAATCGGCGAACAGTATGGATCAACAACCTGATCCTTTTTCTGTTGTTCAATTTAATCAAGATTGCAATTTTGAAATTCCAATTTTCTTAAAAATATTATTTTCAACTATTATGATTTTTCTATCAAAAAGTGCCCATTATCTAGTATTTCCCATTTCGTTAAATTAACCTTCAAATACTCCTCTATTTATTTCAAAAATAAGTCAATTTTGATTTTCAAATTATGAAATGGCCTTAATTTCACACTTTGATTCATATCATTCACAATACTCTCAGCAAATGCTTACGATAAACTCATTTGTCTTGCCAAAGTTGAAGATGCCCTGCTCCCAGATTTAGACTTTGACTCTTCAAAATTCTCAATCTATTCTTATATTAATTGAGCTAAGTTAAGAAAAACATTCAGTAAGAGCATTGCATAATTATTAAAATAGAGGCAACTAAAATTATGTTATAATGAAAAGCATGCCATTTATTTTTAACATTCTGATAATTACTCATCCTCCTTTTCGTCACTATCATCACTGTCATTCTCTGATCCAGATTGAATTTATTAAAACAATTACTAATTAGTTTCTTTCTACTTTTTTTGTATTTTGAATTTAAAACTGGAATTAACATAATCATATAATTTTTGTGCTTCGTTTGTTGACTTCATTTTAGGATCTAACACAACTACTTTGCTTTCAAAAACCTTAGTTTCCTTATCTATAAATTGAACAATAGTTTATTGAATTTCATCGTCATACTTGATGATTTCTTTATAATGTAATAGCACATTAAATAGTTTAATTAACTAAGTTTTTAGAATTGTATTCAAGATTGCTACATTTAAATCTTCGAATGTAGATTTGAATATATCTTTTAATTAAGTGCAATATTTTATAACCTATTGTAAAGGGAATGAATCAGCTAACACTTTACAACCTTAAGGATTGGAATATTTGAGCAAATACAATACAAATTGAATACCTTATATTTGATATATGTATGGCATATTTCCAATTAAAAATTACTTCTAAAATGTTTAAAATTTATTTTATGATAGGATCTTTTCAAGTGGATTATCTTAAAATCCAAGTTATTATTTAAATTTCTTACTATTTTAAATTTATTAGATTATTTCGAACAAATTCTTACTGCTTGATACACTTTATTAAATGACTAGTGATTCCAACACTTTCAAGGAACCAAAGTTCAAATTATCCAAGAGTAGATAAATAATCCTACTACTTGCTGACTCAATATTTTCATATGACTCAAAATAGATTTCTTAAAGTAAATCATATTATCCTAAATCTATGCATTTCAAGAATTCATCGAACTAACTAAATTTGCTTAGAACTCTTTATTTATTGTAGTTATTTCCATTACATTAATACTTTAAAATTATGAATGCCTATGTGCAAAATTGTAGTATTGAATCCTCTTCGTTGTTAATTTCTAATATGTATCTGTCATCATTATTACTTTTAATGAACTTTTAAGTAATTACTTAACAAATTTATTAATAACTTTCCAGAAAATCCAAAAGAATAAAATCTACATTCAAAATTCTCAAGATCTTCTATAGTAATAATAAGTTATCTGCTTTTTTTAACAATTGATTTAAATTTATTAGGGACTTGATACAATTTTGATATAATTACTACTTTTCATCAGCACTTTCTAATTCTTTCAATTACAAAATCATAGATTTTATAAATTAATAATGAAACACTTCTTCTTAGTTTTCCAAAAATAAGCATTTTTATAGGCGTTTAATAATGTTCCTTTTTGGTTAATATAGAGATTCCATCAAATTAAAAGCCTTTAATTGCGTTTCAGTTTATGATTACTTATGTTTTAATAAAAGAAATGTATTCTCCTTTATCTTTTCATAGCGACTGTAATTATATTACTATGAGAAATCAAGATAATCAAGTTATTATGATGTTTTAATAATTGAAGTTAAAATTTTAGTTTCCTTTTGTTTAAAATAGAGTTGCAAGAAATCAATTAAAATAATGGACATCTAATTAAATATTTCCTTTTGTTCTTAAAATTACTAGAACTGCTGAACTTACTCTTACAAGGGTTGAATTTACTCTAATGATTATGGTAATAAGGTGTAGGCTTGTATTAATAAATTAACATCAAAGTATTTTTCATGGAAATCTTTATTTTAAGGGAGATTGAAAGTATACAATTTGTAAAACATTTGTAAGATTTTACAAACACTTAAACTGAGATTGATTTAATTTTACTAGATTAAATTAAGTTTAACTAATTCTTAAGTTATGGTAAGTAATTTTTCAATAGCTTTTGTGTCATTTATTGTAAATTATCTTGTTAATTATTTATGAAGAGACTTTTTCTAAAATTCCTACAATTCTAACGATGATGCCTCAGCATTAAATCCATTAGATTATTGAACAGTACCATATTATTTATTCAGATTGAATATAAGTTTAGGGATTTGCTTCGGTTGATATGGATAACAATCAACATATAAATTCATTAAGATAATAATTAATCTGCATCTTAATGTTTCAGCATTTCCAGAATAACTGATATAATTAATTAGAGTCTTTTATGGTAACTTTGTCCTATAAAACTAAATGTTCTCATAATTCCTTTCCTAACATAACAACCCTATGAGATTCAACTGAGAGTCTAAGAAATTCTTACATTCTATGATGTCTTTCATAAAATCTTTATTCGCCTTGCTACTCTAAACATAAATTTCATTCAACTCATATTATTTATCATCTATTTATACATAGAGTAGATTGTCTTCCTTAATAACAAATTATAAGAGTATTTTCGGGCCTTTAATAATATGCTTACCTATATTAATTTAATTATTGAAGCATGCTTTATCATTTTGTAAGCATAGAACACTTAATATCTTCATGATATTGCCCCAGAATCTCTTATTTAGGATTTAGAGACAATAATTTGCTCTTTCAAAAATCTCATCGATTAAAGTTTAAGATTTAATTTAATTTTATTGTTTAGTTAAGATGGTGTTGATTCTTGTGGAGCGTTTGATTAAAGACAAGTCAAATTCCTTTTCAGATTCCTCAATAAAAGGCATTATACCTGCAACAGGTATTAGATTTGCATTGTTCTCAAAAAGTCTAATCAAACAATAAAATGCTCCAACATTGTAGCCTAAATATTATTTTAGTTTAAAGTAGGCCAAAAATATTATTTGACTGTTATAATCGTTGTTTGAACTAAAGGCTTCAAAAAAAAGGAATATTTGATTAAGAATAGTATTTAATTGAAATAAGAATTGAATATTATGGTCTTATATTGGTATATCATTGTTGGATTCGATTTTATTTTACTCAATAATTTATGTGTATTCATATGACCATTTCACAACTTCAATAAACTCAATGAGAGATTAAACAATAACCTTTTTTCTTAGTAAATCCTAGTTATATTGATTCATCTTCAAATAATATATTGCATTTTTATCTAATATTTTAGGTTTCTCTTCATCGGCAACACAGAAGATAGTAAGATCATTCAATGCAATTTCCAATTACTATATTTCAAAGAAGAGAGCATCAAATTTTCCATCATTTATTGATTAATTCTTGATAAATGAATTGATATCATCGTAGTGCAACTAATATTTAAGGTTGATTTGATAAATCAATTGAACTATATTGTCTAACCAATTTTAGTGGACGAAATCCACATTTGAGATCAGATCAAATTGTAATAAGTCTAATTTAGATTTTTTTGATTTGTATTTGACCAATTGTTTATCCTGAATCTAATTAAAATTATTTTCATTAATAATTTTATAACTCAAATATTGGTTATTGCAGAGAATGTAAAAGAGTTTATTATTGATGCTCTCTTCTTCCATTAATGAAAAGAGGGAAGCCTCTTAATAAGTCTAGCAAATCTAATCTCCATTCAAATAGAAATTGCCAGACAAATTTTATAGATAAAATTAATCTCCTTATTTGATCTATTAATTGATCTTTTGAGGATGATACAGTCTCCATATATCATAGATTAATAACTCTATAGTTTATTAATTTCTTTCTCCCGATCTCCAAAATATTGTCTTATTTTTGGAGTAAATTCGCTAATATTGTGTTTGCACATCTGTCATATGTAAGTTGTTATTGTGAGGATTCTATTGAATATTTTCATTGGTAGTCAACTCTAAATAAGAGTCTCTTTCAATTTATTTAATTTTAATCAGGCTGCCATAACAAAATGTAGTAGACTAATTATCTTTGAGATGCTTTTTGAATTTGAATGTGGTTTATTTGGTTGTTGAGATTATAAAATCGGAAGTTTGTTGCATATTCTCGTTCACATTTACAAATAAATCTGATTATTATTCTAGAGTTTACAATGTAATATTTTCAGGAGAATACATCAAAAATATATCATCATCAAATGAAACTTTATTGGAATTCTTTAATAATAAGGATCGATTACTTAAATTTAAGATTTATAACAAGGCTATATTCTGAATAGTGTTGTTCTATCAATATTATTAGTTAAAGAGAGTATATATTTGTCATTATGCACAATAACACAAATAAATTTATTAGATTTAGCTAATTGTATTACTATATCTTGTGAGTATTGTATATATTCCTATTGATTGATTATCTGGATGTCGTCGTTATCAAATTAGACTGGAAAGATATGAAATATCATATTTTCTATTTGCAATTGAGATCTAATAATATTTTTTGCATGAACTTCATTTTTATGAAAGGTGGATAAAATCCATCTGAACTCAGGAACAAGTCACTGCATTAAATAAGGATCTCGTCATTTGAGCATACTTGTATCAATTGTATATTCTAATCCATATTTTATAATTAATAAATTAATTTATAAAATGGTCAAGCCAAATTCAATACACTTTTCATTAATTGACTTAATAATATAAATTTTATGGAGAACTACAATAAAATGAATAAGTAAAAATGAATTTAATGAATTTGATTCCACAAAATATGAAATAAATAAAATAATTACATATAAATTATACTCTTAAAATTGTGACAATCTAAAAAGAATATTTATAATAAATTTTGAATTACGCATGTAAGAAGAATTATCTAAAAGGAAGAATCCTTTATTAGTACAAGTAGACTCATAGTAAATGGAGTACCTTTAATTTACTTTCAGCATTGAATTTTAGAGCATAATATGAATCTATTCTAATATTTATGATAAATCTTGACCAATAGGCTGAGCTAGTGTGCTCAAACATTCATTAGTTAAAGTATATGTTTAAGGTATATTTTGTATTTAATAGAAATAATAATAAATATTAAATTATATAGAGAATTGGATTAATATCAGAATTACTATTTTTTAATGTACCCTATCTAAATGTATTACAGAGATTAAAAATACGATCGAGCTCTTTTAAAAATAAATATCCAATTTCATATCTATCATGTACACTTCCTTTTTTGTAATTTTATATGTTATTCCATATAAGGATATTGATATATGAATTTTATAGTCATCAAAGCATGATGCTTCACATTAAGCTCTCTGCTTAATGTACGAGTATGTTTTTGTAGATAGTAATTACTCTTTGCATTGTTGAATTTCACTTCTTCTATTTTTGTTCATTTAAATTTATATAAAAATTGTGAAGGTGTAAAATTGGTATGAATACAAATTCTATTTATTTCTTATTCATTGCCTATTTATGTTTATTATTTTAAATGCATATGATATTATTCAACCATTAGGTATTCTATAAGTGTGGATTATCATGTAAATTGTAGAGAGATTGATGTATAGAGCTCTTAAATAAATTGATTAAGTTGTATAAAATTTGAATCAATGTGATTTTTTGGAATTGGATAGATAAATGATTTAATTTGTCTGATAATTATTTATGTCTCAATAATTTGTGGGAATCAATGGTGAATAGACAGGTTTAGGATTCACAAATCGAGATCAAGGTGCCAAAGTTGAGGAGGATCAAGGTTTGATTGAATTCAAAATAATAACTAATAATGGAACTCATGAGAGTATGAAAATGCTAATTGATCTCAAAAACATCTTTGCTAGATAACTACCGAAAATGCCTAAGGAATATATTGTACGATTAGTATTTGATAGAAATCATGAGTCCATGTGTATTATTAAAGTATACGATCAATCTATTGATTTAGGATAACACCAAAGTCATTGGAGGGATTTGTTACCGAAAGTATCCAACTTAACGATTTGCTGAGATTGCTTTCTTGGCCATTACTGCCACACTTTAAGTAAAGGGTTATGGAACTCGATTAATGAACAAGTTCAAAGAGCATATCCAAAAACAGGATGTTGAGTACCTACTCACTTATGCTGATAATTATGCAATTGGATACTTTAGAAAGCAAGGATTCTATTAAGAAATCAAAATGCAGCCAGATCGATGGAAAGGATTTATAAAAGATTATGATGGAGGTACCTTGATGGAATGTTATGTGCATCCAACTATAGACTATGGGAATATAAGTGATTTAATTAAAGAGTAAAAGCAGGTACGATTGAGTTTAATGTTAGCTAATGATAGATATAATCAAGAAATTGACTTTGAATGATAGGGTTTACCCTGGATTAGATAAGCAGAATTATAAGGTTGAAAATTCGAATTCTGACAAGCCTGCTGTTAAACCTGAGAGTATACAAGGCATCTTAGAAAGTGGATGGACAATTGAAGATTACAATGAACTCAAAAAACAAAAAGAAAAAACTTTCATGATTTCTTGCCAATAAATCATAGACACAATGAGGAAACATAAATCTGCTTGGCCTTTCTTAGATCCAGTCAACAAAGATGATGTTCCCGATTACTATGATGTAATCACAGATCCTATTGACATCAAAACTATCGAAAAGAAATTATAGACTAATTAATATACATCCAAGGATCTCTTCATTAAGGATGTTAAGAGGATATTTACAAACTGTCGAAATTACAATCAGCCTGATACAATTTACTACAAGTGTGCAAATGAGTTAGAACGTAGCATTGACGATTATCTGAAGAAACTTAAAGATGAATAGCAAATACCAGGAGTCAGTAAAAAAATCAAAAAAACAAGCAGTAAATGATAATTAATTTATATATAAATAAATGAGGAATTAAATTCAAATATACTCCAATTACTTAAGTCTAATATTGTGTAATAATATACTCAAATATTAGAAATAAGCAATTGAATAAATCAATAATTATTATAATATTAATATTTTGAATATAAAATATCAAAATTAATTAAAGTGCTAGTTAAGCAATGCTATAACTTTATTGCAGTAGTCCATAAAAACTACAGGATGGCCTCTGCGTAATTAGAAATCGAGCATGTGATCATTATTATTGCTAGGCATCTAAATATATATAATGAGAGAAAGAGAGATACCTTGTAAATTTTAATGTACAATATAATTTCCTTTGGTGAGTATTTATTTTAATTAGTCTTTTGCTTTTTGTTCTAATTTTCGTCTTTCTAAATAAGAGATGGCAAATCATTTATTGATCCTGCATCCTCTTCTTTTTGAAATTAATTGAACAACTCAGCATTAGAATTGTATTTGGTCATTTTAATCAAGTTCCGATGATAACACTTAAATTTGTAATAAGGACTCTTGATCTCGATGATAGTGTTAAGCTTCTCTAAGCAAGCATAAATTGCAGTTACGATTTATCTAGCTTGATAGGGATAAACAACAGCCATGATATCCTTAGGCAGATTCTTCCCATAATCATATGGAGCAGGTTTTTGGATGTCTGTGAGTAGAACGTTGTCGAATGATGACCCATCCAATTATGGGATGTGAGGATTGAATATCAAATCCTTTTTTGTAAGGTTATGTATATTCATTGGGGTTGAAGATTCAATTCCCATCTATCCTAACAGTAGATCGTACATCACAACTATTGATTTATCTTTTCTCTTGCGTATGCTCTTTTAGATATAGCCATGGGAAATCCCTTTGACATTGACAGAAGGCAATTCCATTAATCTCTTGAAGACTTCATCATTGATTTGTCTACTGCTATCATCCAATTTAATTGGGATTTATAAGTAAAATGGGATCTGATTGCTCCTCAAATATGGATGCAAATAGATCTCATGGAATTTAATTCTCTTTAAAGGATCTGGAGTTAACATCCTGTTAATCAAATCTCGCACTTAGGGACTGAAACTACTAGGGATTGTGTAATCAGCAGTCTTAATCTTGATATATAAGGCTTACGTGGTTTCTTCATCGAATGGTAGGTATCCTGCTAGTAAAGCAAAGAGGATAACTCCACAACTCCAAACGTCTGCTTCTGACCCGCAGTAAGATCTACCTGAAATAACTTCCGGAGCTGCATAATTGGGAGACCCACAAGGTGTCTTTAGATACTTGCCATCATTCATTTTATTGCTGAGTCCAAAATCTCCTATCTTCAAAGTGTTATTGTGTGATATCAGAATATTTTCAGGTTTAAGATCTCTATGAGCAATAAGATTATGATGACAATAATCAACTCCACTTAATATTTATAAAAAGAAATGGCGAGCCTCTGCCTCTGGCAATTTACCTCTTTAGGCAATCAGATCAAAGAGTTCCCCTTTTTCTGCATATTCCATTACTACAAAGATGTCTCCAGCAGTATCAAGCACTTCGTATAGTTTGATCACATTTGGATGATTGAAGTGTCTCATATACCGTATCTCTCTACTAATCTTGTCTTCCAATTTCGAGTTCTTCATCCTTTTCTTATTTATGATTTTGATTGCCACTTAAGTATTTGTGATATTGTGCCTGGCCACTATTACACTTAATATATATCACATACACTTCACTTTCCCAAATGAACCTACACCTAGAGTCTTCCCTAATAAATAATGTCCTATTTATAATGGAGCTTGCTGTTACATTTCAATAATTTTTATACTGCATTCATGTAATAATTACTTTGAATTTCTATAACAAATACTTAAATATTTTACACAAATAAATTTAATTTAGCACTTCATTCATTTATATTTTAAATAAAACTAGTTCATTTACATCTTTCCTAATCTGAAACTCTAATTTCCCTTTCTCTGAGTTCTTACAACGCAAACAGATGAAAGATTTAACATTTAAAAATAAAACTTTAAAATTGTTTGTTATTTTGATCCTCAATAAGATATTGCTAATTCAATTATTCTGAAGAGTAATCAGAATGCGCACTTAATGGAACTGAATAAGAGAGGAAGGAGAGAATAAAGAATTGATATATGAAATAGGAATGGGATATGCACTATGAAATGCTTGAGATAAAAGATTGAATTGATTCATTAAATAAATTATTAGTCGTTAAATTTTAAATTATATAATGGATTAGAAGACTGAAAAGGCTTTACTTGAATAGTAGAATGAATTGCTAGAGTTATAGTTATAAGAATTAAAGGAGAGGGAAGATGCTTACAAAATGTTTAATGAAACAATTCTAAATGCGTACAATTCAATGCAGAGTGATGTGAATAAATAGAATGTAAAGATAAAGTCCTATACTTGTAGAGTTTAGTTTATAAACAATTATAGCAGACTTTGGAATAATATTCTCAAGAACTGATAGAATCTAAAAATAGGAACACTTCTGTTTTATCCTAACTAGAGAAGGAGAATAGATACTTAAAAAACTACTTAGAATAGCTAGAACTTAAGATCTAAGAATAAGTGCATGTTTAGGAGAATGAACTGACTGATTTGGAATAATAATTTGATGCTCTTCAATAACAATAATAGGAGAGTACTGTAATTGCAAAACCTAAGAAGAAGAGACCACAATAGGATAAAGAAAACAATAAACCAGAATAAGGAGGTGGAGGTTGCATTGTGTCTCTTAAGCCTAAAAATGACTGCGGTAAAAAGAAGGAATTATGCATAAGCAATGTTTTGAATTGCAAGGATTCTAATGTGATGGAGATCTCCCAATTAGATTGGTTGGATTCCAGTTCTCCCACTGGATTATTCAAACAATTTTAAATACTCCAACGAGGACGGGATCGATCTGATCACTCCTTGAGGATGCAATAGTAGCCTCAATTATCCAAAAGAATATTGAGGGATTAAGGAAAGAGTGAAGATTCGGTCAGTCCTCAGTGCATTAGGAACACAACTCCCTCAAATCAGTATATCACTCCAGAGTCAAAATAGTTAAAATATGATGCGCAATAGGGGTTTGCACATAAGGCAGAATAGAATCAACAAAAAGCAGAAAAGAGATCACTGGCGGAATTCACAAAACAAATTAATTCTGTTAGATCAACTGAGAACTTACAAATGATTTTAAGATAGAGTTCTTTGGTTTGATTTAAGTTTTTATTTTTCATTTATATCAACATGATAATGAGTATAACAGCAATATGATGATGAGATCTGATAAACATTCCAAAATAAAAATTAATATTTAAATGTATGAATATTGGAATGGTTAGGACCTTCAGAATAGACATCCAAATACCTTTGATTAATAAGGGAATCAGTTTATTTAACAAATTATTACAAAAATAACCCATATTTTAGACCATTTTAATCAATAAAAGTTTATTAATACACTTACTATTCTTTCTGAAATAAAAGTATAAAGCTTGTAATCTATAACTTATTATTTAGACAATTTAATGCCAGGAAACTGGCTCAAAGTTCTGATGAGCTGCAAGATTATATTTCTCAATTCATGGAAGTTGATGGAAATGCCCTGAGACTCAATGAGCAATTCTAAAAAGTGGAGAAGTAAAAATCAGCAGAACTCTTGTTGAAAATGATAGAAATGGCTCAAGGGACAATGAGGGATTGGTACTAATTCCAACATTAGCAATTAGAGATTGAGAAGTTCGAGGAGAGAGGTAGACACATCTTTAATAAATATAGTGGATTTGTTGCGTCATAATTTTGAATTGAAATAGTCCTAAAATAATTGCTGTGCTTCCTGTCAACTTATTTGATAATTATTTTATAAGAAATTTTTAAATCTATGGTATATCTCTATATTTATAATAACCAAGAGTAAAATTAGTAGGCCAGCATCTTGCAAAAGTCGAAAGAGTGAAGTGGATGAGTCCCTTTTTGGTATCAAATTAGCACAAATTACTTTCTAGGAAGCAATAAAAAAAATGATGCTAAAACTGCTAAAGTAATTCAGAGTGTTAGAAAAGGAGACAATTCAAATCCAGACGTGGTATTAATAGGAGAAGCGGAATTATAAAGAATGAAAGTTTGTTTCATCATAAACTTTAGAATAATGCCATTGTTACAACCAAGGAGGAACAACTATACTAGAAGAAACTCTTGGAGGAACAGAAGGAAAAGTAAATGACAGCTGCTAAGGCCAAGAAACAGAGGATGATATCACTGGAAGAAGAAAAGAAGAAGCAAATCCCTTTGACTGCGCAACAATAGGAAGATAAAGTAGTTAAGGACAGTCTCAATGCAAGGGTATCAAAAATATCTTCGAATCTAGGCTGCAGAGATTTTGAATGAACAATTGGATGATGTTAAAGAGATGAACAAGATGGTTATGTATGCCAAATGTGTTACGATCAGAGACAAATAATTATAAGAGAAACAGTAATTGAAAGAACAATTCAAAAATTAAGAGAAAAGGAAAGATCTCATGATGGAAATCGAAAGACTCAAATCAGTTAAGTATTATGAGGAAAAGGATGTCTAACATAAACAAGAATTGAAACAAGGTCATGGCATTATTGTAGAATAAATTAAAGAGAGAGAATTGATTAGACTTAAAGAAAAAGAGGAATAGGAGAGAGAAGGCCAAGTTATGATTAAACAAATTAAATAAGTACAAATTGAGGATCAACAAAAAAATCAATAGAGGAAACATATGTAGAAAAAGTTGCAAGATGAAATTCTAGAAGCTAATTCAAAGGCTATTGTTGTTAAAGAAAAGAGAAGATTGGAAGAAAAAGAAGAAGAAGAGAAGATTGCCAAATATAACTTAGAAAAGGCACAGAAGGATGCTGAAATCGTTGAGGAACAGAGAAGAATCAAAGAGGAGAAGGAGAGGGATGTGTAGAGATTAAGAGAAATGCAAGAGAAGGCTTAGGATAGACAGGCTGAATTAGATTTATTAAGAGCAAAACGAGCTATGGAATAAAACGAAAGAGCTGCTAGAGAAAAGGAAAGAAAGGAAGCAGAACTCAGATAAAAGTTAAATTCAGAATTGTATTAAGCAAGAAAAGTTCAGTAGAATGAGAAATAGGAAAAATTAGAAGAATAAGTACTTAACCATAATATTGAATCAAGGCAAGACTTGAAAGGGATGAATTCCAAAGAGTTATTCAAAAGTAAAAGCAAGAACGTGAAAATGAACTAAGATTACAGTAGGAAAAAGAACATTTGGTTAAAAAACATGCCGAGGAGTTGAGAAAATAGATCTCAATGAATGAGGAAAAAAGAAAGTAAGAGGAGAGAGATAAGTATTGAATTCATCTAATATTGAAAGGCTTGAAGAGGGCAAGAAGATTAGAGATAAAATGGTTAATGAGAAGAAATTATTAGAAAATATTAAGGAATAGAAATTGAAAGGACTCAATGATAATACAATACCTGATAAATATAAGGCTGAATTAACAAAAAAGAAAATCAATATTCAAATATGATTCATCACAGATACACATAAAAACTAGATATTATAATTTAAATTTCTCTCTCATATCTTTATTAATATTTTAAATCAATTTATTTTGAATGATTTGTGTATTGTTAGAGCCTTAGCGAAATCGGTTCCATCCAGTTCTGCAATTTTCTATTTGATCTATTCTTACTTAAGTCTCTATTTAAAAATTGCATTATAATTCGTTTTGTAAGCACTATCTATTATAAATTTCAATTACTTTATGTCTGTTCCTGCCTTATCCACTCTTATGGGGTTTGATAGTTTCCAATCTGGCTTGTATTCATACTTTACTCTATATTATAAATATAAAATAACTTCATTTCAGTTTTTGGCACTAATTATGCCTTAAATCTGCTAAACAGAGCTCTTAGACAATTCAATACTAACTCTTGAAATTCTAATTCATCATTCATCTCAATCCAATTATCCAAAAATAATTTTGCCAAATCATTAAGAGGCTAGGCAAATTCCAGTTCAGAGCATTTCTTGAATTTGAAAACATTATTTTGAGGCTTAAGTAATTTTTGTAAATATCCGAATTCTGTGCCATAAGTTGTTGAAGTTTAATTTTTTCTATGCATTTCTTCGGCCTTCTTAAAGCTATTTAAAATCAAACAGAATCATTACTCTAACTCCTATTGATCAGTTAATTCTTGCAATTGGACTGTGGGAGGCTTAGCTCTATTATATCAACCTAGATATAACCTAAATAGTTTTCTTCCCTTATGCTTATAAATCGCACCAATCAATTGAAGTCCTCTGGCTTCCTTTTCACTTGCTATGTAGATCCAATCTTTATAGTAGTTTAAGTATTCAGGTTTAATAATATTTGTTAGAATTGCAAACGGTTCCATTCTTAATGTTATATCAATTATTAATAATTAATAATCATTTCAATCCAATTATATACGATGTTTTCATTATAATATATTATAAAATTATATACAATACACAGTATTAATTAGTCATATGATAAGGAATTCAACAAAATATTGTATTTATAATTAATATGTCAACTAGGAAAGTAAAACTTTTCAATTATATTATAATACTAATGAGAAAAAAAATTTAGGTGTAATACAAGAGAATTTGTTATATATATTTGGGTTCCAATCTATCTTTATCTGTGTATCGGTATTTACTGGTAATCTATTCCATTAAATCTATACGTAATTAAAATGTGTACAGATTGTGTCTATACAGTTTCATCATCTAAATAGCACTCATGAGAGTTCTTAAACTGATTGCTTATGTCTAGCTAGATTATCGGCAGAGTTTGAGATCTTATGGTTTAATTTAAGTAAATTTGACAAATTCAGTGCCAATCCTTAATAATAAGTAGTATAAATTAAATTAAAAGGTTCAGTACCTTTGGGTTAGCTCTAATGATAGATCTTAACTAACATATGTATAAACCCTTAATTTTTCTTTGGTTTCAATAATAACTTCTATCTGCCATAATCTGAGCTATCAGAAATTTATCTTAAATAGTGATTAAAATTGACCTAAAATATATCATGTATATTTATGATGTTGGAAATTTCAGGTTTCTTTTAAACGGCATTCGTCAAGTATAATGTTTTAATTTACTTGTATCCAATTCTCAATATAGGAAAGTGATAATTATAATATCATAGTTATAAATGCCCCAATAAAAAATAATTATTAGATCTCGAAGTAATAAGTAAGGGTCGAAATTGTTATCTCCTAGAGGTGATCTAACTGACACTTAAACTAAAGTATGAAATTAATCTAGAGTAACATAGTTGATTGAGAGACTAATGAGTAGGTAAAAGAATGGAGCAAATAAGGAAGAACAACAATTTTAATCATATTTTGAGCATTTGGGAGGTATAGATATTAAGGAATGATAGGATAATGTCTATGTTCTCTTTGCAATTGTGGCAGACATTAATGTGAAGGGAAACAGTGTAGAAATAGACCATCTATGCATGGGAATAAAAGTATATATTAGAGGGAATACATTCATAAATCGCCAGATCAGAATGCACATTATAATTAAAACCTTTTTGAAAGTCCCAAATAAGAAGGTGACATAGGAAATGTTTCAACATATAAGGTATTGAGTATTGCAGATTCATCTAGCATGACTTTTTGGGAAGCCAATCCAACTTTAGATTTAAGAGTACCTCTCCTTAATCTACTCTGCGTAGTGGCCCTTTTTGTGGTCTTTCAACTTACAACAACATGTTTTTGAATTGGGGTGGTGGAGATACTGTTCCATTATTGTCATAAAAGAATCCGACAGTAATTAGAGATCTTCCATTTTTCGGAAGAACCAATTACAGAGAGTGTTTCTAAGGAACATAAGTCCAACCTGCTTAGAGTGCGAAAGGTTTTCATTGCAATAAGTAGACTATTGAATTAGAGTAAGGTCACCTCTATCTCCTCCGAATATGAAGTTTAATGGAATTTCAGTTACTAAATCTTCATATCAGCCCTATCGAACAGATAAGTTTGTGAATTTCAAAGAGCAGCCTTAATTTTAATCGAATCCTTCCTACCAGGGATAATACAATTCTGAGTATTTTAAAGAATTTGATCCTAAATACAAATAGCCATGCCCAGCAAAATAAGTTCTAGAGGAAGTGTCTCAATAATGTTGATACTTATAAGATTAAAATTTTGTCCATTAAAATTGATATTAAAACATTTGACATAATTCCAATATTTTTTTTGATAGCATTTAGATTTAAAATGAACTGTAATTACAAATTTTATTTTAATGAATCCAAACATCCCTTAATTTAAAGGAAGTTATGTAAATATGAAGCCTTCAAATCCTCTTGAAGAATTCTCGAAAGAAACTGAGTAGAACACCAGTTCAATTTAGAAATTATAAAAAAGACTAAATGAACAGTAATAGTAGGTAGAGGCATTGATGAAAGTCGTTTCAAACTTATCATAGCAATAATATCTATCACAAGAGGACATATACAAATACCCCATTGAAAGTGAAAGACTTAATAGTTAATTGCTTGATGAAATAAAGCATCTCAAAAAACAACTCAAATAAATTGAAAGTGGCCCAAAACTTCCTTAAGCTCCTTTCCTTCCTCCATTCTTCCCTCAATAATAACCCTCCTTAGGTTATCATCAATCATATAATTCGATACCAGTCGCTTCACCAATACTCAATCAAAATCCTTATTATCAGTATTATCCATTCCAGAATACACCTTTCCACCAACCAAAAAAGGAAGAGAGAAGCATTAGTAAATTATTGAAAGATTATGCTCAAAAAAAAAAGGGAGAAGGAAAATTAAATTAGATACTGTCGCATTTGCTACAAAACTAAAAGAGTGATCCAAATTTTGAACATTAATAAAATAGCAAATCCAGAAGGCATATAAAGGTTAAGCATATGTAGAAAAAGGAAGTTTCTGAGTTAGATTTCAGCAAGAGTTCCAGATTTGACTTGGAATAGCCTGAGCCAGTAAAAATAAAGTCAAATAAAAAGCAAGTCATCAAAATTTAAGATTAACATTCGCCATCATAAAATTAAAATTAAAAAATTAAACTATAACCTTTAAAAGTTAAACCAACTCAAGAAAGATTAAAAAAATTAAGGAAAAAGCTTAAATATTGTGCTTGGATGGTGATATTTTATAAAAATAAATATTATCAAATATTAGAGAAAAAGGCAATCAAAAGATTTAATGATGAGATTAGCAAATATGCAGATTAGTTTGTAAATAATTTTATTATCTATTAGCTATATAGCAACACCATTTTATCATTTGTTAGAGAAAGTCAAAAGACTTCCTTATTAAAAAAGTCCTGGGTTTTCACTGAAAATAAAGATGTTCCTTCTCGAATAGCCAATTTAATTTAAGCTGCGGATATTTTCATTAAACAATTACTTATTGGAACATAGACTACCAAGTTTGACGAATAACATTTATCATTCATTCGAGCTTTTACTACGAATGAAGGGTATTTATTTCCAGGTCATTCAGCTTTTGTGGCACAAAGATTAAAATTAAATTATAATAGAAAATTAAAGTAATACATAACTTAAGTAATTTTAGATTCACTTCTCCTGATCAATAAAAAATGGCTTTTTTAGAATATGCTTATATCTACTTACTTTTACACTAATAAGTGTTTTCAATGAAAGGTTGGCAAGAATTACTTAAGCCGTTTGCAGAGCCATTGAAGATTTTAGTTTCTCTCCTGCAATATCTATTTATAGACAAATTCAAAAATTTGTAGATCATTTCAAAAGATATAAAATTTAATGTAAATAATTTCGTATTAATAAAATCAGACTGAAAAAGTTCCAATTTTGGATTTCACTAAAAGTAAGGTAGAGGATTTCAAATTTGTCATAAATAATAAGGATCCTAGATATTAGATTACCGACAAAATTCCAATACTTGGATTATATGATGAGACAGTGTTGAAACCTGTGATCGATCATCCTGGATTTGCAACTCTTTAAAATCAATTTAAGGCCTATGTTGATTATATTTACTCTAAAGTAGGTTGAAATAAAGCATAGATACTTGATGTGATATATATCTATATTCATTTTTAATCCACAGAATAGTTATTTATATGATGTTTAATATTAAGATTATTGTATGTATATTTAAATCAATTCCCTTGAAGCATTTCCTCTTGCATTTACCTTTTTATTCTTTCTTATTCCAATTGATCCATCCTTTATTGTTCTTCTCTATCTCTTAAAATATCCTCATTGAGATCTGTAAATTATCTTTTAGCCCATTTTTCCCTGGATAGATATTCACATTCAACAGTCTTATCACCATACATTCTACCAGCTAGATATCTTCTGGCAGTTCTAGCTTCTTAGGTCTTTTCATATTCCACAAAGATTTTTCCGACTCCAATAATAATTTTACCAAATTCAGGTCTTGGAATAATGACATTTTTCACAGTTCCAAATTTAGAGCATTCTTCTCTAATATCATCCATAATGTCATTGAATTCTTCATCTATCGTAACCTATATATTGGTATAAATATTAAACATCTTCAAGAGTCAGGACATTTTTAATAACTAAAATATTAGTAGGTATTTACACATATCTGGCCATCAACTTAAGTGGTCTAAAGCTAATAAGAGAGGATGAGTCCTTATCATTCCCTTTCATGCTACTCAAAGGATTAACTTAATTTCATAATACATAATTACATGCTTGTTCACTCATCATTTATTGGTTTACAGCAGCTAAGGAAGTCAAAAATGACTTTGGTCTACCAATTTTCAATTGATGGCCTTTAAAAATCACGTCCTTCAAAATGAAACCCTGCGTAGCTTCTTCGGGAGATCTAAATTCTATGAAACCAAAATGGCCTAAAAACACATAACCGTAAAATAAAACCATTCGAATCAATCCAACAGTTGCAGATAGAACCAGCGTGTTCTGAACTAACACCCATTTTCAATAATGTTTAATTCAAGAAATCTTAGAGCTATGATTGATACATCTATATTAATTTATACTTCTTTTGGTTGACTATTCGGTGGTAAATTTCCAACATAAAGTTTTCTATCAGCTTTTACATCTGCTTAGGCTCTTAATTACTGTAATCTTTGCATTTAAATTAATGGTGTCATCGCTTAGAGTGCTTCCAAAGAGGCCAAGGGATTCTGAAGAGGATTGGCAGGAAGTATGGCTAATGTTCATTTTAATATAATACTTTCGAATTCTCCCAAAGACACTTACTCAATTAATTTACTCTTAAAGTTTGAGAAAGGAGTATTTTATAAAGGATCTTTTGGTGGAGAATCGAAACGAAATCTTGTAATTTATTGAATAGAAATTACCCCCTTGATTATTCTGCATTTGTTTTAGTTGGTGCCTTTGGTTTTTAAAATTCATCTCTCTTTTTCTCTTTTTCCTTGCTAACATTTCTAGATCTCTTTTTGCCTGCATCTGATTCCTATATTCATAAATGCAATTACTTTCTTCTCCTTTTTTTCCTTCTTTTCTTTCTTCTCTTTCTTCTCCTTCTTTTCTTTCTTCTCTTTTTTCTCTTTCTTTTCTTTCTTGTGTCTTATATAAGAATAATAACTTACTTTTCAGAACCCATTTTAATATAAAAATTAAATAATAACAATATCAAATAACTAAATTCTCAACTAATTCAATATTTATTGGTTTCCATTTCACTATAAATACACTCCAAAATTGATGTTTCAATTGTAATTCCTACTTAACTAAAGTTCCTTCCTTAGTGTTCTTATCTAATAGTTTCTCCACATCTCTTCTCACAAAGTTAGCAATCTTTTCAGATTTTGTCACTTCGATATTATTAGAATAAATTGGAATATCTTATAAAAGATTCAACCCTAAATCCTATGGTTGCAATATAATAATTCCATCAACTGCAATCACAGCCACCTAAATCTAAATGGACCATTACTTTTTATCTTACTTTTTGGATAACATGTATGGCTGCTTTTATTTTTAATAAAATTATTAGTTTCCTCCATAGAATAGTTGTTATTACAATTATTGATACATGATATTGATTTAGGCATCTCTGGGATAACTTTGCAAAATAATCTCAAGACAATCAAAAATGAAATTGTCTATCTTCTCCCAATTCGGATTATTTATGTATAAGCCATATTGCATCTTATTGGTTTAGTTTCGAATATATTTCTATTTCCTTTTTGCTATGTTTACTTTGACTTTCTCCTCTATCTCATTAATTATCCTCCTTGCTTGGTCCCACAAATGATTTTCAGGAATCTATCCCATTGTATCCCTATATTAGGATAAACTCTCAATCAAATAATCATTTGTATGGGAAAAAGCAGCTTTGAAATCTGACTCCACTATTTCACTGTAAAGATCATCAGTCTCTTTGATCTGAGGCATGTAGTGACAACTAATCTGATAATCACATGGAAGATGATTCAAATTCTGATTTTCAAATTCTTTCAATTAGTTAATTATCTGATTAACTTACTCTCTGTCATCCAACACCTTTAGTAAACAGAACATGATGAATTTGAATGAGAATGGAAATCTCGCTATCTTTTTAGATAAATAATAATGTGAGCATTCTGGATAGAGTGCAACAGTTCTAACATCATAGGGCAGCTATTTCATTTCATCATTTATAGATTGCAACTTTTTAAGCGAACAAATTTAATCGAATAAATACAGCATATTATTGTCATTGACTTAATAAGCCTTGCTTACTATTTTAACTCCTTCGCATATTTGATATATGATTTAACAGATATCCTCATAGCCCATTCCATTGATACCAACTGGAATCAAGACTACTATAATTGGTTTAATTTACAAACACTGAGCTAGAGTGATTTATTAATCAAATTTTTAAGGAATGTAATCCAAATTCTTATGTACACAATTAAAAGTAATATTTGATAATTGCATAAAAGTAAAGTTTGATCTCTTATTATAAGGAATACTTAACATAAAGTTTAAGCACTTCTCATAGAACTCATATTCAGATTGACTTAAAGTATATTAAGAAAATAAATTTCCGAGTCTTCTTTAAGGAGATGCATATTGGGAACTAATTACTAAAGTTTTTACTTCTCTTAATATTTCAAAATGTTTTGAAGGGATATAACAATTACCTAAATATTTATCATCCTTCCAAAAATAAAGAGTTTTTCCTCTAAAGTAATCGTGATATTTATCTATAAGTTAATTATAAATTGAATTGCAGAGTGATGGAAACTTTGATAGATTAGTCTATTGTAAAATCGATTTAGCAGGTTCTAAATTGTAGTGATTTAGAAATCTTTTCACAGTTTCTGGTGGTAATATTCTTTAAGATTGATAATGCTCCATTATTGAATACCACTCAATATAATTGGATGAATTTCTGCATCCAACTAAACTTCTATGTACAAGATCCTTTGTTAAACTGGCTTATAGAGTATAATTCATATTCAAATAAGCATCAAAGAATTGCTAACCAACCTTGCAAACCCTCTCGCATCCTTGTGTTTTTAGATATTATTAGATATCATTCCTATCTTAACAAATTATTGTTTATCCGCTTGATGAAATTATAAATGACTTCAAAAGTTCACAAAAACTGACACTAATCGTATAAGAATTGTGTCTGATCTCCTAGAGAGTGAAGGTGCCATCTATATTTCTTACTATAAAATTATAAAGATCGTCCTGGTTTTTAAAATTCTCCTCATTTAGAGTCAAAGCGTAAGGAGTTCCCATTGTGGCTATATTTTAAAATGTAAAATATTACCTATTTGAGTGTCTACTTCTCCTCTTTTGATAATTTGTAGATATGAATTCTCTGTCAATAAATTCTCTTGAAAAAATGGATTTTTAAGTAATGCATCATCCGTAAATTTGGATTAATCTGCACACACCTCATATACATAAGTAGTATCTTTTTAGAATTCATTCCTCATCGATTTTATTTCTAGGTCCCTTTGCTTCTCAAACTCTTATAGTCTGATATATAGATTCAATTGAATTACAAGGCATAAGCGCTTAATTATTACATTATTATAATAATGTAAGAACAATAAATAGTAGCAGGAATGAGTTTGGAAGACTAAAAGCGATTGGACGATTTATTCAATCAGGTTATATGCAAAGCAGAGAGCAATAATATGAGATTTCATGAGTTCTTGACTTTCCTCTTGGAAAGAGAATTGATCACTGCAAAGTTCAACTTCAATTTTTACTTCAATTTGTATCAGGAATACTTTGCCTTGGAGGAGATGGTCTAAAAAGTCACTCAAGCTCCAAAGAAAGGAGCAAAGGAACCCATAAACATCATTAAAGATGATACACCAAAATTTAGCAGAACTAAATTCTTGAGGATGATAGATGCTTTAGGCAAGGCTTTGCATTAAGGGTAAAAGAAATATTTGGATCTCATCCTTAAGGATATTTTCATAGATAATAAAAAAAAAACATAAATCAGAATGTTGATACTCGATGATCCAAATCGCAAGTTACTTCACGAATAAGTGATTAAGACTATAATTGCATATGAGGAAGACATCTAGGCTTTATTTACAATGTATTTACCTGAAAACTATTATAAAAATGAACTCATGTTAACATGGAAGGAAATTAAGTTAATGAATCTCAGAATTCCAATTTTTTCATTTATCCAAATGCTATAAGACATGAACATCCATCCTGTTCATTATAATTATGAGAATATTGAGGATTTATGTATGAGGATAATACCTGCAATAACACCAAAAGAAAATTAATTTTATTAATCCAATTTAATTTAACAAATATGTGAAACGATCAATAGTGGAAGATTCAAACCATAACATTATTCTGGAGATCCTAAAATTTCTTATTTGGAATTCTAATTCTTAGTGTGTAAAATGGCTACTGACATTACAAACAGGGAAGTTTAATAGGATTCAAAGAAGGAAATCTCACCATTGATTATAAGATTCTTTACCAAAATGATTGAAATATAAAAAAATGGCAATAGAGTTCATGAAGATAAATCAAAGCACTTGGCATTAATCAAAAAATATTATGAAATGTAGGATAAAACAGATGATTTTGAACAGGAATAAATTAATCCTTAGTCTGAAGAATAGGACATGAAATAATAAAATTACTTATTTCTTACTCGTAAACCAGATTAATTGGATATTAAGGAGATCTGGTAATTTTTCTAATAAGATTTACCACCATTCCCAGAATTAAAATCTTAGGTTGATTTGGCTTAGGATTTTGTTAAAGCAATCAAAGAAAAAGAAAAAAGAGAAGAGTTAGCAAGAAAATTAGAAGAGGATAAGAAAAATAAGAATAAACCTTAACCTAAATAATAATTGAAAAAGGGAGAATAACCAATGAAATATTGTATTGACTAATTATTAATATATCTTAGAATGGGAACCTTTAGTATAACCACCAAGAATATGTACTTACTAATATTTTATTGATTTTGTGAAAAAGACTAAGTAAAATAATCCTCTCAGAGACCTAAATGAGTTAAGCACGTTAAGTCACATAACAGTTGCTCCAGTAATGTTACCGGAATGTCTTTATCCTCATGATCCACCTTAATAGGTGAGAACTATGGTTGAAGCATCGTTGATGTCGTTTACTTAATAAAATTATTTCTTAGCTATGCAAAATTTAAATCAAGCACAAGAGTTATGGCAATCTCTAACAGAATTACATGATTCTGAAATGGTGTTTTTTGAATACTTTGGAGGATAGATTTATGAAATAGCAGGGTAGGATGAAGCAGCTTTGAATAAGTTTCTTAGAGTGAAATTTCATACGGATAAGTTATAAGCAGAGCATCCAGATAAAGCCTTGTAAAAATAATTAATTCACATTCTTTAGACCTTATTGTGGGATTGGTTCAGTATTGTATCATATGCAGGAATATGAATTGGCAGTAAGAGCATTTATGAAGGCAAGAATGATAAGAGAAAGTTCTATAGGTGATGAGAACATAGAGAATGCTATAACATTCAATAATTTAGGATGTGCTTTGCATTAGAATGGTAATTTGTTTGCTGCTGAGAATTGTTACATGTTTGCTATAACTTTATTAGAAATCCATTTGGGAACTATGCATGCAATGACAATGAATGTAAATGTGAATTTTTACATTGTAGGTAAAACGCAATCTACAAAAATTAAAAGCAAATAAATATTGTAAATAATGAAAAAAGAATACTTGATCATATATCATTTATATAATTATAAATTTTTGGATAGAATTATGTTATCTAGCTTAAATAATGAGTTGAACATCGGGATGGTATATCAAAAAACTTAAACAGATTTATTTTGCTTTATTTTTTTGTACTATACCAATTGATATTTTAAATAGTAATTATGAATGCAAACTATATAACAAGATCAATACTATAAATGTTTTTCCTCACTTATCGCAGAAGATTGTTTAGAAAGAATCATGGGGTAAGATTCCTTATCTAAATATTCCTCATTTTTCTTGTTATCTTCCAATTATGGGGCCACATGAAGATCTAAATTATTGTACTAATCTGTGGATTTGCGTTGAAATATCAATTAATCTGCTTTCAATAATTTTTTTGGGATAGATATGATGAATGGGTGTTATAACAATTACTTAGCTTTCCATCTTTTTTTATGGTCAAATTAGAGACACTTGTTTAAAAAGTCCATTAGATTTTGAGATATATTACTTGGAATTGGTGGGGAACATTGTTTAGATGAGATGGTCATCAATGCTTGCATGGGAGTTTGGAATCTTCCCCATGGAGGTTCACCTGTCAGCATTTCTATGATTGTGCATCCTAGACTCCATATATCGGAATATCTTCCTGTCTCTTAGGAGTTGATTACCTCTGGAGCCATCCAATTGGGAGTGCCCTTTAGTGAATAAGCATTCAACCCTATTATGCTACATCCGAAATCCGCTAGTTTACAAACGCCTTTGGTATCCACAATGATATTTGCTCCTTTGATGTCTCGATGGATGATTCCCTTGTTATGCAAATAAACAAGACCATGGAGTATGTCTGTCACGTATTTCTGAATGACTGGTTCTTATAGATTCAACTTAAATTTCTTCATCATTTGTGCAATGGAGCCACCTGATTTGATAATGCACACTGGTACCTCCTACATATTCTAATAAAATGCTCAAATGATTTTTATCCTCTTCGCATCCATAATATTCAACTATATTTTTATGCTTCAGTTACTAAAGTATTTTGATCTCCTAATGAAACGACTCTAAACTTTCTTTGTCCACATACGCCAATTCGATTTGTTTTACTGCTAGTATTCTCCCAGTCTTTATATCCATACATTTAAAAACCCTTCCAAAGGACCCTTGTCCAATTAATTCTCCTTTCTTCCATTAAATTTTTGCAAGTGACTCAGCATGATGGAAATGTTACTCTGGCTCTGAATCATACCCGTCAGAGTTGTTCTACACCAATATTTTGGATTTGTGCAATGACAATGTTCCTGAATTTTGTGATTAATAAACTTTCGATTCTTTTCCTCTGAAGTATTTACAAAACCTTGAAATATATACTCCCATTATTATTAATAATAAATAACACCTGTAATAATAGTGACATCAACATTTACTCAATCCACGATCTTTACTTCACCCTCCCCAAAGCCTCTAAAGTCTTCCATCTACAAATAGAATACTTCTGCATTCATTATTTATCTAATCATCAAATAAATTAATTATATCCTCTATAAAATCAAATAGAGTGTATTATTGAAGGATATATATATCATCACATAAATTCTCTTTCCTATCCTCAATCGAATATTTTGTGGAGATATAAATAAATACACCTTCTGCTTAACCTGCTTTCAAATACTGAAAATTAATCATAATAAACTATAATTTTGAGACAATAGAAAAACTGTGTCATGTCCAGTTGTATTTTATCAATAATATGCAAAATTAAGAGGTAATATAAGGTAACATACTACTGTAATTTAACATAAACAAATTTAAGCAGAAACAATCGAATTTTCATTTGCAATTCCCTTTCAATAGTAATGATAAGAAAAGCACTATTTTTAGATATATTTTACTAGATTTTATTAAAAACTTAAAAAATCATATTACAAAACAATATAAATTTAAACCTTTGATATTACTAGTTAATCAATTCAAGTGAATAATTTTCTAGTATAGTTGTTCATTAACAGAATTTAAAGAAAGTTCTTTGCTGTTTGCTTTACAAATCCAATAGTAATTTTGTGAGAATAAATTAAGCAAAATCTATTTATCATTTTTGCGAGTAGGATGAATATTTAGACATAGAAATGAATGAGCAACAATGAACTCCATCCCCTTAATATAAAATAATTTGATCGATTATTTAAGAAAAAATCTTGATATTTATTTAGATTTTGTAATTTTACAAAACTTTGTTAAATATAAATATAATTTAAAAATCTTATAATTTTATTTCATTCTAAAGTTAAATATATATATTGATCTAATCTTAAAGGTCATTTTAAAACCTTGCTTATTGTTTGTTTCTTGGATATAATAGTATAAACATTAGAATTTTATGTATTGATATGATGAGCAAATAATATCAAAATTCAATCTTAGAAGAATAATTAAATTTTATTATGTATTAGACAAGTTAGCTAATTAACCGTAGACCCAACATGAGATAGTTAACTGGTAGGGCTCGTGACATCTAAGATGATGATGACGATGATCCTGGCATTTCTAGTTTTGCTAGAAGCAAAGTCGATGATGATGATGAAAAATTCAAAAATCAAAACACAGATCCTGATTTTCTTGACAGTCTATTGAGAAAGAAGAGTAGAAATGATTCCAAAATAGATAAAGTAAATATCATTCAATAAGATTTAAGTCCAACAATAGTTCGATTATACCTAGTACACCTCCTCCTCAAAGTACAAGTAAAAAGAGCGATCAAGAAGTATCGAACACAGATCCAAAGAAAGGATAAGCACAAACACAGAATAATACAGGAAACAAAGACACGCCCCAATAACAATAACAATAAAAGTAATCATAATAAACTCCTGCAAAACCTAATACTACTCAACCATTTCAAACTCCAGATCCAAAATAACAATAATCCTAATAAAAGACTCCTGCCCAATAACAATCACAAACTAAAACACCCCAAGCACAACCTCAACCATCTTAGTAATCATAAACCCCGCAATAAACCAAAACTCACTAATAAACTAAGACACCTCAATAATAACCCTCCTAATCACAAACACCTGTAACTAATAAGATTTAATAGAACCAAAAATAAACTCCTACTCCTGCACCAAAGGATATTGTAGATCCTGCAAAATCAATTTCAAACAAACCCTCAGCTTCAAAAGAAGACCAAAAGAATTAATAACCCCCAAAATTGGAAGAGCCAAGCAAGGTTGAATAACCAGTCAAAGTGGAATAACCAAAAAAGAATGAATAGCCTTCTAAAACTGATCAATCCAACAGTAAAGGAAATTAACAGCAATAACCCTAATAAAATAGAATTGATTAAGATGACCAAGAGTAAGAACAAGGACCATAAGTTGCTGAAAACAGACCCAATTTCGTAAGGAGGGGAAAGAATACTTAGGTTGTCAAAGACATTGCTAAGAGTATCAAAACTATGCCAGATGATAAGATTCTAGCTTTGGAGCCTAAGAATAATATAGAAGTAAGCAAGAAGTTGTCATTGAAATTTGCACCATAGAAAGAATATACAGATCCAACTTTTCCTCCTAATGATTTGTAAGTGTTTCAAGTATTTGGACATGGCTAAGTTGACTTTAAGAGGTATAATCTTGGAAGAGAACAAGATACTCATCAAGTAGTTGATCCAAATGATATAGTGCCAGGATAATAATCAGGTACTCTGTTGTAGGTTTTGGCTGCTATTGCTGAAAAACCATAATTGATAACTCGAATTTTGGAAGACCAAGTTATTAATGAATTTGGATTCTATTATGCTCGATTATGTATAGGAGGAGTGTGGAAATATATCTTAGTTGACGATTTGCTTGGTTACTTTAAAGGAGAACCAGTTGGAGCAAGGACTACTATTGATAATAATAAATTAAAGTATTGATCATTATGGATTATTTAGATCATTGCAAAAGTCCAATCCTGGTTATTAATCAGAATTATGGCCATTCATTATTGAGAAGGCATTTGCTAAAGAATATGGAAGTTATGAAGATGCATTTAAAATTGCTACAGTGGCTGATTTTCTTTAGGAAACAACAGGAGCACCTACTACTGTTGAATAGATAAATGAAAATGTTTTGAAATCTTTGACTTCTAATGATGTCGCTTTGGTACATCTGCCAGATGGGATTTTTACATTTTTGAATTAGGATGGCAAGGATGTTACCTTACGTAATCCTTGGGGTTGGATAAGTAATCAACCAAGTACTGCTTAACCAGAAGGGGAATTCAAAGTACCCCTTAAGAACATAATAGGTAAATAAATAACAATTGCTAAATGTGTGCCTAACAATTTCCATATCAGTTATAATCTGAAAGCAAACAATGATGCCTATTCATCCTTTTATGTGGATGTACGACAAGATACTGTTGCCACATTCAGGTTACATTAAAGAGATGAGAGATATTTTAGAAATAACATTTCTAAAAAATATGATTATTGTTATGCTAGATTATTGATTTTTGATGAATAAAAATAACTGATTGCTTAGGATTACGGGCAATTCAAAACTTTAAATGTCAATGTTGACTTATAAAAGGGTAAGTATACATTGGTAATCCTGTTGGATTTCTTAAACGAATAATTATACGATAGCACGTTAACTTTTTATGGAACTTAATCAATTGAAATCAGCAGGATAAATTATAGATCATAACCTAATCTATTGGCTTAATTATATTCATAAGAGGCAATTAGCAAAGGTTAAAGAAAATAGAATGGATAAGTTGAGGAGTTTACTTTCGTTTCAGATAACAAATTGACTGTCTTGGCTTGGAAGTACAATGGCACTTAACCCAATAAATGGAGTAAAGACTTAAGCAAATAGCCTAATAGAAATATTATGAAACCAATTACTTTTGTAAATGCAGCAGATACATAATAATTGAAAGTACTCACAACTGAGTAGATAAAACAGTTGAAACTGAGTAGCTGGTAGAATGCACCTTCATTCAATATTGAATTCACTTAATAAAACAACACTTATGCAGTTGTATTCAAGTGATTTATTATTAGCATATATAAAATATTAATATAATGAATCAATAAAAAACGGAGAATGATTTAAATTAGTAACCTGGATTAGATTCCTTCCTTAAAACATGGTGGTAATCACATCTATTTGGAACAAAACTTATCTTGACAATTTCAACAATTTTTGGATTAATTGATTTATTTACACATTATGCCTTTGACATCCTGAGTAATTCCCCAGATTCAACAATGCCTTTTTAAATATAGAGATTGTTTTTTGCACATTTTGTTCATTGTATACTTCAATTTCATAATATTTTCTAGATTACAGTATTGATATGATATTAGCTATCATATGCATTTCTAATAGATTGAAAGACTTTGAAAGCAAGAGTGGCACAGTTTAATTCCTTATCATAATTTTTATTGTAGGTTTTATCACTTAAGTATATAAACTAATAAAATTTTAGTCAATTTGCCTCCTATTACAATTTGTCTTATCATTTATTTACCCTCCCTTCTCTTACGCACCAGCCTATAGTTTATGGAACTTTGCCATATTTTTCATTATTCAAGAGTATCAACTATCATTTTATTTAAAGTTGTCTTATGATACCTAATGGTCAAAGTAAATTCCTGATTTTTCCAATGTAACTAAAAAATAAATATTATCCGATTTTATTTGTTGCTCTCTTTAGTTTAATCCAGCAATCTTTGACTTTTATTAGCTCATCCATAGTGGCTGTCGTTTACTATATATATTAGGAGAATTTTAACTTCTTGCCAGCAGTATTAACTCATTTTTATTAAGACCATTTAAAAAATCGAAAATGGAATAATATTTAAACATTTTATAGAAAAAATTGATTTTAAAAGAATTTCAAATTATTAAGATCAAATAGAATTGAGTGTTGATTCCAGAGATATACCATAGATTTAAACACCTCCTGCCAAGTTTAAATAATAGATTTATATTATAGATTAACAATTGAAGGGAGTGCTCCATTTCCTCCATCTCTTTTATTTCAAGAATTGAAGAAGCAATTGAATGCTAAAGGTGCCAAAACTCATGAGAGAGTATAAGAAGTGGAAGAATAAAAATAAATTGAATAAAAGACAGAGGAGTACGATTTATGAAATTCATGTAAGTTTCTTTATAATTTCATCGATATCTATCTTAGTTGATGCACTTCTTGCACTTTCTGAATCTATTTGCTTCTTTAATATTTTTTGAATAATATTCTCATATAAATTTTCGATGTCTTCAACACATTATTTAAATTTGGGATTCTCCAATTTGTAATATTGAATCAATTTGGAAAATAATTCTAATGGGCATGGTTCCTCTTTTTCATGTTCGTTAATTTAGAATGAGGAAAGCAACTCCAATTTTTTGTCAATGAACCCATTATTTATCATTGCCTTGATGACAATTGGTTGATCTAGGTTAAATTCCTAAGGGCAATCGGATCTTAACATTAGTTCCTCTGTTGCCAAACAAATCATATCGACAGATACAGCTAATACTTAACCAATTATTCTTAGCAACTTCGCCTAATTAAATTTTGCTAAAGTCTATTGACTTAATTTTATTTCTGGTTAAATGCCATCAAGTGCATCTTCATATAATTTTTGAAATTAATCATATAAATTCTTGACTTCTTCATTTTAACTCAACGCAAGACTTTATTCAACTTCATTTTAATCAAGATCTAACTTGCAAAGAATCATTTTTTATTTCTTATGAAAGAGAAGTTCTACTTCCTATTTAATTTTGATTAGAATTTCTTGATGATCTCCTTTGTATTCAATTCTCCACTATTTGACTATGTCTGATACTAAAAAAAAGTATACGAATGATTAAGCCCTTAAATCCTTTATAAACTTGATTAATTTCTCATCACTAATAGTTTATGTAAGTTTAGGTTTTTGTTTCTTTTCAAAGACCTACCATATATAAGCAGTCAAAGCTACAACACCCAATGTTCCAATTATTAAGGTTTTCTTTTAATCACCTAACATTAATAATTAAATTTAATTATGTAAAGTTTTATTTATTAATATTGTCTGCATACCTGAGAAATTATTTGAATTTACTACAGGCATTGGTCAACTACATTGCTTAAAAGGGTAATTTCATTGATACATATATTTTTATTTCAATAACCACACTAAATTGCAATCGATTTCATAAAATTTGTAAATAATCTAAATTTGGGAACTCTCTAAAATCTATTTCTACTTTCCTGCATACTGTTCTGATGTGATTCTTCATTTAGATAAGTTAATAACTAATTTTAATTAGATACAACGAATAGTACAGCTTTCATGTTCAATAAGATTTATTATATGTATAATATACTTGCTATTTATCTAGATATCTTTAACTTTTTAATTTAATTCCACAATTGTTCTTATTGGAATATTTTAGATAATTCTTAAATTTTACTCATAATAATTACTGATCTCTGGCTTCTCTCTATTGTATTTTAAATCTGAAATTGATTTATAATAGATCAATGCTCTACCTAATTATTGGAGGTTGATCTTTTTAGTATTAGTAATATTAGAATCTTTAATACTACTGGATAGAAATAAGTTAATTGAAGTAATTTAATAATTTAGTATTAGATTTTTATCTAGCAATAATAATATTAAATAATTATATAATATCAATCCTTATTTAATAATCTATGCTTTTTAAAGTCGATCTCATAACCTTCCTACTCACTCTCCTCCTCAGGTTAATCAAAGATGATAGTTTTATCACTTGGATATTTTTTATCATTCACTGTAATTTTCCCTCTTACAGTTTTTAATTTTGCTGATCTCTAAGTTACGACTGATTTGGGTTTCATGTAAGCATTATTTAAGAAGAATTTGAAGTCTATCTCGGTTTAAACATCCTGTGAATCAGTGTACATTCTAAATTTGTAATCCATATCATCCAAGAATAATTTCTTGTAGACCAAAAGTTCTTTGTTCTCCTTGATTGTAGGCTATAACCAATAATCAGGCATCAATTCCTCATCTGATTTAATAACATTCTATTAAATGCATCTTAAGTCATCCATGAACGAGATACAATTCAACAACAAGAAAAAGGTTTTCTTATTCATTCTTGGGGTAAGAATATCATACAATAAGGAGTAATCCCTCTCATCTTCCAATTACAAATAACAATTTAATAATATCTCTAATTGATCTGCCATTAATTTTAACCTATAAGTGAAATCATCCTCTCCCGTCAATTCCTTACACTATAAAATCCTTCCTATAGATTAGCCTGGGAATTTAGCCAATCTTTTTCGGTAATCCATTTTATTTCTTATGAAAATCTGAATTCCTGCTAAAATTGTGTTCTTGTAAAATCTGTATAATCTGCTTACAAATTTGTGTCTTGAAATACTAAAAATCATAACTATAAGTAAAACCCTATCCCTGACACTTTTTAGAACTCTGGTAATGCCAATCTGATTACTGATCTATATTTCATGGCTGTGGTGACCAATAATTTTAATTGTTCAGTGTTTAGACCAGGTCTTGGATTCATTATATCTTGGTATATTGCTTTCAAAGTAAATGGAATTTCGATTTTTATATCATACATAGATTCTAACACTTTGGCAATTTCTGGCCATCTCTTTTGTCCACGTTCTTGAACCAATTATTTTAAAGTTTCTGCTATTTTTGGATTGTCTGTACACTTTTTTAGCATTGTTTTAATTATATTATTAGATTTCACTAGTGAAACACTACTTACCTGCAAAATATTGGAATATTAAAAAAAAAAAGCATACAAAATATTTTACTTGGAAAAAATATCAACTCTTCAATATTCAATCAAACACTTTAATTAATTAATTATTTTTATACTATTTTAATTTTATTTGTCCATCTAAAAATCCCTAATCTTTCAATGTTATAAAATTGAATTCAAAACATACTAGGATGATTTGAGATATTCTTCATATTCTTTTTAGAAATATAAATCAGAATGAATTCAATAATATCAATTTATAAAAGAAATTATTAAGTTTTATAAAATATTTCAAAAATTATTTATGAAAAATAGAGTTCCCTTGAGAGAATAAAAGCCATTTGCCCATCTTTAATAAAAATAGGATATTAAAGAAGAGAAAGGACCTGCAAATTTTGTTGTCCCAGTTCAAACAACAAACAAAAGAAAATCAAATTTGCTCAATAATAAAGCATTTGTAGCAGCAATTAAAAAGGCTTGGCAAACTGGAAATTTGGCCCTGGTGCATTATGATTTATAGGATTTTCCTGATGAGATAATTAATATTGACACCATTAATTTGGAGGGCGAAGAATGGTGGTAGAAGTGTCCATTAACAAAATTGGATTTAACCAATAATAATATTCAAGATATCCCTCTATATGATACGTAAACCTTTATTGTAAACTACTTAGATTATAAGAATTATAAGTGTTAAGACTGGGAAACAATAAAATTGGCAGATTTCATTTTGATTTGACAAAGCAATTTTAAAATTTGAAATCATTAACACTTCAAAACAATCAATTGATAGAATTCTCATGTCGTCTAGATTCCATAGTCGAATTAAATTTAGCAGATAATAAACTAACAGGAATTGACAACCTCTACTTCCCAAATTTAGAAATACTAGATATCTCCAATAATTAATTTGCACAACTTCCATCGTACTTACCTCCTTTGATCAAAAAGATATCTGCCATCGGAAATAAAATACAAGCAATCAAATAATCAGATTTAATAGAATGCAAGAAATTAGAAGACCTTCAATTGTCTAAAAATCAAATAGCATTCATAGAAGAAGGAGCATTTTACAATTTAATTCAATTACGAGTATTGGATTTGAAAGAGAACAAACTTAAGTATTTTACCCAGGAGTTACTTGGAGATAATCATGAGTGTTTAGACTCAATTCAGTTATCTTTTAATTAATTGGATGTTTATAATTGCTATGTAGGAATTCAAAATTTATCAGTTCTNTTTCACTAGTGAAACACTACTTACCTGCAAAATATTGGAATATTAAAAAAAAAAAGCATACAAAATATTTTACTTGGAAAAAATATCAACTCTTCAATATTCAATCAAACACTTTAATTAATTAATTATTTTTATACTATTTTAATTTTATTTGTCCATCTAAAAATCCCTAATCTTTCAATGTTATAAAATTGAATTCAAAACATACTAGGATGATTTGAGATATTCTTCATATTCTTTTTAGAAATATAAATCAGAATGAATTCAATAATATCAATTTATAAAAGAAATTATTAAGTTTTATAAAATATTTCAAAAATTATTTATGAAAAATAGAGTTCCCTTGAGAGAATAAAAGCCATTTGCCCATCTTTAATAAAAATAGGATATTAAAGAAGAGAAAGGACCTGCAAATTTTGTTGTCCCAGTTCAAACAACAAACAAAAGAAAATCAAATTTGCTCAATAATAAAGCATTTGTAGCAGCAATTAAAAAGGCTTGGCAAACTGGAAATTTGGCCCTGGTGCATTATGATTTATAGGATTTTCCTGATGAGATAATTAATATTGACACCATTAATTTGGAGGGCGAAGAATGGTGGTAGAAGTGTCCATTAACAAAATTGGATTTAACCAATAATAATATTCAAGATATCCCTCTATATGATACGTAAACCTTTATTGTAAACTACTTAGATTATAAGAATTATAAGTGTTAAGACTGGGAAACAATAAAATTGGCAGATTTCATTTTGATTTGACAAAGCAATTTTAAAATTTGAAATCATTAACACTTCAAAACAATCAATTGATAGAATTCTCATGTCGTCTAGATTCCATAGTCGAATTAAATTTAGCAGATAATAAACTAACAGGAATTGACAACCTCTACTTCCCAAATTTAGAAATACTAGATATCTCCAATAATTAATTTGCACAACTTCCATCGTACTTACCTCCTTTGATCAAAAAGATATCTGCCATCGGAAATAAAATACAAGCAATCAAATAATCAGATTTAATAGAATGCAAGAAATTAGAAGACCTTCAATTGTCTAAAAATCAAATAGCATTCATAGAAGAAGGAGCATTTTACAATTTAATTCAATTACGAGTATTGGATTTGAAAGAGAACAAACTTAAGTATTTTACCCAGGAGTTACTTGGAGATAATCATGAGTGTTTAGACTCAATTCAGTTATCTTTTAATTAATTGGATGTTTATAATTGCTATGTAGGAATTCAAAATTTATCAGTTCTACTCTTAAATAATAATAAAATCAAAGAATTGCATAAAGAAATCATAAACTTAAAAAATTTAAAGACTCTTGATATATCAAATAATGATTTGGGTGACTTACCTTCTTAATTAGGATTTTTAGCATAATTAGTTAGAATTTAACTTGAGGGCAATCCATTAAAGTGCATTAGATCAAATATTCGAAGTGCCGGCGCTCTTCAATTAAAAAAGTATCTTCAATAAAGAACTGATGATGCTGCCAAATTGGAAGTGTAAGCAGACCCTAAGCTCAAATAATAATTATATTAGTCTAATAACATATGGGAAGAATATTTAAGGAATTTCCTACATAAAGACGAATTAGCTATTAGACAAAAAAGTATCAATCAAATAGATAATTGTGTATTTCGATTGACTAATCTGATCATCCTTGATTTTTCATAAAATAATATTGAAATGATCCCAGATCAAATCCAGTAATTAAGAAATCTAAAGAAGGTTAATTTTAATGAGAATAAAATTACTTAAATATCCTTATATTTGTTCAATTTACCAGATTTGGTGGAATTGGAATTAAGATAAAATAAAATTCAATTCCTACCATCAAGAGAACAAGTCTATTTACCTAATTGTAATTTTCTAATATTATTTTCATAGTAATTCATCTAGATCTTGGAAAAAACTTACTTTAAAGTATTCCTAACTTCATACCAGATTTAACAAGATTAAGGAGATTGCTATTGGCATATAATTAAATTGATTCAATTGATATTTTACTATAGAAAGAATCGATATTAGAAGTACTTGATATTAGCAATAATTCAATTGATTAATTAAACGATGTAAGTAATGTAGATAAATATAGGAAATCTATTTTAAAATGCCCAATTTATAGCATTTAAATCTTTAGAATAATAATATGAGGACATTTCCTACGATATTAGGTTTCATGTCTCTAAAAACATTACAAATTGATGGCAATCCAACAAAATTGATTAGCAGATAAATAATAGACAAAGGAACTGTTCACATTCTAGATTACTTGGCTAAGAAACATCCCTTAAATTAGATACCCCCTAAGATTCAACCTATCATCATAGAGGAAGCAGTGATAAATAACTAATCCTAAATGTCTTAATAATAGTCTTTAAAATAAAGATAATCTAATTAGAATAGTAAATCATCTGCATCCTCATAGATGCTTGTAGAGGAACCAAGATAATAGAGATAATATGAGCAATAATAAATAATATAGGAATAGCCTTAACAACAGTAATAAAGATAGCAATAATATGTTGATATCGGATAGCTGAGAATTGAATTTCAAAATCTTGAAATAAAGATTAAGTATATTGATTTTTGATTTAATTTTAGATAGTTGGAAAGAGAATTAAATGAAAACTTTTCATTAAATAAGTTCCAGATTTAAGAGAAAAGGAAAGTTTTATAGAGTCTTATGCTTTAAAGATCTGCTATATTATAATAAATTAATAGTTTTTGATAAAAATGAACAAAAATTTATATAATTTATATTAAAATAATTAAAACTCGTTTTTGTGCGGAATGATAAAAATAGGGGTGCTCTTAGTTATGATTAGCCTTGGTTAATGTTAGGATTTGTTGACATCAATAAAAAATTATGCAGATGGAATTGTTTCATCAAACATCACTCAAAAAATACTTATAGATTTTGCTCCATTATTATTGCCTTTAACAATACTATCTATAATTTTGATATAAGTGATGAAGATTTGCTTCAAAAGACAAAAGTTTTATGATAAATTGCCTTAAAACGAATAATAAGCAAATATCCAAAAAGTTAAATTACCATTAAAACACAAAATCCAATTGTACTTTATGAGATATTATTGTTAATTTTTGAGATTATTTACACGTTGATTTGTTATTTTATATTTAACATTAATTAATCTTAAATTCAATACCAATAATTCTACTAAACCTGACTTTGATTACCATAAAATTAGTCATCCGATACATCACTCATTCCATCCTGATTGAATGAATCATTCTCAAACATAATTTATTCCTATTGTTAATATTATTATAACTAAAATATAGTGTTATTAATTTACCTCTTTAGATTAACATTTTTTCATCAAATTTGATAAAGAATACGAATCATTCATATCAAAAGTGAAGGCACTACACCAAGAATCCAAGTTATCTTAAACTAAGTAATCATAACTTCTAATTTAACAATAGCAAAGTTTAAATACTTCAGAGTAGTCCAGACCTATTGGGATATGGAAAATTTTTCAATAGAACTGGTATTGCCACCACATGCATATAAGTAATTGTTATAGAGGATTAGTTTATTTCTCAAATCCCTCCCCTCTGTCATCATACTAATAATCCTAATTGTTTGATTGCTTGTGTCAAAGACTTGTAAACTATTACTAAAACCTTGATTAGAACTTATAATAAGGATAAATGGGTATACCCTCCTCCTAAAATGAGAATTGAATTGTCGTCATAAGTGAGTGCTGCTGCATTACTAAATCCTTACTTGAATTTGAATTCCAAAACCTTCCATTGATTATCTTTTACGGAATATCTCTCAATGGTGTTTTGTCTCTCTCTTCCATCGAATCCTCCAAACACATAAATATATTTATTCAGGGCTGCAGCAGCAGCAAAAGCACATTTCTACTTTTAAAGTGGATCAATCATCTTCCATTCATCTGCAACCAAACTATACTTCTCACAACAGGATAACATCTGTTTTGAAGTACCATCATAACTTATTAGATCATTTTTCTCAAATACCCTCCTAATGCATAAACATGTCCATCCAGATAAACACAAGCGTGTTCTTTTCGGGGATAGTACATACTCTTCAAAGCCTACTATTAAAATCCTTTGGATGGCGAAATCAACATAACATTTCTACTAACTCCCCCTCCAGTCATTATGATGTCTCCATTGGGCAAACTTGCAGCAGCAGCGTAATAATTGTAATCAAATGTATTCTACTAATTAATGATATCATACATTCGCCATCTATCTATATTACCAATCATTTTTCTCGATGTTGTAAACTAAAATTTTATGTTTCTCTCCAAAATAGCATATCTAAGGATTTTAGAGTTCATTTTTGAATTGACCGTATTTGAGAATTTCAATAATCAGGTTTTACTCAAAATATAATTTTGGTAATATTTTTAATTCACCTCCTTTCAATGATTTTAGTTACGCAATATCTCTATCCACAGATTCATCTAAATCATTAATCTCCTTGATGGGATCATTCCCTTTAAATACTTTTGTACTCTCTATATATTTCAAGCAATAGTACTTAATTCATTATACTTTGACTCCAATTTCTCCAATAAGAGAGCCATATCAGTTAATAAGGATTGATTCATTACTAAATTCGATTCTATCTATTCACTTTCTAAATTGAACATTTTTAGCAAATTATCTTTCAATTCTTTTCTCCTTTTTTCACACTTTTCAATTATTATATCAAATTAATCGTCAATTTATTAGATCTAATTTCTACTTTACAATATGTACCAATTTTATGTTATCAACTTCTAATTTCTCCTTACAATCATCAAAATCTTTTATCTATTTTTCCAGTGTCTCATATTGACTCCTTAGTTTTTATTGGATTCTCCCTACTCTATTAAGTTATAAAGATACTAATTTAAGCATTTGCTCAATACCAGAATGTTCATATTTAAAGAACTTATGTCCATAATGATCACTTATGCATTCTGTGCACATATCTTTTTAATCATCTTCGCAATAAAATTGTAATGGATGTTTAGAATGTATTGAGCATAGTTCAAATGATTTTCTAATTGTTAATGGGTCCTTCTTACTATTCGTCTAAATGCCTTGAGGCCAAGTCCATAGCCACAAAATTCTTGCTTAGGTTATGAGGTTTCATATTAGGGTCATGTTTGGTCCTGCAAAGAGGGCATTCGATTCTTTTACTTACATTATACAATGTTTCAAGACATGGGGTGCAATACGTATGACCACAAAGAAGATTTCTCGCAACTTTATCTTGAGCGTAGAATTCAAAACACATAGGACATTCCATTTATAATATTTAATATTCTCATTATTGAATTAATTTTATTATAAAATATTTTATAATTTCTCAAGTTTCCATTATATATTTTTCATAAGAGATCTAAACTTCTTATTGTTGAAATAATTCAAAATTCTTTTAGTCTCCTCTTTTTTATTGCAAAATTTAAATACAAATTTGGAACTTATAAGAATCAAATACAATTTCTATCTTTTTCATGCCAACGCTCTTCATACCTTTATTTACTCTTCTTTCCATAATTATTATTCATTTGCTTTAATTCGTTTTTAATTTATTTAATAAACTGCACTAACAATTAGTAAAATCGATATTAATTAAGTTAGATCTTTATTTTCTTAATGTTCTGTCCAACCAGATATCATAATAAAGACTGCTCAATTTAACCAGATTAACAATAATAATAATTTGATTATGTTTGTATACTGAAATCAGAATATGTTACATGATTCACAACTTCTTGGTTTCTGTTTCTTAATTTTAAATGACCGAACAGATTCAATTTCATGATCTACTTAAGTGGTAAATTTAAAACCAGAATCAGTGACTACTCTTACATCATCTAAAGTGTCTATCCTTTGATGTTATTTTGGCTCAATCTAAAAATAAACATAAATCTATTACAATCTCGTCGATAATCCGATTGGTTTCAATTTCTTTTTCTTAGAAGTTTGAAACAGAATTGTTATAGTAATGCTATTTTTAAGCTTCAAGTAATTCAATTTATTGCTATAGGGTTTACATTAGTTTTTTGTGACTAGTAGAATTTTTGAATTTTCGTTTTTTTGGTGGATCAGGAGTTTCAAGCATTGGATTTGTTTATGGATTTTGGTAAGTGATTTCTTATTCTTATTCGATATCAATTTCTTGAGTATCTTATTTATATTGTTAAAGTTTTTCTAATAATTATAATCCTTGTTGTCTTTATTTTTGCAATTATGATTAAATGTTTTCAATCTCATTTTGGAGTATTTCTAATTATTGCTAAGATTGTTTTTTTTCTTTTTGAGTCATTGTTTGTTTTTCTTAACAATAAATTAATTCTGTTTTTAGTTCTTAGATATGATCATTGATTTCCTTATTCTTCAATTCTCTTTGGGTATTCTCCTCTTTGAATTATAAGACGAGTTCGGTGTGTCTTGTTTTCATTTCCTCAATATATTTGATTGAGGTCTAATTGCCCATGGACATACGATTTCTGAGATCCCTTGGAGTAGAATATTGTTGCGGAGTGGCTACATAGCTTTTGGATCTTTCACTCATGACACTAGGAGACTTAGAATGGAATTGGAGAGGAGGGATTGGGACATAAGTAGAAGAGGGGTGATCTTATTATTTTTGTAGTTCTTTTTCTTAGAGTAAAATTTCTAATTGATCTATAATTTCGTGTGCTTTATCTAACTATTCCTAATAGTATCGAACTCTGGAATTGGGAGAGAGAGATGGAGATGGTGGTTAGAGATCAAAAATCATATTTTAATTAATAAATGTACATGTATAATATAATGTATGTTTTTATTTGACTTTTCATAATCTTCTTCCTCTTCTACCTCCAGGTCTTCTAGTAGAATCGGTTGGGATTGGAGTAACATCTTCAATTCTTCCGATTTTGAGTCCCAAACGAGCCAATGCTCTTAAAGCAGCTTGAGCACCAGGTCCTGGTTGTCTGGTATCGACACCTTGATATATGGGATGGACGTGATACCTCCTCTTGCTCTTAATTTAATATGCAAAGCATTGATTTTGAGTGTTTTCAACTTCTCATAAACATCCTTGGCTGCTTGCATGGCTGCATATGGTGAGGATTCCTCTCTGTCAGATTTGACTTTCATTCCACCAGTGACTCTAGCCAATGTTTCTCTGCCTGTCAAATCGGTGATGTGAATGAAGGTGTCATTCCAAGTTGACAAGATGTGAGCAACTCCAAATACTAATTCATTTCCTGCAACATTTGGTCCCAAAGTAGCAACAACTTATTGAGTTGTTTCCTCTCCGGTTTTCTTTCCCTTCTTTCCTTTTGGTTATTAAACAGGTTATTCTTTTTTGTCAGCCTTAATTTAATTGTTATTGTTACCATCTCTAAAAATTAATTTAAATCTTTTTAATATAAAAAATAGAAATCCTGCAATTATTTAATTAATATAGACATTCTCTAAAAACATAACAAGGCACTCAACACTCAATAATAATTATTAAAATAAATGAGCGAGGAAGAAAAGGCCAATCAAATCGGTTCCAATACAGTGAACGAATTAGTGAAAAACGATAAATATGGCCATTTAATTTAACTCTACTTAAAGAAAGATCCCACAAGGTATTACCATACTCCACCCTATTATAGAATTAAAAAGTATAATAGCATTCAAAAAGGCAATAAAATATATCATGTCAATCAAGATGTGGCTGTTTGTGCCTTAAATGATGATATCTATTCAGCTAAACTCATTAAAATTTACTGCATCAAGGATCCTTCAGACACTTTCATTCCCATCATTTAAGTTTAATGGTAACTCTCTTATCTTCATATGTTAGGTATTACTCTAAATAGGATCTTAAAATTGACTAGAAACTGCTTAAATGCATTTCTGATAAGGAACTCTTCTTTTCTACTCATTCAGAATATTTGCCTGCGAACAAGATACAAGTTGGAATTAAAGTGCTCACTTTCGAAGAATACTCTGATCTTGAATTTGAAGAGGAAACAATCTTTTTCAGTAGGGCTGCAATAGATCTAGATTCAATGGAACCCAGACCCAATATTAAATTATGGAAAAAGAGTTGTGTTTGTTAATTGCCATAAAACCCTGATCTGTAGATGATTCAGTGTGATGAATGTGATAACTGGTATCATTTGGATTGTGTCGAACTTCAAGATCAAGATATCACTAAGATTGATAAGTATTTATGTCCAAGATGTAATAAATGATTTTTCATATAAACAACATTTTTTATTGTACTAAATGTGTATATATCATTCTGCAGCAAATTTGTTTTAGGTTTTCTTGGTTCTCTAAGCCTTGTTCTTCTCTCTTCTGTCGTTTTATTCTTTCTCGATCTTGTCGACTCTGACTTTCTCTTATTTAGTTTCATGAATTGCCTCGATCAACACCTTCTTGTTCTTATATTGATTACCCTTAGAAGCCAAATAGAATTCGTGATATCTACTTTATTAACATTCATTACTATTATCTATCGATTTTCTTTGCTGCTCTGTATTTTCTAAGTAATCTTCTCAAAACTCTTTGTCTTCTGATCCAAAGAACTTTGGTTGGCATTCTTGCCTCTCTTGTACCTCTTCTCTTACCAGTACCAGTGTGTCTACCTCTTCTCTTTGCTTCAAGGAATCTTCTTGCTCTAGCTCTTGAATGAATTGTTCTCAATCTTCTCATAATCAAACCATCTTTAATTAATTTTCTAATTGACATTCTTGAATTTGCAAGACTGATTTCACTTGCTTCATTTGGGTCTAACCAAACTCTGTTAACACCAACCTTTAATTATGTTGAAGCTAATCTTTTTTAGAGACGAAGGTTAACCATTAAAAAATAATATCTAAATTTTTAAATTTTTTTCACATGCAATCACATTATTTATCTAAAAACCATATATTTTTATCTTCCCCATCTCAATTTGCTCAGATATCTCAATTATCTCCCATCAATTTTTACCAGACTTCTAATTGGTCATCTCATATAATTAAATGTAACTATTATTTTAGTTACATATAAATACCAGATGAATTAAATTGGAAAATTAAAAAAATGTAGCAAAATTATAGCTATACCAAAATCAAATGTCTATTTAAAGGATATGCAGGAAAAGTCTTTTTAATTGAAAAAAGGTCTGAAAACGATCCTCCTAATAAACAGACAGGCTCGTTAGTATTGAAAAGATATTACAGAAAGGTAATGATCTAAATCACAAATTGTAGGCATCAGATCCTGAAAACCATACCAATCTAATAGAATATAAATTATTGACATCACTCCAACATCCAAATATCGTAAATATCATTGATGCCTTTACGGAGCAGTATGAATACAAAAAATATCTATGTCTTACTATGGAATATATGGCACCTTTACATTAAATAATAGGAAATCTCAAAGATCATTAACTCTACATTTTTAAAGAAATCTGCTAGGCTGTGAGCTATTTACATAGCAATAATACTTTACACAGGGATATAAAACCAAGCAACATATTTGTTACTACTCAAGGAAGAGTTAAATTGGGAGATTTTGGGATCTCAACTCAAATCAGGCAGTCTATGACACCTTAAACATGTACTAAGAACTATAGGGCTCCTGAACTTTTCTTTGGATTAAAAGAATATGACCATTCTATTGATGTTTGGTCCTTGGGTTGCACTCTAATAGAATTGTTCACTGGTAAAATGTTATTTAATGGTAATTCTGAAATAGAGATAATGTCTTAAATGGCAGAACTCTTAGGAAGTGTCAATGTAAGATTGTCATTTATAATTAAGGAATAAAACTGGGAAGGAGTCTCTCAATTGCCAATGTTTTTGGAATTCGTCTATGACAAATAACCTCTATTGGAAAAGGTGATTGGAAGATTACCCATATAAGTACAATCACTTTTAATTAAAATACTGCAATTAAATCCAAAAGCCAGACTAAAAATTAATGAAATTTTGTTATATTTAGACGAATTATAAATTCCAGATCGATCCAGAGAACTATCATATATTGCACAGAATACTTTAAGAGGCAAACAAATGAACTAAATTTAAATTATTATATGAATTTCGATTATTCTAAATTTGAGTCTCAAACTCCTGAAAAGGCAATATTTTAAGAAAAAATCACAAACACTATTCTAGTTAATCTAGATAAGGACATTATATTCTAGGTACCCAAGACTCGAAAACCAGTTTAAATAAGGTGGGATAGGATTCCCTAAGACAATGGGATTTCTTTTCTGATCCTTACCCGTCTACCTGATAAATATTAATATAATCTATAAAGGATATCTAACACTGAATCATCTGAATTGGATTCTGATTTTATGTTGAGAAAAATCCTGAAAGGGGTAGTTCAATTCAGTTTCATCGTTGAATTAAGGAACTCATTCTGAAAATTTAGATGTCATTCATACAAGGATGATTTTGATGCATTTTTATTATAAAATCTAAATAAACTAAAAAGATTTTCAAACATTTTAAAGAGGCAGATTAATTTATTAACTAAAGGGTTAGGAATTTCTAATAGTCACATTCGAATTAAAAAAAAATAAGCAAATATCAAATGATATATGTATGATATAATATCTATTTTTTATAATATGTATTTAAAAATAATCCAATAGGGACACAAATTTATGCACAACTGTGTAAGATATCTAATACTCTGATTAATATTAAATTATTTTCAATACAAGTAAGATTAAAAATGTTTTAATAATTAAAAAAAAACTTAAGGAAATCATATGGTGCAATCATAATTTTAACAAAAATTGCTCTGTGTAAAATGACGTTAAACTCCATTTAGTTATAATAGAAATGTTAATAATAAGAGAATCATCCACCCCAACCAAATCACTTATTTTGTTGAATTTAGAAGTTTTTCAAAAGTAATAGTCAAAGAATCACATGCGTTATATTATGTTTGAGGTCCAGTTAGCAAAACAGAATAATAATTAATTAAAAAATTATGATTTTATATTAACTCATATAATTATTGGATTTATAATAATTTAATTAATGTTACAAAAATTAAAATCAATACATTATATGTAAAAAGAGAACATAATAATTATATTATAATATTTATGAGCTAGAGAATTGTTAAAGAATTTTATATTTCCATGTTTTTGGCTTAATAATTGATAAAAATAATCTAAAGTAAGGTATTTGATTACTGAAATACTGAAATTCTTCTTCTCTCAGAGCTTTTAGAAGGTGAAAGAGTTCATCGGAAAGGATTTGAGAGAGAATATAAAAGCATTTTCAATTTATTCATTTTTAATAATTAATCAATACATTCTTAAAAGCAAATGCATAGCAAAATCACTCTGCTGAGTGAAGGATCCTCATCAAATGTGTTCCTCACTGAGGATCCTAATTACGTAATGAAGGAATTTAAATCTTCACACCCTAATTCATCGAGATTGAAGGAAGCTCAAATTTTAGAACTTCTTAAAGGAGAATTCGTGGTAAAACTGATAACCTTTACAGATAATTACTTAATATTAGAAAGACTGCAATCTCAAGATTTGTTCGAAGTAGTAAAATCCAAAAATCTCAATCTTCAGATACTTAAGGAAATATGCAAAACTCTAATAAGAATAGTAAACTCAATTCATAGAATGCATGTGGTACATCGAGACATCAAGTTGGAAAACATACTAATTGACAAAGCTGGTAGATTGGTCTTATGTGATTTTGGATTCGCTGAGTTGCTAACTAGTTGCACTGTCAAAAGAACTGTGGGCACTTAGAGTTATATGCCTCCAGAGTTGCATCAAGAATCATTATTAGGAGGATTGAATAGTGAAAACATCAATACTCAAATTCTAATTAAATCTGATGTTTTTTCACTTGGAGTTACAGTGTTTTAGATCATTTTAGGATTTCAGCCATTTGTATCAACTAAGCCAAGTGCGAATTGTAAACTCTGGAAGCTAATGTTACAAAAGAAATGGCCATAATATTGGGCATTAGTTTAAAAGTTGAGTTAACTTCAAATTGATCCTTTGACTTAGAACTTCTTGGAATAATTTCTACAACCAGATTTTACATCAAGATGCTCTTTGGATGAAATATATTGTCATCCATTTTTGAATGATGTTAAAGAAGATGTTCATTTAATTTTCTGATATATTATTAATTGTAAATTAAATTCAGCCTTTGTACATTCACCTAATTCAGATAAAATAGCATATTGCCAAATTAATATATAAATATTGATAAATAATGGGAAACAATAAGAAAAGTTGAGTGATTTGAGATATTCAAATAGATGAGGTTATCAAATATTTATGAGTTATTTGAGTGTGTTAAAATATAATTAATTATGATTATGATTGTACACTTTCACATTTCTAGTTTTAATTATATAATAATCACTTGGAATAGAGAGATGTGAAGAACATAAAATATTAAATCTTTTAATTTTTTTTTTAAATGGCAAGAGCATAAAAAGACACTAGACCAATTGCAGATTAAAACACATCAGAAGCTGCATGCACATATGCTGCTCTCATCTTATATGAAGACAATTAAGAAGTAAAATCTATTATTAAGAGAAGATCAATGCAGCAAAATTGGCTCAAATCATCAAAGCTGCTAATTTGAGAGTTGAACCAATTTGGACTAAAGTATTCGAAAAGGCACTCAAAGGAAAGAAGGTAGGAGACTTATTACATGGAAACAGTGGAAGTGCACCTGCTGCCTAAGCCGCTGCAACAACCACCACACCAGCTGCATAATAGACTAAAGCTCCTGAACCTGCTAAGGAAGTTAAGAAAGCTGAAGAACCCGAAGAAGATGTTGATATGGGAGGCTTATTTGATTGATAACATCATCATTCGTACATTAATATTCAAATATTGAATGAAAAGCATCACTTTCAAATTGAAGTTATTGAGTACCTCCTCAATACAATCTCGAGTATTTTAAACAATTTACTCTTAATTCTATTGTTTTGAATTCATCGGAATACCTTTTTCTTAAAATCACTTAAAAACACATTCATTTATTCTAAACCCATAGAAGGAGTTATACTCTATAATATATTACTAAATATTCTTAGTTTTATTATAAACATTTCATTCTGGCTTATCATATTTTTTATATTGTTTCACCATGTCGTCGATCTTCTTTTTCATCTCTACACTTAACTCATCACTTTCATGATCATTTTTCTTCTTTTTTTGCCAAAATTAGTAGATAAATACAATGAAGATTGCCACCAAGATCATTGGAAATCTGAAAGATTCCATTAAGGAGAAAGAAGAACTCTAAGGCATAGGATAATGAGTCAATTCCAACTATCTAATTGTAGTCTTATTATTCGAAGTGTAGAACTCATAAGCATTACTGGTTTAAGCATTGATCTTATGTGAGCGTATGGAATAGTATTAATACCATAATCTTTGATCATCCAAAGATGTTAGATAGAGAACCTCATCTTAGTATAGGGACTTATATAGGGACGTGTTATAGATTTGCAAAGTCTTATCATATCCAATCAAATATGAATTGATTACTCTGATATTCTTTAGTTTTTGTAAGGTGGGAATCTTGTAGGATACTAAGTTTCATTTATTTATTAATATTTACTTGAACATTCGTGATGCTTCCCAGACTTTATTTGATATATTAATATATCCTAATTGGATAACAAGACATAGATATTTTAACTGTAGATGTTCTCCTAATATATTGAAACTATGGAAGCTGCAGGCTGATCACACTTTGGAGTTACGATGGTTAGGGATACAGAATTCAAGAAGCCAATTTATTTCTCTGTTTAAAACATAATATGAGGATGTCTCCTTAATAAGTTTAGGATTGTGGTGGTTGATATGGTATTTTTGTTTTATAATGTGCCATTCTAAAAGTAATAAGAAATTGCTCCATTTTCATCACCAACCAAAAACACTCTTGTGTTTCGACCAGAATTAACTAATATTGAGGTTGCCATGTGATTGAGCTAAAAGCTTGATGCCCAGGTCAACTCTATTTCATGATAAAATCCATTCTTGTCAATTCTACGAATGTCATCAATTGGTTCTTCTTTGATATTTTTATCAATAATGGTCATGTTGATTATTGTTAGATTCCTTTCTGCATCGTACAATCCAATATAAAATTCATCCACATTATGCAAAATATCTGTCATCAATATATCACCTGTATGATTGTATTATGCTATTATCGTTCCTAATTAATTTATTATCATTATTTCATTATCACTTGATTTACAAACGAGTAATTATGAGGAGGGATAATGCAATTATTTTAAATGGAATAAATGAATGTCGATTATATCTTTGTCCATTTCAAATATGTTTTTTATTTTGACTCCATCCAGAAATCTCTTTCTTGCTTCAAAGTACTCAATATTTTAAGTCAACTCTATTTAATTTTCGATGTATTTTAACTTATCATAAATTGAGCAATTTATATATGAGAGTAATGCTAACAAAAATAACATTCAATAAAATTTATATTCAATAAAATTATTCCCTTGAGTTTGCTAAACTGCTCAAACTTATCATCCCATTAAACAGTTCCTATAATTTTTGCGTTTCCTACTATCTTACTGACATTAGATCTTATCTGACCTTTTTTCAAATAAACGAATTAATTACCCTATCAATCTCAGACTTGATTTTGATATCGCTCTCCTCCTTCTAATACAAGGATTGGATCTCCTTTTTTAATTGATCGTTTTCATCAGTTAAACTCCTACACCTCTCCTCTTAATCTTGCAATTTTTAATTTAATTATAAATAACATTCCTTGTACTCTTATAGTCTTTCCATTTCATTTTTAAAATCTTTGGTAACCACCTACTTGAATTGTTCTATTTGTTTGTTAATCTCTTGTTTACTTTACTTCATGTCCTAATGAAGTTTCCTCCTCTCTGATTTATAGTATTTTAATTTTTCCTATAACTTTTCATTCTCAACCCTCAAGGGTTCACATGAAAATAGGATCTCATCCAATTTCAGTATCTCAGTCTTCAATCTGCTATTCTCTTCTCCTAAAAGAATTAATTGTTCTTATAATTATCTTTGTTTATCTTCGTTCTGTATGTACAATGTCTATAAATTCCTTATTATTTTCTTACATTCAGAGTGTCATTTTCTTATCTCAAATGATCTATCATATCCTTCAATTCAATCATATCTTTTATTAAACTGTCTTTTTCTAATTACAATTTATTCATTCGATAAAAATCCTACTCCTTCTTCTTTGTCGAACTCTAATGCACCTCCTTTAATCGCTCATTCTCTTCCCACAATTCATTTACTTAGCTCTGCAAATCAACTATCACTTGATCCTTCTTTAAGAACTCATTCTTCAATAATTCCATCTATCATTTATCAAATGGAATGCAATACCTTTTCCCTTTGCTCCTTCAAGAGATTGATATAATATTATTCTTGCTCAATCAGTTTCATCTCATTAAACCTATGATTCTCATGACTCTATAAGAACTACATAAGTTATTACGAAGCCATACAAAATAATTTATAATAAATCAATTCATCATATGTTTATTCATTTACTCAACTCTACTGATAGGTCTATCCAAATTCATATCGTTCAATTGTGGCTACTTGAGACAAGCGAAACTATCACTGATGAGATTCTTAGCATTCTTAAGAAAACCCCTCTCTCTTGCCTAATCTATCCTCCTTTTCTCTTCATTGGACATCTTCAATATTGTCATAATAGCATTCATTAAAATGGTTGCCTCTTTATAATTTCTAGTTTCTTAATATAAAAAGTATTTGTAAACCACATTCTTCAAATATTCAAAATTAACATTTCTGCTATCACCACTCTCCTCTTTATTCTATATAGTTTAATCTGTTTATATCTATTTATTTGATATCTGTTTGTTTAAAACTATGTCTTATTGTTTTAAAGCAGCATCTTGCTCAAATGGATTAATTTCATCATAATCAGGAGTTGGAGTCTCGTAACTCTTTTAAATAACCTTAACAGTCTCTGCTTATTTTTTAGATTATAATTATGATTCCAAATCTTAGATTTTTATATTCTGCTTTTGAATCTCTTCCAAGAGTTTGTCAATCTATTATTTGAACTTTAATTATTCATTCATAAGATCTGAGGAGTTTATTTTGTTTGCTCTATCTGGCTATTGTAATTGTAATTCCTAGACCATTAGTTAGGTTTTCAAATTTGCATTGTCTTCTTCCAATTAATGAAGAGTTTGCAATTGCTAATTTTTAATCTGTATTATGTCATTAAGCTCTATAATCTCTTTGGCCAATCTCGTATTATTGACATCTAGATCATTTATTTGCTGTTTTAGTTGTTTGATGATTTATTGAGTCTTTTGATCTGTGTTTTACCCTTGTTTCTCTATCATTTAACGATATCTCTCTTCTAATTGAAATTTTTCATTATTAGTTTCTTTAATCAGATTTGTTAAAGCCTTGGATTTGTCTTCATCCTTTTGCTTAAATAAATCCAGAATTTGATTTTGATCAAATTATCCTATTTTTATCAATATATAAAACCCAAAGGCTTCGATTCAAATTTGTAAAGTTCATCATTCAAAACCGATGAGATTGCTTAAAACAAAGTCTCTCTGTCCTTTGCTATTAGTTTATATTCCTTATAGGTCTAAACATATTTCTCAGATAATTTATCTAATTTTTTGGTAATGGTTTTGTTTTCCTTTATCTTATCATTTATTTAGTATTAAATACTTTATCCTTCAATTATGAAACTAATACTTCTTTGCTCAGATCGTCTAACGCTTATTCATTGTTTTCTTACATTTAATTAAAATAAAATAATCAAATTAGAAAAATTATACAACTCCATTATATAATTCCTTCTTGGAAACACGCAAGGATAGTGACTTATTTTTGTTTTATCTTCACTTTCATAAATAATTCTAAAAACTTTTAAATACCACTTTGCATTAAACAAGGAAAAAGGAATTGAAGTTTTTGATAATAAAGCACGGTGATCTCTTAATTTTGATGATAATGACACATTTGCAAGTATAAATACCTGATTTTGATAAGAATAAGGTTCGGTTAAACTTGAGATTCTAATTTAATAAAGACCTATTAAAACTAATAGAATTATTCGAATAATTTCATTAAATATCTTAAGAATATCAATTTTCAATCGCTAAAATAGTATAAATTAGACTTGGAAACAAAGCTTTTGGTTTGATTTAAACAATATTTACTAGATACAAAAAGATAATTTTATATACAATTAAATACATAAGAATATTAGGAATTGAGTATAAATACCTTGATACTCCGTTTTAATAAGAATATAGGAAATTATTATTTCTGTCAAACGATAATAAAGATTTGCCTTCCTTTTCTAGAATTTCTTAAATTCAATAAGGGCAAATATATATAATATCACTTTTTTGCAATTGAATTATTTAAGTAACCACTATGTAGGGAAATATAAACAAATTAAGATAAATAATAATAGATTGTTTCTATATTAAAATAATCGAAATTCTAGGACGACATATACAAACTTGAAGGAGTTCTATTTTTTAAGGACAAGAACTTTGTTCCTAAATACATTTTATGTTACTACTTTACATATCTACGTTATTACTAAAATACAAGTACAATTCTAATTGATTTAGATTATAGATTATATAATATTGGATTTATGATTTATTTCTATTGAGTCATGCGACTTTCTGGGATTTTTGTAGTTTTTTGAAATTCTAGCCTTAACTCGGTAAAGATAATCAAAAAATACTTCAACCAAATATAGACCAAGATGCTATAGTAGAACTTAGAAGAAGATTCAGATTGTATCATACAGCACTAAGTTAAATTGAATAGATTAGAGAGATATGCTAATTAGGACTTTCTGCTATATACATTGTGGGAGAAGGTATATATTGATTGTTTATAATTTTAAAGTATATTTCTATCGGTAACTATGGGTACATGTTGATGGGAATTCAATTCCAACAAATCGTTTAGGAAGAAGAACATATTTGATAATGAATGATATTAATTAAAATTTATAATGGAATTCGAAAAGCAATTATACAGGATTCATAAAAGAATACTATTTGGGTCGATGATACGAAAGATTTTTACTGCTGGCGCCTATCTCTTTTCAACACTAACATTTTTGGGACTCATTTTCTTATTTTTATTACAATTCAGAGAATAGTACAAAGATTTCTTGAACCAAGAGTATATAAGTATAAAGCATATTCAAGAATAGATAATTTCAATAATGAAACCATCTACATTTTCAATGTAACTGATAGCTAATTAGTAGAGAAAAATGAATCATATCTCTCAATGAAGTTTACATTTAACAAAACCTTTCTTTATATGAGTAATGAATTTCAACAGAAATATAATTTCACAGTTGAAACTCATATGGTAGATATAGATTCGTACACTAAAGGATTTAATACTTTTTTGTGTATGGCATCAGATTTAGAAACTATGTTTATTATTGATTTTCTTGATTTCCTTGATGCCAATTAAGATGGCGATATACAATTAATGAATTAAAACACAAATGAGACTTGGAGTTGGAATAAGCAATAGCTTCAAAGTTTAATATTTTATAAAATTTAGGAAAAAAAGTTGTTGCTTATGATGAAAGAATCTACACAACTGTAACAGAGTTTATCAAGTGTGTTTTGGGAATATTTCTGCAATCAATTGTAGCCTCAATTTACATGAAGATGTCCATAATATGTGCTCCTATTTTAATAATATACATGAGTATTTGTTTATAATTAAGCTAAAAGTGAGTTGCATGCAAATCTGCTAGAATTAAGATATATAGGCACAAGCCTTAATTGACGCATTTCCTTGGGTAGGCTAATATTTGACTATTTTGAATAGAAATCAAAAACTAAAAAAGGAGCTGCTCAATGCTTTTATTTATATGTTGATATTATTTTACTTGGTCTACTTTTTGTAATTCAGTGGCTATAATAGTTCAATTCAATTGTTCGCAAAAAGCTACCCAAGAGGATTGAGTGAAAACTTTTTCTCGTAATAATAATCATTATTCTTATTAGATCATTTCTATTAAATGAATTTGTGAGTATCATATTTTTGAGAACTAGAGCATCCCTCTATTTTGTGCCCAAATACATTGTCTTAACCTATTTGCTGTTCATCTATTACTTTGAATCTACGTTATATGGATATTACAACCTGGCCTTTTAAATTTGCATCTTCTCACAATTTGCCATAATTTCCTTCTTTGTGCTCAACTTTGAAATAGCAGCTCTAGATTGGCCTACAGAATCTCCATACACACCTACACTTGATCGTCCACGAGTGTACTACTGTCCATTGTTCAATATGAATTGGGTCAATGACATTCCAACTCTATGGACTATGTTCTTCCCTCTTTGTGGAAGAAGGTATATATATATCGAACAACCTTAGGTTCTTCTAAATCTAGAATTTGGCTCTAGTCGATAAAAATTACATCTTATTAAACAATCTGTTGAATCAAGAGGAACTTCTAGCTGTTGAAGGGAATGCTCCTGCTTAAGTTCCAAATCTGTTAGTCCATGCGGAATAGCCTCAGCAAGAACAGGCCAATAATTAACCATAGGCTCAGGATGGTTAAAATAATTAGTAGTTTGTAATCAATGTAGATAATATACTTGGAAATGATTAGCCATAACAACAGAATTAGCTTTTGTGATTAACATAACTCAATTATTAAAATATTATATTTCTACCATTTAGAGATTCCAATTCGTTTTCTTATTGTTGTTTAATCTTTTTAATTAAACAATTTGGATTAATTTCAATTTAATATCATTAATTATAGAAACTCCTAATTTTTATACTAAATTGCCTTAAAATTTATTTTTATTTCTAATTAATTTAAATAAGATTTCAATGACAAAATTATCAACTTTAAAATTTATTGATCATAATATTTAAAGTAGAAAATGACTAAGAGGAATTTTCATTTTTTATTGAATTGCATTTCTTTCATGTTCGATTTAAAATGTATTAGCCAAGGTTAAATTACACGAGATGATTAATTAACTCCTGACTATTGGTTATAGCCAACAATCAAAATAGTTAGAAGTATAAGATGTATTCAGATGCAATTGATTTCTAATAAGACATGGAATACAAAGTGTTCTTAAATATTAACCCTATATCTTAACCTAAACAACAGTAGTTCTTGAAAAAGAATGCCAAGTTGAAAACAGTAAGGGGAAGAATAACCGTGAATGATAAAAAGTATCCCAGTGAAAGAACTATAATCTTTGCTGAACCGGAAGAGGAAAGTGAGGAAGAATTTTATGATATCAAATTTGGTCGAAAATAGAATTGCTTATGAAATGTTAATTAATTAGATGTGGGTTTTATTAATAAATTTAGATATAAAAACAATTCAATCTAATTCTATAATTTGGTTGTTGTTCTAATGATTATCTATTTTAGATGAAAGATTAGAATTATCAAATTTAACATCCTTTACAATCTATTTCAGTAGTTCATCATCTTCGTTGTCTTAAGCAGAACTCGAGAGTTCATATTCTTGAACTGCTAACAATAAGGTACTGGCCATAAATACTACATCATATTGTTAATTTTCTTTATCTACCTTATTTGCGAAATTCATCAATGCTTCTTTGACTTCTAATCCTAAACTCTATTACCAGAATTTCGTATTGAATTTCACACCATTAGGTTTTATGTGTTCTCTTGATTCCATCATTTAGAATAGTTGAGTATCATAAAATAAAATCTTCTCAGGTTCTTTCAACCCTTTCAACTTATTTTCGTATAAACGCAATCTTTACTAGAATTCCTTTAAATCTCTTTGATCATACTGATTTCCATTCTGCATTTTTTACTAATCTATTATCAATACTTAAGCAGTCTCAAACTATTCAATTAGAATCTTCATGAAATCAACCATATCCAAAGGGTTTTCAAGTGTTTTAATTGTATTTTAAAACTTTTCTCTGATCTTGTATGATTCCCATCTCAATTTTCTGACCATCAAAATATCAGTATACTTCTACACAACTTCTAGTAGTATTTTGACTATTAATTGCTTTGGACTTCGATTTCCGGCTTATACTTAACTTTGCTCAACATTTTTAATTGTGATCAATTCTTTTGTTTCTTGATCATTAAATAACTCACAAGCCATTAATTTTTGAATATTGGTTTACAATTCTCTTTCCTTTACACCACAAACATTCAAAGTCTTAAATAGTTATTACACTTAATTTTCATCTAAAACTCTCCATTCTGAACCATTATTTTAATAGATATGATCAATATCATTTGAGAATATATGGTAATCAAATCCATGAATATCAGAACCCAAATACAAGCATCCATTAATGAAAAGTCGACTAAACTCAACCAATTGGAGATATTACTTATAAACCTTTNTTTAAAGTAGAAAATGACTAAGAGGAATTTTCATTTTTTATTGAATTGCATTTCTTTCATGTTCGATTTAAAATGTATTAGCCAAGGTTAAATTACACGAGATGATTAATTAACTCCTGACTATTGGTTATAGCCAACAATCAAAATAGTTAGAAGTATAAGATGTATTCAGATGCAATTGATTTCTAATAAGACATGGAATACAAAGTGTTCTTAAATATTAACCCTATATCTTAACCTAAACAACAGTAGTTCTTGAAAAAGAATGCCAAGTTGAAAACAGTAAGGGGAAGAATAACCGTGAATGATAAAAAGTATCCCAGTGAAAGAACTATAATCTTTGCTGAACCGGAAGAGGAAAGTGAGGAAGAATTTTATGATATCAAATTTGGTCGAAAATAGAATTGCTTATGAAATGTTAATTAATTAGATGTGGGTTTTATTAATAAATTTAGATATAAAAACAATTCAATCTAATTCTATAATTTGGTTGTTGTTCTAATGATTATCTATTTTAGATGAAAGATTAGAATTATCAAATTTAACATCCTTTACAATCTATTTCAGTAGTTCATCATCTTCGTTGTCTTAAGCAGAACTCGAGAGTTCATATTCTTGAACTGCTAACAATAAGGTACTGGCCATAAATACTACATCATATTGTTAATTTTCTTTATCTACCTTATTTGCGAAATTCATCAATGCTTCTTTGACTTCTAATCCTAAACTCTATTACCAGAATTTCGTATTGAATTTCACACCATTAGGTTTTATGTGTTCTCTTGATTCCATCATTTAGAATAGTTGAGTATCATAAAATAAAATCTTCTCAGGTTCTTTCAACCCTTTCAACTTATTTTCGTATAAACGCAATCTTTACTAGAATTCCTTTAAATCTCTTTGATCATACTGATTTCCATTCTGCATTTTTTACTAATCTATTATCAATACTTAAGCAGTCTCAAACTATTCAATTAGAATCTTCATGAAATCAACCATATCCAAAGGGTTTTCAAGTGTTTTAATTGTATTTTAAAACTTTTCTCTGATCTTGTATGATTCCCATCTCAATTTTCTGACCATCAAAATATCAGTATACTTCTACACAACTTCTAGTAGTATTTTGACTATTAATTGCTTTGGACTTCGATTTCCGGCTTATACTTAACTTTGCTCAACATTTTTAATTGTGATCAATTCTTTTGTTTCTTGATCATTAAATAACTCACAAGCCATTAATTTTTGAATATTGGTTTACAATTCTCTTTCCTTTACACCACAAACATTCAAAGTCTTAAATAGTTATTACACTTAATTTTCATCTAAAACTCTCCATTCTGAACCATTATTTTAATAGATATGATCAATATCATTTGAGAATATATGGTAATCAAATCCATGAATATCAGAACCCAAATACAAGCATCCATTAATGAAAAGTCGACTAAACTCAACCAATTGGAGATATTACTTATAAACCTTTCTATATTATTGTTGTTATTAAAGAGTATATTGACTATCTTTCTTTTATAATGATTGATTGATACTGTTCAATTCATCCTGAACATTTTCTAATACTAATCCTACTGCCTCTGTAACTTCTTATCTGTATTCAATTATTACTTTGAAACTATCAGTTTCACGCACTCCTTCAATCAGATTACTTGTGATGTCAGCTCTTTATTTAGCCTTCAATCCAAAGTAACCTAATTCGTTCTGACCTATACTCTTGATGTTTCTAAGTTCCTAATCAGTAAATAAGGATTAGACATATGGCAATTTGATTGATTAAAGTAAGAATGATGGCCAATTCTGAACCAAAAACTTAAACAGATTATTGAATCTCAGCATTTCTAAATCAGTATATCTGTCCTTGATCTTAAATGATTTAATTTAGGAGTACTATTTTGTTTATTTACTTTTCTTTTTATTTTAGTCCTTCAACTTACAAAGCTATTAATATTTGCTAATTATCTATTATCTTCTCATCTCAATATTATCTTAATTTAGTGTATCCTTGTTAACATTTTGAATCGTCTCTGGTTATTCATCCGAATCCTATTCTATGTCCATATCCTATAATTTTGTTCTTTACGATTTCTTTATTATTTTATTAAATGACTCGTAGGCTATTTTCCAAAAAGACTAACATGTAGGATCCAAGTAATTTTCAAATTCATATTTCTAACTCTAAAGTGTTAGGTCTTAATTTAAATCCTTCTCTTCCTCTTATTATTTCTCTACGATAGATAGTAAACTCATTTTTTGAGGCTTGTTCCCCTTCTTTTTAATTTCATCCTTCACTTACCTTTGCTTTGCTATGTCTATTGGCTTCAGTAAACCCATTTTATACTTAAAGATATCCTCCACTATAAAGGCTGCCAACTTGAAGTTAATACGATCTGACTGTTCCTAAGTATCAAAAGTTGAGTATTGATAACTATTTGAAAATGTAGCATTAGTATGATAGTCTTTTATTAAATGCCCTGTTAGCTTTAGTAAAGGAGACAGCAACAATTAAAACTAATTCTAACTATCTGACATTGCTGCGAATTACTAATTATAAGGAAAAGCATTTATGAAGGTTGTAATCTCAATTTATTGATTCAAAGGAATAGGTGAGAAGGTCTTGATTACATTCCCCTCTCTCATCTTCCCAAATTGATTACTTTATGGAAATATTTGTGAAAATTGAACTATTATCTCATCCATTATTGGAAAAATCACTTTCTTGCCATTCATATAGTTTGGAAATCTCCTTTGAAATTCCTTTAGTTTAGCTTATTTCTCATTCTCCTTATTATCCATTTTTATTAATACATTACAATATTCAACTCTCCATATTTTAATTAAAAAAAATCATTAAATTTTTTTGATTCCAATATCAACTATTGCTGTTATCTATAATAGTGTTTCTCTCTTATATTTTAAAACAGTGTTCCTTGCATTTTAATGAAAAATTAATATGGTTTTGAGTCTTTTATTAGATTGATATAGCTCTAAGAATAAATAATATCTATCGAGCTTGCATTTAGTATTCTAGAGATTAGAATTCCTAAAGAGGCCAAGAGTAAGATAACAAAAAATAATTTGATAGGTGATGGGCATCTACTTTGTAATTTTAGTGATTTTAAAAGAAAATGAAAATCAAATATCATAATAAGATACAATAACCAATACTATAACAATTTAAAAATTAAAAACAACATAATAATAAGCTAATTTTTGAAAAACGAAAATATATTGAAGAGCAAATTCAAAAAACTTATTAATACAAATTCTTTTGTGAATATATTCTTTTTGAATATATAAATATGAGATATATTTTCATGATTGATATTATTTAATTTAAGATATGATTTATTAATAAACTCAGCAAAATTAATCTATAAAGTAATTAGGTGACTATTTAAGGATATTGATAATTTTAACATAACTGGCTTGAATAAACTACTAATACATGTTAGACATCTGTTTAATAACAAAATCCATAAGTTAATAGTATCCTGATAACATATGTATGAAACTATTTTATCCTTAATTAATTTGAAAATTAAGCATTCAATTTTTGAGGAAAATTAAATTTAAATTCTCAAGAATTCTTCTATATATATTATTTAGTGTTAAAGTTAAATAAAAGTAAAATATATTTATATATATAATATTTTCAAGTTAAATAGGTTTAACTCTTGATGAACGATTATTTAAACAGGGGTTTTTATAAAATACTGATTTAATTAATATTAATTACAAATAATGAATCAATATGTTTATTTTAATGATTTGAAGGAAATGCAACACTACGCCAGAAAAAATCAACTCTCATTATATGCATACAAGAAATCTGTGTATAATTTGACGGATTACGCTGAGAATCATCCTAGTAGTGAAGCTTACGTGTAACATTATCAAAATCAGGATGTTACGCATACTCAATTCAATAAGAAAATTCTCAAAACTCACATAGAAATCATATCAACTTTGCAAGAATATATAATTGGATACATTCAGAGACATGACAAATAAATTATAACATACAAATCCTCTAAATCCATTATCGAATAAACCAAAAAAAGATTAAGAGAAAGCACTGTACCATTTTATGAAGACATCCCAGAAGATTGTTCAATTACTAGATTACCCATACTAACTACCAATAAAAGATTTCACTCTCAAAAGACCATTAGAATGCCTAAATGAATCTTTGAATTTATATAATAATTAATATAATAATTAGAAAAAATTAAAAGTATTTATAAAACTTTAAGTTGTATGTCTCAATTTTTTTATGCTCGGCTGCATGAAACCTATTAATATTAATTCAAAATAAATAAATTGTGCCTTGAAGACAAGAAAGAAATTTAAAAAAACTCTAAATAAATTTCAAAATTCATCACGATCAANATATAGCTCTAAGAATAAATAATATCTATCGAGCTTGCATTTAGTATTCTAGAGATTAGAATTCCTAAAGAGGCCAAGAGTAAGATAACAAAAAATAATTTGATAGGTGATGGGCATCTACTTTGTAATTTTAGTGATTTTAAAAGAAAATGAAAATCAAATATCATAATAAGATACAATAACCAATACTATAACAATTTAAAAATTAAAAACAACATAATAATAAGCTAATTTTTGAAAAACGAAAATATATTGAAGAGCAAATTCAAAAAACTTATTAATACAAATTCTTTTGTGAATATATTCTTTTTGAATATATAAATATGAGATATATTTTCATGATTGATATTATTTAATTTAAGATATGATTTATTAATAAACTCAGCAAAATTAATCTATAAAGTAATTAGGTGACTATTTAAGGATATTGATAATTTTAACATAACTGGCTTGAATAAACTACTAATACATGTTAGACATCTGTTTAATAACAAAATCCATAAGTTAATAGTATCCTGATAACATATGTATGAAACTATTTTATCCTTAATTAATTTGAAAATTAAGCATTCAATTTTTGAGGAAAATTAAATTTAAATTCTCAAGAATTCTTCTATATATATTATTTAGTGTTAAAGTTAAATAAAAGTAAAATATATTTATATATATAATATTTTCAAGTTAAATAGGTTTAACTCTTGATGAACGATTATTTAAACAGGGGTTTTTATAAAATACTGATTTAATTAATATTAATTACAAATAATGAATCAATATGTTTATTTTAATGATTTGAAGGAAATGCAACACTACGCCAGAAAAAATCAACTCTCATTATATGCATACAAGAAATCTGTGTATAATTTGACGGATTACGCTGAGAATCATCCTAGTAGTGAAGCTTACGTGTAACATTATCAAAATCAGGATGTTACGCATACTCAATTCAATAAGAAAATTCTCAAAACTCACATAGAAATCATATCAACTTTGCAAGAATATATAATTGGATACATTCAGAGACATGACAAATAAATTATAACATACAAATCCTCTAAATCCATTATCGAATAAACCAAAAAAAGATTAAGAGAAAGCACTGTACCATTTTATGAAGACATCCCAGAAGATTGTTCAATTACTAGATTACCCATACTAACTACCAATAAAAGATTTCACTCTCAAAAGACCATTAGAATGCCTAAATGAATCTTTGAATTTATATAATAATTAATATAATAATTAGAAAAAATTAAAAGTATTTATAAAACTTTAAGTTGTATGTCTCAATTTTTTTATGCTCGGCTGCATGAAACCTATTAATATTAATTCAAAATAAATAAATTGTGCCTTGAAGACAAGAAAGAAATTTAAAAAAACTCTAAATAAATTTCAAAATTCATCACGATCAACTGAAAAACCTTCAAATTAACAATCAGCTTATCCTATTTAGGATTGAGGAGTTTCAAATATTTTCTTAGGAACAACTTTGCATTCTGTTGATTGCTATTTCAATATCTTAGTAACACTTTCTTAAATTGGTGATTTTAAGTTTAAATTATAAATATCATCCCAATTAATTTGCGAAAAAAATAAATGGTTCTTTATTTAATCGATGGATCTGCTGCCTAAGTCGGTTAAATTATATTTACCTAAACGTTAATGAGGATCCTTATTCAAGAGTTGAGAAATAATATCCTTTGCTTCAGTGGATATAAAATCAGGAAATACTAATTCGTTTTATATAATTTTATTCTCTATCACCCTTAAATTATTAGATCTATCTCTGAAGGGCGTGTAACCTACAAGCATTTCATACAGCAATATCCCTAGACTCCACCAATCAACCGAAGAATTGTGTCCAGACTTCAACAAAATTTCTGGTGCTATGTACTCTGGGGTTCCGACAAACTGGACTTTTAAATACATCTAAGTATTACGGTAAAGAATTTCATGTCCTAAGAGTCATATTACTTCGATAGCCCAAAATCTGTTAATTTCAGGTGACCATCTGAAGTAACTAAAACGTTATCCGGTTTTAAATCTCTGTAGATGACTCTTAAGGTCTCGTGTATGTATTATAATCCAAGAACTATCTCAGCAACACAAAATTAGGCTTAAAATTGTGTGAATCGTTTCTCTCGCTACCTACCTAGGACTCTGGCAAGTTGACCTCCAGTCACTAATCTAAACATTTTAATTTACTATATTACTCCATTACAAAGTAGAGCTTTTAATCTGTTTAGAAAGAGTATTTTAGCTTGACAACAAAAGGGTTTTGGCTTCTAATTAGCACACTCTTTTCAAGCATTGTATGTTCCACCAACCCATATTGAATGATGTCGGATTTTTTAATAACTTTCATAGCGTATTCTTAATTGTTGCTCTTCATTTTAACTTTTAAAACCCTTCCAAATTAGCCCTAAATAAATTTATATATTCCTAACCCTTCCTATCTAACCTTAACTTAGAAAGTCCTTTAAAGTGATTTTATTTGCATCCAAGTCCTTAGGGGACTGAGACTACAAGTAATCTACCTTCTTTAGTGATTTAATGGATGTTTTGCTATTCTCATCTTAATTGAAGCAATTACCCATATTTGATAAAAATTAAATCCTTTTTTTTAAAATATGTCTTCTTAAAAGTTCAAGGTGAAAAAGCTGAGAGATCAAAAGACTGATGATCTTCTTAAAGATTTAGAGAAGCTCAAAGGAGAACTCATTTAATTGAGAACAGTTAAGGTTTCAGCTGGTAATGCTCAAAAACTTGGCAGAATTGGAGTAAACAATTAAACAATCAATTAAGCTTGTTAGAAAGCGAATTGCTAAATTTTTAACAGTGATCAATGAATAGAGAAGAAATTCTGTGAAAAATGCAGCCAAGTCAAGTACTAAACTCCCAGTTGATCTCAGAGGTAAAAAAACTAGAGCAATTAGATAAAGACTCACAAGAAGCGAAAGAGGTAATAATAAATGATAAATAAATCAAGCATAAAAAACACAAAGACAATGGAAAAGATTGAACAATTTCCCATTAAGAAAGTTTGCATTGAAAGAATGATCAATTATATAAAACAGTACAATATTGATATAGCTATTGTAAATGTCAATCATCATCTGATAGATCTTCAAATTCCCTTATTGGAGGAATATATTATTATTTATACATTCTACCCCAATCAACACCACTAAAAAAATTATCTGATTTTACTGCATTCAACGTAATTCTTTTACTATCATCAACTTCAAGCATTTGCTAAAATACTCATTATAATAATATTACTTGAATTAGGTCTCTGGCTTGTTATGAAATATTGCTTGGATAAGTAAGTTTAGCATCCTTGATATGTTATTTAACATTTTCTTAATTTTTATCAAAGTATGGAGACTTTCCTGTTACTAATTCATAGAAAATAGCTCCTAATCCATAAATATCCGAGGCTTTTGTTGCCCCTCTTTGATCAATCATTTCTGGTGACATATAATAAGGTGAACCACAAAAACTTAGACTTCTCTCTCCATCCTTTATCTCAGTCTTACACAATCCAAAATCAATCAGTTTTATATGCCCTCTTCTGTCAATTAGAATGTTTTCTGGTTTCAAATCTCTATATAAGATATTCTTCTTATGTAAATATTCTATGGCAATTATTAATTCAGCCATATAAAATCTACTTTCATTTTCATTAAATTTCCCATGAACAATAAGATTATGTATCAAATCTCTGCCTGGACAATACTCCATTATGATATAATAATACTTTTCATTCTATAAATTTTATAATAAATAACATTACTTCTAAAAATGCATAACTTTTTATTATAAATGGACAATCCACACTTTTTAGTATCTCCATCTCAGTGATTGCATATTTTAAATAATTCTGCTTTTTCAAAAAGCTCTTCTGCATTTGTTTTAAAGCATAAATATTATTGTTTTTATATTTAGCCAAAAAAACTTTGCCAAATAATCCCTCTCCTAACTGCTTTTACAATTCAAATTACTTTATATCTAATGAAGAGATGTCATCAAATCCTTCTTTCAGATACTAATAATTCTAATTTTGCAAAACATTATCCTCAATAAAAACCTTATCATTATTATCGTCTTCACAAGCATCTTAGACAGATATTGATGAATTTTATTTTTCAGTTATCCATTGATTGTACAAAAGAGCTTAATTTAACGAATCAACCCATTTTTTAGCAGCACGTTCTGTTTTAGCCATAAATTACGCCTTTTTACCATTCAGAAAATTGATTTCAACTAAATTCTATTTTTTTGAGTTTTTTTAATGAAACACAGAATGAATGTTAATTAAATTGATGATTTCACTATTTAAACTATAATTCTTACATAGGCTAAGCATTAAAGGATTAAGATTGGAATAAATAAAGCATTTAACCTTAAGGTTGCAATTACAAAAATATTTCATTATCTCCAGATTTTTATTTTCCTTATTTTGTTAAATATCCCTCTGTTATTGGTATTTAAGGACAGTTGGCTTGACTCAAAATCAAGGAATTCTATATATTTTAATATTTCTTAATACTCTAATAATCGATGTTAATCTTCTTTCGTTTTAAGGGAAATCATTTACATAATTTTGATGCCATTCAACAATTCTAAATGAAAATAAATGGTTACTTAATATTATTATTTTCATCTTGTTTTATTTTCATTTCAAGCCATTTGCCTTATTTATTTCCAAATTCATCATAATTTCCATAACTCAAAATCTAATTTGCTATTAAATCAATTGTATTCCACTCTCCAATTCTTTTGCCATTAAAGTATTAACCTTGTTCATAAATTAATTCTATGGGTTCTGATCTTGCCCAAATTATCTCCTTCCATTGTCCTTCCTTTACACCATAATGATATTCACCTCCCTATAAATTAGAAATATAAGATATACTTTGAATTGTAAATCTTAAAATTTATAAAAATGGCATCCGTGTTTTAATCCAAAACAATGATTACCTGTGACTTAAACTTGATTATTAAACAATTGTTCACTTTTGGATATCTCAAATTTTAATTAATGAAATGATTTAGAATATTAAATTAAAATATTCAACATTTATAGTATGTCATTAAACTTTTCTTGTTAGTATTGTTGTTTGAATGGTTAATCAATCAAGGATTACTTGATTTTTTCTTATGAATTTTGAGTTAATTTGTATTGAAATTCAGTAGTTTTTAAGGAATTTATTATCTTTTTAATTTCTTTTTTCGTTTCTTAAAAATAATCAACGACTATTGTTTGTGCTTCATTCAGAGTTTAAGATATCTACTTACGGTATTATTTAAATTAGAGAGTTTCATATTTAATTGCATCTGACAATTTTTGCTATAATTCAGAATAACTTTCAAAATTTTCAAATGTGGTAAAAACACTCTCATTTTGTTTATTCATCTCATAATGCGATGCTTATTATTCCAATAGACATTTACTCTATTGGGATTATTGCATTTTCAATTAGATTTCATCATAATTATTGAGTTAAATCTCTGACTATTGCATAATTAAATATTATACGAATATAATTTCTAAGTGACGATATATCACCTAAAAATATTGCAATTAAATATTAACATACATTATTTTAATATATTTTCAACTCACAGAATGTAATTTATGCTGCACAGCAAATATTCCTTTATAAAAAAAATGTATCAAGTAAGTCAACGGAAATAGAAATACCAATAATATTCTAATTCTAATATAATTTTAATTTAAGACTTACTTTTTGATTTTAAATTATTGATAATGGAATTTAACAGTGATAATAAAACAAAAAAATGGATATATTAAGAGCAAGATGCAGAATATTAGTATGAATGCTATGATTTTGGGTAGAACCATCAGTAATCGTAATAACATCGGATATTGTAAAGGCTCAATAGTTCTCATCATTGATCCCGGAACTGTAATAATTTACATATATTACATGGACATCCAAATAAATTCCATAATCTATAATGATATTTACTATATTATCCTTTGCAAATCCAACAAAACTCATATTTACATTTACAAACCATATGATTGCATCCGCTAACTTTTTCTATAGGAATCAAACAATTTGGACATCTTTAACTACATTATCCAGAGTGAATTTCGCCGCACTTTGCACAAACATTGGTACCGCACTTGTGGGTTTTCAAATCTTCTTTGCAGACCTAGATTGTAAATAATTTGTAATACAGAACAAGTTATTATAGCTTTCTGCTTTAACTCCAAATATTTGGGAAACAAGTCTTCGCAATATTGTTTTATGACTAAAGCGCTGTATTCTGTAGTACAAGTAGGACATGTAATCTTAAATACACTACCACTCTTAATTGCTTCTTTCAAATACATGATGATGCATTCTCTTTTTGATTTATATATGCTTACTTGCAGAATTGATGAGAACAATCCCCAGGTTTAATCATCTATTTGTCAAGGAAGCAGATTTAACAATTCATAATTTTATTACATATAGGAAATGATATAATTTGTGCAATAATTAGAATAAATAAATCAATAGCATATTAAATGTTGTCATATTTCATTTAATTTGACGATCTTTCTTTTAACTAAACAAACTAATTTTAAGGGCTTCTGTAATTGATTGTTATCAAATATCTATAAATGATACTCTTAATGTCGTGAATCTTATGTTTCTTCATTCTTCAGATGATATTTACAGTCCACTGATTATTCAAGTTATTAAATGATAGATTTGACTAATATTTCATTCTTTTCATCTTTAGTTACTTTGCCTAATTTAATTTTATTTTCCTCTTATTTTAATAAATTATAATATCTGTTTTTAATTGTATTTTCTGTTCTTCTCAACTTAAAAACCTTCAATGAAATCTCAGCCCATCTCTTTCCTCTTTTCTCTATCTCTCTAAGTAGTTTCAATTCCTCTTCCTTTGTCCACGGAAGGCTAAGTATTCATATACAAACTACTTCACAATATTTGGGTCTAATTTATTCACCCACCTGTCCCTACACTATTTCCCTTAGCGAATGTAGGGAGTCTTGCAAATTTTCATCATCTCAATTGCAATCTCACACCATTTATTTGGATGTAATTACTATAACTATATTAAAACTTAATCTTCCTCTGAAGTCCAACCAACCTTCTGATGGCACTCTTCCAGCCATCTATTCCTACAGCCTTTCCAATTATGATATCTGAACATCCTTGAAATTTATTCCCATTAATAGGAGGACTATGATGAATATTTCTAAATTATTTTACTAAGTCAACAGGACTTTCTTATGATTTCAAGCATGTACCAAGTACCAATAAATTTAAGAATTTGTCTTAGCAAGGAGTCCACATTCCTCTTTTACTATTGTAAGCTTTTTCTACAGAATTTAGTATAGAATTAATTTCCTCGGCAGTAGGCAACTATTAGAATGAGAACTAATAATTTTTAAGAAGAAATTATGCGAACTCTTGTTCCGGTTAGTAAAACATCTCCAAAATTGTGTGTCTATCTAATGGCGTTTTTTTTTGCATTTTCAAAAAGTTGTTTATTATATTAAATGAAATACTTTTTATGCAGATCAAACTGATAAATCAAGGCAATTTGATATGATTATTGAAGAAAATTAGTTAATATTTTATACAGAGATAATTTATTATTTCTGATTTTTAGAATCACTTGATGTCTCTTATTTATGAACATAATTATATTTAATATTATTTGAATAATCTTTACATTTGTAATTCAATATTACAAATGTTATTGAATCACTCAAAGTAACCAGCAAATTTGATGTGGTGACAAAAGTGGGTATATTTATGAATATGAATTTGTTTGATATGTTATTTTTCAAAATGTCATGTAGATTCGTGAATTTTCATTCTGTAACCTGTCAATTAGAATGAAAAATATAATTTAAAATAGTTATTAAATAATTTTTTATTAGAGCTATAATTTTGATTCCTACATTATCTAACACATCCATGCATTTGATTCTAAAATCAAAATAACCATATTTTTCGGGATCTTTAATCTTCAATTTCAATAATTTTTGTCAAGTGCTTATTTCCAAGGCCTTGATTTATTACACATGAATAAAGTTTATTATATATATTTTATTAGAAATTATATTGTTGTCTTATAATTCGATATATATAAATATAAAAAATAATTAAATTTATTTTATATTTTAGATTATTATTAAGTTTTATCAAAGGGATTATTAGGTTCAGGAGAAGAAGTAGGAAGTGGTTTTCAATTATAAAACCTAATGTGGAATAAATTTTTGGACTTAAGTAAATTAATAATATTCATGATGAATGATTTAAAAAAATTAAAGTGAGCAAAAATAATATTTAAACTAATATATTAAATGATATCCAAGGCTTTCTTGATTTGAAAAGGCTGAAGGTTAGAAAAGAGGTGATTTGATAAAGCATCATTATACAGAATGCTCCATAAAATGACAGCATTTTATGGAATCATTTGTATAGCGTTTATTAATTTATTCAATGTTTATAAACCCTATTAACTCAATGTTCTTCTGCTTACCATATTTTTATTCCTTTCAGTTGCCTCAACCCTTGGTTAAGGAGGAGGCTTCAGATACTGAGAAAGAATAAACCGTAGATAATATTTAAGAACAAACGAATGCTAGTGGAATAGTGCGAGGAAAAGGGTAGCTATGGTCTAAAGAGGAGGTGGACAACTTAGTAAAATACTATAAGTAGTATCATGGGGATTGGAAAAAGGTCATCAAACACTTGAAAGGAAGAAACATTTCCCAGTGTTCATAGAAGTTTCGAAAGCTTTAAGATTAAGATAAAAGAACAAAAAGGAAATGGTCGAGTATGGAGGATAAAATACTATTGGAAAGTTACGAGTAGCATGGAAGACAATGGATTAAGATAGCTGAAAGTATTATGTCAAATTACTAAATATAGAACTTCCGGGAAGGACTTCAAAACAAGTCAGAGATAGATATGTAAATCAAATAAACCCAATACTCAACCATTAGGAGTGGAGTGAAGAAGAGGACTAAATAATAATGAAGTAATTTTAACAGAATGGACCACATTGGGCTCAGATAGCCAAGCAGCTGAACAACAGATCTGTAATTCTGTATTCTTAAATTCTAGGAAAATTAAGTCAAAAATCGGTTCTATTATACTATACACAAAAAGTATAATGGGGAGCTACATCCATATTTGAAAATTTAGAATTGATTCTCGTTATTTCACTCAATTTTAATATAATACACATTTGAATATTTGTCAAATATTTATTAAGCATGAATTAATTACTACAAGAAGAATAGCTCATCTAGTAGTAAAATGAAGAGGATTTGAACAAGTAAGTGGAACAAGTGGAGCCAGAGAAGGAGGTACAATAGGACCAACAGGAATAGGATGGTGAAGTGGATGACGGTGAATAAGAGAGATTAGATTTTCAAGATCCTCCCTAGTAATAGACAGAGGATCAGCCGGAGAATAGATAATAGATTGTAAAACCGAATTCGAAAAGGTTTGATTCTCAAGAAGAAGTGAAGACCACTACTCAAAGGAAGGAGATGAATAAAAGAATGGAAACTGAAAAGTAATATGGATAAAAAACATCATCAGAAAGAACATTTAAAACTTTAGAATAAATATATAGCAAACGAAATACTCAATCGTTGTTGCATTTCAGAACATCAGAATAATTTGATACAAAAATAGTACATGATTAAATTAATCGATCTCATTCAAAACAACAATATACATTTTCGAAAGCTGAAAGATTCTCGAAAGCTAAAGAAAGCTACTGCTCTATTTAATTTTATGACTCATAGTATTTTGTAATTTTATTGTAGAATCCAAACGCAATTGAATTAAAGGGCAGCTGCTCTCGGATATGGAAATAAATCTGATTTCACTAAGAAAGACAAATATATTCCAGGACCTACTGATTACAATGTCAAATTGCCCCTTAATCCTGGAATCAAATTTGGATATGGGAGAGATGAAACCATGATTAAAGGAATACATGGACGTCCAAATAGGAATCCCGCTCCTAATCTATATTAAGTGAAAGATATAGTAACAACCTTCAAATATTCGATGGGTGAAAGAACCTCAGCAAAACGTATAGCAATTTAAATTACTCTTAGATATCTATCTCTAATCTACAACTCCAGCTCCTGGTCGATACGATGTGGGAGGTCTCACAGCAAAAGGAAATTACTTTTTTGGGAGATTCAAAAGCAGTGGAGCTCCTGTAATTTCTCCCTCGACTACTATTGCTAAAAGACTCAAGAGAATACCAGGTCCTGGAACTTATGATCCGCCTGGAAATATTGGAGATCTCAGAACCTACTTACCATCATAGTTTTCTACAAGAAGTGGTTTCAGATTTGGTTATTAGGAAAGACAAACCTAAGATATCAAGAATAAATTATGTAAATTATTAAATAGATAAATTAAGTCCCTGGGCCTGGTACTTATTAATTACCATCAGAATTTGGTGACTATGAATACCCACCTCTTATATGATATAAATAATTAAAATCAGAATCTTATATTACACAAGGCTGCTACTATAATATCAACAAAATTAGCTAGTTGTTTAGTTAATGGTTCTTCCATTCCTAACACTCCTTCACTTGGTGACAGTAGTTGATCCTTCTCAACCTGCACTTTTAGTTTACATTTTAAACAAGTCTAAAAATAAATACCGATTTTAGTTACTTCTATAACAGCAACTGTATTATTATTCTTATCTAATAACGGTTGGGCAAATATTGGTAGAATAGACTTAATATCTACAGCTTGATTGAAATGAATTGAGTTTTTTACATCATTTATTATCAGTTTCTGTTTTGTATGAGCCACCATTCCAGCTAATCCATACTAAACATCATATTTCCTAACATCCTGACCACTGTAATCAACAAGTTGATTATCTTCAAAGAAGTAAAACAAGACTTAAGAGAATCCAAAGATTTAACTAAGACTCAATTACACTTTAGAAGAGAACTCCTATTTGCTCTGACTCTTCATAAGATTAGTAAATCCATCCATCATCATCCCTCTGTATTTCTAGGTAATTAGCCATGATTAACTAAATCTACTAGATTTGTTACTTATCAATTAATCTTTATAATAGATGCCCAAGTTAATGAGATGCCAAAATACCAAAGTATTCTTCATCAAATGAAAAGAATTCATTCTCAGTATTGGTTACTTCCAAAACACCTCTGATGGCATCATTGGTTTCACAAAACAAAGGCAACAACAAAGCATTTCTAGCATAATCCGGTTATTCCGATTCATTTATTCTATACAACAATGGTTTTTAGGATGCTTATGAGATATTTTAGGCAGATCTCAATTTAAAGACATCAGCCACTTGACCCTTATGTTATAAAGCTCTAATTTGATTGCCTGTTTCCAAATAGGTAAATATGGTTCCATTCATTCCATCAATTAGCCATAGTCTCACCTATTCGCATCCAAATACTTGAGGCAATACCCTATTAACCTAGTGTATAATCTACAAATAAATAATGTAATTTTACATCTTCAAATAGGATGCATTTACTAAATTGTTCCATATAAAAGAAAAATTGATTCATCTTTTCAGCAAATTCCTTATAAGATAATAATTGTTAGGCTATTATTTAGAATTGTTCTTTTTGGGATTCCACAGGGAGTGTAAAATTATGTTGACAAGTAGCTAACACACCTTTATCAGTTAGATCGTTTAACAAATGTTAATTGTTTAATCTTTAACTCACTACTCTGAAATCCAAAGTTTAAGGTATTCTAAAATTAACTAATAAATCAATGTCATCTTTTCTAAACACTGATTTTTCATCTTTGCCCATATCATCTTGGTTTTTCTTCCTCATATTGTCAATTGTCTTTTATAAACGGTTAACCAACTATGTGTATTAACTAAGTTTTCCTTGAACTCTCTCTAATTCTTATTTCTTGTGTTCGAACTCTCTTTTAATTAATTCATTCTCTTTTAACAATTCATTGAGACTGCTTCTCAATTTATCATTTGGATTCAAGGCAGAATTCACATCGTTTTCCAATAGAAATTCAATTCTTTTTTCCAAGGCTGTGATTTTTTTGGAATTGGATGCATTTAATTTCCTTTCTTGTTTTAGTTGTTTCTATAATTTGGAATTCTCGTCCAATAGTTTATTTGTCTTCTAACTATGTACATCAATCACACTTTGTAAAGATTGATTTTTATCTGATAATTTCAGTTACTTCATTTATAATGATGAATACTTAACTAGCATAAGTTAATTAAAATACTATTCTTCCTCTCTATTTCCCTCATCTTAAAGCCTAATTCAATTTCAGTCTTCGCAGATTGTTATAATGTATAAGAAATGCTCTTTAACAATTCTTAAATCTTCTATAAAGTAGTTTGATTTTTTATGTTATGGACAAACTCCTTGCCACCAATCACCGAGATCAATAGATCTAAAGTGCTGCATCTAGATTTGAGAATCTCATGCATTTCACGAATTCGCTGCATTTTAATAAATAGTTACTAAGAGTTCTTCATCCAATTGGTCTTATTATCTATAACCATATGAGTCCTGCTCTTCAGCTATGGTGATCGTGGGTCTTTCCGCACTAATCAATTTCCTAGTGTTTGAGTTTGTAGTGCTCACTGAGTTGAATTGAGTACTCATCTTTGGCAACGCTTGCATATATGATCTGGGAGTTCCCAATTGTTGTGGCCTTTGAAAGTCCTCTGAAAAGTGCTGACGATGATGCTGATTGAGGAGCAATCCCAACCCTTTGCGTGAAGCTTTTGCATTATCTGATGTTTACATTATTAATTTAATTACATTATAATACAATTATAAAGTATATATATATTTATTTATATCATCATCCATTAATTTAATAAGCAAATTTAATTAAACTTATCCCGATTTCTAGAATATAACCAATTTATAAAGAGCAAATAGAAATTCTTGATTTTCGAAAATTCTAGAGATTTTGTCTTTTAAATCCCCTCACTTTGCCATTAGAACCAACAATTAATTTAAGCTATGTCAACAACACAAAACAAAGAAGAACAATTCCACTTCAATGCAGATATCCAACAATTGATGGGACTCATCATTAACACATTCTATTCCAACAAGGAAATCTTCCTCAGAGAACTAATTTCCAATGCTTCAGATGCTCTAGATAAAATCAGATACAAGTCCATTACAGATCCAGACAGTGCAGGATTAAATGTTGAACCCAATTTCAAAATCAAAATCATTCCAGACAAAAACAACAACACCTTAACCATCCAAGATACTGGTATTGGTATGACCAGAGATGAACTAATCAATAATCTTGGTACAATTGCAAAATCTGGAACAAAGGCCTTCATGGAAGCACTCAATTCTGGAGCTGATATTTCTATGATTGGACAATTTGGTGTCGGATTCTATTCAGCTTACCTAGTTGCAGACAAAGTGGTCGTGCTTTCGAAGGCTGTTGGTTAATAACAATACAAATGGGAATCTTAAGCTGGTGGAACATTCTTTATCTATGATGACAGTGAGAACCCAAATCAATTGACTAGGGGATCAGCTGTCATTCTCCATCTTAAATAAGATAACTTAGAGTTCCTAGAAGAAAAGAGACTTAAAGATTTAGTTAAGAAACACTCAGAATTTATTGGGTTCCCTATTGAATTGCAAGTTGAAAAAACACACGAGAAAGAGGTTAGTGATGATGAAGAAGATAATAAAGAGAAGAAGACTGAAGAAGGAGAAGTACAAGAGGAGAAGAGCAAAGATGAAAAGAAGAAGAAAAAGAAGGTTAAGGAGGTTACCACTGAGTTTGAATAGGTTAATAAGAATAAACCTTTGTGGATGAAAAAGCCAGAAGAAATCACAAAAGAGGAGTATGCCAATTTCTACAAGTCTTTAACAAATGATTGGGAAGATCATTTGAGTGTTAAATAGTTTTCAGTTGAGGGTGGTCTCGAATTTAAGGCTGTCCTATTCATTCCTAAAAGAGCACCTTTTGATTTATTTGAAACCAAAAAGAAAAAGAATAATATCAAATTATATGTTAGAAGAGTCTTCATTATGGACGATTGTGAAGAATTGATTCCAGAATACTTAGGATTTATTAAAGGTGTCGTTGATTCAGAAGACTTACCATTAAACATATCAAGAGAATTCTTATAGCACAATAAGATTTTGAAGGTTATTAAAAAGAACATTACCAAAAAATGCATTGAAATGTTCTAAGAACTTTCAGAGAACGCAGAGGATTATAAGAAATTCTATGAGTAGTTCTCCAAGAATATCAAATTGGGCATTCATGAAGATTCTGCTAACAGAACTAAATTGGCTGAATTCTTAAGGTTCCACACATCTAAGAGTGGAGAGGAACAGATCTCCTTAAAAGATTATATTAGTAAAATGAAAGAGGGATAAAAGGACATCTATTTCATAACAGGTGAATCAAAGGCTTCTGTAGCTGCATCACCATTTGTTGAAAGCTTGAAGAAGAAAGATTATGAAGTAATTTATATGGTGGATCCTATTGATGAGTATGTTATTTAATAGTTGAAAGAATTCGATGGAAAGAAATTGAAGAATTGCAGTAAGGAAGGATTAGAATTAGATTAAACTGAAGATGAGAAGAAGAAATTTGAAGAACTTAAATCATAGTTTGAGGGTCTTTGCAAATTGATAAAAGATATCCTTGGTGATAAAATAGAGAAAGTGTAATTAGGATAGAGGTTAGATTAATCTCCTTGTGTTTTAGTAACTGGTGAATATGGATGGTCAGCTAATATGGAACGAATCATGAAAGCATAAGCATTAAGAGATCCATCAATGAGTAGTTACATGATGTCTAAGAAAACTCTAGAAATCAATGCATCTCATCCAATAATGACTGAATTGAAAAAGAAAGCAGATAAGGACAAAAGTGACAAAACTGTTAAAGATCTCATTTGGTTATTGTATGAGACAGCTTTATTGACATCAGGATTTAGTTTAGATGATCCAGCTCATTTTGCCAGTAGAATTCATAAGATGATCAAATTGGGATTATCAATAGATGATGCAGCAATTGAAGAAGAGGATGAGAAGTTACCAAGTCTAGAAAAGAAGAGTGAGACTATTGATACAGAGGCTACCAAATCAAAAATGGAAGAAGTTGATTGATTTTTATATATATATATATATTATAATTTAATAAATAGTTACAAATTTAATAATCAATTCATCCAAATAATTTAGATAGATATTCAGCTATTAAGTCTCTATATTATTAAGTGCTTATTAATTACACTTGGTTTTCTTCAAGGTCTAATAAATTTAACAACAAAAGTTGAGTTTGATCATTATCAATAATTATTCTCTGATTGAAAATGGTTGAAAATGATTTATCAAAACTCCAAGAGTCAATTATTTAACTATTATATTGTTGTTAATTGATAATTAAATTTAATGCAATTAAAGGAATTTTATTTGCAGTCGTTTTATCATTTTTTATTATTGTTGTTGCTATTTTTTTGTATTGATTAACTTTTATGATTCATCTTGGTCTGATTCGTCACTTAAACTCTCCTATTAATTTGCTTATTCCTATTGATTTATTGAGGTTGCTGCTATATCTAAAATTGTTTGGACTATAGTCTTTATTCAAAATGTCCCATAGTCACTTTTGCAATATCTTTAACTAAATCAATAAACATGATGGTAGGTCTAATTATTCTAATAGCATAAATTAGAGAATATCTTTAATACGATTCGGTTGTGTTTATGTAATCAGTCAATGATTACAGATCAATCATCAATAACATTATCTGATAAAAATTAAAAGAGGATTTGAGCTTTGTCACTTTGCGAAATAAAGTTGATAATAAAAATGGAATCAAGCAAAACCTGAAAACCTATTGTAAACTCATTACCTACTTTGGTATATTTTCCAAATTCATCATTATATAACAGGTTCTTTTCCACTCAATATGCAAATTTAAGAACTCTCCCACTCATTTTGGTTTCCTCTCTTCCCAATTTTATAAATAGAAACAATCCAAAAGACAACATAAACTCAATTATTTAGAATACAAGTTAAAACATTAATTATTATTAATAGCATTTTTATACTCATTATACTTTTTTTAATTACAGTTCATATTCCTTGAGTTAATTTCGAAAGCCTTCATTTGGATATATTATTTCCCTCATCTCATCCACATGTTTATAAGCATCCTTATAACTTCTCTTCTAACTCCACATAAGATATGCAATTACTATAGTAGCACTTCTTGAGATTCCTGCCATGCAATGCACTAATACATTTCCTTTCTATATTGGTAACAACAAATTTTTACTTTTAAGTTTTCTTAGATAAATTAATTTGTTTATTCAAAGTATTATATGATATTTTCATCCTCACTATCCTCGATATTGATGATTAGATGATTATCCAATTGGATACCTTCAAATTTTGAGAATTCACAAATACTAATTGCAGCCTTAATTTAAATGATTTCTACTTTAACTTAGTTCTGTTTATAGGCTTTTGTCAATGAAGTAATGTTTCCTAATAGCAATGCCCCAGAAGTGTCTGTAGGTTCTAGGATTAAGGATGTTGATTCACGCATTTAGTAAATTGCTTGGGGTAATTACATCTGATTATAAATAAAAAAGATTTAAATTATAAATCAAATTTTATTGAAAGGAAATGGCAGCTAACAAATTTTGGAAAAAGAAGGAAGTAACAAATTCAATCTAACCTCAAGTTATCAAGTTTGGAATAATAAGTAGGAGCAGCTTTGACATAAATTGAAACAACAATCACTGAAGTTAAAAATCTCAAAGTGTCATCTGTTGTTGACTACACTGCTAAAATTAATGCATAGAAGTAGGTCTATTTGGTATTGATCCCATATCCATGTTTGAGCATTTACAATAGGATTAGGTAAGAAGTTGATTTTAATCATAGCTCAAAATTATTACCTGAATTGGAAAAGAGAGTCAAAGCTACAATCTTGGTAGCTGCCAAAAGAACAATCGAAAGCAAATGGGTTAAGAGTCACAGATCTCAAACCAGACCAAACTCAAGAACACTCACATCTGTCTATGAGGGTTTACTTGAAGATTTGATTAGTCCATCAGTCATTCTTGGAAGAAGAACAAGAGTCAGAGTCGATGGCACTAAGTTTTATAGAATGTAAATTACTTTTCAATAACATCTTAAGATTCCTCGATGAAAGCGATTAAAAGGAATTAGAACACAGACTTGATGCAATTAAAAATGTCTACAAAGTACTCACAACCAGAGATTTGGAATTTGAATTCAGAAGAGATGATACATTCTATCAAAAGAGAGGAGCAAAGAAAGTAGCCAAAAAATGATTATGATTATCAATAGTATAGTAAAATACATATAGTATATCCACGAATAAGATTTCAAATATTTATATATATGTTAATGTTTTTATATTATTCATATCTCACTATTACTTAATATCAAATTTTTCTAGTTCACCGATGAATTGATTATAAAAATTAATTTATTGTGGAACAGCCCTTGCACTAACTATTGGCAATTCATAGGTTATCAACAAGTACACCCTCTTACCATTATGTTTTTTACAAATCCCCTAAACAATAATTATCTTTGCCATATTACTCTAGCCAATGAAATTCCTTCTCCTACATCGGCATCACCTCTTCTTCCATAAATCAGAGGGGGATGCCATCTATGAACTTCATAATGTTCTCCCAATAACACAAATCCTGCTCCTATTGTGTTATCTCTCACATCATATGCCTTCAAGTAGGGTGCTAACTCCTCCTTTGAAGCTGCGCAATTTTTATGAGTTATCACATTTAGATCTTCATCAAATATTATTGCTTTGGCCCACTATTTATTATTGTAACTAATTTACTTCATCCTGCTTTTTTAATTCAGCCAACAATTATGCAGCATCTAATCCTTAATCCATAATTAATTTAAAATAAAAATTATATTTAAATTAATCAGATTATAATCTCATATTATATAATAAATCATATATAATCAAGCAATCACTTCTTCTTTTAATAAGTTAACATTATCAAATTAGTTCATATAAAATCAAAAGTGTATAATAAGTTAAGTTATATATATACATGCTCAAGTCAATAACGATTTTTTAATATTAAGATCTACTTCTATTTTGGTTATTATAAATGATGTAAATGTAGATATTTAAACAATATAGATGATAGTAAATAATAAAACTTGTAATTTCTTAATAATTTGAAGTTATTTTTATCAAAAAAATTATAATTATAATTTTATCGCAAAATAAGCATAAATAAAGAAAATTATGAAAGGACAGTAGAGTTCATCATTAAAACGGTAAATCCATACATCAAATTAGATTCTCAGCTTTAATAAAATACCCTCCATTGCAGACACTTATGATTATATTAAAAATAATATAACAGACTCTAGATTAGTAAATTCACCAAAAATAATATCAAGAGCAATAAATCCCCCTCAATATAAATAGGACACTTATCTAGATTTGGCTTTTATGACTGTAGCAAAACCAGACTCAAGATATGATTTTAACAAGCTTCCTAATTTGGAAAAAAAAACAGATGTTTAAAGAGTGAAATGGTTTATTAAATAAAATAAATAGATAGAATAATAATAACATTTCTTAGAATTCTTAAACTCAACAAAAGCATAATCTTCTAAAAATTTTGATTAACAAATTGTTGATCAATTAAGCTAAGTTTAGGATAAGAATTAATCAAATAATTGTGACAAGTATTTTGTTGTTAAAACGCCTACTAAACCTAGTTTAATTAAGAATAAAAATACCAGTAGATGTAATCATATTTATTTAGAAAAGAACTAATTGGCAATAGCTCAACTATGAATGGAGTTAAGAAAAAGGCATTTACTAAAAACGTGAATTTAGAATGTATTATAAAATATAAGTTTAATAGAATTTATTGAGAAAAATAATGAATTAAGAAGACATTGTCAAACTTAATAGGAGCAGGAACATACCTAAAATTCTATATTGGAATAATTGCAAATTCAAAACATTCAACACATAAATTTATATTCATCTGTCAAAAGAGGAGTAAAAAATGATGTTTTGCATAATCAATATAAAAGCGAAATTTAAGATTTAATTGAAGTAGATGATGAATTGTCAGCTTAGGAATATGACACTATATAGGAATTGAAAAAAAAGTCAATTTTTCAAAATCCTTTCTCCAATGCTCATCATTTTGAAATTAATCAGTTCAAAAAATAGGTTGTTGAATATGAGCCAAAAGTGATTTAGTAAAATTAAAATGAAAACGAATAAAATTTAATTATTTAAAAAAGAAAAAATAAAATCTAAAGAGTGTTATTGTAAATAACTTTATTTTTACATTGGATGATTGAACATAAATTAAAATATGAAGATATTATCAGTTAATAGGTTTTTTAAACGAAACCTTATTAAAGTGCTCATTCTAAGTAATGCTTTTAAAAAGTAAAAGCTAATGACATTGAAGTTGTCAAATCATTTATTGCATAGAATAGATATTTAGTTTATGATTATGATAATTTTAAGTTATCTATGCTTCATCATGCAGTTATTAGAGATTATCCAGAGATGGCAATCTTAATATTATAAAATTATGCTGAAGTTAATTGTAAAGACATTGTAATATCTCTAAATTTATTATAGTAAGGAAGAACGCCGTTATTTTATGCTATTAGAGGTAAATGCAATTAGTGTGTTTGCATTTTATTACAATTCAAAGCATCTCCATGGGGAAATTCTAAAAATAATTATGACAAATATTTAGACTTTTTAGATCCAAAAGTCAGAGATCTATACAAAAAAGCAAAGACAGTATAAATTTTAATATAGATTAGATTCATCTTCGTATGCAAATACTCAAAGCGTCTATTAGGGAACAATATTGGTCATAATAGAAATTAATGTTTATATATAAATGATTATTTTGCATTGTAATTTTATTCTCACATTCTAAAAAAATTGGATTAAATTTCTAAATTCAAAACATGGTGATATCATTGATTAGATTTAAAATTAAATTTGGCATATAACTTGATTTCTCTGAAAATTCCATCTTAATTGTTTTTTTGATTTAGATATTAAGTGAATGTATGATAATTCTGATGTTATGATTATGTTTTAAGAATAGATTTGATTCAAAGGAAGATATAGGAAGAATTAAATAAATTGGATTAATTTATAAAATTCAATTTTTATCTGAGATCTCCACATTTTCTTGCTTGCATTTTTTTAATAAATTACTAACAGTAACATCAATAGAAGCTACGAGCTTTTAATTGATTTCATTGTTTTGATCTGATAATATATGCAAGATAGCATCTTACGTCATTCCTTATTATTTTATTTGTTAATCACTATTCAATTTTATATCATATGATGAAGCTTTTTGTGGGATATTCTTAGATTTATCAAATAGAAGAAGTTAATTCTCATTAAAAAGGATGTGTTTCAATTTTTCAACATCTTATAATCTTTTTAATATATTAAAAATATTTAGTTGACTGTTGATTTCTTAATGAGCCTCTCGAAATTTAAGTATATTTTCATCATCCTAAAATTACTATAAATATTACTTTAGTGACAATACACCTCAATGCTTAAAATGCATTTAAATATCCAAATTCATATTTTTTATTTTTTCGAAATAACGTTTTTTATATATATAAAACGTACGTTTAAAGAATAGTTTTGAATGATTTATCCTTTGGGTCTTAGTTTTTACGAATATTATCCTTTATCGATTATGTTTTGTTAGTTGCAATTTATTCATTATATATCTAAACTTATTCTATTTATCTCTACAATGGAGAACGTGGCTTTTCATTTTTAGTTAAAGAAGAATCCTCCTCTTATTGTTGTATGTCTTAAAATTCATATAGCGAATTTATTAGTTAAAGTAGAAGACTAATTTTATTAATAGGTTTTGAAATAATATAAAAGAGACTAAACAATACCTACCATAAACCGCCTAATTCTGCTAAAATTTCTTAAATCTTTGGATACGTCCTATAGTCTACATATTCAGTTGTATCTAGTCTAATTATTACACTCATAATCAAATCACTTTGACTCAAATCTAACATTTCTGTATGTCTACCGTATCTCAAAGTTTTTTCATATTCCAAGTCTGTTTAAATTAAACCAACATCTGTTATTGTAGTCAGAGGTTCTAAGTATACTGAAATCTCCTTGTAGATATTGTTTGAGATAGTTGTGAAGAGATCTTACCCTTTTGGTTAATAGGGAGAATTGGGATTTTTTAAATTTGTGGTTTAAGATGAGATTTAAAATGAAAAATAATTCTACCTTAATTTCTCCTCTATCTCCTTCTAACTTTTACAAGGCTTGTTTTTTTTGGTTTATTCAGTACAAGTGTTGATTTACATTATAATGAATTAAAATTATGGAGCATCAAAGGTACCCTGAATTTAAATATTAGGAATTTAATTCCAATCAATACAATAATTAGTTGGTAAATCAAGATGAGAAAAATATTCTTTTAGTTCATTTTATTGAATCAAATTTTAATTACATTCTACGAGAGGTAGTACTTGCTTCTCAAAAACATCGAATTTTGATCCATTTGATTCTTTAACAATCTTTTTAACTAAGTAAGCATTAACAACATAAATTGATTCATCTATGTATGTGTTATATGTTGAATTCTAAAAGGCCATGGTCATAGTGAAGTTAAAAGGAGTCAAATTGTACAATTCAGGCTAAGAATGATAAATTTCTGAACTTAATGAGGAAGGATTGCTTTTGTCAAACAATGTAACTAATTTTTGATAAAATAGATTTGAGAATAATGCCAACAATAAGAGTGTTAGAAATGACCCATATAAGGTTTAGTGATATTCTTTTTTATCAACTAATAATTATAATGGTTGGGCAAACAAATCAAACTATTTTATTCCTTGTAAGAAAATCTTATTCTTTCGCATTAATATCAATAATTTATCAATAAATAAATTAATATAAGAGAACATCTTAGTTGAGTATATTATTTGATAAATCAATTCTCATTAATATTTAATAATGTCATAATTGTATTAAATATAAAAAATTATGAAATCAATTTTAATTATGTAACATCTAATCATATATTGCACTAAATTAAAATGCTAATTTCCCTCTTTTAAAATTAAAAACCTTACTAATTTTTATCGATTGCATTATTTAAATAGGGTCAATTAATGTAATACTTTTAAAGTCCAATGTCAACATGTTTTGGGGTAACTAATAACTTTGATTTATATAAACTGACTGATATAAATGGTTTTAATATTTTAAATAATAACTTACCTAAATTTCAACCTTATGGAAAAGAAGATAATTGAATTCATTTAGGATTGTCAAACTAATATTGGAAATTGCTAAGATCTTTCTTAAATGGAAGAAATAGTTCATCAACTTATCTCAATTGTTTGTATGAGTTATTATAATATTCAAGACTTTCTTATTGAATAAGGACAATAAACTTTTGAAGAGGAAAAATAAAAATATTAGACTCTAAATTAAGAGTTTTTTAACTTATAAGATCTCTATAAAGAAGCATTATAGGAAATTGAGGCACTCAAAGTCCACCATAAATAAGATGTGGAGGAATTCTCAATAATAGAGGATAGATTGATAAAATAAGAATACTTCATTGAAAAGGAGAAGGATGAATAACTTTATAAAATGAAATCAAGCACAAATGAAATGATGAAATCATTGAGAATTCAATAATTTTAATTAGAAAATGTAAAAAAATAAAATGAAGACCAGTAAATGGAGATAAAAGAACTAAAGAAACTATTAGTACAACAATAATAGTCCGATATTGCACCTGCCGCTGTTCAAGAAGAATCTAACCTACAAACATAACTAATTATTAAGGGAATAACAAGTAGATCTTCTTGTGGAAGTGTTAAAATAAAATAATAAGGAAGTTGTTCAAGCATAGAATTAAATCAGCAATCCATTTAAAAAGAAAATGTTTAAACAGAAAATTGCTCTTAAACCATTCTATGTGGAAGTAGTCTTAAAGAATCTGGTCATATTATGAAATACACTCATTGTCATTCTAAAAATTAAAGCATAAATTGGGTTAAGTTAGCCACAATTGCTTAAACACAATAATCTATATCATCCAACAGTGACGATGAAGATTCAGTCTGCCAAAAGTCTGTACGGAGGTTATCGAAAGATTTGAGCACTGGATACGAGCCCTTTTTATTTGGCAGCAGAAACCCATATAAGGATTATTATACTTTGGTAATTTAGATGAATATTTCCTAGATAAGCCAATCAGTCAAATTGAACCTAAATCAGACCAAATATTATGTTGTAAATGTAGACATGCTCTACGATTAATTTTTGGCTGAAGGTGTTCCATTCCATAAATGGTATAACAAAATAAAAGATTATATTTTAAGATAAGTGGTATGATTAACCTAAAATTTTTGTATTATTATTATTAAGAAATTCAATTATTTGATATTCATTTTTACTTAGATTTTATCTCTTCTTCAACTAATTCTTCATCAAAGATGGATGAAAATAATTGATTTTCAAATTATTTAAAATATCCAAAATTCTCTTTTACAGAAACAGCCTAAATTATATAAATTAGTTTTTACTAAGTCTTGGGATTATAATACATTGAAGAGAAAGTTTTTAACATAGATTTTTAAGTTGAATTCCTAATCTACAAAATTATCGTCAAACCAAAATTAATACTAAAAATTAATAATTATATGGAATACTTCTATCCAATAGTCTCTCTAATCATCTGGTTCAACTGTCTAAATATCATTGACTAATTATTAAATTTCCTCTTAAGTTGGCACTCTGCAATCATATAATATTATAGTAATAAGTAAAGTTTGATAGCTAAATCTAACATTCTGATAACAACCCAAATTGCCAATCTTATTAATATTTATTTTGAATTAAGATAGAAAGTTAGATCTTCTTTTTTAAAAAGATTCATATATCTCCAAAGGAATCCAGGCTGAATCACTAAGAGATTTAACTTCCTCATAGAATTGGATTGCCTGTCTCCATTTCTCAGATTCAGGAATCAGGTGTTATTACATATAAACCATTTTAAAGAACTCAGAAATAGGACTAGGCTCAGGTATAGTCAATATGGCTGGTTATCTATTTTCAATTTGTTGTTTAAGATAATTGATGGATTCAAAACAAAAGTCATTTTCGCTAATTATATATTGCTGATAATTACTTTTTAATTCCACAAATAATCCAGTCATCAATTCTCGAATATAGAATGTCTTCCATCAATAACATTTCTGTCATTTTGCTGTAAGCCACACTTCTAATGATCTGACCTCTTTTATATGCAATTTCTTTTTAGATTTTTATAATTAGTGATTCTTCACCTTAGGTAATTTTATCAAGGCAATCAAAGTAATAGGAAATAAGTACTTCCAGTTACGGAAACTTATACCCGTCAATTAATTATGATTAAGGGGGTTCAAGAATGAAATGCTCACTCCAAGGTTTTCCAAGCAGCTGAATTTCAGTTAATAAGTTTGTTTCAGTTTATAAAAGCATAAGGACATGCTACATAAATTGTTAAATTTAGATAGCTACAAACCTATCCTTCTTCAATTTCTTTACAAAATCTAATGCTTAATTTTTCTTATAATTTAATATATCCCATAACTATTCATAGGTTTTTTGTAAATGATCCTTTAATTATTGCTTGGCATTTTTTTATTTTGATAAATCATCATTTTCCTACAAGAATTTGTTATAGCTTAATTAAAATTCATGCATTAGTTTTAATTTGTTATCAGGACTTTCAAAGAATTCTATAAAGCTTTTTTGAGTTTATAAAAATATTTGTTAACATTTTTTCCTTTAATGACTCATTCTCCTAATATATATCGTACTTTCTCTTATGTAGGTATTAGAAATCTCATCCCATTATTTTAAAATCCCCTTCAGTTAATCTTAACTTAAAAATTCACTTTAAGCATCTTTTTATCTTGATGCTAATTGAGATCTACCTCTTTCAGTAGATTATTTAGCATCAAGGAGGCTCTGCTTATCTTATAGTAATTATGTCTATTATTCTAGATTTTGCTCTTCTACCTTTTCCAAATCTTGATTTTCTTAACCTTAGATTTATTAAGATTGTTATTCTTATTATTATTCTGAAGCCAAGATTTCTTCAGCTATTTGATTTAAGTACTCACAATTATGAGTGAGCACTTTATTAATTAAACCATCGATTGACTTTGCCACTTCGAATCCTTTACCTGCAATTTTTGCATGATGTAATTATTTAAAATCTTCTTCAAATCCAAATTATTCACACCAATCAATTAATTTAGGCAAATTCTCATTAAATTATTGAAAATCTTTCTATAATTTTCTAATATTAAATGTAAATTTACTCTTCAATTTCAGTATCTATTTTTAATAGTTTATCTGGCTTGATTTCTGGAGGAGGTGGATTTTCTTCTAAATTGTAGATTGTCTCTGTAAGTGGATCTATTCTTCTATTCTACATTCTTTAAACTCTTTACTCATACGGAGTATCCAGATTAATAATAATATCTATTCCTGATTATTAAATTTTATTGGATTCTTCTTATGTAGGTATATCTAACAACTCTTGAAATTTCTTTTTCTTTTCTTCAGCTATCTAATTCAGCCTTTCTTCATATGGAATATAACCTGTTAATTATTCTTCTAGCATTTTAGCCTAATTAGCATTTTCTGGAAATCCAATCATAACCCACCCTTTGGTATAATAAAATTGTTTGGAATTCATGTATTCTTTAATCAGATCTTCTTAAGTGGGTCCAGTATTTTGAGGAGCATCCTTTTTGCCTGGTTTCTTTGAGACTTTTTTAACTTCTTCAACAACTGGCTGTTAATCTTTCTTTAATTGCATTTCTTTGGCCTCCTTCATTTCTTGTGCAACTTATAATGGGGTTCTCTAACCAAATGTCTGATTCAATTTAATTAGGATTCCCTTTAATAATAATTCATCAGGGATCACTGAATCTTTATATTCATTAATTTACAATCCAAATTCTTTTAATTCTGGATTTTCCACAACAGGTATTTCAACTACTTTTTTTGTATCCTTCTTTTTCTTTGGATCTTCTACAGGAGGAAAAGCAAGTTTCAATGATTCTTTTATTATTGATTCTATATCTATAATTTCTAAGCCATATTTTTAATTTAAATATTTAGCAGTAGTTTTCCGACCACTAAATTTACCTCCAATTAATGATATTTTAAGTGGTAAATAGTAATTGATACCCTCTTTTAATAGTTGCATAGGATACAATTCATCTGTTATTTCGAATAGAAATTCAGCTAATGAAATATTTGCCATCAATTAGCTATCATTTTAAGTCGACTTCCAATCTTTGACTGCATGATAGTATTCAACGAAATCCTAAGTGATGGCTGCAGCTATATTATCATGTATTGGTTTTATCTATGATAATTCACTTTGCCATTCCTCAATAAATTTATTCCAAACTTTTTTATCTAATGTCAAAGGCTTTCCATTTTGCTCTACATTCTCATTCATTTTCAAATAGCATTTATCAGCCAAATCTAAAATGGTCAATATTAATGGTTGCATTTATTGAACATGTTTCTATCTCTTCTACACTTTCCTATTATAATTCTATTCCATATATTAAACTTAAAGTATTCTCCACTCCTTTTATCTCTACAATCTTACTTCTTATTCTCTTGCCTTTGCTTCATTTCTTAATTATTCAAAAAACCTTTCTCTCTATTCTTCTGAAGCTTGACACATCAAAGTTCTTTCATTAAATTACAATTTCCCTCTCAATTTCTCTTTCAATCTTATAGCAGCTTCTTAATTAGCCAATTTTCCATATTCTGAGAATTTATCCACTAATTCATCCAATTTTTTCTTAGCCTCTACTAACTCTTACTATTTTAATTATTCAACTAACATTTTATTTCTTCGCTTCTGTCTTGCCTTTCTAGCTTCCTCAGTCTTATGTGTCCTTTCCCTTATTTTCATCATTGTTGCAACAGCTGAAAATTTAGCCTTTTCAGGCACTGGCTTTTTAGAAGGATCCTTTTCTATTTCTATGCCTTATCTGATACAAGTTTACAAAAATAGATATATATTGTTGTCCATGGCCTTTTAATCATCCTTTTTCTTTTAATTAATTTCAGTGACCAATCTTCCAGTCATCATTTCATTAAATTTCATCTCTTTTTCAATCCTGTTGTGTTTAACTGCTTCTGTACTCCTCCAGAATTCGTATATTTTTTTATCCTATTCTTTCATAAATTCATGATTTGCTCTAATCTTCTCCAATTCATTCTCTCTCAATGAAGATAACCATTGTCTCTCCTTTTCTTCATCCATCTACTTTAATTTCACTGCTTGAATCTCATGGATTAGTTTCTCATCTCTAAATCTATGTAAACTCTCCTCAATAGACTTTAATTTCTTTGGCAATGAGTTTATGAACTTCTCTTCATAACTAAAAATTGATATAACAGTTTCATAATTTACTTATTCACCATAGATTGAACTTATTTTTTATCTGTTACTTTCAACGTTTTAGTCAATTCATTCAAAACATCCTTTGTCTCTTTACGAGCCATCGTAAGTAATGAATTAACTGCAATTGGCTTAGCATATGATTTTATTGCTTTCAAATATTCCTCAATTTAGGATTAACCTTTTTCAACTTTTGGTTCAATTCCTACTAATTTTATAATGTGCTTTTTAACTATCTTAATATTTTTTTGCGTTGAATATTCATCAAATTTATTTGTTAAGATTTTCTTGAGAGGATTTCCTGTTTTGTAAAGTACTTCCTAAAAGTAAAACCAATTCTAAAATTGTTTCTCAATATCAAGAATTGCAGGTTAAAGCTTGATTTCCTTATTCAACCACCTAATTAATTCAGGATCTCCATATATTGATTTCATATATTGTAAAATAAATAAATTATATAGTACAAAACTTATTATTTACTTATTTAAATTTGTATTATGATCATCATAACTTCTCAAGCAAAATAAACCATATGTACTAGACAATGATACCTCTTTATTAAATAAGTATGAATGATAGAGTGGTCTCCAATTTTACACATAATTGTAATGATGATAAGTGATGTTATTAATAATAGCATATTTGCTGGTATATTTATTAGGCAATAAATAATTTATATAAACATGCTAGATCAATTGATTTAAAGAATATAATCATATTTTCCAATGGATTGCTTTGATTTATAATATTTGAAGTTATATTAGTTAAGGTGATAGTTGATATTAGAGAAATACAAATAACTACAATCAAAATTAAAACCAAGGATGAGCAATAATATCTTCCAGGTTAGGTCTTTTATATGGATTTTATTGCATCATTTAAGCTGCTATTTCTTAAGTTTCGTTGTTATTTATCAATTCCAACAAAATAACTCCTAAACTGTAAACTTCAGAAGGATAGGGGAGATAGGATTATCCGTCAACAATTTCAGGAGCAACATAAGGTTTAGTTCCATAGAATTCAGCAAATTTCTACTTGCCATTTGTAACTGCACCAAAGGCAAAATCAATGAGTATAGGCTCATTATTCTAGATCAGCACATTGTTTAAGTTTAAATCTCTATGAACTACTCCTAATTCGTGAATCTTTTACACAGCTACAATATAGATTGATGATAATACTTTATAAAAGTTTGTAGTAGAATTATTTAATAATTCTTTCACTATTTTTATCCAAGGGTTATGCATCAATGTAGTCTAAGATAAGGAAGTAATTGTTTAGAGTTTTCGTCCTTCTAGTACTATTATCAATGGTTGTGTAGAATCCGAACCCGATTAATTAAACTACATTTGAGCAACCTTTTAATTTGGTTAGGATGGTAATTTCGGTATCATATGTCTTTCTGCATTCAGATTAAGATAAATTCTTAATTGACAATTTCTTCACGGCTACTATTCTATTGGTTTAAATGTGTTTATATAGATCAACACTATGATGATAGAATGAAAAGTCTTACGTTGAAGAATATCCTGATCCAAGATTTTTAATATATTCGAAGTCATCTAATGATTAAAGTTCTGGAAAAAGCATGGTTTAGGTTATTTTTAATATGTTTTTATTATAATTATTTAAAAATTTAACATAAATTTCTATTTTTATTCACGTTTAGTGCGTACTAATATAAAATATCAGCAATAATTCGTAATTAATATCGTTGATCATTTTAATTCTGATTAAATTTTTTAAAAACTAATATTAAATATTAAATAATCTTCATTCTTTGAATTTAAAATGCTTAAGTGCAAGCGCTTTAGAAATTGGAAATAAAAAGTAGTTCATTTATAATTGATCAGATTATGTTCATTTTAAATGTAAACTGTATTTAATGGATGCTAATCAACTTGAAATGATTAAATGCAATTAGTTTTAACGATATAAAATTTATATATTAATTAAATTAGTATAGAAAATCAAAATGGATTCTTAATAGGATGTTGAATGTGATCAATGCTAGACAGTCCCAGAGACTTATGTAAAATTGGAATGCGATCATAAATTTTGTTTGATATGTTTGGCCTACAATTACTTATAAATTCAACAGGAGAAGTAGAATCTAGAAGAACTTGAAAGAGTAGCAGTGTGTTTTAAATGCAATCAACTTACTAAACTTGATTAAGATACAGTTGAAGCCCTTCATATGGTCATCAAGGAAATTATAGTTCCGTTAATTGAATAAAATTAAATTAACCCCAAATTGAATAACGATAGCGAAGTAGTTGAAGTAATTGATGATTTACGTGATTTGGGAGTATAAAGTGCTGGATCTCAACATTAATCAAATCAGAAGAATGCTTTGGCCAACGAAAGACTATAATTGTATTTAGAGAGATTAGAAAAGAGTTTTAAATCTAAGTTCGAAGCAATCAAAGACATTCAAGATTAGAAGCATCAATTTCAATCAAAATGCAAATAAACTAAGGATGAAATCAATAGTTAGTATTAACAGGTAAACATTACTAAATTTATCATTAGTTTATATTGAGTTTGGAATAAAAGAAAAATTAGACTTTTAATGATATAAACAGTCTAGAGATGATTCAATTATTGGAAATTTAGAAGTAAGAAAAGGATCTTGAATAGCAAATATAATAAATGGCATAGTTTCAAGAAGAGATCAACTCTCTTATTTATTAGAATTTGAACAAGTCTTAAGAAGATATTAGCTAATTGTTGATAGATATAGAAAAGGCTCTAAATACTCCATCTTCTTCTCTCCAAATTGTAACCATTATTTTATAAAATAATAGAAATCTTCGATATTAGCTACATAGAGACAATTACTTAAATTATCAACTAATGCCTAGTCCTAATTATGTGCAACTGTTCCTAATTTATTATAAGATTTCCCACAATCCCTAAAATAGAAGGACTTATTTATGAGGGATCGTAATTCAGATGAGAAACCTTTGGACCCAAAACTCAATGTACATTTTGAAAGACAGGATAGGCTCAGCAAGTTTAGTCCGATTAAATCGGAGAAGCTTAATGAATTATGGCCAAAAAATGATAAACCTCATCTGTCCTTGGAAAAAAATACGATTAGAGAGAGTAAAGATCTTCATGAGTTTAAGGATTATAGAGAGAAAGAAAAGGATAAAAAAAATTAAAAGGTTTTGACACAAGAGAGTGTGAATGCCAATCCTAAATCAAAATTCAAATATGAAGATAGTGATGATAAGAGTAAGAATAATAATTCTAAGAAACTATTTGATAGTCAGATATCTCAAAAGAATAATTTAGTAAGCAAATGGAAAGATCAACTATTTGATGTTTTCGATAAAAAAAATATGAAACAATCAGTAGAATCTCCTAAAGTACCTGAAAAACCCAATTATGCTACTCGTGATGTTCCTTATCAAAGAGAACCCTCTACACATTATCCAAGAGAGAACAAAAACTCATAAGAAAAGTTGACTTCAAAATAACAGTTGATAAATCGAGCTTGTACAATCCATGATGTTTTAAATATGCAATATCAAAATTTCATGACCTAAAAAGAAAATCTAATAAGAAGATGATCAATCAAATTATTCTATATAACTTTTAAAAAGAATTTGATATTTCAAAATCTAAATATCCTAAATATATTTTATTATCGTTATTAGTTAAAATTTCAAACCATTAAGAGTGGTAAGATATGCCTTGTAATATTTAATTACACTCCAGAAGGACAAATCAATTGAAAGCGCTCACCTTCATTTTATTAGAGATGACTTCTATATATAATTTCTCAGAGGTGCCTAATCTACACAATCTAAGTGATTGAATATTCATCATTTTAAATTGCTTCTGTATATTTTAATAAGTAACTAATTAAATTAAGATAACTGTAGTTCTTATTTTAAATAGATAGATTATTATAATCTGATGTATTGCTATAAAGAGTACATTTTATTTTAAAGTCTCTCTTTAACAGAATCAAGATGATTATGGAAATGATAGCAATTATTTCTATAACACCCCCCACTTAATAAACTTAAATTCTATTAATTTTTAGTATTATAGTAAGTATTTAATTGCCTTTAGCTATTGAAAAAACGATTTTCTCTGCATGTGTTTCTGTTTCTTAAAAGAGACCAGAACCAACGCCTCTAGCTTGTATGTACATTTGGTCCTTCTGTGTGATGAATAATTTGGTTTTGCCAAAATAAAAATGGCGTTCTAAGAGTTTTCTTTTATTAATTATTGTAAACTTTGTTTTTCTTTATAGTATTTGAAATAAACTATTTATGTTGATATAATATAATTTTCGAGTAATATTTATTATTAAATTATTTAGTCTCCTTTACTAAAAAATGGGAGTATGTACATCTACCAATCCAAATGGTCACATGATCAATACAATTTATTAATCGAAGAATAAGGAATAAGTTTAAGATAGTTTTGAGCCTCCATGTTGGGAGGAAGAAAAAATTGGTGGAGAGAGTCCAAACTCAGAGATATGTTTATTAGACACAGACGAGCTACATTAAAATTCTGAAAAAGCAACATAGGAACAAAGCTAAAGGGAGTTTGTAAATAGAATAGTTAGTGTGCATGACTCACCAAATTCAAAAAGATACTATTTTGTTTATGACAAATTGTATAATGTAAAACGAAAGGTACCAAAGCTAAAAAGTATCAATTAAAGTACTTTGATTCAAAAACGTAGGTAATTAATACTTTGATTTATATAAATAATATGTTTATTGTAACATTTCTTTGATTCTCCTGATCAGTAACTTTTCCATAAATCAAAGTCATTAAATATATCAAATAAAAATGTAAAAACTAATTTCATGAATTTTATCATGTGGTTTAAAAAAATTTATATAGTAAATTCAACCATTAATGAATGGACCATCTATCTGTTCTAAAGTCTGTTCAGAAGAGTGATTTATGAATTCTTATTACCATTTACTTGATCATTTACACATTAAGGAAAAAATGAATTCATTTTTTAGCATTGGTAATAAGATTAATTAATTTTCAGATTTAATATTTTATTTTAATATAACTATAACAATACTATTGAATGAAAATGCTTAATAAATATCTCATATAAATATCAAATTAATATATATAATTATTTAATTAATATGAGATTGTTGGTTCATAATTTACTTATGTGTAACAAATGTGATAAGAACAATTATCCACTTAAAATAGAAGTCAATAAAAGCGTTATAATGGAATTAGAATTCAAAAAAGACGCAATTTTAAAATTAATTCCAAAACTTGATTTTGAAGTATTATCTAATACAGTCAGAGAAGTAAAAGACTGATTTATCATGTAGCTTGGATTCAAATAATTCCCTAAGTAAATACCTCCAAATGTGGATTAAGACTTAGTCTTTTTAAAAGACTTGCATCGAGTTTTATTTGAGGTAATAATTTAAAGAAAGAATTTTTATAGACCCACATTATGGATGGCCAATTGACTTGCCCTAATCCATCATGTAAAAGAAATTATCCAATCACAAATGGAATCCCTAATATGATCCTTACAGAAGATGAACAATGATATAAATTGGTAATTTGTCAATAATAATAATTCTCATTTTTTGAATATAATTCAATTCCCCTAAAATGTAGATGTGTTTTATATTTTTGTAATTCATTCTACTTTGAACTTTAATTCTTATTAATTATTATTAATGAGCAGCCACTTAACTGAAAGTCTATGTCCTAAAAATTTATAAAATATCCATCTTCTTCAAGATTTTAAACCTACTCAGCAATTAAGATCTACATTTAGCCGATCGTTTTGATCCATTTGAAATATGTTAAGCCGAGACTTCATAAGGATGATGATGTCATAAAAATCAAGGAGTGTGTTGATATATTTTAGATGATGATATGAGTAGCGATTCTTTGTAATAATATCATAATATCTCTTTATAGGCAAATGAATTCAAAAATTCATAATGCCATTAGATTTGGAATAGAGCATTGAGGATATATTTAATATAATTAAAGAACTTGATTAATATGGATCAAGTCAAAGTTATTTGAAGAATTTTTATAGATATTCAGATTTTAATGGTAATTTATATTTATTTCCAAACTCTATTAACAAATAATTTGATTTTAGAAAGAAGGTAACTTTACTTATGAAAATTTCAAAAGAATTATTGATTAATATCTGAAAGATACACTCATCAAGAGTTCAGAGAAACGGACGAGTATGCAAATATCAACAATGATAGTAACTTAAGTTAGGATTATTTCAGGATTGTTGTTCAAAAAAAAGAGTGTGAATTACAAAAATTTGAATATCACATTTTATTTTTTTTTCACTGGAATATATTTCACTAATCTCCTTAAATTTTATTTTTAATCTTATATTCGTTATGGAAATTTCCCAGTACTTGTATTTCTCAATATAAAATAATACCTTAAGTGGTAGTTCCCCTTTAGATATCAATCTATTAATTTCATTCCTACACTTTTATATGTGATATTAATTGCACTTTAATTGAGATTGATGGAATTGTTATTAAATACTAAGATAGAAATAAGTGTAATTTAAAATTCTCTCATTTTAAAATAAAATTAATATGCAATAATAATAGGTGGTTCTGAATTTTGAATATCTAAAACCAGCTTAATATTTAGTTGATGCAATAGTGCATGATCGTATGAATACTTATGATTGATTTAGCATAGTACATAAAGAGAAAGGAGAGATCAAAAAGTTAGAGAAGAATTTGGGAGAATGTGCCATATGATGCTTATGAAAAGGAGAAGATGGCAGATTTCATGAAAATCATAGCAAAGAATAAAATTTAATTACCTGCAGAGTAAAATATATTAATATCCTCTTAATAGTTGGCAGGACTGTGATACATTGAAGATGGTGTATTGTGGGAAATTCAAAGATAAGAATTACTTAAAAGTCGTATAATCTCATTTAGCTTGGAGAGCAGTCCCTAACAACTTCTAACCTACTGATATCAATATCGCATTTTTACAAAAAGGCATAGTTTACACTTTTGGAAGAGATAAATAACAACGACCCATCCTAATAATGAATCTTGAATTAGTCAATTTGAAATAGGTGAATAATAAAGCTAATTTTTAGTTTAGTGAAGAGGTCTATATCAATGCATTAAGCTACTATTTCGGAATAATTAAGAAAAATTGTTTTATTCCAGGAAAGATCGAAAACTGGGTATTCATTATGGATACAAAAAAATTAGGACTTTCTAAATTCCCATTTAAAGTATTAATTTCAATATCTATATGATAGGCTATTTAAATTGCAACAAAGACAATGTAAGTAAACTTTTGCGGTTGTTTAGACAAATTATATTTGTTAAATCCTTCAAGTTCTTTGAGTTTTTCTTGGAAGATGGTTTCAGGTATTTAAATTAGGTTTATCAAAAGCTGTTGCTGATGCTGATACTATGGAAAAAATATAAATGTTGAAACCAAATGAATATGCAAAAATTTAAGAACGGATTCCTGCAAATTAATTAGAGGAATAATATGGAGGAAAAGTAGCTAATTTGACAAAATTCTGGTAATCATTAATAGTAAGGTTAGGCCACCTATTAACATAGAAATTCCAGGGGGATATACTGAGGAAATCTTGAAAGCTGTAGAATCTATGAAAACAGCTGAAATAGTAATTCAAGCAGAAGTGCCTGCTTCAGAAGAGGACGAATTGAAATTATAGGAGCAGATGGCGAAAATTCAAATTAAGAAAGAAGACGATGATGATGATTGATAAAATGTTTAATACATTCAATAAATATAATATTAATATGAGTTTCTTTAGGTCCAAAAAGATGAGATATTATAGTTTAGTAATTCCAAGAGAAAGTGCTTGGGTTGTGATGAACGAATTAGCAAGATTAGGATAGTTGCATTTTGTAGATTATGATCCACAATTACCTATGATCAACAGACCCTTTGCTAATTATGTGAAAAGGTATCATTTAAAATAATCGATATATCAGATGTGATGATTCACTTTTTAAATTGAATTGTCTTGAGCTACTCCTAAAGGAATTCAAAAAAGATCTTAATTATTGTGAAAATGTAGAAGGTTTGCTGGATCACTTCCAAGAAGTTCAATACAATAGAATGAAGCCAGGACATACGTATTTTGATGAATTGGAGTCAGAAATAGATCAAAAAAAAATATAAATCCAAGAGTAATCTGCTAATTTGCATAATCTATTGGATAGAGTGAATGTAATAACAGAATAATAATTGGTCTTGGAAAACGCAAAAGAAATTCTAGGTCAATCAATGTTCTAATAGTATTCTAAAAATTTTTATTAATATCTAGATAAACACCACATAATGCAAATGAATATTAATAATTAAAATTTGGTTAATTAATAGGTGTAATTGATAAAGAAGAAGAAGTGAGATTTAAAAGAATTATATTTAGAGTTACCAAAGGCAACGCTTGGGTCTAAATTAAGGATTTAAATAATGAATAGATAGATAATTCAATGAGAAAATCATTTCACCTCAATTAAGTATAAAATTAATAGATAGGTAGAATAATACATCTTAACCAAGATGTCTCTTTGTAATTGTATATCCTGGAGCTGAAGAATCAAGCTCTATAAGAATGAAATTGATGAAAGTGTGTGACTCATTTAATAGATAAAGAATTGAGTATCCAAACTCGATTGATTAATTGCAAAAACGAATGATAGACTTAACTTAGTAATTATAGGAAGCTAAGAATTTAATTGAAATGACAAAGAAATAATTGGAGTAATCATTAGATGATTTGGTGTTGTAGAAATAGGGATGCAATTGCTCTTATTTTGAATACATGCGTTTATATGTATTGAAGGAGAAGTATCTTTATGTAAATTTAAATTACTTAACAATGAGAGGATCAATCTTTACAGGATATTTTTGGTTGCCAGAAGGATTGGAAGTTATGGTTGAAGAGAAGCTAAGAAATGCTATGCAAAATAATCGAGATCATTATCCAACTGGTTAAATTCAAGAAATAAAACCATAATCGATAACTCCTCCTACTTATTTCAATTTGAATGAAGTTACCATGCCATTCTAAGAAATAGTTAATACTTATGGAGTACCTCGATATTAAGAAGTCAACCCTGGTTTATTCACAATAATAACATTTCCATTCCTATTTGGAGTAATGTTTGCAGATATAGCTCATGGTTTTATGCTATTTCTGTGCGGGATTTATTTAATATTTTGGAAAAAGCAACTCCTTAAGTAAACTGATTCAATGTTCAATTTGATGATACCATTCAGATATCTAGTAGTTTTGATGGGATTTTTTGCATTTTACAATGGAATCATTTATAATGATTATCTATCGATATCTTTGAATCTTTTTGGCAGCTGTTATTCGCCAGAAAATTAAGAATGGAAAAGAGAATCAAAAGATTGTGTTTATCCATTTGGAGTTGATCCAGTTTGGCAAGCTTCTGGTTCAAGTTTGAATTTCATGAATTCTTATAAAATGAAACTATCTGTCATTTTAGGTGTGATTCACATGTTATTTGGTATTCTAATGAAAGGAGTTAATACCTTGTATTTTAAAAACTATGTAGACTTTTTTTGTGAATTTATTCCTCAATTGTTATTCATGATTTGCACCTTTGGATGGATGGATTTCATTATAATAGTCAAATGGCTGAATTCATATTAAAATAATACTGATCCAAGCATTATTGAAACTATGATTAACTAAGTTTTGAAACCATTTGATAAGCCTGTTAATCCTGTTTTTCCAAACAATCCTGAGCTCCAGTTATAAATAACACAAATTCTAACATTGATTGCTGTCATCTGTATACCTTGGATGCTTCTTCCTAAACCGTTGATTTTGGGTGGTAAGAGTGATAAGAACAAAGTGGCTATGTCTGATTCTCAATATTAGCCTTTGGTATTAGAAAAATAAGTTTCAGATTTCGATGATGATAATAACTAACAATTTCATAATGACTTACAAAATGCAGCTAATCATAAGAGTTTTACTGAGCAGAATCACGAAGAACATGATTCAGGTGAGATCTGGGTTCATCAAATGATTGAAACAATTGAATTTGTTTTGGGAGGAATCAGCAATACAGCATCATACCTTCGTCTTTGGGCTTTGTCATTAGCACATGGTTAATTGGCAGAGGTGTTCTATGATATGTGTTTGGCTGACAAATTGGATACTGGAGGCATCTTAGGTGGGTTTTTGGGAGGTTACTTCTATATCGTATTTGCTTTGCTTACTTTTGGAGTGTTAATGACAATGGATGTTATGGAATGCTTTTTGCATGCTCTCCGTTTGCATTGGTACTGTATACTTTAATGAAAGGGTTGAATTTCAGAACAAGTTTTATAAAGCTGATGGATATTTGTTTAATGGGTATTCTTACAAAAAATTATTGAATGACAACCTGAAATCATCGAATTCAAAATGATATATTATTATTTCAAGTGGCATCCAAACATCTTATTTTTATTAAATTTATATTATTAAGAAATTAAATTGATCAAATAAATAAAGTTACAATTTATATAATAGACAAAATTATTCATTCATAACTCTAAGATGAATTCCAATATATAATGAGACTACATTCCGAAAGAAAGCATAGTTTAATGACAACACCTCATTTTCATAAAATATCATATCTATTAAGATTTTGGAATGCTTTTAGTGAAAGAAGGCTTCAAATATTTTTATAATAAGTTATTTATGATTGATTTAGAAGATTGCTCTATTAAATTTAATACACAAGGATTATAATAGGTTTTTAAATTAACTCTAGTTTCTTATTATTTAATATTATTTGAAGTGATAAAATTATAATCATAATGCAAACTGTTCCAATAGGGACTCTACCTTTTATCCTAGAGTACCCTAATTTTCTAACAAACTTAGGTCAGAGTCTCTTAGATCAGAAAATTAAAAAAATTGACTAGACTCGATAATTGAAGTCTCTAACTCATCTAATAAAGTAATTTCTTCAGCAGATTCTTTATCTTAAGTTTTAGTTGGTTAATTTTGCGATCCTTATGAATAAGATTAGTTTAATTAAATCTATTTAAGTCTTTTTAAAGCTTCTCTATAAACTAGTTATTCAGTGTTTCTCTTATTAACTCCCTCCCTTTTAATCAATAATAGATTATTCAATTCCAATTGTACCTAATATACATTTATGGGGTTTCCATTCTAGAAAGAGTCCTTCTTCCATTCAACAGAAACTTTTGGTTTCAAATTCGTACACCCATTCACAAATTCCAAAAAAGCTGATTTAGGATTCTATTTTAGCTCCACCAAAGGCACTGCTTGTCCTCTAAGGTTTAGTAGTTATATTTTATTACTTATCCAAAACTTACTTCAGTATAGGCTAAACAACTTCTCTTAAATGATCAAGATCGTAGCCTGAATCATAATATTAAGCAGCTATTATGGATTTAAGTGTTTCAGCAAGGATTTTAGGGTTTTTTCTATAATGTACATTATTTCTTACTTTAAATTGATCTGGTTTCCTACTTGTACGATATTATCAATCTTATAGCTTAGTGCAATATCAGCCAAATTCCTTTCACTTAATAGTCTTTGTCTCAGCAACACAAGATCACTAGACTTTTTTATTTAAGTTTCTTTATTTGGATAACTATGTGTAATTTCAATATTTCTTACCCTCTTTAAATCAAGTAATCAGAGAAAAAAAACTCTAAAATCATCTACCCTATCCCTACAAAGTCTTCATTGTTGCCAAAAGGGTATTTGGTACCTTTTTTTGACTAGTACTCCAATTCATGAATTTTATTGGTTAATGCTTGAGCCAAAGTATTTGTGTTTTAAAATGAGAAGATTTTGTTATTCATTTGATGAATAATAATAAAGTCTTTTGATTATATAAGAACCCCATTATCTTGATTTTTCTCTCACTGATTTCGGCTCCATTACACCCTTTAATTCACAATGCACATTATTTCGGAAAAACTTTCATCTCGCTTAAACCTTGTCGATCTAGATTTATATTTTGATATATTTTCAATTTTTCAAGAGAACTACTACTCTAATGCTTAATTTTGGATAAACAAAAAATAATGAAGATCATCCAAATTTATACTCTTCAAATAGAATTGTCAATTTCCCTAATTCCTATATAGATCTTCTTAAACAAAACATTGCTTCCTCTCTTGGTCTCTAATGCGAACATTAATCATTGAAAAAAATATTGTACATTTTTTTGCTAAGTTGAAATAATTAAGTCATAATTATGCTGAAAAAATGTAAGAAATTGTAATTAAATTACCATGCAATTGTATAATTAAACAATTGTTAAAAATAAAACATTTAAAGAATAAGATTTATGCAAATTAATGGTATTTTGTATTTTAGCATAATATAATTCAATCTAAAAAGGACCTCTTCTAATTTTTATCTTTGCAAATAACATTTATTTTTTGCTGAAGATAAAAGTCCTACTCTTGAAAAATAAACAACATATTTGCAAATTCAGAATAGCTATTAATTATTTTTTCATTCACTAAAGAATAGCTATAAAAGATTTCTCTATTTACTACAGATTCCTATAATCTAAGAATTCAAATTAGACATCAATCAATAAGAAGGTTTAGTATAGTAAAATTATAAATTAAAACAATTAATAAAGTACAAACGAAATAATTATTATTAAAAAACTAAGGTGTAAACTCAGCAGATAATAAATAGTTTCAAAAAAATCTATGTGCATTATGTATTAAGTTAAAATTCTTAATAATTTATGCTAACTTAATGGTAGCAAGTAAACAAATAAAAGAGAATTAATATATCCATTTTATTAGTAAATTATTGCAACAGTTGTTTTGTAATTTTTACTTCATTAAGTTCCTCTTAAGACATTTTAATAACATAGACACATCTTATTTGGCTAGCTATTATGAAGTATGAACTACCTCTAGATTTATTTGGTAAACAACAATATCAGAAGGTTTACTTCTAAAATGTGTATTTGTCCTCGCATAACTGATTCTTAGGATTTCATGGGCTGAGTACTTGTTTATATCAAGGAATAGGAATTAGTTTTCTTTATCTTCTCTATTAGGATAAATAACTTTGTTAATTTTAAGTTTAATAATAAAAATTCCATATGAATTTGAAATGATAAATTAATATTTATTTATTTTTGAAGTCATTATTTGTTTATTATGAATAGATATATAGTTATTTTGTAAAAGAAATTATTTATATAGAACTTAACAGTGTAATAATATGATTACGAAAAAACTAATAATTATTATAATAAGAATTAATAGTTCTTAAATACAGTGATTGATTAACTGAATAGAGCAGTTTTATGTTTGGAAAATGCATAAAATGAATATCAGATTTAGTTAAAGTTTGAGATGATTATACAAAAATAAAAATTCATTTATGATGATAAGAGCTAGATCGAATTCTAAGGATATTCTAAGAAGGGTCGCTTTCATTATTTGAACTCTTAAATCGGAACCTTTTCTCAGGGTAATGAAATTGGGATTATGTAGTTGTAGGAGAACTAGATTAATTGCTTAATCTGAAAATTGGATATGTGTTTTCTTCAGAATCCATATCTCTTGGAGAACCCTAATCAAACCAAATTGATTATAAATACAATTCAAAATGTCAAGCAACCCTTCCTCAATTTGATCTTATCTTTTGCAATGATAAATAGTTGAGTATAAATTATTATCCTTTCTAATTAACAAATCTTGATATAAAGTTGATATTTACCCTTTATGCATCCTTTTTATTCCATTGAAATCTGATTGCGTTAATACATAGTCCAAATGGCTAATAATATTTAACTTTCCAATGAAGTTGACATACTCAATATTTAATATTTTTATTAATTAAAACCCTTATGATATAATATATTACAATATTAGCATCTAATAAAGGAGCATTTATAATTAATCAAATGAAAATTGCATATATAAAATAGTATTGATCTCTTATTTTAATATTAAATAAATGGATTAATTAAAAGGGATAGGAATGCAGGTGTTCTATACAATATTAAAGTAACATAGAAGAAAGTTAAGGCCTGAGATGAGAATACTGGGAGATGCTTATGTAAAGGAGGAATTTAGACAAGCTCACCAAAAAGCAAATCAAGAACAATACATTGAATTTTTGAAGAGATGGTATTTATTTATTAATTCTGAAGGGCTATTTATATTGAGGAATTGGATAAATCAAAACAGGTTGGGAGAGATTTAACTTCAGAGGAAAAAGCATTATTGAATGAGGAATAGATAGAAAACTTGGCCAAGCTAAAAGAATTCTCTAAATAATAAAAATCTGAATGACATATATGTTTTGATGTTAAAATTGTGCAAAATTATTGATTTTATTTCGGATGTTCAGACATTTATTGCTTAACTTAAACAAAATTATAAATAGATTTGATTGAAAAATGTGAGAAGAACAGATGCAAATAAAATTAATGCAATAATCAGAATCTAAAACTCGAAATTTAAACAATTTTTTCTTAAGCGGTTTCTTAGTTGTCCAATTATTCCAAGCTCGATGACTTCGAATTTAAACTTGATTTATGAGAACTCTACTATTCGCTCTTTTCTCTTCCAGAGTCCTAATTAAACTAGGTTTTTTACAGAACTCACGAATTCATAATCATATGGATGTTTAGATGTCTAAAGATAGATTTTCCTTGCTCCCTCTAACATTTATAAATATAAAACAATATACTAATATCAATTGATTCTGATTCGGAATCCGATGGCTAATCAAGATATGATTGGATTTTCACCATCTATGTGAATGTGCCACTAAAAGTAAATAAGACACTCTACGATTAGTATCTGATTTAAATAGCCCTGTTTTCACTCTATTCCCAAATAATCTCATCGCTTTCAAGAATAACTGCTTTAAATTGAATCAGAGTATCTACAATTTTTATTCAATTTTACTTTATTCTAGGTCCTCATAAATTTATCCTACCCAAAATGGATATATTTCTCTATTGGTATGCAAAGTCAGACTATTATATGGATTCCACATGCCCAAAGCTGGAATATCTCCCACGATTCTTAGTTCCTGCGATGAATGAGTATCGCATCTCACTTTAAAGTACACCTGTATTGGCATAGAGGTTAGATAATAAAATTAATTTAAATTGTAAAATAAGATTGGAAATTAATTAAAATTATATTGCCATTTATAAAATGTTTCATAAATTGGGAATTTTAATTTAATTTAGAATTTTCTATATCTATATTCTTGGAAATTTCTAAAATAAAAGTTTATTAGATTTTTGATTAGATTACTAAATATATTCATATAAAGAGAGTATCAAAGATCAAAACTTCTAGATTCCAAGTTCACTTGACAATCTGGATTATTTGATTCCTTTTTTGGACTACTCTAGGCCTATTCATTAGAAATCCAAGAAGTTTCTTCATCATAAAATTACGAATTCTCTTCACTTTCTATTTCTTGATCCTAACCAATATGATTTAAAATATTACTGAGTCCTCATCTGAATCATATAATTTCTCTTATAGGTGTATTGAAACCTTTCTTGCAGTGGCTAAAGATAAATTATTTTTAAATACACTCAGTAATATTAGTTAAATCATTATTTGAGAATAGTCTTCTGATGTTATGGATTATAATTGATGGTGAATTAAACGTTAATATCACAATAACCTATTGGCTTAAGATTTAAATTAATCTGTTGGCACCTATCTCCCATTAAGAATTCTTTCCATCACATATAACTATTTTGAATTCCAGAATTAAATCTAAAAATGAGAAGTATTGTTTTACTTGGCTCAACCTCCAAAGGCTTTTCGCCTATCCACAAAGGGTACTGCTCTGAATTAGTTATCAATTTAAATCCATTCTAGGGATTCCAATCCCCTAAAGCTGAATTGTTTCCAACAATGTATACCGATTAAGAAATTTAAGTTTGGCATACCACACGAAATAAAACCTATGCACTCATTTATCTTTTATTTTTTTTAATTAAAATTAAAGTTATTAATAGTAAATATATAAATAACAACTCTTAAATACTTATAAAAAATACACTATTTTATAAAAAAATGAATATATTATATTAATATGAAGTGAAATTTAAAAACATCATAAAACTGAATACAAATATGCAATATTATTTTCACAGCCTTGAAATCTAATCCCATTTGTCCTAACAAAGTGATTTTACTATTAAGTCAGATAACATATGATTATGATTTCATGTAATTTTTAAATCATATATTTAATTATAAATTATAATTAATGTTACCAGATGAAAAAGAAGCCTAATAAAATAAGTATAGAGAACAAGTTATACATGCCGAAACTTTGAATATGATGGCTAAATACTAGTTAATATTTTTAAAGATGGAAATCTCTATGAGAAAGGTAGCACTAATACTAAAATTAAAGTAATACTAACTGTTTATAGTAGAGGGAGCTAATAAAAATTTTATGCCTTTAGAAAACTTAAGTAAACTAGCAGTTATAGTGTTAATCACTTTAAAGTGTTATTTACTTAGATAGCATTGAAGTATTAATAAGTTGGATTAATTATTCAAAAAAGATAAAAAAGGAATTTGCATCATGCCTTCTTAAAAATTCGCCTATTATTTCCAAAATACAAGAATGATAAAATTAGAAGATCATTCTTATAAGTCATTGCCTCTAAGGATGCTGAAATTAAAAATCTCTAAATCAAAGAACAAGAAATTACAGAAAATATTGCCAATTAGAAATTAAAAGAATAGGAACTTTTATCTAAAATAAAACAAAAGGAATTGATATTGACTTAGCTTGAAAATGAATTAAGAAAGAATTCTTCAAATAAAACTCTAGATTCTAAAGTATTTATTGATTTTATTAAGTTACGAAATTTAGAAGTCGAAAATCAAGAGATGCAAGATCGTATCATGGGCACTGAAGACTCTGTTAGTCTCTTTATAAGAGAGATGAATGATATGTTAGATAGTCACGAAATTAGCACAAATTTAGGTAGAGATATGTGATAATCCAATAGGAATAGATTCAGATGAAAATTAGTCTTACGAATAACCACCCTAAGTCATCGAATATCAAAGCTAACGTTTGAATTAAAATTCAAGACAGCAAAAGTCTAAGAACTTTTACTCAAATTAATTGACAAGGAGTACTAAAATTAATTGAAATTATAAATTCCAAAATCAGAATAACTATAATTTTATATTTTAATCTTGTTGCAAAAAATTGGTTCAAAAGACTTAAATAATTAGTTGCTTGATTTTAGGTCTTGAATAATATAATTCAAATACAACATAAATTCTTATTTATTCTAAAGAAACCAATATTATAAAAAAGAATTCTTGTTTATACATTCTTAAGAACTAAAATAAAAATTTGTTTCCATTTTATTTTTCTATTCAAAATTAGTTAAGAGGTAAATCAGATTAGTTTCCCTTTCAAACTAATAGGCATACGATATCAAAATATAAGTAAAGGAACTATAATTCAAATTTAAAGCAGTAAAGCTACATTATTATGATACTTTAAAATAATAATACTTTTGGATATTTTGATACAAAATAACTAAATAATAGAGATAACTGTAATTGATAAATAATTTTTTTTTCACATGTAAATAGTTATTTGAGTTAAGCATCAATTTACAAATAGATTTCTGAAACTATAGTTTATTGCTTTATAGGCTTTTAATTGAATAAGTGCTTTCTTAATTTATTGGCTTGCTTCTTTTATTACTTTTTCTTTTTTTTTCTATCTTCTATCCATATTTCGTTATCTCAATTATTCAAAATTCATCTCGCTAGAATTATTCCTATTTTATATTTCTGTGTCAATTTCTAAATACTAACAGTAAAACTAAGAATAATTCTCAAACTCCTCAATGCCAAATAACGCTTCAATATCCATTAATTTAGGAAACCCTTTTTTTAAGGAGATTAAATATTATGACAGAACTATTGAAAAATTTCCTTCTGGTTCAAAGTGAGTAAATTCTTAAATTTAATCAAAATTTGAAATAGAACTAAATTGAATTTATTTAAATTTTTCTTCCATCTCTTTTTTATTCTTGATTAATAATAATTCATTTAAATTCTATGAGAACCCTTTCATACATTTTTCGTTTTTTGAAGTTTAAGTGATGATGTGAGTATACTTTTTTGTCAATTTACCATTTAAATTTCTTATACTCTTCATCCTACTTTTTTGCTTGAGATTACAGATCTGATACTCAGGATTTTAATTTTCTTACATATCTTCTTCAATTAAATTATAACTATTAAGAAAATCTTCTAGGTAAGTCTTTCTTTTAAAATTTAGGTTGATTAGTTTTGAACTTTCAAATCTTTATTGTGCTTATTTGATTTATGAGATACATTTTCTTGCGTTAAAATCAATTCTATCTCTTCTAAAATAAGCTGATTAATGAAATTTATCAAATTATTTTACGAATTTAATAAAATGTGTAGCTGATCTAAGATAAAATTTAATTATACACATTAAAATGTAATTTTTCACAATCTCTTGAAGTGTGATCATCCATTGAACAAACATAACAACGAACACCAATAGATCCATAATCCTTTCGAAAGACTATTTTATGCCTTATCATGTAATACAATTCTAAATCTAAACTTGGACAAGATGAAGCTTTAGCAGAATATTGAAATTCTTTTAAGCTCTTCTAAAACTGGTTTTAAAAAATTTGAAATACACTTGAGAAATTAGCACTTCTTGTGCTGGCAGATCTGGGTAAATTTGAATAAAAACTGATTTCTCCAAAATATTGATTTTTTCTCTTTTGATCAATCACTACACCAGTTTTTTTATAAAAAATATCCACTTACCCAGATTTGATAATGAACATATCATAGTTTTATTAGGAATCAAATTCATCAAAAATAACTTCCTCTGGATTATAAATTCTTTCTTTCATATTTGACATGACAACCTCAATTAGAAATTATTAAGAATTATTCTTTAATAAGATATTACAATATCCAAGTAGTTTTCCATTTATTTATTTCCTTAAATTATGAGCTAATTCATTTTAAACTTAATTGGTAAAATCTTATAAAACTAAGGATTTAGAATCAATAACAAAATGAATATATCTTCTAATTCTATTCTATAAGTGATTGGAAATGCCAGTTTTTTTCATCAACCTATTTGCACCATTAATTTTCTCCTTTTTCAATTTTTTTTGTCCATCAATCTCTTAGAGCGCAAATCCTATAGAATTCATTGTAAAAGCAAAGCCTCCACAAGCAACCAATAGAAGGAGAATTCCAATACATCTTTCTTCAGGTGTTTATGGACTTATATCACCATAACCTACAGTAGTCATTGTTGCTATTCCCCAATACAAAGAATTTACATACCTAATCGTCCAATCGGAAAAATAGATATCTGCTAACCAAGAATGATCACTTGGCTCTTAGTATGCTATATAATGGAATATGCAGCCTAGTATATGAGCAAAATATAACACAAAGAAAAATAACTTACAAAAATTGATGATTGCTGCTACGCGAGGTCTCATTGATAATAATTCATCAAATTTGTCAATTATTTTTTTTAACTTCGCTAACCTTATTAATTTTAAAACTTTAACAAATCTCAAAAATTTAAGTAATCTTATTAATTTTGCACTTTGAACTTATGAGGACGATTCATCCATAATTATATCATAAGGGAATGCTGAAACAGAATCAAGCCAAAACCAAAATTTCATATATTCCTTTAATATGTCTTTTCTATTCATATTTAATTTGCCCTCCAAATAAACACCTGTGTTCAAATTGAGTAGGATATCAAATATAAAAATAGTTGCACTTATTCTTGAAAATAATTAAATTATTTCAATCTCAAAACCTATCATTAAAGGTACTGTTATCATTTCGTAAATTACTAATAGCAAGCATAATAGATCCCATAATATTTTCATTGAACCATTTGGGCTAAAAGTATAAGGTTATTTTAAAGTAACTGCTGATTTTGCCTTTCTATATAGTCTTCTAACTTTATTAGCAATGCGCTTCCAATTAAAACTAAAGTTTCTCTTTAATACATTCTTGGTCGATAATAATCTTCTCTTATAATCATTTTGAGCTAAGCGTCGCCTCTCCTTAATTCTGTATCCTTCTAAAGACTTGCCAGCTAAATCATAATCAGATCCACTAGTTATTGCTTCATCTGATAAGAATTTATATTATTTTTTTGTCAACACCTCTTTGTTTTAGGTTTGAATGTATTATAAATATTATTCCATTATAAATAATAAATAATTTCATTTAAAATCCAAGATTCAATCTTTTTGATTTTCGGCTCCAACTCCAATTCAACTTAAACTTAATATTGATTAGTTTCAGTACTTTTATTAGATTTATTGTTAAAGACAAAATATTTTAGTGGATGAATATGTAGTTTAGACTTCATAAATTATCTGTGTCGTCATTTACAACATTTTCTTTGAAGCCTCTCTGAAACCTATTCGATTCTTGATATTATGACTCTATTTTAATTATATAATTAATGAATATTGATCTGATTAAAGTAATTGAGAAAAATTAACAAAAACTTGATTAGCATAGTCAAAAGCTATCTGCTTAAGCCAGAGATATTTATGCATTAGTATTGGATTCAAAATTAATAGACTATACTTTACGGGAATAGTAATTTTAAAAGCAGTAGCATTGAAAGGAGTTATGTAAGTACAAGAAAATCAACAAAATAGAATTCTGTAGTTCCCAATAAATCTGAACTCTCTCGTCTTATCGATTCGGTAAGAATACTATATGACCTTCAAGTCCTCTCCAATATCTGTTAAACAATCGCATATTGATCAGATTGCTTCAGTTAGTCCTAATCGAGATGACTTAACTAGAATAAGAATGGAAAACGCTGCATTGAAAGAAAAAATGAATTCCAAGGAGAAGTAGATCGATCAACTAGATAAGACAATCAATGCATTAAAAAAAGAAAAGGATCTTATGATTTAATAGTATTAGAATACGATTAATCGCATCACTAAAGAATTAGAAATTGGTAAAAAAAATGCTATGAATGTGGAACAAGCACTCTAAGATTAAATTAAATTTTTAGAATAAAGTCTAGAAAAAAATTAAAATAACGACTTTAGATTAAAAGAAATGGAGTCCACTATGCAGACTCTAATTTTAGAAAATGAATAATTGAAACAATAAAAAAAAGATGATGCTAAATGGTTAAGAGAATTATAGGAATAATTTGAAATTTTTTATACAAAAAGTTAAGAAACAAAAAATAAAATAGAGGATACCAAACATTTTATATCCTAACTATCAGAAATTACACAATATTTGATAAACAAGTAAGCGCCTCCTTTAGAATTTTTCGTTCATATGAATAAATTACAAAAATAATAAAAAGTTGATGCCACTCCATTACCAAAGGGAAGCTCAATGAAGCTAATATTTGCTTAAGTTTTTTCATTGCAAATAGAATCATTGGTAACCTTGAATTAGATTCTTAAAGACACTAAGACCCAAGTGGAAAAATTTTCTAATTAATATATTTCCTAAGTTGGTTTGTAATTGGTTTCATTATGATTATATAATTAGTAGATAATATAATAAAATTAAAATACTTTTATTCTTAAGAATTTTTAACATATACTTTATATTCATATTTTAGGTACTTATTCTTATGGTAGAACTTAAAGAAAATGCTATAAATCGCTCATCCTATTTTGATATATCTATATTGTTAAAATATACTTCATCTTCAATCTCCAAGCAAGAAGTTTAATAAATTCAAAGAATTCAATTCTTCATTTATTATTACAAATTATTTAATAAGGTTTGGATCATTAAAAGAGATTATTAGAAAATGTTTTGCAGTTAATGACCTTTATTATTATGTGATTTGTACCTGATTCTTCTTATTCAAACTTATTAAATCAAATAATTATCAATGCATTCTACGAAATTATTAATTAATAATATATTTATTAATAATATATTATTAATATTATATTAAATAATAATGTATTACAAATTGCTTGATTCAGGGTTATATAAATAATGAAGTCATACATCCTCCTAAATCTTCTATTTTTATAGAAGTTGCCATATAAAGCGAAAATTAAACGAAAAGTTAGACATTATAATAAAATGATTTTTAGCATAATGTTATTTTCAAAGGAATAAATTTTTATTTATATTTTGAAGCATAACTCTAATTCACAATTTTATTATTCATTACATCATAATTTTCATCTTATTATATTGCTATTCAATTTTTGCTTTTAATTAATATATTTTGTAATAATTTTTTGATATGTTCTTAGAAATAATATTTAGAGGATAATAATCGTAGATAATAATTAGATTATTAAATATTTATTTATATATTAATTAATCAACCCTAACTACTTTCTATGTTCGCCAAAATTGCCTAAAAGTTTAAATCATTGACAATGAAAAGCTAAATCATTTTATTTAATATGATGACTCTTGTTGTTGTACTATCAATTGGTTGGATTAATTATTACGTTTAAACAGAAATATTTTCAGTAATTTCTTCAAGTTCATTCTCTCAAATACTTTAGGCATAGGATTAAGATTAGATTGGTTTTATAGCTTAAAATATTGCAATAATTGTTGAATTAAAATTTATAACAGGTTTCAATATAATTTAACTTATTAGTTCTCTAACAAATAGAGTCAATAAAAAGCTTTTATAATTTTTTCGAGATAGAGAAACAAAATATAGAAAATAATTAAAAATTGAATCCTTGCATATCGGTACATGAATTTTTGAATGATAAGAATCTACTTTCAACTCAAAGATTTTGTTATTTTGCCATTGGAGTTTCTGACTATATTACTCTACCGTAAGATGAAAAAGAACTCCTCATTCTCAACGATTTTATTTCATTTCTTAATCACTATAGCTTAGTAATAAATGTTCCATTTACTGGCAAACTTCAAATTGCATCAATTTCTCCAACAAAGTATTTTGCTCAATTTCCTTCATCTCTTTTAATACCTTCTTATGATATAACAACGCGATTTTGGTAAATAATTAATATATTGAAGGTATAATAATCACATCATTAAGACTGAAGCTGATTCAAATACTGGTTTTGTTTTCTCACCTCTTAATGACGCCTTCGCATCTCAAATAAAAGAGATGTCAATTACAAATTCAATATACAAAGCAGACAAAATGATTGGAATAATCAAAGAAGGATTACTAGTAAATAGCAAATTGATACCTACTATTCCATATAATGTTTTATTACTAGATAAAGATGGCTTAGTAGTATATTTTAACATGGAATAATTAATCAATAAAACGGATTATTTTTATATATATGATGAAAATATTACTGGATTTAATTAAACTGATTGGGAAGAAATGATTTAATTTTCTAGTTAAAGAGACAAAGTAATTTTGGTTTTAGAGAATAAATTATAGAAAGAGAAAGTAAATATCTATTCTCTCGAAGTCTTAAAGAATAATTTCACTCTGGTCGTGTAATTATTATTAATTATTAAAGATATACTAATATTACTACTAAAATAGATAATCAGAATAAATCAGAAGCAATAAGGGAAAAATCTTTCTTTAATTTTTCAATCTCACTTTTTATCTAAATATTTTTAGGATTTGCAGCCATTACTCTTTAGAGTATTGTGCTTTTAGTGGTTTTCAAGCCTTTAAGACAGTTTAATTCTATTATTAAATAATATATATTATCACAAGGCAATAACGTCAATAGTGAAATATTTAAAATAATTAATACAAAATCTTAAGAGTAAAATGCTCTGACTAATTTACAAAATAAACTTTTAAGTTTTTCATAAATCCNCGTTTAAACAGAAATATTTTCAGTAATTTCTTCAAGTTCATTCTCTCAAATACTTTAGGCATAGGATTAAGATTAGATTGGTTTTATAGCTTAAAATATTGCAATAATTGTTGAATTAAAATTTATAACAGGTTTCAATATAATTTAACTTATTAGTTCTCTAACAAATAGAGTCAATAAAAAGCTTTTATAATTTTTTCGAGATAGAGAAACAAAATATAGAAAATAATTAAAAATTGAATCCTTGCATATCGGTACATGAATTTTTGAATGATAAGAATCTACTTTCAACTCAAAGATTTTGTTATTTTGCCATTGGAGTTTCTGACTATATTACTCTACCGTAAGATGAAAAAGAACTCCTCATTCTCAACGATTTTATTTCATTTCTTAATCACTATAGCTTAGTAATAAATGTTCCATTTACTGGCAAACTTCAAATTGCATCAATTTCTCCAACAAAGTATTTTGCTCAATTTCCTTCATCTCTTTTAATACCTTCTTATGATATAACAACGCGATTTTGGTAAATAATTAATATATTGAAGGTATAATAATCACATCATTAAGACTGAAGCTGATTCAAATACTGGTTTTGTTTTCTCACCTCTTAATGACGCCTTCGCATCTCAAATAAAAGAGATGTCAATTACAAATTCAATATACAAAGCAGACAAAATGATTGGAATAATCAAAGAAGGATTACTAGTAAATAGCAAATTGATACCTACTATTCCATATAATGTTTTATTACTAGATAAAGATGGCTTAGTAGTATATTTTAACATGGAATAATTAATCAATAAAACGGATTATTTTTATATATATGATGAAAATATTACTGGATTTAATTAAACTGATTGGGAAGAAATGATTTAATTTTCTAGTTAAAGAGACAAAGTAATTTTGGTTTTAGAGAATAAATTATAGAAAGAGAAAGTAAATATCTATTCTCTCGAAGTCTTAAAGAATAATTTCACTCTGGTCGTGTAATTATTATTAATTATTAAAGATATACTAATATTACTACTAAAATAGATAATCAGAATAAATCAGAAGCAATAAGGGAAAAATCTTTCTTTAATTTTTCAATCTCACTTTTTATCTAAATATTTTTAGGATTTGCAGCCATTACTCTTTAGAGTATTGTGCTTTTAGTGGTTTTCAAGCCTTTAAGACAGTTTAATTCTATTATTAAATAATATATATTATCACAAGGCAATAACGTCAATAGTGAAATATTTAAAATAATTAATACAAAATCTTAAGAGTAAAATGCTCTGACTAATTTACAAAATAAACTTTTAAGTTTTTCATAAATCCTATCCGAAAGTTAAGGAAGAAAGTGTGAAATGTGTAAAATTTGGGAAGCCTTTTCATATGATTAGAATGATCCTGAATAAGAATTTGATGAGTTTAGAAATTAATTTTAATTAATAGAAAATGGGAGGTAAGAATTCGGCAAATAAATGTTAAAAATAATAAAACTAGGAATACATTGATTTTCATATTCTTTATATTTACGAATTAAATTATTGGGTTGTGAATTAATTGTTTATAATTAATGTTATAGATATTATGAAAATTCTATTAATCATCTTAGATTGGTTTTAGAAGATATTAAGTCCATAAAAATTTAATGATAAATAAGATTATGGAAAGAACTAAATTATATTGTAGATTAATTAAATCTGCTTTATAATTTATTTAATATTTTTAAAAAAGAGAAAATGATTGGTAAAATTACATTAATAGATTCACTATTGCTGATTTGTTATTGGAATTCATCCTTAATTCTCATCTTCCTCTTCTGAATAATAAACCTCCATACAGACAGAGTTTTCTAAATAATAACATTGATATAATACTTTTAAATTTCGATGAATTCTTTGAGAGGCTAGGGATCATTTCAAGATCATCTAGATCTTCGTCATTTACAACTTTATTGTCCTCTAGTATAGTTTTTGTTAAGCCTTTGGATACATAATAAAAGTATTAAAGGTAATCTTGTAGAACCTAAACGATTAAGATGAGCATATTACCCTTGGAATTTCTCTTTCATTATTTAATAACTCGATATCTTGATTTTTTTAAATTACTTAGATCCAGTTTCTATCAAATTGCTTTGTATAATTAATGAAGATCTGATAAAGTTTGGAAAATTCAGAATCATTTAATAAAAATTATTTAGCAGATTTAATTATTTCCTCTGGAACATCTACTGAATCACAGTTTACTAAAAGTATTTAATTTAAATTTACTTTTATTATTTGAGTATGCCCTTTGAATTGTTGTAGGTCTATAAAATTCAAATTATTCTTAAGTTTAAAATTAATCGAATTAATCATGTTCTTGTATTTATTATTCAAGATTCCTCTGAGATAGTGCCACCTTTATCACTTCAAATAAGGGCTCTTGATTTTAATTCTTTTTCCTAATCAAAAGTTCATCTATATCAAAATTACTATTTTATAAGGCAAAATTGAAAAATTTTTATGCATCATTTAATGTTGCATCAGATTAAGTATCTAAATGTTCGTTATAATTTGATGATCCAATTGATGTTCTTTCTTGGTTTGGAGTGATTGTTTTTTGTTTATTATATGCAACAGCAATTTAATCTTTATGAATTTAAATAAACCTTTAAAGGTAGGAGTGCTCTAAATAATAATATAAATAAGTGTAGATATGTTCATGTTGTAAGTTTTCAATTTTAAAAATTAGAGGCTCTGGTAAAAATTGAGACACAAAACTAAAATAATAATAAATATCTATTTTACTCTTTATCAAATCTCATGAATTCTATAAAAGAACCCACATTAGATCCAAAAACCTATTTAGTTTCATCATAGTACAAACTTGTTTCTTGTTAAACTCTCTCACTTAACTATTCATAAAATTCTTCATAACAACAATCCAGATGTCCAATCCAATGGACAGATACCTGATTTTATTTAATTGCATAGAAATACTTCATTGATTGAGAGATCTTATATTGATTTATTAAAATTTCTTAGTAAATCCACTATTTCTGTATAAAATTTATGAGAAGTTTCAATCTGAAATTAATCCTTTATACTATTTTTTTGTTTGAGCAAAAAATTATCATAAATTTCGTAAGTAATCTAGAAGGAAGGAGTGAAACCTAGGTCTTAATTGACACCTTGATCAAATTCTTTAAGAAACTTAGACTATCTTTCTGCTTGCAAGGTTCGTACGAAGCATTCAAGGAGCAGCTCTTAAAATTATTCATTTCTAATTATCTTTAATTAAAATTAACAGTACATATTTGATCCATAATTGATTCATTATTCTCCAAATTGAAAATTTAGGGTATTGGGGATATTGAGGAAAACATTTTTTATGTAATTCATTCACAATGTTTTCCAAGGGATGCATAATGCTATTTAACTCTATAATGGAATTACTATATGCTTCCCAATACATGACGTATTCACTTAATAGGTCTATACTATTTGTGGAATTGATGGTGATGAATGTAGAAAAGTACATATATAATCCCTACAGATAGCATTCGACTGAACAATACAATTATTCTAAAAGATCAATAATGCAAATTTATTCAAATTAAACTTCTTCTTCCTGTTCTTCCGATTATATATTTTTAGACTCAACTTTAAATAGAGGCAATTATTCAAATTCAAAAGATTCGCTTTATAAATTCCATCTGAATTTTAAAAATCGTGATTTAAGTACCTCATTTTTATCTAATTTTTGGCTCATTAAATCTATTATTTATTGTTTGTTTTATTTTAATTAGTTCATTAGCTTTAATTTAAATCATATTTAAATACCTCATTTGATATCATTTAAAACTCAAACAAACTATCGAACCCCTTTTATTCCCATTCCAAACGCTAAGCAAGCATTATTTAGAATTCTGACTCGCAATATAATCCTATTGTTTCTCTTTTTAAAATGGGTTTTGGAAATACTGATTCACAAAGTAAAAATGGAATTTTCAATGCTTTTCTAAATCAATGTATTTTATTATCTTACTTCTATTACAACATTTGCTTATATTGGAGTTTCCAATCCAAAAAACATTTCTCAAAATTAGTTTAACGAATTTGATCTCTCTAAATATTATCAGGATAATAAATTTCAAGAGCTATTTCCAGTTAATCTTTGAGAAATTATTTATAGTAATTCTCTGCAAAGAATTAATAATGTTTCTATCTATATATATTATATATGAAACCTTAACATATTCATTTAAAATACGAGAAGTTGCTCCCAAAGTTAATACATCTTTTAGGCTCAAAAACCATGTTATTCTTTTAAATATTTCGTAATTATAGAGATTGTTTGTAGATTTTTCTTAATTAGTTTCTAATTGAAAATTTTAATCCTTTAGATCCATCTATAATTTTTATATATATGTAAATTATTGATCGATAAATTTTAATATTCATTAAGAAAATTAAAAATCTGATACATACTGCAAAATGATGATAGTTCATAATTTAGAATCCTATATAGAATGAGTAACTATCTATCACAAAAAATCCAATAAAAAGAAAATTTACACAAATATATTGAAAATATTTGAATGAATTATCATAATCTCATTTCTTATTTCTATAACATATTTTTTCAGTCAATTAAGAGGTAATCACATGAACAGTATCGCAATCCGTTATTCCTTTGTCTCTTAGATAATCATTATCTTCCAAAAGTGAGGTTTCAAATCCAATATATAACCTATCAGAAGTTAAATTAATAATCTCAGCAAGCTGTTGCTTCAATTATAATACAGTTCTTGTATCTGGCTTGATATCCAATTCAACAGTCATCCCGGTAACAAATCTGCAGTACAGCTTTTTAATGTCATTCATTTTATTATTTTAATAATATTTTTATATTCTATCAATATTCCTTTAATATCCTCTGTCATTAATAATACTAACTATTCTTACATTATCATAAATTTTCATTTTTGGATTGCAAGAGTCTATAAAGCTTTACATTTTCTTTAAATCAAATGAACGAAGTATTAATTGAATTCTAATATTTTTGATAATTTTAATTTCTATTTTGATAAATTATACACCTAAAATAATCAAAGTTACCAAAAGCTGATGAGGTATATATGTAAACTTCGATTATTTACAATTATTTTGATAATATCTTTTTGTTTCAATATATTTTAGTTAACTTTTTTACTAATTATGAGTCAATTGTTTATGCTACTATAAATGATAGTATTCATCTGACAAAGGAGTTTCATGAGGATGAAATAAGTACCAGTAAATCTATAATGCTCATTACCTGCACTAAAACAGTTAAATAAGATTTTAAGAATTCATTAATGATTGAAAATCTATATTCATATTAATTTAGTGTACAAGAGTTGCTCCTTTATTAATCTTTAAAACTTGGTATTATTATCTAGGCTAAATTCAATCAAATTAGGCGTATTTTCAAAAGTAATTTGCAGTTTTAATGATAGTATGAATTATATAATTATTCTTCTTCTTAATCGAAATATTTGACAATCCTAAAGACTTATTAAATGATAAAATACTTTTATACTTTAATATGTCTTATTTGATATATGCTACTGCTATTGCATTTTATTCATAAAAATAGCTTATTTACATCAATAGGTAACAACATTTAGAGATTTCATGCTAATAATTAATATATAATTAAAAAAATAAAATAAAAATTATCCTAATAATTATCTTAATTCAAGGGTGTTAATAATTATAATTATTAGATATTCTATGAATAATTATTTATAAATAAGAAACCAAATTTTAATTATTAAAATGAATATTTTGATGATATTTCCTTAGTTAAACATTTATAAGCCATAGCCATCCAAATCATTAGTTCAATTAATAATGCAAACACAGAAATTATTATGATTTAATAAAAACAATACATCATTATAGGATTTCTCAAATTAAAGTTATTAATATATTTATAACAATTAAAAATAATCAATTAATCCGTTAAAATGAGTGATATAGACTAATCAATTGAGGCAAGAATAGATAAATTTGAATGTATTCAATAATAATCAATATTTTATAGCTGATTTAAATAGAGTAAGTTTATAATAAGATGCACTGCTCCCTCTATTACAAATGATTGAATACATTCCATCAATCTAAAGAACTGAAGCTAATGTTAAGTAAGTTTAAAAGAAATAAGATGTTAATGAATAGAAATAAGGAAGACTTGTAATTAATTTTCAAAAATTGTATAGGAAAGGTGCGCTGAAAGAAAATTAAGAGAAATAGAATCTATGCCATAAAAACCTTAATTAGAGGTATAATAAGTAGATTAGAGAATTAAGGATTTAGAATCATCTATCAATTGTTTGTACAGGTAAAATAAATGCTATCAGTAGGTGGTATGAGGCAAAATTAAGAGAAGGATCATAATAAATAGTTCGTAGCATTGATGATAAATTGGGAACTGATCCAAATGCAGAATTTAATGACTAATTATTAATTGTTGTGAATTAGACTATCAAAAATGCACTTGATAAAATGAGTGAAGATTTCAGGGGGCAACTTTTTGAAATTAGATAAATGCTATGATTATAATTATATATATATATATTAACTGCTAAATAATATTAATAATTCAAGAATTAGTATATCCTTAATTGTTGAATTTTTAATCTTTGGGCTTCAGGAATACATTAAATAGATCCAAAGTGAGCATGGAATATTTCAAATTTTTATATCATCCTTATTTAGTATTGATTTAATTAATATATATTGTAATATTAATGAAACACCTATCAACTAAAGCCTCGCTTCCTTAGAGATCCAATATATTTTGAGTATATTCTTAATTTTGTTTTCCTTTATAATATAAAAAGGAAAAGACGTTTGTGTAGAAATAATATCATAAATTTGAAAACATTTAACTAAATAATATCTTGGTCAATCAAGGTTTAGACATAACCTAGATTATTAATGTGATATCTTTTAGAATTTACTTCTAAATATATATATTTCTAAAGAATATGAAATAATGATATTGTAAAATAAAAATATATTCAATATAATTTTTTATTTTGCTAAATGATATTCATTTCAATTTAGTAAATATATTAGAATACAAAGAATGTAGGAATCTTACTTTTGATTTATTTTATATTCTACCAAATAATTCTTTCATATCTTGATCTTCTAATAAAAGATAACAATAGACTAAAATTAATTGTTAATTTTATATTCTTTAATTAAATTTTTTTATTTTTTTTCATTGACTTGAACTGCTTGCATAATTCAACCTCCCTATTAAACATTTAATGTGATTTTTTTTTTAATTTCTTTCCTTTTCTAAATGGTATTACTTGTCTCTTATTAACAATTATTTTTCTGGATAGTATAACTCGAAACTTAAATTCTCAAAATTAAAGTAACTTAAACCTTGGTCAAAGGATATTAATTTGATTCTGAATTTCATATTTTAATTACATTATTTGAGTTGTACTGTATACCTTCTATTTGGAATTCTAGGCTTTTAAAAATGTATGTAAAAACTCAAAACAAATAATATAATTAAAAAAGAAAATGGATTACGTATCAAAAGTTACCCCTTAATTTATAGATACACCAGATGAAGAATCACAAGCCATGCTATCCTAATTAGAGAACAATAATCCAGATATCTACGAATAGATGAAAAAGAATAGCCCTTTATTTTATTAACTCAATAATGCTTAATAAGGACTTCTATCTACAGATCAAGAATTATAAAAATTGAATGATGAAGAACGATTGACACACGAGATGTACACCAGAAAATCTGTCTTAAACAACAAAAGAGTTGAGGAGAAGTAAAAGTTAGTGTTCAAGAAGGCCTTTAAGAAAGCAGAACAGAAGTTTTTTTAGAATTAATTGAAGATTAGTAAAAAAAAGAAGTAAAATCAATAGTAAATTGATTTCTATGAGACTCATTTCAAAGAGCTCTCTTTGTCAATGAGTAAACACCTAGCATTTTTTATTCATCCTTAAAAGTAAGTTTAAATTACTATTAGAGAAAAATGTAAATAGGAATGATTAATTATTAATCTGGCTTTAAGTCATTCAACTAGCCCTACATTAGAACAATTTTGAAATCCAAAAGTTTTAGAGCAGAAATCAAAGATTATATTCTCAACCATTTCGTTAGGGAAGTTCAAGAAGAAATGAGTTACAAGCTACTAAAATTTATAAAATTTTGTTCAAGAATGTACGAGGAAGCCTTAAAGGATTTTTAGATGAATAGTGCTAAAAATGATGACGAGGAATATTTTAGAAATTTTATAAGATTGAAAATGGAATAGTCAATTTTGAAAAATTCTAAATGTAAGATTCCTTGGTCTTTATAAGAAATAATTGATGCCTAAAAGTTTGCTTTAAATTTGATTGATTAAGAGATGGATATGGAAAATGAATGAAATATATCATATATATTTAGTTCATTAAGAAAATTATTTATATCTTATTTTTTGTTTTAATTTCATTGAAATTCTATTATTAAAATATATTATGAAACATGATTGGAATATCAAAATAAAGTGTTTTTTATATAAATTTATCATCTATAGTTAATAAATAAGATTAATCAACCTTCTAACATAACTTCTAATTGTTATTCTTAATCTTATTCTTCTATTTATATATATTATTATTTTTTTTATTGTTATTATAATTATTATTGTTATTATTACTATTGCTATTATTGCTGTTAAGTAATTTCAAATGGTTATCCATTCAATTAGAGAGGGACAAATTAGTTTTGAGTATTTTAATTAAATTGATCCTATTAAGGAATTTATTCAGTTTATATCTATTACATATCTGGTTAAATCATAGTAAAAGATGATTGTTAAAATTAGTACTTTTTAATTTGTTCTAAAACCTATTCTTTTGGGATCAAATCTCCTAAAAATGGATAAAGTAAAATATTTTAAGGTTCGACTTAATTTTAATTTTCAGTATTCTATTAAGTTATAAGCCTATAATCTTCTTAGGACATGATGAATTTCTTGTTTGATTCCATCAACTTTGACTTCATACTTTAAGTGGATGGGAACAATTCAGAGGTAGTGTATTAAGATTTGAATTCTTATGAAATTTTTCTAACTTCGAAATCACAATCGTCAGGACTACTGGAGGAAGAGGAGGAACTGCGAATTCCATTGAAATTGTTCAATCTTGATTTAAAAAGAGTTGGTACTTTAATGGTTTTTCTAGAGGAATGAAGACTTCGCAGTTATCCCTGTGTTTATCGATCCATCTCAATCTATCAGCGATCGGTCCTTCCAAAATTTCCTTTGGAACAACAAATACAACAGGAATATCATCAATATTATCTTCGGGAGGTGGGTTTTCAGGTTATACTTAATTCTGCTGTGGTTCTGGTTGTTTTTCCTCTGGAGCTCTGTGGAAAGAAGATGATAATTTATTGATTAATTCAGACGCTCCCCATTTAAACCATTTCGGGAGTTGAAAGAGAGCATTTTTTGTGCCCTATGGTTTATTATGTGAATTCTACTTCAACTGCTGTCTAACCAGCCTGTTAAAGTGGCTCAACGATGTATTTTTGCATTATGCTAGGTCCCTCAACATTCATTTTTTAAACAACAAGAAAATTGAAATTCTTTAATGTAGGCGTTTGATTCTGTTAATGAAAATGATCTAAGGGTCTACTGCTTATTATGTCTATAAATGTTAATTTAGAATTAGTACCTTCATCAAAGTTTTCGAATCCGTCTTAATTCATTTAATTTTTTTATTTAATGGGAGCTTAATGTTGTAACAATTCCTAGTATCCCGAAGATATAGAACCATGTGAAGATGCAGAATCAAAACGACTGGATCCTCGTTAAATTAAAATAAAGTACAATTACAAGAAGAAGTAAAAAGGGATGAATTCTAGTCAAACCACAAAAACACAGGAGAGAACTAAATAGTTGGCTGTGACACTAAAGAGTGGAGGAGTGTATTTGGGCGACTGGATGGGCAATAAGAGGGAGGGCTTTGGAATTTTGAAATGGCCTGATGGTTCCGAATATTAGGGTGAATGGAAAAATAACAAAGCAAATGGACAGGGCAAATTTGTATATCCCGATGGGGATTATTATGAAGGGCAATGGGAGAACGATAAATAAAATGGTCAAGGAACATTCCAATCTCAGAATGGAGGTAAGTATGAGGGGTAATGGAAGGATGATCTATAATAAGGATTTGGGATTGAAACATGGGAGGATGGGAGTAAATATGAGGGATATTTCTACGAAGGGATAAAATAGGGATAGGGTACCTACACGTGGAGTGATGGCTCATAGTATACTGGATTGTGGATAAATAACAAGCGGCATGGTTAAGGGGTATAAATTTGGAAAAGTGGCAAGGAATATTAGGGAGAGTGGTTTGAAGATTATATGTGTGGACAAGGATCAATAAAATGGGGCAATGGTTGTTAATACATTGGGTTATTTAATAAAGACGCTCCAAATGGGTACGGAATATTCAAGTGGGGAAGTATTAGATTTACGTTATTTTAGATGGAAGAAGTTATGAAGGTAGTTTTAAGTAATCTAAGCCTAACGGGAAGGGGAAAGTAGTATTGGAAAATGGACAAACAAGATTTGGGGAATGGTAGGAAGGAAAGCTGTTAAAATGGTACGATAACTAATAGGAAGTGTAAAAGGAGAACTTTGATATACTAAATTTGGAAGATTTGTGAATTCATATATATATACTAATAATCATAATGATGAATGTAAATATTATTGGGGATTGACTGTTGGTGTCTGTCTAGTTGGTATCATTATTAGAATTGTTACTTTGATTATTAGTGTTGTTTGTAAAAGTGGTTCCACATTTTAAGCATTTAGAATTAACAGAATCCCAGGTGTAAGTATATGCTGTGGCCTAAAAGCAGTTACTTTATATTAACGATGCAAATTCCATGGAAATACATTAGGAACTTGTCAAAGCACATAGTTCATAGTTCTTTTACTCGAAATCTAGGATAGGTTGACAAATTCCAGTTTCTTTATATTTGGATGAGCAAGTGTGTTAAGCACAGGCAGTTTAAGTTGATGTTTCAGTCCATTAGCAATTCCATGATTTTTGTGTACAAGCTTCTTTGTTGGATGAGCCATCAGAACAAGATGTCATAAGTTTACAAGCTCCTTCTCCATTGTTTAAATACCATACACATAAACCATCTGATCCACCTTATTTACACGCAATTTCAGTCTCATACTTATCACAAGTTGCTTTAACAACACATCCAATGCCACTGTCTACACAATTAGATATTTGTGAACAATTATCATTTAATTCTGTGCATAATGCAAGTCGACACTTGACAACATTTGGATCATATAAACACTTGCCATCAGTTCCTAATGAAGTGTTGCAGTAATCTTTAGCATAGGTCTCACACTTACCCATAGTAATACATTTAGTATTATCTGTAGTGCAAGTGGATAATTGATCATTGCATTCTTAATGAGTTGTTAATGTTATATATTTGCATTCCAACTGAACACACTTCTTTTCTTTATCATCATAATAGCATTTATTGTTCTTTTAATCGATATTGCAAGTGCTTTATTTTGTATATGAAGTACAATCTTGTAGATCAATACAACTGGCTTCATCAGTAGTGCAAGTAGCATCAACAAGTTAACATTATACATGAGTATTGAAAAAGGCAGATTTGCATCCATCATAGACTTTGCATTTACTTTATCCATTCAAAGAATCAGGAGAATAGACACATCTACCATCTGTACCTTGGTAACAACTTTATTCAGCTAAATTGGCACATTTGTCAATAGCAATGCATGATATACCATCAGTTGTGCATTCATTACTGAAAGAATAGCAGGAAGTGTGATCACTAAATATAAGTGATTAACATGATGTATAAGCATAACAAGCATTGTTAATCCATAAACATGGTCCATCACTTCCATAGAAACATCCACTCTTTGTTTTTAGACTACAATTTTATTAATTGACACATTTTGTTCCATCAGTTGTACATGTACTTTTGGCTGCTTAACATTCTTTATGAGTTGTAAAAGTGTAATCGCTGCAAACTTTATCTCTACATCCGGCAGCAGAAAATTCACATTCGTTTCCATCTTTATCAGTGGTACATGCTGCCTATATTTTAGCATCTTTGCAAGTCCCCTTCTAAATGCATCCCCCTGATTGATTTACTGTACAACCCTATTTATACAGTTGGCATTCCTTCTCTGTCACATATTTACTTGGAGCACTGCTGCATCCAAAATTTACACATCTATTATTAATCCATGCACACTTATTATTGGATGAATCAGTAACACAAGCTTCTTAGATATATGCATCCGTACAAGTTGTTCTAAGAACACAGCCACTTCCATTGGTAGTACATTCACTTTTGAAATTTCTGCAGTCTTAATCAGTTGAATATGATTAAGGAGCATCTGAACATTATAATACATTGCAACTAGGTTGGAATGCACAATTGCGATTATTCTTATCTACTATGCATCCAGACTTTAAAGTATATGAAGTACATATATCAATGTTTATGCAACCTTTTCCATTAGTTGTGCATTTACTGCTGTAAGATTAACAAGCATCATGGGTTGTAAATGTTTTGTCTGCTTTATCGCAAGTTCTATCTGTACATGCGTTATTGTACCATAAACATTCTCCCCCTGTTAAATTTTTGATACAATTAATTTGACTGGTAAATAAGGAACATTTATCATATCTCTCAATGCAACCAGTTTTAGCAACATTTACAGTACAAGTACTTAGATGATTATTACAAGCAGCATCAGATGTTGTTTAATCTGAATTTGCACAAGTTCTCACTTAACATGCATTAGGAGATGCCTTTTTATTCCAAATGCATTTGCCATCTGTTAAACTCTCTATACAATTCTATTCGTATTGATAATCAGAACACAATTATTACTTACTAGTACATCCATCAAAGTTTGTACCTGTGTAACTAACAGTGCAAGATGATAAAAATGTTGTGCAAGCCCTATAAGTATTATATTTGGCTTATGTACATGTCCTGTCAACACATTAAGTTCCATTCCAAAAACATAATTGACCTGATAATGTGAATGTGCATTAAAATGATAGCAAATCGGAACAATTAGTTTTCCTGGCAACACAACCAGCTTGATTATTGTTTATCATACATCCTCCTAAATAAATATTGCATTCATCATCTGTTGATGTTAAAGTGCTAGCAGTATTACATGTCTTTTAAACACATTTATTGTCAATCCACAAACATTAAATGGCATTATTATTAGCCTTATAGCATTATTCTTATTTCAAATATTTAGGACAAGTTAATTCTTAGGTCTAACAACCAGTTAAATCATTCTACACTGTACAGCTAGTCAACCAAGACTGACATTCATTATGAGTATTATATTCATCTCCTGCATTTTGACATGTCCTTAAGACACAAGATCCACTCCAAACACATTACTGATTTTAATAATCTATACTGCATAGCTTTTCTGTAGGGTATGTATTACAAGTTCTGACTCCACATTTATCATTGACCAATGTACATGTAGGCATAAATTTACTGCAATTAGACTCATTATAAGTTGTTAAGACAGCATTGGTACAACTCATACTTACACAACCCGTACCATTCCAATAACATTTCTGAGATTCATCCAATGTTTTTACACATTAATTTTATGTCGTATACAAATTACAAGCAGTTGCTCTTTTAATACATCCAGTATTTGTTGCATTTACAGTACATTCACTCTTAAATTACTAGCATAATTAATCTGTGTTAGTAGTGCTCAATGCATTTTCACATGACCAAACCTTACATCCAGAACTTGCAGTACAATTTTATTGTCCTTCACTACAAGTTATTGAAAACCAAAAACAGATTTATCCATTAACAGACACACATTGACCTTCTTTAGTGTAATTTTCACATGATGAAGGACTGTCTATACAACCTGCCATATTCTCATTCACTGAGCATGTACTCATATATTATTTGCATTGTGCTTAAGTATTATATGTTGTTGGAGCATTGACACATGTTTTCTCTTTGCAGGCTGCATTATCCCAAAAACATGAATTCCCCAAAGAATTTACAACACAACCCTTTTCTGTGTATTTAGTACAATCATCTTCAATGTTTATGCAACCACCTGTTTCTTTGGCTGTGCATTTAATGGATTTAAGTACTCCCATAGATTAACATTTTTCATGTGAATCATAAGTGGTTGGAAATTGATCACATGATGCAATCTCTTAGCATTTACTATTCTAACTATCCCAAAAACAAGGGTATTGTTAAGTGTTAATTTGACAGGCTATTTAAACCAAATACTCGTCACAAGTTGCACTTACAGTGATACACTTTTCTCCGTTACTTGTACATAAGGGTGAGATGGCCTGACAATCAGCGTGCGTTGTAGCAATATAAACTGTACAACCACTAAATGGTTTACACTTTTTATTGTAGAATGCACAACCTGTGATTGGACAGGTGGTGCTCTGAGAACAGTAGGATTCAATATCAGTTGATTTACGAGTTTCACAAAGACCAGATACACTATTCCATTGACAATCATTTTATGTAGCACAATCATTTTAACTCAAAATTTGTTTGCAAATACATGCATCTGTCTTCGTTAGAGTTCCTGCGAACACATAGGAAATTGAAAACAAAAGTAGGATTACAATAATTTTCATTAATAAAATATAATTATATTTGAAATCTTATGATGACACCTTTATATCTGAGAATTGAATGTTAATTTAATGCTAATCCTGTTGAGGGGAATGCTGAAATCAATTACAATATGGTATAACTAGAACTAAGCAATTAAGAACATATTAGTAATATTGATATTACTATAAAATTCAAATAAAAAAAGAGATCCAATTTACTCGAAAATCACATTCATTATTCTTTCACTAATTTTATAGAATTAGCATTAAAACTCCCATAAAACTAGTAAGGACATAGCCATATCTCCCTAAGGAATTACTAGTAAACCTATTAATCAGTTATACATCTCCCCAGCAAAATGATGAATCATTTTAATCTCAGTTACGAATGAAGGTATATTAGCTTAGACAATCAAATCAAAAACTAGTTCATTGAATTTATCGGCATCAACATTCTTGATCTCTTTAGTCAACTGTTGAGCTGCCATATCTAAAACTTAGAGTTTTTCCTTTGGTGATCTTTTAGTAACAATGCTCGATAGAATTGCGACTGCCTTTTCTTGTTTGTTTTGAGATCTTTTCTTCTTCTGAATATATGTTCGATAGGCAATTATCTTGCTATGTAATCCTTTGTCATATTGCTATTTGACAAAATCATAAAACTACTCGTTTCCAAACAATTCATCTATGATGAGCATCTTAATTTCATCAATTGTAAAGGTTGATTTGTAGAATCTTAGAATGAGATCAGCAAAGAAATGTATGAATTGGTTAATTTCCAATTTTAAATCAAGATGACTAGATGATAGAGATTTTACAATTTACAAATCAGTTGCTTTTATGAAACTCTAAGCTAATTAGGAGTGTAAACTATTATCTGATACAATGATAGAAGTCGAAAAAAATGAAATCTTCATTTGAGAATGAAATAACATTTCCTTGGAATTTTGGACGAAGCTATAAAATATATCACTCAACATTTGATTTTTGATATGCAAATGTTGCTGAATAGTTTAAAGAGTAGGCGATACTCTGTATTCATTTAATAAAGGCATGTTATTGTAATCTCTATTGAGGATCTCATTAACTCGAGCATGCCAACTAAAAGAGAGGAATTACTTCACTAATATCTGGAATTGTCATTATACATTCTGAACCAAGGGTTTGTGATTATCGCTATTATTCTTCCTAATTACAACATATATTCTTATTTCCCATTAATTAATTAACGAACATGAATAATCTTCAATGCCTCAATCACAACACCGCCAACCCACTTGATAATTACATCATAGGTGCATAATTTAAACTATATAGAGCAGTCCATTGGAAAGGGAACCTTTGGTAAAGTCTATAGAGGTCTCCATAAACCCACTCAATAATTTGTAGCCATCAAGATTCTTGAGAAGAGCAAAATAGAACAACCTGCAGACTTCACAAGAATCCAAAGAGAAATCCATATTCTTCGTAAACTTCGTCATCCAAATGTTGTTTAACTTTATGAAATCCTTGAATCTGAAACTAAAATCTATCTCATCATGGAGTTTATCAGTGGAGGTGAACTATTCCAACACATCGTTAAAAGCAAACGACTCCCAGAGAATGAAGCTGCAGCACTCTTTTCATAAATTATCGAAGCCATAGAATATTTGCATTCTCTTAAAGTAGCCCATCGAGATCTTAAACCTGAAAATTTACTCCTTGAAAATAACACCTTAAAAGTCGTTGACTTTGGGCTCAGTAATATATACACTGATCTACTTTAAACTCCTTGTGGTTCTCCCTGTTATGCTGCTCCAGAAATGGTTTCAGGCATCTCATATTCAGGGATCAAGACAGACATCTGGGCAAGTGGCATAATCCTATATGCTATGCTTTGTGGATATGTACCCTTTGAAGATTCAAACACCAGAAAACTTTACGAGAAGATCAAACATTCAGATTTCCAGAAACCCTCTCATCTTAGTGTCCAAGTAGTAGACTTATTGTAGGGATTATTGAACAAGAACCCTTTAAATAGATTGAGCATATCCAAAATTAAGATGCATCCCTTTGTAAGGTAATCATAATTATATTTTATAAGCAAATACTCCTACTCTATTCAAATTCATCGCACTTTAGCAATCAATTCAAACATAATCAAATAGTTACAAGCAGTTGGAGTTGATAGTGAAAAATGCAAAGAAATGATCATCAATAATAAACACAATCCAATTACTACTACCTATCACCTTTTAAATAAATATCAGTAACCAGCTTAGTCAACCTAGAGAGTCAGAACTCATTAGAGCATAAAATCAGTTGTTGATAAACCAAGTAGTTCAATAGAAAGAAAACCTAATCCAAGTATTTATCATAACAAAACTAAATCTTATGAGAATAACTACACTACTGCTATGATTATGAAAAGAGCATATGATAATCGGATTTCAGCAAGACCTAAATCGACTGAAAGAAGGATTAGCACTGAAAATGATAGATGGGAACGCATTAAAACTTAATATGAAACAAAAGAAAATTCTTCAAGAAAAACTCACATGTCAAGACCAAGTAAATAGCCTGTTATGTATGCAGAATATAAATTGAAAACAGAAAGAATTATGTGATTAATATATATATTATAAATGAAGAATTAAATTTCTAGTTTCATCCTCAAGACCTACAACATTTTAGAAGTACTCAAGATAACATATTTAGAATAATATGTATGAGGATATAATTAGTTGGAATGAAGATGGACTCTCTTTTACTGTCAAGAATATAAGCCAATTCTCATCGATTGTTCTACCCATCCACTTCAAGCATTAAAATTTCTCTTCCTTCATTAGATAGGTAGTTCTAATCTCTATATTGAGTTAAACATGTATGATTTTCATAAATCCAGAGGAGGTAGCCCAAATGAATTCAAAAATGAATATTTCCAAAAAGGCAGAAAGTATACATCAAATTAATTAGGGATCTACTTTATTAAATCAAACGGAAATAACATAATGAACTTATGCCTTCAGATATACCAGTACAAAATGATTCTTCAGATTAACTCAATCAAGTAACAACTATAAATTATTAATAAAATTATAGATCTCCTAAAAATGCAATTATTTGCATAATCTTTGTTCTTCACTTCTAGAAAGGAACCATAGAGTAATTAAGGATAACAAAACTCTCTAAAAGAATCTTATCAACCATAGTAGGCTCTAATTTTAAGATGAATTATAGCAGCCAGAATAATTGTGTATAACAAATGAAGAACTTACAAATAATGTTCAATGATAAGCAACTTTGTATTTTATTATAAATTTGTGTAAGCTAGGAAGTTTACAATTTTCAATATTTTAGCATTCTTCAAATCTTAAATTCGAATGTATGAATAAATTAAGAATTTAAGATCTTATTGCAATTCAAAATATCAACAAAAAAATATTATTCTAAAATAATACTTTTTATTATTAATTCTGCTTCCAAATTTTATTTCAGAGGATAGACTTTGTTTATCAAATTAGAATATAAATATAAAGATCATAATAAATAATCTCATTAATAACATGATTAGCCGATTACTCATAATTTTGGTAATGTTACTTGATATAATTAATAGAGATCTATAAAATGTCTGTAACTATAGTTCTTTCTGATTTTCTATACTCATCTTCTTATGCGCATAGTAACAATTATATTATATTGTTAAGGATGATATTTTCATCGTTTTCTATAATTAAATTTAAATGTTTGCTATTCATGAGGTAATAATTCCATTTTACTTGGATTTGAGCTTGTTATACATTTTAAATATTTCTTTAACGAAAATTGATTTGGAATTGTTTTTATTTATAAAATGAAATTGAACCTGATATTCTCTTGAAAAAGTATTTAGTTATAAATGTTTTATTATAGTTTTAATGAAATGAAATTTAATGAATTTTGCTGCTATTATATTATAATAAGTATATTGATTTTAAAATATGCAGTCAGAGTCAGTAAGACAGAAGGCTATCAGATATATTAATGAACTATAGACAGAAGACGATGATTAGTTTCTTCCATATAAATAAGAAAGAGATCATGTTGGATTATTATTGAATACCAATAGAAAATCAAAATCTACCAACTAATTGAACACCAGGGCTAGAATCAAACATATTTATAGTTTGGCTTCAATCACAAAACAATAACCGTCTTAATCAACTAAATAAAATGCTGTTTCTAACCATAAAAAAGAAAGCAGTGCTCATAATTTAGATTTATCCCTTCTTGTCAACTTATAACCTCCATCAACAGAAGAACAAGCCAAAGCTAAGCAATATAAAGAGATGATGGAAAAGAAAGCTCTTTTAGAAATGTATGAGAAGAAAAAAGATAGTAAAGCTATGAGTCCTGTTTTAGAACAGATGATTGAAAAACTCAATTCAAGTATAACGCAAGATAAATTTATTTGGAAGATGAGCAATGTGGACAAGGGTAAGAATCTTGGCTATTTGTTTCATGAATCAAAATTAAGAAAACACAATCACAAAATTTAGAAGTTGCAGCCATCTCTCCCTAATTATGAACCAAATTACTAAGCGATACTACCGAAATCAATATCAATTCTTATTAAACCTAGTGAGAAACCTTCTTATTCTCAACAAATCTAAGAATTTATAAGAAAAAACCAGTTAGATAAGGAATCATCTAAACAACCCTAGACTACAATTTCTAAAAAGGATAATACTCTTGAAAAAATGTATAGCGTCATATAGAATCAAATTACAAGAGAGGTTAACTAATCGCTTATATCAAATCCTCAATCGATGAATCCGTTGGAAGAGTTTAGTGCTAAACCTATTGAGGATACTTATATTCAACAATTTCATTTGCAAGTAAAATAAAAAATGAAGGAAACCAATAGGGCCAGGAAGAATATACAGAATAAAATACAAGAGTTTGATTCTTATTTATAGAAACATAATTGATATCAAATATGACTCTTATTAGCTAAGTTTCTTTGATCAATAAATCGATAGACATTTTTATTTTCTTTATAATAAAGTTTAAAGCACTTTCAAATTTTATTTCTTAAATATCACTTTTTATACATATAATTTATTAAGTAGAATGTCAGAGGAAGAATCTGATTAAGTCTTTGAAGAGGGACCATCAAAGAAATGTAATTGTAAAAACTCAAAATGCATAAAACTCTATTGTGAATGTTATCAAAACAAAGTATTTTGTGATAATAATTGTCATTGTCATAATTGCTTTAATAATTCATCAAATGCTGTAACATTCAAATAATAGGATAGAAATAAAGATAAAAGGCCATGTAATACACATTAGAAAAAAACCCAAGTGCCTTTTAACCCAAGATTAGCACTTCTGATTCAAAGCCAGATCCATTAAATTTTGGAAAGCACAACAAGGGTTGTCAATGTAAGAAGAGCGGTTGTATGAAAAAATATTGCGAATGCTTTCAAGCTAAGGTGCCGTGCTCAGATTAATGCAAATGCATCGAATGCAGAAATTATGGGTTCTTAACTAAAGAACATTTTATAAGGGCAACTAGAGGCGATGAGGATGATTTTTTATGTAAGACACTTTAAGTTAATTAGATCAATTGCTATTGACTAAGGACTAAGATCATTTATAATCAGTGCTTTCATATAAAAAACCATTATTTGAGCAAAAAGAAATTGAAGATGTTAGTAATTAAATAAAAAAAATTATCTCAAATAATGAATCAGATCCTATAGATCCTATACTTGATGTTTTTATTAAATTACTAAAAAACGCCTCTGATTGATACACATTAATAAATCTATACAGTTTTCATATTTATAACAATTCCTTCCATGCTTCATAAATTTAAATACAATTCAAAATTATATATTTTAATTAATACTTCAAAACTCTATATACTCATTTAAAGTCCACCTGAATATTGTGAAATTATAATAACAGTTCAGATTTTAGAGAGTGAGAAAGAGGGGTGGGAAAAAAATTGATAATGGATAATTATTTAATGATAATAGAAAATTTTTTTCTTCAAAGAAATATAAAGATATACTCTTTTCTTTAAATTTTGTATTAATAGTAATTTTATGATTTGAAACACTGTTGTGAATTCAACTAGAAATTTCATAGAGTTTGATCAAAAAAGACATAATTTTAATACTTATATCTTGCCCAGCATTAACCTTTTGAAATTGTCCAGAATATACATACAGAAATAACAATCAATCGAAAAATAGATTGATAAATACTCATATATTTATATAATAGCATGTTATATTCGTTATTAATCCTAAATCAATGATATAAATGCAATCATATTTTTATGAATTATAAACTTATGTAAATTTCAGATCCATTATTCATTTTTCAAATGCAAGTACTGATGCACAATCAAAACGTTACTGATTTTGAATAGTCTTGAAATCAAATATAGAACTCTAAATTTTTTGTATAATGGTTATTAACATCTTAATATATTTATATAATTGAAAAAGACAAAATTTATAAATTCTTAAGAAATATGTTCTATTTGTACTAAGACAATCAGTTATCATTTAAACAAATTTGACGAATTAATATATTAGGTTTAAAATACATTATGTTTATTTATAGATTCATTATATATTATTCTCACAATTTATTATTTCTTCTAATAAATTTACTAAAATTTTGTTATAATCTCTGTTTTCTATATTGTATGCATTTAATCCCAATTTTAATAATTAAATTAGCCATTTACTAACAATTTTCTATTGTAAATTAATCTTTAAAATTGGAAACACATTTTCCATAAATAAAACTTAAGACTTGCTTATGATAACTTAGGATTCTGTATATCTTAGTTATTCTAAGCTCCCATTCAAAGTTTCAAGTTTATAAACAGGTATCTATAATCCATTGTATCCATCAGTAAACCTTTGAATTAATTGTTCAATAAAATCTAATGGTTAGGATGTAAGTTAAACAATTACTTTTGCTGAAATAAATTCTTAATTAATAAAACTTAATTAGTTAGTTATACTCTGATTATCAGATAGCTCATCTAGCTCTTCAGGTCCATTCTTTGCTCTATTCCATTGCATAGCCCATTATTCTAGAAAGTATCTCATATAGAAATGAGTATTAAATTTCTTACACTTTTAATATTGTTCATTGAATATTGTTAAAATTTATTCCTTATTTTATTAGGATATTGAATTTTTATATTGAATAGCTTACACCTCTAGTATTTCTAAACATTTTTATTGAATTGATTATTTAGAAGTGCATTCATAAGCATTAATTTTAAAGCTAAACTTCTTTGGTCGTATGTCCTCCTTTAAGAGCTCATCCAAAGGCTTTTGAAAATCTTCATCTAAATTAAAAGCCTCAAATAATTCATTAGGAGAACATTGTTATAAAAGGTGCTATATTTATTCAATCACAACAAGCCAATTTTCTTCAGTAAAGGATTAGCCTCCTTGCTTAACAATTGTTTTTAGAGAATCTAGACATAAAGTTGAAAGAAACTTAAAATAAATTAAAAATATTACATCTTAGGTTTACAACACCAGCTAAATATATATATCAATTAAGTCATTTAAGCAAGGTTACATTTATTAGATATAAAGGACTACTAAATCAGTGAATAAATTAAAAGTCATTTTATAAGCTGAGATTACTTACTATTTAGTTTAAGATTGTTTTATGAATTACATCTTAGAAAATTAAATCTCATCAAATAATGGCTTGATCACACCTCTCAAAATCATCTTCCAAAATTCATTGGATTATTATGCCCCATGGATTTTCAACAATTCAAATAAGGTGCTGACACTTTATTGTTGTACAACTACTCTATCATCACTATATAATACAGAGAGAGCAGATAAAACTGGAATCCATAATTAATCTAAATATTTGTTATCATTCTTTTTAATCAAAACAATGTGATCAACTAATATTTTCAAATATTTGATTGCATTTGTGACTATACTAACATCTTTATTTTTAGTCAATTTTATGAGGGCTTAAATTAGTTCCATAAAAATCTCAGAATAAACCTATTAATTGCCCACATCTTCCATTATTTTATCTGTAATCTACACACATAATCTAACCAATTACTATTGATCATCTTACAGAGCTTGATTAATTATACTCATAATAATCTTCCATCCACTTTTAATTGAATTGAAACAAATATTTGTAATCATACACATACAAGATAATAAATACTCTCTCAATTAAGTCTTATGCATCTATTAAGCCTAAGTGTGGCTAAATATTTATTCAAATGGTAACAGAAATTCCTTTTGGAAATGATAATTTGTCAGTTCAGGTTATTACAAGAATTTACAACTTAATTACTTTAATTAATCAATTGCATATATTGCAAGGTCTACGTTTTTAAGACATCCCACTTCAAGGAAATGCTCTCTCATGATTTCCCACATTCTAGACCAAATAATTTTAATTCTATTCATATTAAAATCAGCCACCTCAATTACTCTACTCAATAAGAATACTCTATTGTATTTAATTTCCTCTTTTGATAACTCACATAAAGCACTGATAAATTCTAAAATAGAGTTGGAATCCAAATTGATTGAACTATTAAATATTTTATCAATCTAATCATATTGTATTTATTAAAACAATCTTTCAATACTAATCATGTCTTCTTAATTATAATTCTCTTTGTAAGGTGAGTCAACCTTTATTTTCTTTACAACCTAATGTAACTATTCCAATCTTGAAATTAGTAACAATACTAGCTTCCAACTTTTACGTAAATATTATCCTGATTATAGACTAACTTTAATCAAAGTTTGAACACCTAATATTTATTTGTAAGTGCTTGGAATATTCGTACAATATCTATATAAAAAACTTATAAATGTATCCTTCTCTTCATCTAAATCGAATCTGCCCATTAATTAAATAAATGCTTGAATTGTTTCGAAACATAATAATATTTATTATTGATCTTCAGTCTATTCTAAAAATACACTTATTGACGCAAAAATTACGCTCCAAGTTTATTGTAATAAAGATTTCATATGTTCTATTGTATTTACATAGTAGAATGCATCTTAATTTGGATGCTCTTTAAACCATTTCTTTAATGCATCTTCTGCCTCCTTAGCTAACATAGCATGTCTTCTTCTTTGATCAACTTAATTTGCTTATTCTAATGCTCTCCTAGCCTATTCTTTTGCATGCAAAGCCAAAGGTGTCTTTTAAATCCTTAAATAGAAACCCTACAACAATTCTTAAGGCAAATTTTCCCCATCATTGATTCCTCTAGCTAAATTGTTGAATTGGGCTAGAGTCATTTTCTCTAGATTTTTCTCATTGTGTAAATCAGTTTACAACATCATCAATAAGTATGAAAGGGTGTAGGCAGCTTATGCCGACTAATATATTCCAGGGTTATCAACGCAATACTTTGAAGCAAATTTTTCCATTATCCTATCTATTTATTATGATTCTCCAGGTAAAGTGAAGAATTCTAACATATATCTCAAACCTTCATCTACTTATAATCCCTTAAAATTCATAATGTCTACATATAATGAAAACACCTTCTAATCAAATTCATTTGAACTACCAAATAATTCTCCCAGTTTATCTTTATTTAAGTCTCTGTTTTCCCATAGAAACTAAGCAAATAATTTAGGGTCTCTGTTTTCCATATATTAACAAGCTATCAAATGCTTTATACAGTGTTCAGGTTTAAAATTAAATTTTTGAACAGCCTTATTCATTTCTAATTTCATTTATTTCTACTTCTCAAGTGGATCCTAAGGCAATTACTGTTATTAGACAATTGAATCATCCAATTCATCAATTGATTGAATTTAAACCACATTTTGAGAATCTTCATATTATTCAGAATATTCTTTTAAACTTCTTACATATCCACAATAATTATCTAAACACAAAGCTTTTAGATAAATCTCTTGATTTATAGATATTGAAGCTTAAAATTCTTGCTTACTGAATCTTCCCTGAATAATCCGACATTACATGTCTAGAATTTTCTTAAGTAGATTATTCTGACCCACAGAACAATCATAGTTTACAAATATCTCAATTACCACTTTTGGACGAGTTAGTATTTTATTGAAAACCTTCAAAGTGTATTACTTATGATCAAAAGAACTGTTGCTACTCTCCAAAAATTTAAAATAAACATTTTCAATCAAGGCTTCTAGTTCTTTTTTCATATGGCTTCTCACTTTCCAGATCAACTAAATGAAAATGTTTAAAGTCAAAATAAGTAGTTGTTTCTCAGCAGATAGAGAATTTTTGAGCAATGATTCTAACAACTATTCTTTTAATATTGATATCAATTTAGGTTTATTTTATAATACAACATCGCTCTGAGCTAAAGCCTCGTAGATTAATTCTAAGGACAAGACCTTACATTTGATAATCATTTAAGCTAATTATGGATTTTAAGGTTCTTTTTGACTTAATTAGCAAAGCATTTCTAAAATTTCATAAGCATCCTTTACATATTATTCGCTAAATGTAGAATGTTAATGAGATTAAGAAAAGTTAAACATTTGATTTAAATGTATATATTTACATTCTTTGCTACAGATGGGTACTTTTGTCTGTTTACAATATTATGATGCTTGCTTTCTGCAATTAATGCACCAACCAAATTTTCCATTTTTTATGTTCAATTCATTGACTAAATTAATTTAGATTTAATTTTTATCAATGGTTACGTTTCTTATATTGGGTTCATGCAAATTCAAATCAATCACCTTCATTTTACTTAAATCATCTAATTGCTTTTCATAAATAGATCTTCTTTCGCTATAAATTTACACTTCATCAACCATTGATGTTAACTGAGATTTCATATATTATTCAGCATTAACTAAAGCTTTACATTTTCCAAAAACTAACTATCCCTAATTAACTTATTATTAAATGGCTAATTAGTATTCCTCTTCTGCAAGAGTGCCATAATCCTCAAGTCTTGCAAAATAAGAGCTAACGATTTTCTAGCAAGCCTCTTTACTAATACTTATTATTGCAACTATTTTTGAAACTAATCAAACTATTAATGTTATTGTTTACCTGAATGCAGATTTATTAATAATGAAAAAACTCTTGTGACAGCTTCCCCATAAATATAGTGCTTTCTATTAGTCATTATTGCTTGTATAGCTTTTATCATATATATTTAAACAGTCTCCTCCTTCTCCAATTAAGTTTTCATTACCAACTCTAAAGTTATTTCTATTGCTCTCTTTTCTCCTATGATTTGTTCTCCAGATAAATAACCTGAATCCACAATGTTCTAAAATAATTAAAAGGAAATACTTTGATATCAAATAATGCCAATTCAATCAATTTAACTTATTTAGATTCAATACAATATTAATACACCTTTATTAAGTGATTTGCATCATAGTAATCCTTAACCTCTTTTAATAATAAATTAATTTACACTAAGCTTCATCTATGGTCTATTTTAATTCAAACTATTTTTTTGTAATTGCCTTTTTGATTTTGTCTAATGACTGATTGATCAAATCACTTAAACTTAATGACATTTTTTTTTAAATAAAAAAAATTATAATTCCGTATTTATATTATTCAATATAGAAAGTCTCATAACATATAATGAACAAATATGAATTTATGATTTATAATTAAATGATTATCGATAATTATTAAACTCTGCGTTTTGTTTTTCACTAAAATTATCGATTTTGTATCCAGAAATATTATGCTAATTTAGATTTGAAAATATACATTATATAGAATTCCTCCTTAGCATCATTGAACGCTATTAAATAAGCTCATTGTTTTCATCATCTTCCATTGATATGTATCTTGCATCAAAATTATCTTCATTTTACTAAAATAAAAATATTTAATACATTAGGAATGTATGGAGATCTCAATTCTTTATTCAATAATTTTTAACATGAAAAATTCTTAAACCAGGAATACTGTCATAGTTCAAGAGGACCATTAAATTCTTATCGATTTGCAGATTTGGTTATATAAGCTTTTAAATGTATTGTAAATGATACCCTATTTATAAAATCTGCTGACTCTAATGACAAATTATAGTGCTAAAGTTCATATTCATAATATCAAAAATTTCAGATCTTTTTTTTGAACTTATTTAGCTAAAATTTGATTTCTAATCTATTTTCTTGAACGACCAGTATAAGGTCTCTAGTTATTCATGAACATCGCTTACTTTTCCAAACATATATTCATATCCAATAACTCCAAAAGCAAAGTAATATACAGCAAAAGTAAGGTTCTGTCTACACATTACTTCAGGGGCTAAGGATATATGTAATGATCATGCCCATATATCCAGGCGTTCCTGACATATCCTATTAATTATAAGGCTTTAAATTTTCTAGCTATTCGAAGATCGGTTATTCTGGCATACCCTCATTATCTTCTTAGTTTTGACCATTTTTATCGAGCACTAAATTTTCTGGTTTGATGTCTCTATGTAGACTATTTTTAGAATGCATAAATTCTAACCCTAAAAATATACATGCTTTAAAAAATCGTTAAATTCTAACAAATTCATACTTGGTTGATCTTTTGAAAATCTTCTCATTTTACCTATATGATATCTTAGTTCTCCTCTTGCATATAATCTAAAACCAAGAAAAGATTATCACGATCTTGAATTGCATAATGGATATTAACTAATAATCTATATTTGATTAAATAATTAAGGATGTTTTAGATTACTAAGTATGTTCCTTTCATTCATAACTGAGTTAACACTATTTTTTCAATAAATCTAAACTAAATCAATTAACATAAAGTGCTTTTGACATTTCTTTCATTGCATATATATAACCATTATTTTTTGTATTCTACCTTCCAAGCTTTACCAAATCCACCAATTCCAAAAACAAAAATAAAAATTAAACATTTTCTTTTATACAATTGGCTCATTAATATCTAAAAATAACAAAATAGAGTTTAATATCCTTTTCTTCTTCCTCAATAGTCAAGCAGTAACAAATGCAATTTATTTTGGCTATTATTTTGATATCAAAGACTTCTTCAAATGATTTGCTGATGATTATTGGCTAGATGGTTATGCGAATTTTATAAACCATGTATTTAAATCCCTAAAAATTTCCCATATCTATCAGTAAAATGGGGTCGAAATATTGGCTTATTATATAGATTATTGTACAATAAATAGTGGTGGTTTCATCTGAATTTCTTTAATTGATTTTTTTAAAATTGTTAAATCTTTTAGGATATAATTATCTTATTTAAATTAAACATATTTAGGATTGGTTAGTATTTACTAAATCAATTTAATTTTGTGTATTTGAACGAATTAATTTCCTCCCAACAAGCCTTTTAGAAATTAACAAAAAAATCCAATAAGCATATTTACATTTCTTCTTGTAAATTATGATAAATATGATAGATTTTGTTGTTAATTTTTAGAAGTCAGTATGAATTAATTTTACCTTAATTAGCATCATTAAAAAACTTAATACGCAAATTAATTCGAGGCAAAAAAGGAATGATGTTTATATTTATAGTTAAAACTAATGGCTGCAGAATTTGTTATCTAATTTAAACAATTACAAGAATCATAATGAATAAGAAACACTACATAAAATCCTCTTTAATAGTAGCCATATAGCTTAACAACAACTAGAAGCATTAGATCGTTTCCTTAAATAAGAAAATAGCCTTTGATTTAAATAAAGAATTTACACAAAATAGACAAGCTAAACCAGATGTATCACAACGAGAAAAAAATTTAAAAATCAGATAATCTCTAAGGAAGAAATTGGAATTTGCAGCAACAGCTAAAATTATCTGAAATTGTGTAAGAATTAGGATTGTATCACAGCTATGATGACAAAAATGATGAAGTGTTCTAACTTCAGATACAATCAAAAACTACCTCAAATAATTATGCAAAGTTTCTGAAAGAGGCTAGGTTTATCCAATTTCGTTCAATTTGAACATATCTCCAACTGCTTATGACAAATAATAAACCAATGATTATTTAATCAGATCGACCATATGATTTCGTTACTTAAAGATTCTGAAGTAAGAGCAACAAGACAAGTTTCATTAAAAAAAATTTACCCTCAAATCAAGAGTAATATTAATTCAACATCCTTTAGCAACTCAACAATACTCAAAGTTGCTTTATGTAGGGAACATTAGCAAATTAGTTAAGATGTCAAATAAAAAAGAAAGAGGAAATTATAGATGTCATTTCATCGATTTTTTTCAGTGCTAACGACACAATCAACTGAGTACAACTATACTAGTTTCTAAGACAGAGAAAAGTGTTGGAAGATGAAAGTGAAATTTTTTCAGAAATTTGTCCTTTCGAGGCTGATTAAAAAGAAACAGAAATATGGTCAAGTTGGAGTAGTACAGATTTCTCCTATCTCGCCTCAGCTTTTTAACATCTGCTTGTAGAATTAAAAGAACAGAACCAGAATCTGAGAAGGATTGGAGGCAATAGCTAAGAGATGTCTCTTCAATTCAATAAAAAGACATCAGCAGTAATCCTAATAAAAATCACACCAAACTAAAAGAAACTATGATAAATTTTCATCTTTGCAGAGAAAGTACGCTTATTCAGAAATAAGTATCAAAGACAATGGTAAAATGAAAGAAAAATATTACTTAGCTTCATCCATGGCACTAAAGGTCTTAGTTTTTTTTCTATGTATTTAACTGGAGTTTCCCAATTCCCACTTTCTTCCTGACATCAAACCAAGACTACATTTACTCAGATGGCCAGGTAATTAGAGCCATTCCTGCTAGATACCATTTAAGGGTTCTTAGAAATTTATTTCACTCTTTAAACCTACTCCGAATTCAAGAACAGATTTGAAAGCCATTAACTGGATATTTAGGAAATAAATCTGCTCAAAGTGTCTATCCAGCTTCTTCATCTATTTACTCCAATATAATAATAAAAAAATAATAATAGTTATAACAATAACCATAATATTCCCCCATATGGAATCTGATATTTTTAGAATTTTGATTCGCAACTTTATAACAATTCATGATTTTCTACCTAACAAAACTAAAGTAAGAGGCGATCTATCACAAATTTATTCATTTAAGCGGTTTTCGATTTACATAACTTCTGAACTTGTTTAACTCTCTAATCACTTATTAACCTTATTGTAATTAGAAATTATTAATTTATCAAAATACTCTCTTTGAAAAAATTATAAAAGTCTCAACAAATTCCCAAAATATTATATAAAATAATTTCGATTTTTATGAAATCCATCTTTCTCTATTCTCAAATTTGATTAATTTTTTATCAAAATCTTGATGATAGATTTATTATATCTTTTAAATTATAATGAGTTTCAAGATATAAAGAGTAACAATAACAACCCACACAAGAATTGAAATTTTATAAACTTAAAAAACAAAACAATTAGGAATATTTTAATATTTTATAATTATTAAATTGAATTGAAAAAGTAATAATAATTAGGAGCTAAATATTGGTAGAATAAGAAAAATTATTCAATTGTGGTTGCAATAAATATATCATATTGTGAACATAAACTCACTTGTTTATTTTAGTTCTTAAATTTTAAGTTCAAGCTAATCTATATAAACGGATTATTCCTGTATTTTTTAGGAATAGCTTATTAATTAATCTTATTTAAACTTAAGAGTCATTTCGAGGTCTTTGTTTTTTTTCAGGTATTCATCGCTCATTAATGCTTTAGATCTCAACTCCTTTATTTATTCAAACATTTCATCTTAATGATTTGATAACTCAGATATTTGCTCTAAATATTTTCTTTCTAGTTTTTCTTTATAAATTTTTATTTATGCTTCTTTTTCTTAAAACATTTTTATTTCTTGTTTTAAATTTAAAATCTCATTGTTTAAATTTTCAATATCTTTTCTTTACTATATCATTTTTGCTTTTTATGTCGCTATGTATTCATTAGGATGTTCGTCTTCAAGCAATCCAACTTACTAACATAAGTTTTATATGGCATCATTCTAATGTTTAATTTTTTTTTCTAATTCAGTTTTTTGCTTATTTATTTCATCAACCTCCATTAATTTTGCTTAATCCTATTCCCGTTCTATTTAAAGAAAGTTAATTTTATCCTCATATTAATGAATCGTGTTTTGGAGATCTGATTCTTATTATTGCAATTATTTTATTTCATTTTCTAAGACAGTTTATTAATTCATAGTTTATTAATTTTTCAACTAAAGTTGTTCGACTTAATCTTTAATTAAAGAATATTATTGGGATAATTGTTCATATTCTAATTTTAAAGTTTCTAATTCTTTAATTAACTATTATTCTTTTTCTTATTACTCAGATATGTGATTCTCTGAAACCTAAGAAAAATCCTCTAAATTTTAGATATGTTCTTTAAGTTCTTCGATCTGTTATTGAAAATTTTTTTCGTTATTTTCATACTATTAAATTTTCTGATTTTATTAATTTACTTCTTCTTAAAGTTAGGCAATTAGGGAAACATCCTAATTTAGTTAATTTTTAAATTCAAATGTTTCCTATTTGTTATTTTCTTCAAATGAATTGTGCTCCTACTATTTCTCATTTAAGACTTGCCTATTCTCTAGGTTTATCAAATTAATGCATTCCTCTTTTTCTTTTAAAATGTTTTGATCTTATAATAGTTAGGAATTCATTTATTCATTCGCATTCTTAAGGCTATTTATTAATAATTCTTTTTCTTCTATTAAATTAGATTAGGCTTAAATTTATTATTCTAATTAACTGATATATTCTTATAAGTGTTGATTTGTATTTTCTAATTTTTCATTTTAATTTTATAAATTTACTTTTTCTTCTTGAATTTAGTATAATGAATTCAGTTCTTCCTATTAATTATTATGATCCTATTTTTAAGTTACCTCCCACTATTAAAGTTCTTTGACTAATTTAGATATTTCTCCATTAAGTTCATCTATTTAAGATTTCAGCTGTTAATTTTATTCAGATGATTTTTAGTTAGATTCTTTTTCAATATGACACTACTCCTATAAGTTCTTTAACTCAATTTCCCTTTAATCATGATTAATTTAAAAGCTAGTGTTTTCTTCAATGAGTTAATTGTTTGCAATATTTAAGTCATAATGTGCTTATTATAAAGCTTAAATTTCACTAGTTTTTTAATCTAGTAACTTATTTAACTCTAATGAGTCGGCCTAATTTTTATTTAATGTTTATTCGGCTTCTTAAATAGATATAAGTTATTATGCAATTTATTATTAGCTTAGTTAATTTTCAGATTTTAGATTTTCTAAATGTTTATTTAATTCAATTTTTTATTCCTCCATATTGAGGATTTCAGCAGTTAATTGCTAAATTAATACATTTTATTCCAATAATTTATTTTATTAGATCAAATTTTGATCTTTTTCAGCCACTATTTGATTTTATTGAGTAGTAACTGATAATTATAATTGAGAAATTTATGCATGAAGATCATTTAATTAATTGTCTTTATTTAATTGATGTTCATTTTATTATTATTCTTTTTCGTATTGCATGGAATGAATAAGATTTGTATTTTCCAACAATTAAGCTTCTTATTTTTATTTTTCTTTGATTAAATTTTCATTCTCCTAAAGTAATTTTTAATAATCATTTGTTACTACTGATAAATTTTATTGCAATTAATTGATTTAAGTGACTAATTCTTTATTTAATTAATCCTATTATTATACTAAATCATTTATTTTAACATCATATTGCTATTATTATTGTTCAAAAGATAATTGTAAATTTTCTAACTCAAGATTTTGTTGTTTTTAAGCTAACAATAATTCATTCTCTTTTGTATCTTTCAATTAAATTTATGAGGTTAAATGGTCAATTGTTGAAATCATTTAAGTTTGTTTGTCTTTGAATTCAATAGATTAAATTTCATTTTGATATTCTGATTGCACATGTAATAATTTGAGTTCTTCTATTTCAATGATTTTTAACCTTTCTTACTCCTCAAATTTTTGTTAATTATGTTTAAGTTAATCATTCAAATTTTAAATTTATTATTTCAAATTATCAATTTCCAAATTTAGCTTTTATTATATTTACAACAATTCATTTCCTTGCATATCTTTACCTTAAATGAGCTATTAGTTTTATTGTTTTTAATTTTCAATATCCAATAATAATCTATTTTCTTTTTCTTTAAATTCGTTTGTTAATTTCTCAATTTCTTTTTGTAATTGTTGATGTTACAACTTTCCTTGTTCAATTTCTTACAACAATTTAGTTTCTCTATCTTTATATTCATTAGTTAATTTCTCAATTTCATTTTGTAATGATTAATGTTGTAACTTTCCTTGTTCAATTTCTTACTACAATTTAGTTTCTTTATCTTTATATTCATTAGTTAATTTCTCAATTTCATTTTGTAATGATTAATGTTGTAACTTTCCTTGTTCAATTTCTTACTACAATTTAGTTTCTTTATCTTTATATTCATTAGTTAATTTCTCAATTTCATTTTGTAATGATTAATGTTGTAACTTTCCTTGTTCAATTTCTTACTACAATTTAGTTTCTTTATCTTTATATTCATTAGTTAATTTCTCAATTTCATTTTGTAATGATTAATGTTGTAACTTTCCTTGTTCAATTTCTTACTACAATTTAGTTTCTTTATCTTTATATTCATTAGTTAATTTCTCAATTTCATTTTGTAATGATTAATGTTGTAACTTTCCTTGTTCAATTTCTTACTACAATTTAGTTTCTTTATCTTTATATTCATTAGTTAATTTCTCAATTTCATTTTGTAATGATTAATGTTGTAACTTTCCTTGTTCAATTTCTTACTACAATTTAGTTTCTTTATCTTTATATTCATTAGTTAATTTCTCAATTTCATTTTGTAATGATTAATGTTGTAACTTTCCTTGTTCAATTTCTTACTACAATTTAGTTTCTTTATCTTTATATTCATTAGTTAATTTCTCAATTTCATTTTGTAATGATTAATGTTGTAACTTTCCTTGTTCAATTTCTTACTACAATTTAGTTTCTTTATCTTTATATTCATTAGTTAATTTCTCAATTTCATTTTGTAATGATTAATGTTGTAACTTTCCTTGTTCAATTTCTTACTACAATTTAGTTTCTTTATCTTTATATTCATTAGTTAATTTCTCAATTTCATTTTGTAATGATTAATGTTGTAACTTTCCTTGTTCAATTTCTTACTACAATTTAGTTTCTTTATCTTTATATTCATTAGTTAATTTCTCAATTTCATTTTGTAATGATTAATGTTGTAACTTTCCTTGTTCAATTTCTTACTACAATTTAGTTTCTTTATCTTTATATTCATTAGTTAATTTCTCAATTTCATTTTGTAATGATTAATGTTGTAACTTTCCTTGTTCAATTTCTTACTACAATTTAGTTTCTTTATCTTTAAATTCATTAGTTAATTTCTCAATTTCATTTTGTAATGATTAATGTTGTAACTTTCCTAGTTCAATTTCTTACAACAATTTAGTTTCTTTATCTTTATATTAATTAGTTAATTTCTCAATTTCATTTTGTAATGATTAATGTTGTAACTTTCCTTGTTCAATTTCTTACTACAATTTAGTTTCTCTATCTTTATATTCATTAGTTAATTTCTCAATTTCATTTTGTAATGATTAATGTTGTAACTTTCCTTGTTCAATTTCTTACTACAATTTAGTTTCTTTATCTTTAAATTCATTAGTTAATTTCTCAATTTCATTTTGTAATGATTAATGTTGTAACTTTCCTTGTTCAATTTCTTACTACAATTTAGTTTCTTTTTCTTTAAATTCGTTTGTTAATTTCTCAAATTCTTTTTGTAATTATTGATTTTACATCTTTTCTTGTTAAATTTCTTATTAAAATTTAGACTCTTTATCTTTAAATTAGTGTGTCATTTACTCAACTTCTTTTTGTAATGATTGATTTTATAACTTTCCTTGTTCAAGTTCTTATACAATTTTAGTTTCTTTATCTTTAAATTCAGTTTTTAAATTTTCATTTTATTATATTATATTCATTATTTCAATTTTGTGATCTTAACTCTCTTATTGTATTTAATTGAATTTTGATGTTTTTTCTTCAATTATTAAATCTTTTTCCAACAATTCTTTTATTTATTAATTTAAAGTACTTTATAATGAAAGTATTTCATTTTTACCTATTAAGATTTAATTTTTTAATTCTTCATTTTACTTTTATTCATTTTCTATTAATTACTACAATCTTATTTCCTTTTCTTAAAATTCATTTTAAAACTATTCTTAATTTGATTTTTCTTACTTTAAGTTTAAAGTTAAATTATTTTCATTTTTTTTTAATTTTTCTATTTATATTTCACATTCTTATAATAATATTTCTTACCTTTGAATTTTTTCTTCTAATTGTAATTATTATTAAATATTTTAATCTTTTTCCTCTTCAATTTGTCTATTTAATTTATTTAATTCACTTTCTTTAATGATACTTAAATATTTTATCTAATTTTCTAAATCCTAAATTTATAAGTGTTTTTCTACTAATGATTCCTTCAATTATTCGTGATCAATTGTTAATTTTTAACAAATAATTTAAAACTCTGATACTTCTCTAATCTTTATTTCTATCTTTTTCTGTAAGTCTTCGTTTTCAATTTTCAAATCGTCTTTTTCTGATTTAAGTTTAACTTGTATACTTTATTCATCTTACATTTTATCCTGGAATTGATTTATTAATTATTTGTTTGAATTATCTTCTACTTTCAATTTATCTAATTATTAATTTAGTTCAGCAACTTTCGACTAATACATTTATATTTCTGATGATAGTTCAATTTAATGTGAATCAAAGACCCGAATTTAAGATAACTAAATCAATTTTTCTTCTTCTAAAATAGATCTTTTTGATTCTAGTTTAGTGTTCATTGTCTAAAGTTCAGAAATTAAAGATTATTAATGATTTGTTTTCTCGATTAATTCTAAGATTTATTTTTATAATTGTTATTTTTCAATATTTAAATTTGTTACATTCTCTTTTTGCTGATTTAAGTCAAAAAGAATCTCAAAATAAGTTGTTTTTGCTTATTCTTATTCCTAACTTTGTTGAGCATAATTGTTTAATTGTAATTTATAATTTTCAATTTCTTTATAATAATTTAGTAATTATTCTTTCATGTTAGAAATTATTTATTCATTGTCTTATTTATTTTTATCTCCATCATTAGTCAAATCCTTTAAATAATCTATTTGATTTTTATTTTCCAGTATTAAGGTTTACAATATGCTATTTGATTTTTCATAATATTTTATTGATTCATCCTTTTCTAAAATTTATTATTACAATTCCTTTATTTTTGTTTCATTTTCTAAATAAGTTGATTCTAATAATTATAATTTTGAGTTTAATTATTAAATTTGGCTATTCAGAGTTTCATTCTTTTTTTATAGATCATCCTTTTAAATAGATTCTGCCTCTTTGTTAACACTCTAAATTTGGATCGGCTATTCAGATTCAACTTTTGAATTACTAATTACTAAATATTCTTACTTTGCCTTTTATTACAGTTATTCAATTTATTTTTTCTATTTGGCTATAGTCATTTTCTATTTCTCAATTTAATCTTCCAATTATTTACATTTTCCTGAATCGTTATCATCGGTTTCAATGCCTGATTAAGATTTTAACTCTTCAACCAACTGAATTTATTATTATAATTATTAATTAATTTAAAGATTCTCTTTACTATAACTTTCTATAATATTGATTATTTCTATTAATTAATTAGAATGTTGTTCTTGTATCTAAAGGTCTTTTATTTCAATTTCTGCCTTTGCTTTTTACAACAGGCTCTCATACTTTCTTAATTTCACTTTGCATTCTTTCAAAGTAGACTCTCCATCGAAATTTTTGCTGTCAGCCAATTTTTCTATTTAACATTTTTAGTTTTGTTTTTCTTCCAAAGCCAACTACAAATTTTTTTATAACTCGAGCACTTAAGTTTCTTTTTCTAAATTATTCTTTGCATAAATTTCGATTTAGGTTTTTAATTAATTAATTTGTTTTTCATATGTTTCAATTTACATTTCATTTTATTGTTTTGTTGCTTGTAATTCTAAATTGATCTATATATTTGCTTGGATTACCTCTTGACAATTACAGAAATTTTTCTTTTAAATTTAATTCATCCGCATTTATAAGGCTAGCTCCAATATCGTTTTAGTTAATTTTAACTGACATCCTTTTCTAGAAATAAATATAAATATTACTAATCCAATATTTTCTTTTTTTCTCATCTCAATCTCAGCCTTCATGTCTTGTTCCATCGTTGCCTTTTCTTCCTTTAATTTTGCATTTTCTTTATATTAATATAAATATACATTCTTTTTCCAACGCGACTGCTTTTTCAAGTTTAGTAATTTGGAATGTGACCTTTTTATTATTGGATTTGATTCCATTAATTTCGCATTCTAGTTCTGTTATTTTCTATTCTAATTCAATTTTTATTTTTTCTAATTCCACTATTTTTTGCTCTTTTTCCATAATTATCTATTAATTTACAACTGAAGCTTAAGCTTGTTCGCTATCCTATTTTAAAGTTGTCTTTGATTGGGTATCAATTTCATCTTGATTATCTGAATTATTAGCATTATCTATTTCTTAAGTTTTAATTTGTTCCAATTTTTTTTAATTAGTTAAATCATTTTACAATCTTTATTTTTAGATAATTTCCCTCGTATTGAAAGCTCCAAGCGTTTTGTTCCTTGTCATTGTTTATTTTTTTGAGTTGTCAGTTACTTCTGGCTTATACTTTTCTAATTCCTTCATCAAATCTACATTATTTTTTTTTATTTTTACTCTTATTTCTTTAAGTAATCAAGTCTAACTAATTTTGTATATCTTTATTTTACTAATCCACCTTTTTTTTAGATTTTTCCATTTCTTCAAGGTCTTTTTCAGTTTTTTTTAATAATTCTTCTTTGTCTTATAATTATTGTTGAATAGTGATGATTTGAGTTTGCTAAAACCATTGACTTTCCCCTTGAGATTACTAATTCTATATAAAAAATTACTTAGTTATATAAGAGTTTATTCTGTTGTTGAGATTCTAAATATTTCAATTGAATTCTCAAATTTTCCATTTCATTCTCTAACTAATAAATTTAGTCCATTAGTTCATCATTTTTCAAATTCTTTTCTAAAATTTAATCCTATTATAAATTATCATCTTTACTTATAATTGCTAGATATCTTATTTAGATTATTCCTAAAGTATTATTAGTTCTTAATTTTATTTTTCCAAATCTCCATATTGCAGATTTTTATTTTAGAGATATTCTTTTATGAAGTCAATTAATACTTAATATAGGAATTATTTGCTTGTTTAATTCTTCTTTAGTTCGTATTGCTTATTGTAGGATAATTATTTCTAAATTACTCAATATATTATTACAATTCGATCCTTAAGATTATTTTTGGTTCATTATTGAGTCTAACATTGAATTCTGGTTTTCTTTCTCAAATTTTCCTACAAAAATACTGATGTCATCATCATTAAAATCTTCCATAAAAAATAAAATTTAATTCTTATTTACAAATAAAGAAAATTTGCTCATACAAATTAATTGAAGTTAGCAATATTTATCAAAGGAAACCATTTAATAATATCAAATTTGATAAATAAATAAATCTTTTAATTCTTGAATATTATATATCTTAGAAAAATTATACAAAATACAATTAATACTAAATAATTGGTTGGCTGATAGAATTTTGAAAAGTAAGTATACGCATGATCTTAATCAAATCATATTTATTATACAATAATGAATAAACCTCATGAAAGGGTATAGCATCAATTCAATAATATAAAGGGAAAATAATAATAAATTAGATATATTGGATCTATTACTTAATAGACTATTATTAATATTGTTTTCATTATGATCAATCCAGGAATAATAAATTCTTGATAAACTCCATTTTATTTATTAAATAAAGTAGGAGATAACTGAGATCATTGAGGTACTCCATTATCAAAAGTATACATTTGTATATAGAGTTTATTTTTAATGAATCTTGAACTACAAGGAACGATTAATATAATTTACAATGATTTGAAATGATTTTTCTATTAAATAACTATTTAAAGGAATCAAATCATACATTTATTGTTATAATAGTGATGAAATAGCTCTCAGACTCTTACATTATTTAATAAGGCAAAAGAAAAGTAAATATTAGAAAAGATATTAAATTAGTCAACATAAATGCTTTGAAATAAGATGCTTGGATAATAATTCATATCTACTTTTAGATTTCGATCTGAAATAAAAAATAATTTATATTAAATGACATGGAGATCAAAAGTATATTTTCATATATTGATAAAAATGCTTTTGATTTTAATATTAAATATACTTGTTTATATTATTTTTAATATAAATATTTGAATGGGCAGCAGCACATCTTAAAATGATTTTAATGTTCAACATTATTAACAAAATTCTGGCTTATCTATTAAAGAAGTTGAAGGAATTAAAAATGTTTTTGATTCTTTGGATCCATAAGTACTTATAAAATTCAAAAAATGTTAGGATGGCTTAATACGAACAGGGACTCTTCGAAAACTTTATAGAGACTCATACGATGCTCCATAATTAAATAATAAGATCGGGGATAGAGAAACATTGACATTTGATCAATTTTTTGAGTTGATGAAAACAGATATGTTAGAGAAAAAGAAACAATTTCCAGGAGTTGATTTTGATGATGGTATAAATGAAAATGTTTAATGCTTTTTTTGCCACCCTCAAAGATAGTAAACTTGAATTTATTCATTTAAATATGATTAAAACTTTTGTTTAACAAATACTATTTTATTCATTTATTTTTGAAAGTAAACATATCCAAATTTTTATGACCAAAATCTCCATTTTAGTTTTGTGAAACAAATTTTAGAATTAACCTCTTAAACTAATTCCCAAAATTATGATGCTTTGTAACCAAGTGATAACAAAGTCTCAAGATAATAGTTTCCTTTAATTTTTTATTTCTCAAATTTTATTTGCATCTAAAGCAGAATTGAATAACATAAGATTATTGTCAATAAAATAATTATACAAAAATTTGATTAGGCAAAATACAAAAACATCTGGAACCCTAATAAGCTAAAGTAGACGTCTCAAAATTTTTGTTTTTGTTATTTATTTTTATATTCTATCATCTTGAATTATTAAAAATTTAATCTTTATATTTTACTTTTGGCAAAGGAATTTGTTTTACTCAACAAACAAATAGTATAACATATGATTTAGATATAATATAGGATTCTTCAAATGTTTCAAAAATTAATTGATTTATGGATACTTTAAAAATATGAAAGTAGGATCAGTTTAATTTAATTATAAAATAACAAATAACTCAGCTAAATACTTTATAAAAGAAACAAAATATATCATAGAAAGGCTAATCATTTTCTTAAGAATTGATTTAATGATATATTAAATTAATAATGAGGGGAGATTTAGAAACCATAAATGAAATTTTTTATTTAGTGTTTGTTTTCAAATGATAATATTTTTATCTTCAAAATATTTTTAATAATTTAATTAATTTATATTGATGAGAAAGAAGGTATATACTTAAGCATATTTCTTGATCTAAAACAACCAAAATTACAGCCATTCTTTTGGAGTAAGAATGAAGTATGTTGGATTAAATACATTGATTGGAGTCTATGCAGTAGCTAGATATTATTTCAATGCATTAAGATTGAAAGTAATAATATTATATTAGGCATATAGTCAGCTAATGGTGAAACTACTTTCGATTGACTGGTTGATTAATATGAAATATAATAATAAATATCATAAGACATAATTACAAAATCTGATATTTCAAATGTGGCAAATCATTATTTTTAGAAAGAATTCCTAATAATATTACATTATTATTCCATTAACTTCCCACGATAAAAAAATAAATCATTCATAATAATGATTATTCAAAATTAATAATTCAATTACTATTCATATTTAGTGTTGTGCATTTAACCATTTGGCAATTCTTTAGAAAAAGTTGCTTTTCCAAGTAGTATTGTTGGTTCCTCAAGACCTGTAAATGAAATCCTCTTGCAAACATCACTGAAATTGGGACTAAATTATTTATTCAGCATCACAACTTCTGCGTCATTGTTATCATATACTTGAATTTCAGATTAACTCTTTTCAAAAGGTTGTTAATCAGTATATATGAAACAAGAATTTTCTACAAATGAATTTTATTGATTATGATTTTAGTAATTTCTATTGAGGGCATTAATAATTGATATCTTTTTTAAAAATGCTAATTTTATTGTTAATTTTCCAGTTAATTTTATCTCTAATCCTTAGTTAAATAAAATACCCTCTCAAGATCCAGAGTAATTGGTAGTAAATTTTTTCTTATGATTTCCTTGCATACTTGATTCCTAGAAACAAGAATTGCCTCTTCTTCCTAATTGTTGAATCGTAAAGCCTTAAAACCTTGGACTTGGTTCAAAATTTAGTCAAAATCCTCAAAATTCACTTACTTTTGATGAATTAACTAGCAATTAGGAAGATCAAATGAATCAAAAGATTATAATTCTTTCTTGATTTCTTATGTGTTATGGGTTTTTATTTTCATTTTATTACCCTCACTTATTGTAAAGATTTGCTATCTGATCTATAGCTGAGATTAGGATGTTCACTTTCTCCAAAATCAGACACTGATTATATTGTCTCAAGACATTCACTTGATTCCAATAATGATTTATCTGGAGTGAAATAATCATTGATTATTCCTCTATGATATCTTAAAACTATTTAATATTTTTAGTAATTCTAGACCTCTTTCTTCGCTTAACTTTCTTTTTTAAAAGAACTACTCTATTTTTTTTCACATTCTTTTGTTGTTTAACATGGTTTATAAAATTCTTAATATGACTTTTTATGACTTTATTAGTTGAGAGTACCACATTTATTAATACTTAAGATATCCATTAAGAGTTTCTAACAAATATTGAAATATAGAGTTTAATTTTCAATTGATTATTAACCTTAATTTTCATCATCTGAATTTTGAGAGAAGTTGAATTATTTTTAAGCAATATCACAAAAATTTAAACTAATTTGGTTGTAATTTGAATTTATTTTGAAACTATAGTAATCTACATGAAAATTCTCATTAAACCCATCTATTTCGTGCAATTTACTTTTTTTTCCCAAAAAGAGTTGCAATTAATTTATTACTAATAAGTTCGTGTATTTGTAATTTATTGAGAAGATTAAGAGTAACTATTTTGATTGGAATTAATTTTTATAACTTCTTATGAGTTTCTTTCTGACTACTGTTAGCGTTTTTAAATAGATGCATTAGTATTATATTTAGAATTGTAATTAGTATTATTTGAATTTTCATTGTTTGTATTTGCCTTATCGTTAGTTTTTGGCATGTTATATAAATATTTCTATGGTTCATTTTAACAATTATTCTGTTTCATCAGTAAAAAGTCTTCCGCCAAATCCTTTGTTTTAATTTTTAAAATGTTGAGTAAATGTTTACAAAGGTGATCTTAAGTTTTGAGATTGCTGAGATGAAGAAGCCTGTCTTTATTAAGAAGATCAAGCTTCTTCATACTGAACATGAATATCGTCAGATTCATAATCATTTTCTTAGTCTTTAACTTCTAATCATTGCAAACTGGTTCTTAAAATTTCAAAAATACTGAATATATTTGGTAATAATAAAACTTTGTTTTTGTTTCTATTTCCTATTGAGATTAATCGTCTAATATATTTGTTAAACAAAATACCTTCATCATTATTGATAAAAGTAATAAATTTAACTAACATATAACAATTTTGTGGTATCTTTTAGAAAGATTTTTGGTGTAACATTTCTGTTTCCCAAGGATCCGTTAATAATAACTATATTTTATATATTTTATAAATTTCTACTTAAGTTTTTAGTATACTGTCGGCTCATGGTAAAGGCTTAATGCAAGTATTCTCTAAATTATAAATTTTTTAATTCATTATTGTAATAAAAATATGCATGCTTTTAATCAAATATAATTTCTTTGATTAAACCGTTCAAGTTCATTTTCCATATATATTTATTGAAGATTTTAGAGATATATTTAATAAATTTAGACTGCCCAATTCATAAAAGAGTGATAATTTTAACGATTTACTAATGGAGAGACATTCCATCTCTATATTTCTTTGATTAAAATAGGAAAAAAGCAGTAATGAGTCACTATTAATATTATTTACGGAAATTAATATTATATGAATTCAGGCTTTTTGACTTAATGGATTCCCTCAAAGCCTCAACAAGCTTCTGAAAAAAGTTCTGTATCAATCTACTGTGATACTAGCTATACAAGTTAAATTAAAATTGACATCAAATAAAATATGCTTATTAGTGATCTTTTCTAATATATCCATGGGGATGATGATAAATAAGACTTACATCTTGTTTTGATCCATTCATCTGTATAAAGAAGGCTATGGGATTATGAAAAAGTAGAAGATGTTTTGCATAATAATAATAGCAAATTTGTTATCTGCAATTTTTCGAAAAAATAACAAACATAAGGGCAAAAGTATCCCAGATATTTTGGTATTGATATTTATTTAATAAAGATGATAATTTTAAAGCCTATGGAAAACTTTTGAAAAAGAATAAATTAGGCATATATGTTGCAACATAAGTTTATTTGTCGCAAACATATTTTGGATTTAAGAACGAAAAAAAAGGTACAAATACTAAGACTATTTAGAGAAAATAAAATTAAGCAGTTTAGATAATGTTAAACTGTTTACTTGGTAGAATAGCACAAAATTTGATTTCTAAATTGAAAATGAACGAAAACTTTACTTTTTCTAAGCACTAAAAGAAATAGACTATCAATATTGGATAAGGAGCATTTAAGAGTCTTTGGGTGAAGCCAGATATCGATCTTTGATACATGATTTAGATGTCAAAGTTTAAATAGCAACAAGAAATCAAATAAATAGAATTGAAGAATTTGCATAGGGTTCTCTTTAGTAAATAAAAATAAGTGGAGACTATTTAAAACAGTTAAAATCCTAAATTACTGATATATGTGATGTCAATATAATTGAGTTTCTTTTAACAAAAAATTAAGATTTAATTGTAGAAATTATTACATAAATCGAAAAGGATACTTATCGTTTAATCAAACCTTTAGAGTCATAACCTTAAGTAGAGCCTTTAAGAATTTTTACTTCAAGATATCATTCAATATTGCATAAAAATGAGGATTTGGATTAGTTATTTGAAGAACTAAATGAGGATATCAATTAAGCTTATTTAGGTTTCTTAAAAATCTAAAAGATAAGAACTAAAATAATACAATAAGCTAGAATATAATTTAAAGAATAGTTTCCACAATTTAATCCCACTTTTGATTAATTTTATAATTGAATTTTTAATTAAGAAAGCTATTCTATATGAAATATAATAATTCATTTGCTAAGAAGTTATTCGATCTTTAATTTCAATTCAATGCTACATACATTATATAGTTCTGGATTTTGTAACCAATTTTATAAAAATTTATTTATATATTAACTTTATGTTTGGTTGCTTTTCTCATTTTTTTTAACCAGCTTGTTAATTTTTTAGATAAGTTAATTGAAATCTTTGTTTGAATAGATTTGTTCGTAATACCTAATTAATGATCTTATTTGGGATTCAAACTTATTGCATTCCTGAATACATTGATAATCCATCCACATATGTAAAGTAATAAATTAGCGTTCTTTACAAAGGGTAGTCTTAATTTTTTCAAACCTATCAGCAGTTATAATAATCTCCTCTTAGGCATAAACCAAATATGTAATAAAATCAATTGATAAACTATTAGTATTTTCTATATCATTAACAATATAAGCCAAATAGTTTGAAATTACATGTAAAAATTAAGATAATTTGATAAAATTTGTTTATTTTTACTTATTCTACTTTTGTTTCAACATAAGAGATATTAAATATTGTTAATGCTATTTATCAAGATTTCCCATATTCCAATTCTTCGTCAATTAGTCAACGTTAACATATTTTCTTGTCAAACCTATTGATTAAACAAATAATTTTATATAGGATTGTAATTGCATTTCCTATTAACGAATAGCATTTTCATAAGTTTAAATTTTATAGAACTGGAGTATGAATTGCGATATTTCCGAATTACTTTTAATATAATCAATCACTTCAATGAGCATTAAATTTTCGTCAATATCCTTTCTCATTTATTAATACATCTTCTACGTAATTTTCAGTATTTAATCAAAAATCGGAATGGATAATAAATTGACTTTGCATGTGGCCCTTACAAATGACTGAGTTAACCAAAAAAATTCTTAAAAATTCAAAATTCCTGTCTGAGTTATCAAACAAAATATTTGTTCCAATTTATGTTCCAAAGTAATTTTAGTAAATAATATCTTGTAATTATATTTTAATCATTACTATAATAATACTAAACTCATATCTATCAATCTCTAACTCTTCTTTGTATTACATTTATAGTAATTTGAATAATTTTATGAGATCTTCTTTATACTATGGATTCAAATCTTAATCTTACAAGATTTCACTTAATTTTATTGTATAAGATTCAAAATTCTATAAATGATATTTAATCTGTAAGTAGAAAAAGTTATTTAGTTTTGGTTGAATTATCCCCATTAAGTGATTAATTTGAATATTTTATTATTAATTATAAAAGAAATATCATTATCCTTAAGATAAATAACATCCTGTAAATAATGTACCTTATTCTAACTCGACTTCAAAATGAAATATATCCTCCTCCTGAATTCAATTACGGATTGAATTCATTTTTAAGATGCTCAATACTCATTACAATGTTAGGAAATAAAAGATGTTTATTTTGTTTACTAATTCAATAAAATTGAATAAACTCAATTTGAATATGACTTTACCACAAAATTTATTATTTATGAATAGAGCAATCATTATTATAGGAAATACCATTTTTGGATGGGCAGAAATTAGACTTTGAAGGCTAAATAATTAATAAAGGTAATATATTTTATTATGACCCAGATGAGTTAGGATTAATTTTAAGATGATAAAACTTTTATAATATTAAAGAAGTATAGAAAAATTAAGTTATAATAAGAAACAGATTTGAGTAGCAGACAATATTATCTAAGATAAGAATTTACATTTTAAGAGTTGTTGTTGATTCATAGTTTTCAATAATTTTGTACAATGTCCTTTTGATAATTGTCGATAATCATTTTTGCATGTGCAATTATGATAAAAATAATAGTTATCTGTATTTAAATGATTATTATCATAAGTTAATTAATTATTCAGATAGATCTTTAATTTTATCAATACTTTTTGTGATTTCTATCTCAAAATGCAAAATTTTGTAGATTACATAAATTATTTATGGATTTTTTGTATTAAGCAACTTATTTTGGATCAAGTCGTCTATTTCTTCTTGATCTTTATCATTCAATTCTTCTTGAGACTAAGAATCTTTATTATAAAATTACATTTAATTTGGCCCTTAAGAAATTGATGACTTCTTCAAATAATCTTTATCCTAAATCCTAAATACATTCTTTTCGTTTGATTTGAAGGAACTAATCTAATTCCATTTTTCTTTATTCAGCCTCCAACAATTATTTATTTAGATCCATTTTCTTATTGTCAACGCAGAGTTCAATCAACTGATTGCATTAGTTAGTATCTTCAAAAAGTTCCTCTTGAATTGTTTAAATGTTTCTATTTTAAATTGGAACTTCATCTCCATAATCAGTTGTATCATCCTTTCCTTATTCTTCATTTTCATATTCACAATCCTCAGGATCTGTGTAAGCCTAGAAAATAACAAATGATAATTACTCCTTTGTCTGAATCCTATTAATTTTCACCTTTATTTTCACTAATCTATTTATTTACTGTATTTGGTTCTGATTTAAATTGTACTTAAACATAATGATTAGATTCCATCTCCTCCTTAGATTCAACAAAAGCGGTTGGAATCTCATCAGCAAATGAAGCAATATATATTATTTCCTTTTCAGGTTTTATGATTTTAATATTGCTTTCATCTTTAGATACAAATTCAGGTAAATTCAATACCATATCAGCTTCTTCTTATGAACAAATTTGTTATGTTGTATTTTTAATTTTATTTTATTTTGGTGTTTCTTTTGTTAGTTCTAAATTATCAGCCTTCCTTAAAGGTTCTTTGACTTATCTGGCAGGTTCCTATGGAGCTCCTTTTCGGACTCTTTTTTTATCAACTTCTTCTATGTTAGGATTTGAAACCTTTTATTTTACTTGCACAATTGGTTTCTTTGTAGGTTAGACTTGCTAACTTGAGAAAATATTTTGTTACTTATTCTAAGGATTATTATTAGATTATGAAGAAATTATAGGAATTTTATTAAGTTGAAATTATGCCTTCAATAATTCAGGTCTAGAAACAATTATCTGATCATCTTATTTTTATTTTTGCAAATCTGAAACCTTATCTCTCCAATCCTTATAAAAATCATCGTTTTTTTAATTTTGGACTAGATTTGAAGCAGATGGAGGTGGGACTTATACTATTTTTTTCTATACTAAGGGGGTATCTTTCACAAGTTCCTGCTTTCCTTTTACTTCTAATTATAAATTCTAAGAGGATTGAGAAGCTTTTGTTTTCAAAGGTTTTCCTTGAGGAATGCTCTTTATAGATACTGGGACTGGAGTGGCTAAAGAAGGCTAAACTTCTTTAGGCTTGCTGACTACAGGAGTCTATTATGGTAATATTGAGGAGGTCTGTTTTGAATTTGGATGAGGCTAATTTAAGTTTAATTGCATTCTCAAGTTCTATGCTTATTAAATCAGGCCTGTCTAATTTGATATTAATAATTACTTGACTATTGTAATAATTAGAACGCGTCAGGTCTTTGTCTATAATCCTTTTATAAGCATTAATCGATCAATTATGCTAATGCTTAGGAGTACATTTATCCGATAGGCTCATATCTCCCTCTTATTATTTTAAGCACCAATGCTCCTTGGCTATTGGCTTCAAAGGGATGTTTAAAAGTGCATAGTTCATATATCACACAACCCAATGCCCAAATATCACTTTTCTCATTATAGGGTTTTTCCTCACACATTTCTGGGGATAAGTAATAAGGCGTTCCTACCATTGTATTCGCAAAGTTATTTTGATCATTTAATAGTTTGGCGACACCAAGGTCTCCAATCCGAACCTGATCTTTTGAAAGAAATATATTCATTGATTTAATATCTCTATGTAGAACTTTATTTTTATGAAGGAAGGCTAACCCCAATGTTATTTGGATGAAAAATCTCCATACTTAATTTTCTGGCAATGATCTTCCCATTTACATTTTTAATAGTTTATGCAAATCTCCACCTTCACAAAATTCCATTACTATACATAACAATTACTTATCTATAAAGGATTCATAATATTTCACAATATATGAACTGTCTAATTTAGCTAAGATACTTGCTTCATTTAAAGCTTCATTTTTCATTCTAGCATTCATTTTTGAAATGTTGATTTGTTTCATAACATAATTTTACTTATCAGCCTTACGTCTCACTTTATACACTTATCCAAAGCTACCTTCACCCAATTTATTCAAAATTTCAAATTCATTAAGTTTCGATTCCATAAATTTAATAATTTAACAAATACTACCTTGCCAAATTCAATTTCAAAGAGGAATCATTCAAATAAATTTCATTATTTAATTATGTAAAATAAAGAACCATCAAGCAAACTATATATCATAGACCATGATCCTTGCTTAGATGGAATTTACTCTCTGACAGGTCTTGTATTGCCTATTCTTGTTAAAATTAGAAAAGATAACTGGACAATCCAATAATACCTTGAATTACTCAAGTCTGAACTCTCTAAAATATCAAAAAAATCCAAAAACCATAAGAGTATAAGCTAGAAATTAATTATCAAGATGACCAAATGAGAATCAAAATATGGGATTTTTCTATCCAACTATACAGGATCTTTGTTATATGCCAATTAGATTGAGCGAAGATTCTAATGAAGTCTAGAAAATAATCAAATTTTTAAATGATGACTCTAAATCCTCAATTTTGATATTTGTTGATTATTTTGGAAGAACTTGGAATAATTTATTATTATTATCAAAAAAGTTTTAATATTTGGTTGTAATTGATCATCACTAAACATGTGTAAATGCTATTTCAGATTATAAAATAGAAAATATTAAGTCTTAAATAAAGTGTAAGGAATTGACAATCTATTTATGTTAGTTACCCGAAACCGAACCTCTGTAGATGGCTATAATGAGAAGAAGATTGTAATTCGATGTTCGTTAAAATCCAGCAATCTTTTATAAATTATTAGAATTCGACTTGGTTTTTTAATTAAAGAAGGAAAACAATTAGCTATTTAAAGAAATAAGAAAGTTGAAAATTTAGTTAAGTATCGTAAAACAGTTGCATTTGGGAAAGATGCAGTGGGTTACGCATTATATTGTGATGATTTAAGCATAATGAATCAATTAGGTAATGCCTTAGGTATTTTGGCTATGAGGTCAGGTGATAAAAAATTAGGTGCTGATTATCATGATGATAACAGTAATTATACTTAGTATAAAATTAACTTGAGATCAGCTCATCATGATGAAAATGGAGTTCTACTCAATAGATTTAGATGTGATGTCCTTGCAGAGTCATTTGGTGGAGGAGGTCATGTAGGTGCAGCATCTCTTAACATGAAGAAAAAAGAATAGAAAAAATTAATGTCTGAATGAAAATTTATATATTATAATGTCATAATATTTTTGTAGAAATTATGTTGAATTATAATTATAATTTATTAAAAGGCGATTACTAGATTCTTTTTCCATTATAGCATCTATTGGATCCACACTAAAATACACTTAATGTACTTGAGATAAATCAATAATAAGGGACTAGTAGTTTAGTCAACAAATAAAAAAAATTATTTTAATGATCTCCAAAATGATTCTGAACCTACTTTTTTTCAACAGCTACAGCAAGGAATATATTAGTAGGTATTAACATTTTAGTATCATGAATTGTCGAGAGATAATTGAAATAGAATAAAATTTTTTAAATATTCTTTGAAGGATTCATTCAAGGAGAATGATATTATGTAATTGGATATACTTTATAAGTCTTATCTAGATTCATTGAGCATGAAAAAAAATAGAACTTTTAAGATCTTTTATGTTAATGAAATTTTTGTAGAATATTTCTACAATCTAAAAAGATCTATTAAAAATTTGTTATTTTGAATGCATAGACATTAAATATACATTAACAGATCAAATTTGGCTTGTTTCATCTCTCTTTGTAAAAAAATATACTGGATATCCAATAAATTAAGATTAAAATTAACTCTACATAATATGGCCTTATACAAATAGCATGGGGGAAAAATTTGGGATAATAGAAGAGACGTAATTCTCATAGTTTGAAGTATTGGAGTTTTCATTTGAATGTTCTACTTTGATAGAACTTTGAATTTTTATATCTAGTTCTATCTGATTTACCAACTCATCAGGATCAAAAGTATTATATTGTTAAATGTATTTCAAGATTTTTTGTTCTTATTTTTAATCAGCCTTATTCTAAGATATAATTTAGAAGTACAATTAGCATTTTCTTTTTGATTTTGTTCATTATTGAATTATAGCAGTTTTTAATTTTATTATCGGTGCGCCCAGGCATTTCTTTAGCAATACTTGCCCATTTTTTCTTCAATTCATAGGCTTTCAGCATAATTTATTTTATCTCTTTATCTGAGAATGGTTTTCTTGAATATTAAAAAAGATTTACTTATTTATTTTAGGGTTTATTACATTATTAAACCTTTCGCGTATCTACTTGGAATATCTTAAACTTTTTGCTTTTTTATTAAATTCGTCGGCTATAAACAACCAACTTTCTTTAGGATATTAACTTTTTAAATGTATATCAATACTTCTTTAAATCAATTATTATTTTGTCTTCTGCTTGTTTCCAAGGAAGTTGTTTTAATTTTTGCTTTAAAAGACTCAGCCATCTTGATATTAGGAACTTTTCGGGAGGTCCTAGAACACTCGATAAGTCTTTAAAAACACCCTTTTCTATCTAAAGTACAAAAATAAACTTTATAAATACCAAGTCATTGAATTCTATGTTTCTTTTCTTTGCTAATTTGACAACACACCATATTAGCAAATATTTATCTTTATCATGCAGTTTGCTTCGTGTGGTGTTTTCATCAAAATGCACCCAAAATTCATTGCTTAAATAATGTTATAATTCAGGAAATGACATTTTTTAACCAGGCAACTTGACAACCGACATTAGAAGTTCTTCATTCAACTCTTCAATCGCGGATTCTCCTAATTCTTCAATCAATTTAGCCCAATTAGTTTGTTTCATTTAATTTAAATTAATTATCTTTTTTTATTCTTCTCTCCCTATTAAACTTAGGATATTTCGAATAAATTTGGACTATAAAAGTAGTTCTCTCTGCTCTAAATTAACAAACATCTCTCATGTGTCAAATTTTGGGGTTATCTATTATTATCTACTTAATTTTTACAAAAGGTTTAACTATTAATAATTAAGTAATTTGTAAATTATATGATATATAATTCTCAAAAATGGTAGTAATTCGCTCAAATTGATAGATTTATGGTTACCGTAAATAATTCAAACATTTATGAGCAATTAAAACTGCATACAATTAATTTATTAACCTATTCGGTAAATAAAACTTAAAGATTTTTGAATTACATAACTTCATAGGATTTTAATAAAAATAAAAATGTAAATATATAAAATATTTCAAACTCTCATAAAATTGAGTTTTACCACTAAATACTAAAATCTACTACTTTTTAGGATTGATAAATCAAAATTAACTAAGTATGTTAGTTATTTTATCATATTGTTTTAATGGATATAATATATTTTATATATATTGATTTTAAAATTATCAAGCACTTTTATTTGGAATAACAATTTAGTATTTCTTGGTTAAAAATGCTTCCCTTGCATCGTTGATTTCTCTGTCGTCAACTCCTAACATTTTAAGAACTTGATCTAAAAGATTTAGAATTATTTCAAATTAAGCTTCTGTTACATTAAGTTTGCAATGATCTGATTATGCTTATGTTGGTTTTCCTCCAAATAAATGTAAAACCACAGCACTAAAATGCTACGAAGCTTTCTATATAATTATACCAAATTCACTTACACTCTTTTCAACATTCTAGAAAAGAGACTTTAAATCCTTATTACTTGAGATACGTTCAAACAATAATGATATCATGGGTTAAACTGCTTACTCTCCTCCCAGTCTTTCAATTAGGGGAACTTTTTATATACTTGCATCCAAAATCTTGGCTAAAAAATAGAAAATCTATTACCACTCCCTCTATTTTCCTAATTTAATACTTTTATCCCAACAATTCCAATTGCAGCAGCTACTGCAGCTATGGCAACGACTGCCTTGTTGTTTTCGATAAAGTTTTGAATTTTTTGCATAAATATAATTTAATATAAATATATGATTGGAATTTACAGATCACTAGTAAATACCATTCCTAGATTCAACATAGTTTATGGCTATGTACCTAAAAGGTCTCCCTTTGATAAGACTCATTACATAGAGAATTATATACCCAGATAAATTCCTTTCCCAAAATCAAGAAGACCTAGATTACAATAGTGGGATGATGAATAAAAAATTTGGCCAGTAATCCCTCCATCACCCATTCTACCAAGAAAAAAGTTGTTATAATAATTAGAAAAAGAAGAATATGAAAGACTACAAATTATCAAAGTAATTCCATTCAATAATTAAAGCCTATGACATTCCCTGATTTTAGAGTGGGTGATGTAATTCAAGTAAAATGGATTCATAATATGAGTGAACCAACTATGAATACTTACTAAGGTTTATGTGTTGGAAAAAGAAGATCAAACTCATTAGATGCCTCATTCAAATTTATCTTCAGATATTGTGGTGTGGATGTTTTTATGAATGTCAAGCAAAACTCACCTTATCTAAAAGAAGTCACTATTCTTAAAAAGGGAACAGGTAATATTAGAAATAAAGTGTCAATATTTACAAAGAGATTGTCTAAGCAACAATTTATTACTCCACTCATGAAAAAAGGAAAACCTGTCAGAAGAAAGGATGATCCAATTCGTAAGAGAAGTTCAAGATCAAGAACATCTCTTTCAATGCTTAAATCTATAGAAGATCCATTATTGGCGGAAAAACCTGTTGAGAAGAAAACAAAAAAAGTATATAAGAAGAAATAAGCAGAACAAGAACCAATTGTAGAGCCAAATGATAACACTAATAAATAATGATGAGTTTTTAAGTATACGTATAAATATCAACACCATAATTATTATTTTTTCGTATATTTTTATAGAATACAAATTGCTTAACATTTTTAAATCGCAATCTTGTAAGAGGTTTCAATTTAAGATTAAATACTACAAAAAAAAAATGTTATTTGCAAAGATTAAATATAACAATTATTTAAAGCATTAATAATCATCTCTTGCGAAATACATCTTCATAATAATCGTACTCTTCTAATGCTAATGAGTCTACACTTTCATCAACACCCAATGATTAGGTCGCTCTTTGATAATCGTCATCGGATGTAAATAATTAATTCTAAGATAATAATTTTAATTACCGATTATTTAGCCCTATCATCTCTAGATTACTAGAAATCATCAATGTCCTCTTCGATTTCGTCATTTTTGTTTCCCTTTTAAGGCTATCCTTTTTAGGTATCTCCAATGGCATAGGGATTATTGAATTTCTTTCCTAATGTTTAATTGGGATCATAATCATATTTTTTTTATTATAATTTTGGTTACTCATCTAAATCAAAGGCATAAGGGTCAGATGATACCTATTTTCCTGCATTTCCCTTAGTATTTTGAGCTTTTTAATTTTTAGCTTGGGAATCATCATAAGCATAAGCATTATTGTTTTTAATTTAATGATTCATCTTTGTATTTTATTAAGGTTTCTGTTGTTATTATTACTATTATTTTGGTTTATTAGAAAAGATATCATCTTCTTCAAACTAATTTTAGTTACCCCCTAAATCGAGTCCAAACATGGAAGTTAGAGCATTTTATTTTGTCTATACTCCTCTAATCTTATTCACATTAGGAGCTGGTTATTCAGGTTTAGGTGGTGCAGTTTAAGGTCTATCTTTGCCTTCTTTTTTGGTAGTTTTTTTTGAGTCAGCTTATTCTTTCTTTTATTTTTCTTCAAGCTTTTTCTTCTCTTCTTACTCCTTTTTCTTTTGTTCTTCCTCTTGCTTTCTTTTTTATTCTTCTTCTTGTTATTTTTTATTCTATTAGTTCCTAGTTATGTTTGTTTCAGGGGGAGCTGCATTATTGATAGGACTTTGAATATTGATAGTAGAACCTCCCTTTGAAAACTCAGAAACCAAAATCATTAATAAAGGTCTCAAACTATCAAGGGATGAATTTAATCCTAATTTCCGAGCCAAAGATTCTTTAATAATAGGATCATTAAAGTTAGCTTCTTTTCTTAAAACTTATGCAGTATAATCAAATTTGAAAAATTCAAGATATTCCAAAATTAATTCAAGGCTTTTCATTCCTTCTGTCATTCCTTTGATTTAATTTAATAAAGGATGTTCCCATTAAAAACCAACATTTTCTTTTAATCGTTAATCTTAAGATTCAATAATCTTTTTAAATTAGTATTATAGTCATTACTTTATAAACTTCTACTTTTAGTTAGGCTCTTAAAGAGTTCAAGAAACCTCCCGCTTCTATTTTTTTTGCAACTAAATTTTTAAGATTCTCAATATTTTAAGTATTATTCATTTATTAAATTAATATACTCAATCAATTTGATCTAATTATTTATCAACTTATTTTGAGTCCTCTTACCTTATTGTAGTAGTTGTCTTACAATTCACTTTATGTTTTTGCCAATCACCAACTTAGCAATCTTTACTACACTACCACATTTATTTGCAACGAGAAAACCTCTTGGTAGCATCCTTTATGCGTTTCTCACATTTAAATCCATCAATAATACCTTCAAACACTGTATTTGAGTAGAGTTCTTTCATTCTTTAGATATCTACTAGATTATTAATGCCCAAAACCTTCTTTTATACTCGGATCTTTTATTTAGAAATACTCTACTTTTACTTTTTAGAAATTGAACTTCAATTCTTATATTTGCATATTGCCAAACGTAATCCTGGCAATTATTGAACAACTATAGTATTTTTACTCTATGCCTGTACTTGCATAAGGGATAATTCCTCCAAAGATCTCAACATATCAACAAGTTTGGGAATTTAATCTAGTAGTAATTCATTCATAAATTTTCTCAATCTTAATTAGTTATTCATTTGAAATATTCAATTCATATTTTCTTCTACTTTCTGAATCCATGAATAAATTGTATATTGTAATCCACAATTAGATTCTATTTTAGGCAATTTACTATAAATTTCCTCATTTAAACTAACCCAATTTGATTATTCAAATACTTCTCTTTCTTTATTTGGATTAATTCTCAACCAACACTTCTCTTCAATCAAAGGAACAAGCAAAATGGAAAAGTAATTTTCAACAATAATTTAGTGTAGTATGTTAATTGGCAAATGCTTTATATTATCAGTTAAGAATATGATGATGCTTAAACACATCATTTGAATTTAGAACTCAACATTCTAAAATTGTTTATCTATTTCATCTTATTTTGTTCTATTCTTATAATAATCAATACTTTTTTCTCAATCTTTTGCAGGTGGCCTAAATGTTTTTTACAATTCAGTACTCTTATAGTAAAGCTTCCAATTTTCGATAATAATCCACAATTTCAAGAATATACTTGAAAATTAAGTTTTTGTAAAACCTCATCTTATGCAAACTATCTACTTATTGAAATAGCATTACTTTTTACATCACAATTCTGGAATTTCAAATATTTGTAACTTTCAATATAATGCTCAGCTTCATAAGCTGTCAATATGTCAGTCAATTAAATATTCATTATATTTGTATATATATTAATTGCAAAACTTATAAAAAAAAAAAAAGAACAACAACTTAATATTATAATTATTTATTTATTTGATCTTACTAAAATGGCTTCCAAATTATAGGATAGAAGATGTTCTTCTCCGAAATTAGAGAACAAAATAAGAAGCAAGACTCTTTAAAATGAAAAATACGAAGACTTAACCAGAGAATAAATTTTAGTAAAATCTATCAAAATTATTCAAAAACCTCTAATATCTAGAAGCTAGAACGATAAATTCCTGCTACATTGTATAAGCAATTAAATTATAAGAATTACTTAGCACCATCAAATATTTTGCCCAATTATTTCAATCAAAGTAATAACTAATTTATGATATTGCCGACGCTCTTCAATATAAGTTTGTACATCAAAATGAAATAATCTTTAAGTAAGGTGATTAAGGTGATATGTTCTACATAGTGCTCTAAGGTATTATATCTATCAAACTCCCTAGGAACTGTTTCAATTTAAATAAATATTCCATAAGAGGATGTATTTGTGCCAAAAGAAGTGGCCACAATAACAGAAGGGGGTTCTTTCGGAGAATTGGCATTGTAAAGTAGTTAAGCAAGGACTGCCACAAGCATTTCCGTTACTGATTGTCATTTTGCCACAATTGATAAAACAACCTATAAGCAATTAATTGGAGATTATAATAAAAATCAGTTAGATTAAAAAATAGCGTTTCTTTCAAAATACCCTTGGTTTTAATAATGGTCCTTGAGAGAAATGAAGATGCTAGCGTATGAACTGAACGAAAAACAATATGATTATGGAGATAAGATAATTTTAAAAAATCACATAGGGATGATCAATAATGGATAGGTGGAGTTGAAAAGAGTGATAGAGAAGAGAGGGATTCAAGATCACCCTATGAAGATTTCTAAGTTGATGAAACATCAATTATCAGTTGAAATCTTGGATGAATATAAAATAATAGGAGAATTAAACTTTTTGGATGAGGAAGGGAACTTAAAGTTTATGATCAATAAATATAATAAACCATATGTGAAAAGTGCAGCAGAACCTGAAACCAAAGAATTTATTCAAACGAGTTAAAAAAACAAAGGGATTTATGAAGCTGTCTGTTATTCTAATCATGTCAGTATCTATTTTCTAAAAGTAAGCACTATTGAAGATAGATTTTATGACTAATTAACTAGACAGTTGTTTTAAGTAATCAAATTATAAATATAGATCCTGTTTATAGATTGAAATTAAAAAGCTATTAAATGTACGGATCAAGAAGGCACACAATCTTCAACAAGAATATGACAAGCAGTTTCAAGAGAGTTTAGAGGAATAACAAGTTAAGATGAGAATCTCTGGGTTTTAAAGTCGAAAGATTACTCCAGTCAAAATTGGGACCATCATTAGAAGTTAGAACAATGAGGAATGGGTCCAAGATAGTCAATACCAAAAGAAATTTGAGAAGAATCTTCCTCATGGTGTTTAGTATAGATACTCCAGAATCTATGACTTAGAAGAGAAATCATAATACATAAAAGTGTTAGAGGACAGATATAATAAACTGAAGACAGAGGAAAACGAGGCTTAGGACAATTTAAGAATGACTTTTACTTAGATGAATTGTAGTTATTATAGATTAAAAAGTCACTTTGAGAGATAAAAATTCAATAAGTTATTTTTTTAAGCATACTTAAAAAAAAAGAATGAATAAAAATGAAATAAATACATTTATTTAATTTATTTAATATGGCAACGAAAAGCGATGAAGCTGTTCAATATAATGGTGAAGATTTAAAATCATTTTATTTTCCAAACAAATTTGATCATCGATAAAGTGCTGTTCCTGGAAATCCATGTTATAACTTCAGATTTAGAATCTTTATTTTCTTTACTTATATTGTTGTTACTCAGCTAGGCGAAATCTTTGGTACTCCAAGTGATAACATTAAAGGTATATGGGATTGGGGACATTTGTTGACTACTCCAATCAATCAATTATATCAAGAACATAGATGGTATATAAACTTTAAATCATCTTAGGTTCTCTGCCATGATGCAAATATCCTCAGCACTTATTTTAGATTTCGCATTTTTTTATGTCTCACTCTATTGGGTTTTGTACGAGAGAAATTTTAGATTGTTTGCAGTTCTTATCCTATTCTATGCAATCAGAGCAGTTCACTTGAATATATTCAAATTGGAATATTCACCTAACTATTATTGGGAAGATCCATTGGTGCCAAGTTTAGTTGTTAAATACGGAAAATATTCAGATTTCTTTTATTCAGTACAATGATTTCATTAATCTTAGGGACATGTTGGCTTTTTAACTATATGTGCTCTAGAAATGAGAAAAGTAGGAAAAAAATATATGGCCTTGTTTTTTTTCATATGCTCGATCTTCTAAGCTTTCATTGTTATATCTTTTGCCATCCATTATACCATTGATGTAATTACTCTATTAAATCATAGGTACCAGGGGGATACATTTTTTCCCATTACTTTTTCAACATGGTATGCTATTGGGAAGCTAAAATTGATTTCGTCCTTAAAAGAATAGCAAATTGTTGCTCTAGAACAAATAAACCAATTAGTATTGCATACGAAAATGACACTGAAAAATAACAACCAACTGCAATTTGAACATTCATTATGTTTATATATGATATTAAAGGATAATTTCTCCCCTGAGGTTTAATAATAAATAGAGATTGAAAATACCAAAACCCATCTATTTAATTATTCTAATTAATAATTATTATTAATTCCATAATATTATATTCTTAATCTACAATATATTTTATATATTAAACTTAATAATATAATATCTGCAGCAATCAATCAATAAATTTCAACCAATGAGCAAAAATTTTAAATAGCAATTTTATGGCTTCTCTGTGCTTATAACCTGTGTCTAGACCATATGTCCCATTTAGTAATTATCCTTCTGCCACGTGTGCACAGTAGCGACATTATTTTATTTTCCTATTTATAAATACTGATTTTATCTGATAAATCAAATATTTATATAAGAATTATCTTTATTGTTGTTATATAATAATAATTTATGCAAGAAAGGAATACACATTATTGCTCAAACTGTCAAATCACAATTCCAAATGATCAAGAGTACTAGGCTCACTATAGGTCTGATTTTCACAGATATAATATCAGAAGAAGACTAATGAATTTGGAGTCTGTTTCTTTTGAAATTTTTTAGAAAAGTATTATCTCTATTCCACAATAGAATTTCTTGAATCGTAAAGTAATACTTCCTGCTCCTCAAGCCAAGCTCAAACATATTCTTGTAATACTTGCAAGTATTTATCAAACTTTACTTTTTAGAAAAAACTTCTTCTCATCAGGAACCTATTCCTAACACTTGAATTCTGCTAAACATAAATAAGTGTTGAAGGACAATAGAAAAAATTCAGATTCCTTGGAAAAAAAATAAGTTTAAAATTTACCTGAGTAATGCTTATTCTGTGATGACACATTCTAAACAGTGGATGTAGCTTATAATCATATGAACACTGATCACGGATTTTTTATTAGAGAAAAAGAATCACTTGTTGATATGAAAGGTTTGATCCAATGTTTAAAGAACATTATTGAGAAATAATTTTATTGCTTATCTTGTCCATCCATATTCTCTTCATCAGAGGCAGCTAAATAACATATGATAGACAAAGGTATATATGGATTCCTTATACCTTTTAGGTCATTGCTTTATGCCCAATGAGCACTATGATGAACTGTGTCATTTTTATGATTTTACAGAGAAAATTAAAAAGTTGCTACAACTTGATGAAATTCCTGAGTTGAATGAACCATCTTTCGAAGAAATTCTTGAATTGGAATCCTTAAGATCAGATTCAAGGGTTTCTGAATTTGAAATCATAGAGTAAACTCCTGAATAATAAGCAAGAAGAGCAAAATTAATGCATTATTTAGAAATCATTAATTAAAATAAAGCAAAGGTATTGCCAAATGGAGAATTGTAATTACCAAATGGAAAAATGTAAAATCCTATTTTAATTTAATAGTATTGGCCATAGATCCTTAAAACAATATTATGATTAAAGTCATGTAGTACCTTTACCTGAAAAAAATAATCATTTGCCATTGTCATACTAAACTTAACAAGCTATTTTGAATGCTGAAAAATGATTTATTTCCAAATAATTAATATAAAAAAATGAGTATGATCTGCTAAATTGTATATAATCAAAGTCCTTATAAGGTACAATCATATAACAAAATACTTTAATAAAGACATACATAATATAGCTTATTTATTCTGGAAATTACTTTGATTTTTATAATAGAATATAGAAACATTTAATTTTGAATGATTGGAGTGAGTAAAAATATAATAAAAATGGATTTATATGTAATGTTGAAAAATTAAGAATTAAGAATTAAGTGTTATCTTATATTCCTAAAAATTCAAATATGATTTCGCCTAAATGAATGAAAAAGTAAATAAATATATTTTTATATTAACTCATTTCTTTAAATAATCAAAATCAATCAGAATTATTTACTCATTTGTGCTCAAATAACAATATTTTTCATAGTAATAGTTAGTTATATCTGTAAAATTAAATTTACATATTTCCTTATTTGCAATAAGAGCAAACTTATTTTTATTAAATGCTATTAACGGACTTAATTCAGTTTTCGAATATGTGAAAATAGTTGTTGGATTGAAACTCAATTCTAAGGTTTATTATTAAACCTAATTTTTCAAAATGATTATTGATTGTTAATTTGTTGAAGCTGCAATAACTAATTCATTATTCTGCATTAGTGGAATGCAATCATAGACAAAAATAGGATTTTGTTTATTTTAACTTAACTAATATCTATGTATTTATGTTTTATTTTTTAAGACATCAATAATTCCATTGTCTAGCACAATTACTATAAATTAGTCAAATTCTGAATCAATTACTTTAATAGATGTACAAAATATTTCAGATTAATATTCATAAAATTCAATATCAAGACTGTTGATGTTTCTGGCTTCTAATAAATTAGAGTTAATGGAAAAAAGAAGATCTTGAATTAAGCATAATCTACAGAAACTAAATATATTCAAATGGAACTAATTCTATCTTGAAAAGTCTTCATTTACTATGTGAATCCATCCTTCTTTAGTTTAAACGATTATTTTATCTGAGGTTGTATATATGTATTAGGTTTCTTCAATTTCTAATTTGTTGATCAATTTTTATGCATTTTTAGACATTTAGTAAAGGTATTTTAAATCTGCAATAATCCAATAGTTTTTGAAGAGGGCAAATGCTTTAATAGAGTCTAATCCAATATTAATTGCTATTACTAAAGGGTGTTGGTACAACAACTATTGCATCACTTTTGCTTTTCATAAATAATTATTATATAAACAAAATTTAATAATAAATGTCAATCATTATCCAATAATTCGTAAATTTCTTTAGTTTATAAGTTCATTTATTGCTTTTCTTAATTGTTTTATTAAGATGAATAATTTGATGCATTATTTGATTAGCCATTTTGAATTTCAGAGATGTTATTGATTATTTTACCTTAAAATAGTTTTTAAAGTTCTTTTTTTCTTTATACTTCTTGATCCTCTAGGTCCTAGAGTTTTTACAGATCTTGAAGAGTTGATTATTCAAAATTATTGATATTCTCAATATAATTATCACAACTAATTTATATCTCTTAAAATCTCTCTTCCAATTGTTGGATGTGTAATTAAAATCTTTTTGTATTTTGGAGATAAGTGGAATTGAGAATTTTGAGTTCCTCTTATAAAGATTGATTTTTCTCAACTTAGAGTTTCAATAGCTTTCTTAACTTCTCATTTTCCATTTGGTACTCTCTAATAAAGCCTTCAACTTCTGCTTAAATAAAGATTGGTTTTGATTAAGAAAGTGAATCTATTTACCTCTTTAACTCTATTACTTAAGCTTTTAATTTCTTATTTTCAGCAATCAATTTTAGAATGGTAGTATTAGTTTCTTCTACAGTCTTTTTTTACATTTCAATAGGTTATTCATTATTTTTTAATTCATGAGGGGAAATAATTGAAACAGATTTCTTGGGAATGACTTGAGATTTTCTTTCAGTTTTAGTTGGGCTGAAATTGACTTGCTTTTCCTAATTATCCCTAGTAGAATAATTGGTCTAATTACCCCAAATCTATTGCATAGAGTTTCTCGAATTTCCATTAGATATGCAATTTAGTAGTTTCGTTTATTTGTAATATATCATCTATCTCTATTTTAGACATTTGATTATACATTTTAATTTAGAGTTTAAGTATTTACTTAGATTAATTTTGTATTCTTTTAGTATATCTTCGTTAACTCTAAAAATGATGGATGTGTTCTTTTCTTCGAACACCCTGTTTTAATCTAAAATGAGATTGGATTAAGTGCATAATGGTTTATTAAAGGCATCAGTTGTTAAGGGGATGTTGATTACATTGTTATCTAAGTATGAATTGAAATAAACCTATTTTCCATTGGAGCTAATAAAGTTGTGAACCATCAGATTCAAGTTGTTGTAAGGACAAGGCAATTGAGTATTGAATGAGCTTTATATTCATAAACAATAATTTTTATATTTAATTATTATTAGTATTATTAATTGCAGTATTGGGATTCTTAATGAGCAATTAACATGTGCAAAATTAAAAATTTATATTCATAATATATAATAGACAATCAGGAAAATGTGGCTGGGGTAGAAAATTAAAAATGCTGCGGGAACAGTAAAAAATGTCACTTCGAATCTCTTGTAAGAAAAGCAAACAGATTCTGATAAGAAATAGGAAGAGACATAAACTTAAACCTAAAAATAATAGGATGTAAATCTTTTAGAAATGGATGATCAAATTACATAAGAAATGACTATCGCAGAGTTGATTTAAAAATTCTAATAGAATGATTGCGTATGTTTGCAATAACAATTCGAGTCATGGAAGAATTAGGAAAATTAATATTAATTATTGAAAAGCAAAATCTTGGGAATCAGAGCCGACTTCAATCAATAATTGGAGCAATACTCATAGGATTTGTGGGACGGTGCATAAATTGTGGAGAGATAAAAAATTGAATTCATCTTAAAAGTATTAGATTAATTACAAATTTCAAATGAGTTTCATTAGATCATCACTTGGAATTAGTTTAATGAGAAATTAAACAAACTGTCGGCTGACATCAAATAGCTAAGTCAAATCAAATATGCACCTTTGGTTAAAGAAAATAAACAATTGAAGGCCAAATTATCATCATAAAATTAAGATTAGAAAGTTCTAGAATTGTAAAAAATTATAGAATCCCTTAAGGAAGAGAAAGAATATTCAAAGAAACAATTTCAAGCAGATTATAATCAACTAGAAATTCAATTTTAAGAGCAAATTTAAAGATTAAATCAAGAAATGGTTTCCCAAAGAGATTTTTTTACTTTAGAGAAGTAATAATTGAATAGAGATATTGATGAATACATCCAATAGATCAATTCAATGTAAAACAACAAATAGAAATAGTCTGCTTTATTAAATATTGTAAAATAAATTAAAGATTTAAAAACAAATTAAATTGATATTGAGGATTTGAGAAACTAATTCTAAAATATTTAAAGTTTACTAGAAACCCAACTAATTAACTTTATCCAAAACTAAAAAAAGTAAGACAATCAAAAAATTGAATACTAAGAATATGAAGATGAATTAACAGATGAAGACATGAAGTCAGTATAACAATTAATTAGAATTTATAATAGAAAATAATCTGAATCTGGAGATAAAGATATCATCTAAAATAAATAAGAATTGTTACCTAGACTTTTAAAATACATCTAACATTTACAAAACGAATTAGAAGTGTTAAGAGAACAGCCAACCTGGTCTTATTAATAAAATCATAATTCTAGTGAATAAAATTAAGATGTAATTACTTTGGAGTTGTAGTAATAATTGAACTAAAAAAGCAATGAATTATACAAGGTCTAAGCTGAATTGGCAGAATCAAAAGCATAGATAGAAGCTTTAAATATACAAATTGAAGATTTGGCAAATTAAAATCTAGAAGAATTAAAGTAGTAAAACAATGAATAAAATTAAATAATAACAGAATTTTAAGAGAAAAATAAAAGTTTATAAAACGAAATTGAAATTTTATAATTGAAATTATCAGATTTATCAAATGAAAAATAAGATATTGACTAGATTATTTCTGAAAATTAAGAATTAAAATTCAAAAATCAATAAATTTTATCTCAAGTGGAAGAATTCGAAAACAAATTTAATGAGTCAGAGAAGCTATAATCAGATTATGAATATCTCGAATAAATATTCACATAATCTTAGATAAAAATAAAAGAATTATAAAATTTATTTGCAGAATCCTAAGAATTATAGGAAGACCTCCAGGCAGAAACTAAATTATAAATGTTTAATAAATCAACTTCTATGAATGAGTAAGATGGATTCAAATAGAATTTAGATCAATAAGAATTGTAATAAGAAGAAATAGAATAAGTTTAAAATAATGATGAACTCCAAAAACCAGTTTAAGAAGAATAAAATGAAATAATCGAGTAGAAAGACAGTACTGAAGATCATGAAAAATAAATAGAAGTAGATCTTACAAGTTCTAATATTACAAATGAGACAGAGATTAAGAAAGGGAATATAACTAATAAATCTGACGAATTTATAGATCTGTCACAGAAATAAAAGGATGGAGAGATTGAAAATTTATAACTTAAATCAGAAACGGATGAATAATAAAATTTCTAAGATTAATAAGAGCAATAGAACGAAATTGATCATAATAAAATAAACAACTTACAGAATACATTATTAAATTCTACAAATTAAGTGATCGAATAGAAATTAGAAGAAATCTAATAATTATAGGATTTAATCTCAAAAAATAAATAAAGCGAGTAAGAACTTAGAGACATACTTCAAGAAAAAGAGGCAAGAAATTAAAACTTGGAATTACAATTGGATGATTTAAAATCACAATTGAGCCAAAATCAATTAAAAGAAGAAGAATTAAGCAAATAGATTAATTAGTTACTTTAATAAAATTAAGATTAAGAACACAATTTGAGTGATTTCTAAAATTCGAAATCATAAGAAATAAATGAATTGAATTTATAAATCTAGAATTTGGTTGAAGCTTTGAAAAATTCTGAATCCTAATTGATATAACCATAATAATCTGAAAGTTTACAAGCTGACTATGAGGAATAGTTAAAGCAACTAAAAGATCTTATTCAGTAAAACGAAGAAAAAAACCATCAAAATTAGACTGCATTATAAGTAGCTTAATTAGAAATTCAAACTACTAGCTTAGAACTTGAAAATAGCTAAAAGAAAATCTCATAACTAGAATCTACAATAGAGAATAGTTAAGAGGAGAAAAATTAATTGGAGAATACTATAAAAGAGTTATCTGAAAAAGACAAGCTTCTATAGATTTAAATTGAGCAATACGAAAAAGAAAATTAGAATTACACATAATAAATACAATAACTTTAATCAACATTAAATTAACTTTAAAATGAATTTCAATAATTAACCTCTGAGCTCAATGAAGAATAATTGAAAAATCAAAAGATAATTGAAATCAATAAAGAAAATGAGGTCAAGGTTCAGGCAATTTAATAAGATTATTAACATATATCATCAACCTTAGTTAAATTAGAACAACAATCATCTGAAGAGATAGATGGATTGAATGAGCAATTATCAGAAAAGGAAAAGGAAATCTTAAATCTAAAACAAGAAATTTAAGTATTGTAGAAACAAGTGGATGAACTGAACTTAAATAATGATGAAATTAAAAGAAACTAAGAAATTATAAGAGAATAAGAAGTTAAATTAAAGTAAGAGAAAGAAGAGTTATAATCCTTGTTATAGAAAGAGGAATAAGAGAACTAAAGTAATGCAGATATGATCGTTGAATTGGAAAGTAAGTTTGAGAAGGCTGTATATTAGAGGAACGAGATGGAGAAAGAGTATTTACAAATTAAAGATAAGATTTCTCATTTAGAATAAAACTACATATAGAAAAATGAGTAATATATTGCTTTGTATGAAGAATCTAATAATTTGAATGAATAAATCAAAGGGAAATAGCATCAAATCTAGATTTTGTAAAAGTAGAATGAAGATTAAAATGCATTTATAAAGTAAATAGAAATTGCATTAACAGAGATTTATTCAAATCTATCTTAAGAATCAATTTAAAGCTTTGATGCCAACTCGTTAGATAAAATAAAATCTAATATTTTAAGTAATATCAACCAAATTAGAGAGTCATTTAAAAAAGAAATTGAAAACTTAACTTCATAGCTCAAGTAGTCGTAAAAGGCAGGCCAAGAGGCTAAACAATAGTTAGGAGATTATTAGTAGAAACTAATTTTATGCGGTACAGAGTATTCAAAGAAGGAATAGTAGATAAATTAAGAATTGTAGCAGACCTAGGTAAAGTTCAATGAGCAAGTTGAAAAAGCTAATCAAATATTCAATCAATTGTAAAAGGCTGAATAAAAGAAGAAGGATTTAGAAAAATAGGTTTAAGATTCAGACAAAATCAGAAAAGATTAATTAGAAGAGATAAAATCAAAATAGAGCGATATAGAGAATTTGAAAAACTCAATTAATAAAAAACAAAATGAAGTAATTTTTATTCGAAATATTATAGATTAATACTTTATAGACTTAATTGTCTACTTAATAATAGGATATACAAAAATTAAATGAATAAAATAAAGTAATTGTAAATAAGAATTGTGAAATTCAATAATTAACAAAGAAAATATAGACATATGAGGAGACAATAGAAACATTGAATTAGAGCATTATAAACTTTTAATTTGTTAATGAAACTGCTTAGTAAAAGTTTGATATCAAAGAGGAAGAATATGAAAATAAAATTAAGGAATATAAGGAAAATATCAATTAATTAAATAAGCAATTGGCAGAAAGACATTTAGATGAAGGAGTCTAGATTTAAATTTAAGAGTTATCACAAAAGATAAGAAAGAAAGAAGAAATAATAGTGTAATTGTAGCATGAGAAGGAATAAATTCTTGAGAATTGTAATAAGAAATTTTAGATGATTTCTCAGAGTTAATAAAATTTAATTGATAAACGAATAATAAAAGAGGCATTATTGAATTATTTTGATAACAGGGCACCTTAAAAGATTAGACAATCTATCCTACAATAATTGTGTTGCATTTTGACAATGACAGAATAAGAGGCAGCCAAAATCGGTATTATTCTTATTTATTTTTAGGTATTCAAATTCAAAAGTTAAATTAATAGGATATTCAATAAAAACAAGAGTAATAGCAATAATCATTAAAGGACAATTTGTTAAGTTTTTTATTAAATGATTGATAAAAATTTATTTATTATTATATTAGCAAAGTTGTAATATTTATATCTATATAATTATTGATTTTAAAGAATTATATATGATATTTTGAATAATATATTAGAAATAATCATAAATTTTTATAAGCTTAGTTTGTAATTTTTGATTTAGTCATCCCCGAAGGTGCTTTTTGAGTCTAGTCCAATTAGGTGTTGGTTGGTAATAAGATATTGGCCGTTTAAAGAGCTTAATAAGTAGGTTACACTTAATATGTTGTTGTCTGTTAAGGCTAATATTACTATGGAATTTAGGTTGTTGTCAAATTAATATATGAGGGTTATGCATGACTAATGACTATTTCTTTGGGACCTTTGGATTTGTTAGTTTTTTTTTTCTTCTGCGATTCATATTGTTCAGTTATTTTGTATCTTGGTTTTGGAGATTCTTAGACTTTTGATTTTCTTCTTTTTTCCTTTGAGACACCACTCTTAATTTAATAGGCATCGTTTTCATTATCTGGATAATAGTCAAATTATTATTATTGTCGTCCTCTATTTCTTCGTTGCCAATATGCATCATCAAACTCTTCTGGATATTCATTCTCTCTTATCAAGCTATCTCTAAATACAGGTTCCCTGATAACAATGGGATCTCTATAAACAACTTATTCCATAGGTGGATATGGATCGTAATATCTGGGGGGAGGCGGAATATCATAAACAGGCATAGGTTCAACTACTCTTGGAGGAGGAAGGACTTCTGGTTCTAAAGGTGGACGATTGAAAAAAGCATATCTCTCTAACACCCACAAAAATCTTGGTAAAAATGTTGGATCGACAAATAATTGAGGAATATCCACTCCGTATTGTCTATATTATGGTGTAGATGTTTCAAGCAATTTGATTATTTTCTCTGCTTCATTCAAGATGGTATCATTCTTCTTTCTTAATTCTTCTTCGCAGTATTCAATTACTTTTTCAATTGATGCAACTGGATTATTTATGGACTCTAAATCCTTGATGTTTTATTCCCATCTTAATTTTAAGTCTTTTATGGCAGGTTTAACATTTAGATCAGGTAATGGCTCTTCAATCTAAGTTAAAAGATAAGTCTTCAAAGTATCAAAATAATTATTGACAATTGCTATAACCTGATCTCTTGCAGATTCTATCAATTTAATTGGATTTGTTTATAATGATTATTTCCCAACTAATTTATCGGTGGTAGTCCTCTCTGATAATTATTGAATTTTATTGATTTGATCACACATTTCATTACAATCTGCTGCTAAATTTTAATAGATCTCTGAAAGTATGGTTTCGAAAGGTACAATATTACCTATTAGAGAATATGATAATAAATTACTTTAAGTTTAAGTATGGTATTAATTCAAATGCTACTAAACACACTTATCACATAAAGGCATTAAACATTCAGGCTGTCTGCAAAAGTATTTGATGTAATTATTTGGATTGTCTTAATGGTAATAACATTGGATTCTAGGCATGTTATTAGAATCAAATCGATAATGTGGTTAAATTTTCTAAATTGATATTGTCGGTTCATAGATGGAAGCCTGAGGGAGTTGAGGTATAGATGTATTATTCATATTTAATATTTATTATTTCAGTTAATTTAAAACAGTTAGAATTAAAAATTCAATATTCTAAATCCTCATCATTAGATTATAAACCATATTCATTTTTCTCTGACAATTATTCTTATGCCATAATAATATCAATAGGTTATTCCTCTTCCCTTTCTGATTACTCATTTTAAGTCATTCTCTCTCCTTACTCTTCATAATCAATTTGTGGTTCCTCCTCATTTTCTTATTCTTATTCTTCTTATTCATAATTGATATATTAATTCAACAACCCCATTAGATCGCTTAATTTATTATGATTAATTAATATCTTGGGTGCATTTATGGTTTGAAAATTTATTTATTTTAGCTCATCAAAGATTTGTTCAAGATATTGTAAATACTTATTATTTAGCTTTTCTACATCTCCTTAATAAAACAAAATCAATTAAGTGATTGAGTTTTCATTCTTGAGATTTTCTAATTCGGATCTAAGTTGATCAACTCTTTTGGAACATACCATCAATCGATCCTAAGCAGAATATAGTTTATTAACTTCAGGAGAAGTTGAAAATAAATACTATTTCAGATTGCTAAAATAGCTTCTTATTAAATCAATAATTTATGTCTCTGAAGACTGGATTAAATTCATCCAATTCTATGGAAATTAAAAATTAATGATTCTGTCAATATGATTATGCAATTATCCAATTTTATCTAAAAAATATTCTAAATCATCTGACATTTTCTTGGAAACTTCAGCCAAGCATTTCTCAAATGAAACCACTCCTTTAGTATCATTTTTTTCCTGATGTTACTCCTCTATATGAATATCTAAGCAAATTTTGCATAATGGCTAGAGGCAATCAGGTTTTTTGCAGAAATATTTAAGTTTTTCATTTGGATGATAATAACATTGAACTTCCTTATATGTATTACTTTATTTTTAAGGTTATTATTTTGCGTTTCCCTTTGTTTACTCACCTTTAGTTTTCATTAAATATTATAAAATTATTTATTTTACTTTTATTATTAATTCAGTTGAATATGAATTAGACATGTAATTATAATATTATATTTAATGGTTTTTAGATCCTAAAGGGAGTATGGATAGTTATACATTAAATATTATTAGCGAAAGAATTTTATATCAAAATTTCAGTTTTATGAAAATTATTATAGAGATAGGAGCTTTATATGATTAATACATTGAAAGAATTTTAGGAAAATAGAAGAGATAAATTGTAAAACTGGAGAATTTGGTTTAATGATTAAATAATTGTAGGAATAAACTTTTCTTCTAATTTCTAAAACAATAAATTCTCTATACATCAAAATTTAGCTCTATTATATAGTTGTTTTCCAAATTAATTATGAACTTCTGGTTCAGCTAAATCTAATGGGTTAGGATAAAAGGAAGGCAAAACTTAATTCTATTCTAACATCCTTAATACTATCATTGTGCACAATAAAAAATAATGATACCTAAATATCCTTAATTCTTCAGGTATTTAATTTAATCTTAGTCTTTCTCATCTCTGCACTCTCTAAAAATCCATTATGCCTCCTTTAACTTTTGCATTCTTTCTAATCTTCTTTCATACGTAATTGAGATTTATTTTAAAATTCTCCTATATAAATATATAACTTCATTTGATTATTCGGTTTGGTAGATTTCCATGATGGCTGTTGTCTGGGGCAACAGTCCAAGCCTTTTACGAATAAAATTCATAAATTTAATTATTTAAAATATTTATATAAAAAATTAATTTCTTATGGATGGTAAAGAAGTAAACAATTTTGAGAAAGATTATAGTACAGAATGTAAGAATAAAATTTATTTTATATTTCTTTTGAAATATATTTAATTTATGTAAATTAAAAGGGTTTTCTTTCCAAATAGGTTGCAATGATTAAATTGGTTTAATAATTGAATAATAGGAATATGAATTCAAAGTTATAAGCTATATTGATAAGGTGGTTTTTAATTTATTGTTAATGATTGTTTTGATTTAAGTTCTTATCTAGGTGCAGATTTAGTTTAATTAATTTTATATATTAAATATAATGATAAAAACAAACATATATTGAATTCATAATTTATATTAAAAAAGATTTGTTTTGAAATTAAAATCGAAAATTGGTATAAGCCTATCTCAACTTTTTACTTGAATTTGTGATAATACATCATTCTCTTCTGTTTATTTACTTAATGAATTTTGCCTATTAGAACTATAGTTTTCTATTAATGTAGACATATGATATTTTCTTTTTTGTTTAAAGAATTTTTCTAAATTATTTTTAGAATAATGAGTAACATTAGTATGAAATTGCCTTTTCTCTCTTTATTTTGATACCTATACGGCTAGTAAATGAGATGTTAATGTTTAAGATGGATGTTCCTTCAGTGGCTTGCAATTTCTTAATTCTAATTCTATATCCAGATTCAACAATTTCAATGCTATAGTGTTTATGTAAAATTAAGTTAGCCCAACTTAATCTGTATGGATTCTCTATCTAAATTATCATATATTAAATAACTTTTTTGCGCTTAATTAAGTCTTTCGAGCACTTCAGACTATCTATAGGTGTTAAAATTTGATTGATCCAAAAAAGGCTGATTAGAAAATTCTAGAAATTTAATTGGTTTAGATTATTCTTCAATATACTGAGAGCTCTGCATAAGGATGCTTGGCTATGCATTAGTTTTATTAATAAAAAATTATATATTGACCTTTTGAGTGAAGGGATTTAAAGATTAATAATTTAATCTCTTAAAAACCCATTTGCAATTTATTTTAGAGAAAAGAATTTATAAATATTAACGCATTTCTATAGATGTTATAAATCGTGAAGGTTTCAGAAGGATTTCCCATAGAGATGTACTTAAAATTAGGCTAGAGGGTAAAATTTCTTTATCTATGAAATCAGAATGAATTACAATAACTTAAAATCTAAGTTTATTATAAAATCAGCATATTTTAACTTGGTTACAGTGTAATATCATTGTAATAATCATTTAAACTAAAGGCCAAAGGATTTCATTTTCAATTTTAAAGTAGTAACCAATTCTTTAAGAGAAGGATTTTAGAAAGTATTAAGAATATTTCAGAATTCAGTTGATTCTTCATTCTTTAGGGAAATGAAATAAAAAACTAGATTATAAAATATTATATTTAATGTAAATTTTTTAAATCTTTAAAAAGGAGAATGTACAAAGTAAAGAACTTCAGAAATAATTAGATGTGTTCGAACTTAAGGAATTAGGCAAATAGGATGGTGAGAGTTAGTTAGATCAGTTGACTTCGTAGGCCTAAGCATAAATACAACATTTTGAAAAGGTATGCAATGATATAAACGAGAAAGTATTGATATGTTTATCAACAAGATTACTCATTATGGATCTTCAAAAGGAATGGATGATATGTATTTGATTGAAAAGATTTTAATATAGATAAAAGTCTGTCAAAGAAGCTTAAAATGATTTACATTAAATGGAAATAATAATCTAAAATATGGGATCCATTCAAATATCAAAAAACACAGAGAATGTAAATTTATTTATAATTGGCTATTAGTAAAAAAAGTAACAAACCTTATAGAAATTGATTAAAATAGTCTAAAATTCAAAGGAAAATTTGAAACTAATAACTTATTAGTTAGCCTAAAAGCATCAAACTAGTTAAATATAGGCAAAACAACCTGCTAAGGGTCGTCATGGTGATAATTAAATAAATATATAATTGTTGGAGGAAGACTTTGACTATGGATATGATGAGTTATATATACAAAGTAGGAATCAATAGATAATGGAAATAGCATAGTATCCTTAATTTTGATGTTAGGGTGATCAATTAAATTAATGAAATGATGCAAGAGGCAGCTAAAATGATAAAAGAGCAAGGAGAGTAAATTAAAATCATTAGAATAAATATCAAGGATGCTAAAACGAAAACTGATGGAGCAGCTGAAGAAACAAAAAAGGCAGCCTAAGCTTCAAAAGGAAATAATGATAGAACGTAATATTGTTCATGAGTTTAGACTATACTTTTGTGGCATAATTACCTTGTTAGTTGTGATCATAGTATTGATGTACAGTGCTGGTTCTAGAACATATCCTGATACTGATCAATAATAATCATAAAATTGATGTATAATTATTATATTATTCATAACTAATGAAATTCAAGCTATTTTTTCTTATAGTAGTCTAACTAAATCTAGCTGAAAAACATGAAATATTAAATGTAATAGATTATGGAAATATGAGAAGAAATCAATCTTGAATAATAAGATTATTATTTCCAAGAAAATATGGCTACTATTGATGAATATGCAGATCCATAATTTATTGATAAAACTAGGCCAGCATACATGAGATACTAGCAATATTCAATATTATAAAATTAAAAATAAAGAAGAATATATTTAACAAAGGCAGTTTAGTTTGATGTTATTGATTGTTTTAACTTAATATTTATTCATAATGTTGTAAAGACCTCTTCGTATTTATATTTCTTAAATAAACTTAAAATTGGTTTGAACTTTTCATCCTTATAAGACTATAGCAATTCGTATAGCACTGATTGCGAATTATCGATCACCACTCCCTATTAAGCTAATCGCTAGTAACATGTTGATCTATATAGTGGTTTATTGCTTGAGGTTCCGTCTGTTAATATATGAACTTGATATCCTAGAGTATATCTTCATTTTACTACCATTTCTAACTAAATCCAAACAAGTTTATTAAACACAAACATGTGCTTCCCAACCATATATAACAACTTAATTCTTGTCAGGATATTAGGATAGAACCTTCTTTCCGTCGTCATTGTACATTGAAAATGTGTGTTTTTCATAATAATGACTATTTGGAGGAATAGTTGCTTTTACTTCAGGAATTGTTGATCCAAAAGCCTTGACGTTTTATTCAGTAAAAACAACTGGGATATTTAGTATACCTGCTGCCTATATTTATAAACACAGATATACTTCATTCATCAATTGAGCACATTATATTGTTTAACCTGGATTGTACATGTGTTTAGGATTGTTGAAGACAGTCTATATATCACAATTAAAAAAGAGCACTCTATTTCGTAACAATTAAGCAATCTTCATTGTTAATTTATGATATTTATAATATAATATTAACTTTATCATAAACTTGGAAATATGTTTTAAAATTAATATTTTTTTACTAATTTTAAAACCTCCCTAAATTTCTCATTTTATGAGGTTTACATTAATGTATACATCACGGATTAAGAAGTCTCTAAATATACATTACATTATTTTAATCTTTCATATGCAGTTGATCTAAATAGTGGCTTACTACTTGAAGTACCATCAGTCAATATATAAACTTAGTAACCTAACTTAATAAGATCCAAGCAAGTTTGTTAAACACAAATATGAGTTTCTAATCCGTAAATTACAACTTGATTTCTATTAGGATACTGTTTTATTATTTCTAATCCTTTATCAGATAACATCGTAAAAGTAAACTTCTCATAAAAATGGGTGTTTTATGTGAATGTGCTCTTTAATGATTGAACTGTATTTCCAAAAACCTTAGGGTTTTATTCTGAGACAATTATGGGTATGTCATAAATTTTAGCAAATTCATTCATCAAACATGCACATTCTATAACTTACAAACAATTATAATTCTTTTAATTGGCTTCGTTATTAAAAACATCCTAAATATCACAACAGAAGAACAAAACCTTTTCTTTGTCTAAAGTATTCATTTAATATTTTATTATCAAATTAATATATTATAATATCAAATTAATTTAAGGAGTATCAAAGCAATCATCACAATATATATAGAAATTTAAAGGGAACTCTCTCTAAATTAAAGTAAAAATTATAATTTTACATTTATAAAAAATAGAGAGGAAGGGCGATAGAATATTGATCAAATTTGAATGATATAATGTCATTGGTTTATTTAATTACTCTTTATTAATTCATATTATTCTTGTATATTTTAGATTTCTTCCCATTTTTTTTTTTCAAAAAGTAGCATTTGTTATAGTGATTCTTCAGTAAATTCTATCATTCTTAGATTATTTATTTAATTGTTATAATGTTAAACTATTCTATAGATTTTTTCATCCCTTTGGTTATCTAACTCCAACAAAGCATCTTCATATAGTGTTTCTTGATAATCTTCTGTATCAGCCAATGACTGAGACTCACTAATAGGATTGCTTGACATATAGACTCCACAACTAGATGATTTTGCGATGGGTTTTTTGAAATTTCTTTTTTGAATTCTTTCTTTTATTTTCTAACTTTATAAATCTAAGTCATTTTTAAAAAGAACAGCTAATTTTTTTTATTCTTCCTTTGAATTTTGGATAAATTGTTAAACCTATTTTCTTTTACTTTTAATCTCGCTATCTTCATCAGGATCTGTTTTACAACGATCAGAAAAATGAGACATTAATTAATTTAATTATATAATACATCACCCAAACATCTTTAATACGATTTATCCAGATTGTTAAGGTTGTCTTTGTTTAGCTTCTCTCTATTGCTTTTCTTAACTATAGTTTTAAATATATAACATACATCTCCCTTTAAATATCCTCCTATATTAATTAGACTTTCTCAGATAAGTCATCTGGTAAATTTAATTAATTCATCTAAGTATTCATCAATATGATTTTCAAATTTTATTTTGAAGCTTCAACAATAGATGCATCCAAGTTTTCCTCTGTAAAAAGATCCATAATCCTGAAAGTACTGTGAAATATTTGTTATTTTTAATTGCTCAATAGGTAACTGAGCAACAGAAACTTTCCTATCAAAATATATGAATCGGTTTCCTTATTTGAGATTTTCCGATATATTGCAGGAAGCACACAGTTTAGAATTGGCTATAGATTCTATTTAATTTGTTTGATTAAGTTCAAGGCAATCGACACTAGATTTGTAAAATGCACTATTTATATAATTACAAATTATCTTACAATCTATTAATTAACAATATCCCTAATTATCTTAATGATTGTTGATTAAACCATCTAAATTTAATAATATGTAATAATCTTCCTATCTCATTTTTTAGGTACCAGAAATTGCTTATAAAATTGTCTAAATATAACCATAATACTTTAAACTATAGATTTTATCCTTATAAAATTAAATTAATTGTGCGCACCTCATAAATTCATATTCTTAGGTGAGCAAAAAGTCCCAAAATATAGTATTGATTTAATCTGAAGCCTATGGATTTTGTTAAGATATTTTTAACAAAGATGCTAAACAATTTAATTTTAAGTTCTAATCTACTGTTATTTAATAAATTTGAATTAAAGGGTCAAGGATTAATTATAAATCAATTTAATGATGAATAAGGGTTTGATAAAATTGTTAACAAATAACTAAAGAATGAGGTGCTTCTGCTGAGATTATAGGCAATAAGTTTTGAACTCCATTAATCAGTAATTAATTTTGAGGATTCTTATTGACAGCTTCAGTTAGTAATTGGATTCCTTTTATTCTATAACCTCGACATTATAATATTCTTTCTTTTGTAAGATTTTCCATAGTCTTTTTGAACATATTCTCATTTTGTTCAAATGCTCCCTAAAAATAATGAATAATCTTACATATTATGTAACAATGTAGCCAATTAGAGTAAAGTGAATAGGCTTATCAAGGTTTGATATCCGCAGTAGCTTTGGCAAAGATTGATGGAGAAAGCCTTGATCAAAACTATATTTTTTTCCATTGTAGACAAAATTATAAGACTGATATTCCCTTACATGAGATCTAGGTGTACATAGAATCACAAATATATCTTCTAGTAATTCTTCAACATAACATTTCAACTACTCTATAAGAGTTTAATCAAAATAGTTTGGTATTTTTCTGTAGATACTTCCTAATGAAACAATTCTTTATATGAGGATATTGAGTTATGACTTTTCGCTAAAAAATTAGCTAGGAACTAGTTTCTTTCTGCCTTCATTTAACAATGGTTTAGATAATAATTAAATTAATTTTGTAGCCAAAAATTCATCTTTTACAATTTTAGCAAATTTACTAATAAGTTTCATGTTCGTTAGGTTTACAGAAGGAGGGTTTTAATTTTCTCTTCTAATTGTATCACATAATATTGAATCTATTTGAGCTGCAAAACTTAATAGGTCCTTCTCCTTGTAAAAAAAGTGTTGGAACATATCATATGATATTTCCTTTGCTTCCTCATAGATGGAGGTTGTAATTTTGAATAGAAAATCAAATACCTGATCTGATGTATCACATTATTTAAATAGCTTTTACAATCTTTTTAAAAGAAATATTCTTGTTTTAATGTGAATCGGTATTCTTTCTTATTAATCAGGTATCACTTCATCTAAGATATAAGGCTATAGAAGTTGAAGTAACTCTTCAATAGGTTGATTATACACTTTTATGAAAATATTTTTCATCAAATTCCGAAGTTCCATTTATTCTTAGGTGGAGTGAACTCTCTAATTAGAAAATAGGTTATTTAGAACAAATAAAATTGGTTAGACTAAAGAAGGCATAGTATACTTATCAGTTAGTTAATCTATAAAGACTGCAATTTTAAGAGATGGTTTTTTTAATAATAAATTAATAGCTTTTGTCACTGTTTATTCAGTGTCTTATTCTAATGCAAAGTCTAATTATATAATTTAGAATTATTTTGACTATAGCCTGCATCTACATTCTTGATAGATGATATTAAAGTAATTATCCTTAATACCACCATTTCTAACATAATTCAAAATAATTTCAGACAGAATTTTAAATTAGTATATTTAGATAGGTTTATCACTTTAGCTTATTGCAAATACAAGGAACACCCAAACGTTTTTGAGTAAACTTGGATCAATCTACTAAAAGAGTTGAATAACTTTGGCAACATCAGTTGTCATTTATGATAATACTTTCATTAAGAGATTTTGCACTTATAATTACACTCCAGCAAGTTTTTTTTTCAGAATCTCTAAAACTAAATAGGTGAAATTAGCTTATGACTTTTAGGATAACAACTAGTTTAATTATTCTGCTTAGTCGACATCCTTAATTTATAACATTGAACAATAAAGGTGGGCACATAATTATTGGATTTAATTATCAACACATTAACACAAATTAATAATTTAAAATATTTGTTCATTGAATTCTTGAGATACAAGTGAATTGGCCTAATAAATTTTAAGTGCAATTTAATAAAGACAAAATAAATAACATTATTATTTTGATTACTTCTATTAGACATCTTTTAAATTTACTACTTAGGTTTGTAGAGTACCATTTACATATCGAATAAAATTGATTTTATTTTTGAGGGTAAATGATTATGATGAAATGATATGACCTAGAAATTTGCTAGCTGCTAGTACTAATTAAAATTCTGATCGAGGAATTCCCATAAGTTCATCAACATAATGATTATTTTTATGAACATTTACTTAATTCCACTGTGAATTTCCATTTATTATATCTTCAAGGCAAAATTATACAAGTGAATTTAATTCATTTGAATAATATTTTGGTTGAATTTATCTAATCGCCTAATAAAATACATATTTAGAAGATATCACAAATGGTGATTACTTATCGAATTTACATTATTATAACTTACTAAACATTAAAATAGTTTATTAAGCCAAAAACTTTCTAGTTGTATCCTTAATTTATTTTGATAATGTACTACTATTTAGTATTGAAGTAATGACAAGGCCAACACCGCAATAACTTTATAATTATTATTCATCTTTTATCTCATCCTTAGAAGTTAGATTTTTTTCAATCAATATCCCGATTTCCTTAACTTTATTAGTTGTCCCAAAATAAGGAACCATCAATAACTCTGCAATTGTGATCCATCCAATTCTTCTTAATTAAGAGGATTTTTCTAGAAATGATTTCGCTGTTTCCCATAAATGATTTATCAGTTCACTTGAAATTGAATGCAATTATAAGTCCAACAAAGAGAACAGTTTCGATAATAATGCACATTAAATTCTTAATTAATTTATCAATGAATTGGTTTCCTTTACATTGAGTTCTGCCAATGTAATTTTGGCATAATTAAGTATGGCTGACAAAATGCTTTATTACCACTTTTTATTTTCTTGGAATAAAGACTCAAAAGTGTTGAATAAATTTCTACTCACACTAATACAGATGGGTTTATCTATGCTCATTGGATGCTATAAAATATCATTGATTCTAAAAATAGGAGTCAATATATCTATAAATTCAGATGGTTTTGATCTTTTATCATCAAATACATTTGAACCTAATGTATCAAATAAGAAATTCATTCCTTTCAAGAGCAGTTTATAAATATAAACATTCCATTTTTAGCTCTTTGCCTTTGAAATCTTGTCAAAGAAATACTCTAATAAATCCTTTCTTTCATTCAATTAAACCTGCTAAACCATATAGAGACATAGGTTAACTGATCTAGATTATTAACATCATTCGATACTTTTTATAAACTGTGTGGAGATATGGATCTTCTAATGCCATGCATCCTAAATACGAACAAGAGATCTCAAAAGATCCTCTCACAATAGAAAGACCTAATTTCTTGAATTCATGGATCAAATATCTTAAAATATAATTGAAACTATACTTCTTATATGCTATGAATATATTCCCAACAATATTTGAAGGAAATTTGGATAAATTTTCATCAAAAAGCTGAAATATTTTTTATGCTTATTCTCTGGGTTGAAGTTGTACCTATTACTTTACTTTATCCTTTTTTGTTAGAGCTACTATATTTTATTATTAAAACAAGTATCTAGAAAAATATTTATAAAATAGGGGAGAGTCATCTGATTTATAAGCTATTAAATACATTTGTTCTGATACCACTTCCTATTCCATTAAATATATTAGAGTTTGCATTCCTGCTTATTAAAGTGTCTCATGTTTTTCATTTAAAGTAAATTTGAGGGATATTTTTAGAATTTCATTCTTTTACGATTCAATTAAGAAATGCAATGAATTGCAGAGGCTCAAACGATAATCCGAGTTCTTTAACAACTTCATCAAGGCAGCGCTAATATCTTAGGTTAAAGTATAGGAAAAGGATTGGATTTCATGTTTGGTTAGCTGAATTAATGTGACAAGTAAAGTCAAAGCAATACTCTTAAGGGATCCCTTCTTGTTTATATGTTGCAATAAAATCTCAACGACTTATTTTATTTATTCATTTCCTGTTTTAGCAATCAATAAGGAGAGAGAATTACAAATCATCTAATAAGTATGTTGAGGAAATGAAAATTAAATGAGTGTTTGTACTATTTAGTTTAAATCTGAGTATTATTAATTTTTTGCATTTTCATTCAATAGCTCTACCAATCTTGCGAAATGACTCATTTAAAGTTATTTATCAGTTGGGACTTATTGCTTGAGTTTATCTTGTACACTAGCGATTAAATTCATTAAAAAAAGATTTTTATTTTAATTTAAAATGGTTATCAAGACTGATTTGTGCTCTTTTAGTGAATGGCGTATTTACCCTGGACATGGTCGTAGATTCGTGGCTAAGGATGGTAGATTATTTTACTACTTGAATCAAAAGAGTAGAGCATTTTCTGCCAGAAAAGTATCATATGAAATTTAACATTCAAGATTAAAAGCCAAGAAATTCAATGGACTGTTGCGTGGAGAAGATTGAACAAGAAGATTAAAACCGATGAAGGAGCAAAGAAAAGAAGAATCAGAAATCTTAAGGTCTAAAGAGCTATTGTTGGTATATCACTAGAAGAGATTAGAAGAAGAAGAAAGGAAGATGAAAGTAAATTTTGATTGTTATAAACTTTAAATAGAAACAAGAAAAGCTCAAGCTGAATAGGCTGCTAGAGAAATCAAAGACAGAAAGCAGAAGCAAATTGAGACATAAAAGTAACAAAGAAAAGGTGTAACAACCACTCAAAAAGCTGCATAAAAGGCTGAAACAAAAGCAGCATAAAAGGCTGCTGCTAAAGGAGCAGGAAAAGCAAAGGGAAAGAAATGATAAATTATTAAATGTACATTAATATTACAATATAAACTACCTCTATAGACAATTACACGAATTCTTTGTACATCTCTAGTAGAACTGAAGCAACATACATATACAGAAAAATGAATTATTATGTTTAATATCTATATCAATTTTCAATTATTTAACTTGATTTAATCATTCCTTGCCCAAAAGTCTGGTTAACTTATTAGATTCATTGCTTTCTCTATTGATAATAATTAATTGTTATATTCCTAAGTTATCTTAGCTTTCCATTTTTCTTCAATTTGATTACCATTATTAATGAAATCTTTCTCCTTCTTGTAAAACTCTTGATCTTTTTTATTTGATTCAATATCATCTTTAATTTATCTTATTTTCTCTTCTGCAACTGATAGATTGTATATCAATTCTGCAATGTCTTTTTTGAAAATCAAAAGTTCTCCATCTAATTGATGCTTTTAATCTTCATATTATTTTTATTATTCCGCATCATATGCAATATCTGAATTTTTGTGATCAACAAATTGCTTTCTGAGATTATTAAAAGCTTCTAGAATCTAATAGATATTAATAATTTATGATTTACATATTTTTGAACTCTTGTGTCTGTATAATTCGCAGATTCAGTAGTCTCTAATAACTCCTTCATTTCAATTCCTCCAATCAACATTGTAGCTGCGAAAATCTTCCTTGTTATTATTTTGACTCTATCGACCTAGATAAATTGTTCATTGGCAAATATCCCCTAAAGTAAGGCAATACACATATCAACTTGTGCAACCATATGTTCGTATTATGACACTACTATGAATATATAGTTTACAAGTATCTAAGAATTTATCATTTTACTTTTATCTAGTGAATGTTAGATATTCTAATTATTTTCTATTTTCATTCACGTTTTAATCTAGATTCTCTAATCTCTTATTTATATTCACAATGTAATCATGCATCTATGAGTCTAAATAATCTGTATTCCTAGCAATAAAAGTAACTGTCTCATCTATGCCTAAATCTAACTTCTCATTCTTGCTAATATAAACGTTAATAGCTTTATCACTAGCGAATTCATGATCATGCTTCAAATCTTTTACCTACTCCGTCTAATGAATTATAATACTCATATCTATACCACTGATGTCAAAACATCTGCTAGCTCTTTCAAAGCAGAATCACCAGAAAAAGCTAATTAACTTAGATTCCATGCAATCTTACCCCAACTTGTTTTCTTGTCTATTTCATTATTATCTATTTACTTTCAGTTCTTCCACGCCATCCTGTTTACTAATATTTACACAATTAATAGTGCACAATAGCAAAATAAGAACAAGTTCCGTTTTTTGAGTTTTCATAAAAATATATTTATTTATAACAAATTAAAATTAATACTAATTAGTTGAATAATTCATGACTATAGTATTATTTATTTGATTGCATGTTAATTAACTTATCAATCCTTATTATGCGTTTATTGATTTTGATTAACTGCATCATGTAAATTGAATTGCAAGTAAATATTATAATTGAGTATAAGTAAAGAAACTAAAATAGTAACTAAAAGCTAATGTATATGTATTATTTATATATTACCAAATTAAAATTCAAATGCAAATAAAAACTTAGAGAAAATAGTTCTAAAATTAATAATAAATTTACCTTATTTTAACAAGTAAGTAAATGAAAAGAGGATTCTTAATTTAATAAATTACAAATATTAATAGACTTATTCTTTAGGGTATTAAAAAGAGCAAAAAGAAGCCAAAATTTTGAGATTTCTAAATATTGTAAATTAAAATAATAATGGATTAATTAAATTCATGGGGTTATTGCAATCCAACTAATTGGGAAGATAAACTTCCAAAGCCATATAAGTAAAATAGTTTATTACAATGATAGATTCATTAACAAAATCTTAAATACTATGATACTTAATGAAGTTTATAACAAAGTTTTCGAAATTGAAAAATATCGTTCTGACCCAAACTATGAAGGACAATTAAGAACATTACCTCCCTAAGGTGTCTTTGATATTCCTTAATTGAGTTGTGTGAGTCGAGATAGTTCAAGCAATCTGGTAGCCGCAGGAGATACCTAGGGAAATCTGATGATATTAGACTTAAGTAAGAAACTAAGAATTGCCAAGAAAGAAACTAATGGGAAAAGAATACTTAAAGTGTGTTTAAGTAGTAGAGATTAAGCAATAGACGATTACAAGAATGTTTGTGTGTACATAATCATTACTAATTTAGGATTGGAGTTGTTTAACATTGTGATCCAGTAGTGTACATTTATAGATTCAGGCCATTAGAAAATAAACTATTGCTTCACCATACGATTACATTATCAAAGGACAAGAATGCCATTGGTGAGTATCCCGTAGATGTAGACATAAGCTAATATTCTTAATATATAACTGTTACATAATATAATGGAAGTGTTAAAGTGTTTAGAATCCCAGATTTAAAAATAGATCAATAATCAAATTCAAGTCAAATATCAAACAACAGTGTGGGAGCTCAAAGTCCAAGACACTTATAAAGTCAATTCAAACCATCACCAATAAAAGGGAAAGACCAACCAATAGTGCCTCCTGTTCAATAATAGCAGATCCTAGCATCCCCAATGGACATTTCATGTTCTGAATTGACAGATTTGGTTTATTAGGTGAAGTTCAATGGAATAAAGAAAATATTGGATTATAATGGAATAATAGCTAAAATTAAATAAGATTTGACCACCCCGAAAGAGCCTCCTCCTGAAGAGAAGGTTGATCCTAAAAAGAAGGCTCCAGTGCCTGCAAAAAAGCCAGTTGAAGTAGCACCTGTACCAGTAGTTGAAGAAATACTTTATGATGAAAATGAAAATGGAGCAGTTCCTAACGATGATGCTTATCCAGTTTAGAAATATCGAGCAATCGTTGAATTTATCATTGAAAGATTTAGTGTTCAAAATGGAAACAAAACATTTAATTCATACAAGTAGCATGAATGTGTTACAGGCATAGTTGTTGGTTGGACTAATACAACAAGACTTGAATTACATCGTTTTACAAGTGCTAAGAGATCAGCACTTCCAGAGTACTTAAGTGCATCTTTTGGATTGCCAACTTAATAGCTATTTAAACAATAAGCATCAGTTACAGAGGTCTAAATTCTTTACCCTTTGAGTTGTATGGCAATATCTAAATCATCAGTGTATTTAGCTGCTGGATTATAATAAGGGAGTGTGTTCGTGTATGATTTGATTTTGGAATAAGAGAGGTTTTATTTAGATAAGCATATGTACACTTGTACCCAGATTTAATTCTGTGATGATAATAGATTGATTTCATCTTCATATGATGGAGGTGTTAACATTTATGATATAAAGGAAGGGAAGTTGTTGTGTAAACGAACACATCAATTTAGGAAGGGAAGTAAAGTTAAAATGGATGAGTAAAAGTAAGGATTGTGGAGGATTATAGGAATGAGTGTGAGTCATACTGGTGTGGCGGCTGCTTTGGATGCCCAATAAGAAGTGAGGATTTATGATGTCTGGCATGGTGAAAAAATAGGGAAACTCACTCCTTAATAAGTGATGGATGATAAATTGAGACAATGGGTTTAAGATAAAGCATTAGTGGCTTGTTATAAAAATGAAATTTTAATTTCTGCTGATGTTTTGCAGGTTAATCAATACACCACTTTACAAATTTTTAAAATATTTGACAATTTGGTCAATTTGTTTCCAGGGTTAGCCAATATTTATAGAAAGGGAATTGAAAAAGATAAAGTCATGAATCTATTTGAAAAAATACCGAAAAATGAATTACAAAATCCATAATTTGATATTCCCAATCTGCAGGGAAATCCCAATAATCAATTGAGAATCCCTGGATAAGAACATAGACCTAGTCAATAAAGAGGTAGCCAACAAAGAGGTAGTCAATAAAGAATTGGGTATGAATATCAATAATTATAAGATCGTAACATGGTTCTCATAAAAGTGGTAAATTGCCTCCTGCAGCCCCATCAAGTATCAAGGGAGGTCCTGTCTCTCTCATTAATTCATTGCATAAATCTAATCACTCAGATTAATAGGTTGATTTTAATTCCTCCTTCAAAAGTTATCAAGCATCATCAACTCATAGGCTCTCAAAACAAAACTCCAGAATAGCCATTTTGACTAAAGAAATGCTTCATCCTGAATAGTTCTTATTAGAGAAGGACAAAACTTCTATTCCACTCTTAATCAAGGATGACACTAGCATGGTTGAACATTGCAGAAGTAGAAATTCTGAGCGATTGGTGAGAATTGAGAAGGTCAATAATATGATCTTAAAGGTTGGACAATAATTGGCTTAAGAAGAGGAAAAGAAGAAGCTTCAAGAGCGTCATCGCTAATTATCTTCTGCCAAATGATTAATTAATTATGTATTTGTTGTAATGAGCCTTAAAAAATATCAATGATTAAATTCAAAGTGCCTTATTGTAATGCTTGTATCAAATTTCATAGTTCAGGATATTCAAGAGATGACATAAATAGAAGATCAAACGCCTTTCAAAGTGATTATCTTGAAGAGGAATTAAAATATCAAATGATAAATTAGAAATACTAAATACAATTTAAATACTTTTAAAATAGAAGAAAGTTAAAAACTAGAAGATTTGTTACCAAGAAGTATCTTAAAAACATTATTGATTATAGCATATACAGGTTTAAGTAATTAAACTTTTGCATATAATACTATAAAGATTTGAAGATTTTGTTATACTGATTTATGGAACAATTAATAAAAGATATGAATAGGTTTCAAACGAGCCATATATTTATTTCAGAATATTAGCATGATTATTAAGTTTTTGTTTATATTTAAGTGAGAATTATCCAAAGCATATGTATCTGAAATGGAAAACATTGATGAAAGAGATAATTTAATTGAACATGTGATATTTGATTATAAAAAAAAATTATATTATTTTATCATACGGCGTATAAATTATTTAGGAATAATCTAATTTATAAACAGAAGTTTTAAGAAATTCTCAAATAATATTAAAACTATTTAATAAGAACCACATGGTTTATTTCGTAGATGTTGCTTTGATTTGGGCATTGCCAGCCATCCTGATTAACAAACTGATTTTCTATATGGTCTATAAGATTGGTGGAAATCATGAATGCATAGTGGATGTAGCATACTCCATAAGCCATTTAGTTGCAGGAGTAGTCTACTGTGTTTTTTCTAGCATACCAACTCCAGCAAGGATTGTAATAATAAGTTTTAAATTTTAAGATCAATATTGTTCTTGTTGCATTATGGTCATTAAGACTTGGTGGATTCTTGTGTGTGACTAGAGTATTGGTTGGATTTAAGGATGAGAGATACGATAATATCTTTAGTGAATACAGCGCAGATAAGTTTAAGAAAGATGTAATGGTGCTGGTCTAATTTATGTTCTAAGGATTGATTGTATTTGTCACTAGCATTCCATTATATTTCTTGTTTCTAAATGATCTCACTTGGGAACCAGATAATTTCAATGGCTTGAATGTGATGAATTATATCGCATTGTCAATCATTCCTTTCAGTATTTGCTTTGAAGCAACTGCAGGTAAATTAAATAGAAAATTTTAGATATACAATTGGAGAGATTTAAGAAGTTAAAACAATAAGGTTTGATACCAAAAGAGGAATTAATGGAAACCGGACTTTGGAGAAAGAGCAGACATCCAAATTTGTTTTTTGATTTAGTTACTTGGTTCTGCTTTTCTTTGGCAGCTATATATGATGCAATAAGTGTTTGTGCTTTGATAGGACCAGTTGCTTTGTTTTGTGTAATGGAATTTCTAACAACTCCATTAACAGAAGCACATATGAAAAAGAAGAGAGGGGATCTTTATGAATAATATGTTGGACGAACTAATAAATACTTGGTTTTATGATGATTGCTTGTATATAATTATCAATTAAACTAATTTTATATAAATACAATTAATTTTTAAAGTTTATTCGAATTTCAAAGAACAAAATTTTTGGAATAGAATTTGTGTGTTAAAATTTGGTTATATTTAATTAAGAGTCTTTTGAAAAGAAGTTGTGGATAACCACAAAAAAATAAATTGAGTGGATGATCAATCATAAGCTTAATATTTTTGGCTTAACTTTGTTAGGTTGAATTGAAATACAAAGAAGGATGATTTATATAGTTAGTTAATTCATTAATAATTATAGATATAATATAAGAGGTTTAAGGGGAATTCTTTTTTGAAAGTTATCCATTATGCTAGTGGGTAAATTAAATTGTGAACTACTTTAAATTTGTGTATAATAATAATATAATTTTATAATGAAGTTAGTATTAGTATTTTTGTTGATGTGTATTTATCCAGTATAAAGTGACACAACAAATATTAGTTTAAGTTCGCCATGTTCATGCACTCAACTTTTTGAATATGATTGCTATAGAAATTTAAATTGTGTTTGGAATAACCTATAGTTAAGATGTGAAATCAAATCAACAACTGAAGAATCGAATACAGACACTAACCCTAAAAATAATAGTTACTGCACTCAATTTGGGTCTAATAAATGCTGGTAAATGGATGGATGTGCTTACATTTTAAATGAATGTGTTTAATTTACATCGTGTTCCAGTTATCCTTTTAGTGTTCAAAAGCTTTGTTAAATGGTTTCGAGTAAGTGCATCACTGACGGTGAAAAATGTGTTGAACTAGCAGAGTGTAATTCATATTCTACTCCCATATCATGTGTTAAAAATAAAAATGGAAAATATTGCTATTGGGATTAGTATTGTATGAATGCAACTGATTGTAGCAAGTTGCCAGTTTCATTTAAGACAGATGGTGAATGTCGTGAATAATTGTCATATTGCACAGTAAATCCAAGAGGTGGATGTCAGGTGAGTGGATACAATTGTGAAGATTAAGAGTTTGAGATGCAATGCTATTACAACCAGAAATTGGGACAATGTGCATGGGTTGATGGTAAATGCATGGATAGATCATGTTAAACAGCACCAAAATCTATTAGAACAGATGCAGCATGTTAAGAATATTTTTAGAGTTGCACAATAGATATTGAAGGAGGGTGTAGATAAAGAACATAATGTAATGATGTTATATTGAAGGAATCATGTACATACAATGCAAATGGATCATTGTGTTTTTGGAATGAAGGTAAATGTTATGATAAGAATTGTGAAAATGCACCTTAAAATATTACTTGCTCAACATTTTTAGAAAATTGTGTTCCTAAATCTGTAGGTGGATGCATGAGTATTTCTGATTGCTCCAAATATGATTTAGAAGAGAGTTGTAAAATAGATACAAAAGATAATAAATGCTTTTGGACAGGAAACACTTGTGTATCGTATACTTGTCAAAGTGCTCCTTTAGATTATGTTACACATGAGTAATGCGCTGCTTACAAAGAAGATTGCACGGTAAACAATACTACATTTAAAGGGTGTTCAGAGAGAACATGTGATAATGCTCCTACTACTGCAACAACCTTTCTATAAACAAATTATGATTGCAATAAATACAAAGAGGGTTGCATCACTAAACTAGGTGGAGGGTGCAAATAATTAAATGAATGCAGCGATATAGATGTTGAAAATGCTTGTGTTGTAGATAAGTATGGTAGAAATTGCTTCTTCTACAATGGCGTGTGTGCCTTAAGAATTTGTGAAAATGCTCCAATCTCTTTTACTAGTCATGAATAATGTCAAGATTTCAATTAGGAATGTACTGTGGCAAGAACACTAATTGGCTGTGTCAAAATGACATGTTAAGTGCTTACATCCCAAAGTACTTGTAAGGTAGATCTAAATGGCAATCGTTGTTATTGGACTGGCCTTTGCTATACAAAGACTTGTGCTAATGCTCCATTTGAATATGATTCAGATTTGAAATGCAAGACTTACTTAAGCTCATGCACAATTGCCAACAGTGGGCGTGGATGCATAACAAGACCAGTTTTATGCAATCAATTAGTGCTCGAGGAACAGTGTTATATTACATCTAGTGGTTAGATTTGTGGTTGGTTTGAAGGAGCCTGTTACGACAAGGCTTGTTTCACTGCACCCTACACATCTGATTACGATACATATGAAGAATGTGATATGTATCTGAGTGGATGTACAGTAGCAAGTGAAGGTAATGGCGGTTGCATTCCTTTGGATGCATGTACAACCTACACTGCTTAGAGAAGTTGTCGATTCAATAATTCCAATTTACTTTGTGAGTGGACTGGTAATGCTTGCTATGATAAGTCCTGTACCACAGCTCCTTAAGATGCAGACCATGACACAAATGAGAAATGCGAGGCATATTTAACTGGATGTATCGTTGCTCCAAGTGGCTAGGGATGCATTGAAAAACCTTCTAGTTGTAATATGATGAGTACAAGCACTTAGTGCACAGATACTTCAACTAATTCACTCGGAGGACCATGTGTTTGGGTAAACTCTTGTGTTAACAGGACTTGTGCTAATGCTCCTGTCTCTACTAATTATGATACTCATTAAGAATGCTATACATTTCTGGCTTCATGTACTGTGGTTGCTACGGGTATTGGAGGCTGCATGACACAATTGAGCACTTGCTCCTTGTATACGACATTTAGATCTTGTTAATTAGCATCTAATGACCAGAAATGCGCTTGGTAATATAACTATTGTTACAATCGGCAATGTACATATGCTCCTGACACAAATGAATTTGATACTGATACAGAATGTAGTGCTTTTCTTAATACTTGCACCGTCGTCAGGAGAATTAGTAATTTAGGGTGTACTACTAGATTAAGTTCTTGTTAAGATCTTACAGAGCAACAATGTATTAATGATAGTTCAAACACGATATGTACTTGGGACACAACTCTCGCTACACCTTATTGTAAAACTAGAACCTGTTCATTAATGATTGGATTTACTTATACTTAATAAAACTGTAAGAATTGGTTAACTGGATGTGTTGTTGATAACAATTCACCTCATACAAGTTGTATAACATAGAAATCTTTGTGTAGTCAGTATACCAATGTAGATAATTGCGAGTTATCCACTAGTAATGGATATTGCACTTGGAATGGTACATCTTGTGTTACGCGTACTTGTTCTGCTACTTAAAATATCACAGATTTTAATCATTCCACTTGCAATACTTGGTTGTCTTCATGCACTGCAGGTCCTCCTACAAGTTGTATTTAGAAACCAACAAATTGTGCTGATTATGTTAATTATGACTAATGTTATAAGAATTATTCAGATTAACCTTGTACTTGGTATAATGATGCATGTATTGAAAAGACATGTACTAATCATGGCTATTCAGTTACAGTATTTAATTAAACTAATTGTAACAATTGGTTATCCTCCTGCTCTGTTAATCCAGGTGGCACTGGATGTGAAACTACTAGAACTTGTGCCAATTATACAGGATCTTCATTCACTCATTCTGATTGTAATACTTGGTTAACTAATTGTACAACTGATGGATCTTAATGTGTGTATAAGACTTGTACTAATTATGGTTCAAATGTGACTACATTTAATAGTTCCACATGTTCTACTTGGTTTAGTGAATGTACAAATGATGGGACAACTGCTTGCAAGAGTGCTAGAACATGTACTAATTATGGAAGCAAAGTTACTATATTTAATCATACAAATTGTACAAATTGGTTATCCTCATGTACTAATACAAATACAGCTTGTGCAGCTAGAACTTGTACTAATTACGGTCAGAATATTCTATTCTTTACTCATGATACTTGTAATGCTTGGCTATCTTCATGCACTGTAACTTGGGATAAGTTGGGTTGTGAAACCAAATCCTGCACTAATACTGGTCAATAAATAACTACTTTTAATACTTCTAATTGTTAAGCCTGGTTATCTGAATGCTAAGCGAATGTGAATGGAACTGCTTGTGAGTCAACTAATGCATGTACTTCTGGAGCATATACAAATGCTACTAATTGTGGTAACTATCTAGAATCATGTACATATACAAGTGGATCATATTGCACAAATAAGAATTGCGCATCTCCATCAGGAATAACAACATACAATCATAAAACATGCACCAATTTCTATAAATTGTGTACCAGTAATTCAGCATCTAGTGCTTGTGAGTGGAGAAATTGCTATAATCATAAAGGATTTATCTCTTATTTTACTCATGAATCATGTGAAAATTGGTTATTTTAATGCACAGTAAATAGTACAAATACGGGATGTACAGTAAAGACATGTACTAATTATGGTAGTCATGTCACATCATTTACAAATGCAGATTGTAACAAATGGCATCCCTCCTGTAATGGAGCCACCTCAACATGTTAAGAAAGTAGAACGTGTACAAGTGCTCCATCAGGTTATCAATATGATCATAGTAATTGTGAGGCTTACTCCTTAAGTTGTACTAAGAATACTTCTTCAACTTGTATGACAAAGGATTGTTCGAAAGCTAGTTTGGTATTTTCAACATTCACTCATGCTATTTGCTCAGAATGGCTCAGCACTTGCACATCTGACGCTACAGGTGTTTCATGTACCAGTAGGACTTGCACGAATTACAAGGATCAATTAACCACAATAAGTCATGCAACATGCAATGCTTGGTTATCAACATGTACTAGCAATGTTGCAGGAACTGCATGCGAAACCAAAACCTGTTATAATCATGGAAGCCAAGTCGCAGTGATAGACAATACAAATTGCAATAGTTGGAAGAGCGGTTGTGTTGGAGGAGGATCTACTTGTAGGGATTCAACAAATACATAATGTGGATCTTATTCAGGAACCATTAATCATGCAAATTGTACAGGTTATTTAAGTACATGCACAAATTCTGGGAGTTCTAAATGCATAGTGAGAACTTGCTAATTAGCATCTTAGGCTATATCAATATTTAATCATTAAAAATGTACTGAATGGTATTTGGAATGCACAGCTAATTCAGATGGTACTGGATGCTAATATAGAACATGTTATAACTATGGAGATTATATAACTACATTTACAACTGCTACTTGTTCGAATTGGCTACATGGTTGCAATGTTAATTCAACAAATGATGGATGCGTTAGTGAGCGTACATGTTCTAATTATGGATCTTATATCAATGAATTTACTCATGAAATTTGTAGCAATTGGTTGAGTACATGTACTGTTGACTCTGGAGCCACAGCTTGTATTGATAGGACATGTACAAATTATGGAAGTAATGTGACTGTGTTTAATTATACTAATTGTAATGCTTGGTTAGATGGTTGTACTGGAACAGGCAGTGTGTGCGAACCAAGATCTTGTAGTAATAGTTCAACGGGAATCAGTTCATATACTGAAGCCAATTGTTATAAATGGTATTCTTACTGTAAAGTAAATGATTCTCTTAATGATTGTGTCAGTACACGTACATGTACTAATTATGCAAGTAACATCACTACATTTAATCATTCCAATTGCAACACTTGGTTATCAGATTGCACTGTTTCAGCAGATGGACTCACTTGTGAAACTAAGACTTGTACTAATAGTAATATAACTGCTGGCAATTTCAATTTAAATAATTGTAATTCATGGTTATCTGGATGCATCGCTAATTCTACAGCAGATAATTGTGAAACTGTTAAAACTTGTAATAATGCAGTTTCTAATCTTACTACTTTTGATCACTCAACTTGTTCTGGATGGAAGAGTACTTGTACTTACGATAAAGCAGGCACTAGTGATCCTGGAACTAGTTGCATTGAATTTACATGTGCTAATGCATAATTAACTACTTTTGATCATACTAATTGTAATAATTACAAGAACACTTGTACAGTGAATTCCACCAATGATGGATGTACTGATTTCATTTGTTCAGCTGCAGTCAATGTTATATCCTCATTCACTCACTCGGATTGCAACAGTCATAAATCTACATGCACTGTGAATAGTGCTGCAGACAATTGCGAAGATATTACTTGTGATAATGCTGCTCGTATTCTAGCCCTTTCAAGTGGTTCCTACACTCATTCCGATTGCAGCGGATGGTTATCATCCTGTACAGTCAATAGTGCAGCAGATGGATGCGAAACTAAGACTTGTGCCAATGCAGTTAATTCTCAAACTGTTGATTCATCATTTGATTGTACAAACTCTTGGCTATCTACTTGTGAATTACACTCTTCTGAAAGTTCCTGCGTTGATAAAACATGCCTTACTTTTAGAGGTACTTTATCCAAAGCTAATTGTAACAACTACTTTACTGGATGCACTTATTACGGAAACTATGATAATACTTCATCATGTACTACTACAGTCAGAACATGTGCAAGTGCTGTTACAGCTCATGATAATGGTTATGATGTTGTTGATTAAGCAGGATGTGATTCTTGGAAAGATGGATGTGCACACAGAGGCTCTGGCAATTATGGTTGTGAAGAAAGATCATGTTCTAATTATGTCAGTGCAAATCAATCTAATCCAACATCTTATGCATAATGCAATACTTGGCTATCAACATGTACTTTTGATAGCCTAAGTTCAATATGTGTCGAAAAAACTTGTTCGAATTTTTCATAATCATCCCCTTCCTTTAATAATTGTTAAGCCTGGAATCCTTTATGTACAATCAATTCAACATCGACTGGATGTGAAAAGAAAAATTGCACTAACTATTCATATGTTTCTCAAGTCTTTAATGATATTAGTTGTTAAGCCTGGTTTATTAATTGCTAAGCTAATTCTTCAAAAACAGCTTGTGAGGCCAGTTGCACTACAACTAGTGTAACAACATATAACTTTGATAATTGTCAAAATTGGGACACTAGATGCTCTGTTAAAAGTGATAACTCTAATTGTGAAGTCAGAAGTTGCTCAAATCCTTCCCTTTCAGTGTATACAGATACTTAATGTTCAGCTTGGTTATCCACTTGTACAAATAATAGTAATACAGGATGTAAGGATAGAACATGTTATAACTACTCAACCAATTTATTGTTGTATAATTCAAGCACTTGTGAATCTTGGTTGTCAACATGCACTAATTACAAGACCTAAGGTTGTATGCCTAAAACATGTGATAATTACTCTGGTACTATTAATGATAGCAATTGTTAATCATATCTATCCTATTGCGTAGCAAATACAACAAAAACAAAATGCATGACCAGAAGAACTTGCACTAATCATGGATCTGCAGTAACAACATTTACCCACGTCAATTGCGAAAATTGGAATAGTAATTGTACTAGTAATGGTGGTGGCACTGCTTGCATTTAAAAAACCTGTAGCAATATAAGCACAAGTGCAGTAATATAAATTAATTCATATACATGCAACGCCTGGAAATCCACCTGTGCTTATATAAATGGAAGCTGTGTAGATAAAACATGTAGTAATTCAGGTTTGGTTGGTAGTGATGTAACTTTGGCAAACTGTAGTGATTGGTTACCTTATTGCAAAGCCAATAATGCTATTTGGCCTTAATATTGTGAATTAAAGACATGCTAAAATCATTCTTTGGGAACAATAAACTAAGCCAATTGTTAGAGTTGGTTGTCTTATTGTAGAGTAAATTCAGCAGGAACAGCTTGTATGACTGATCGTACTTGTAGTAATTACGGGATCAATATTTTAACATTCAATCACATTAATTGTGAAGCTTGGTCATCTTATTGCACAGTGAATGCTACAAATAATGGATGTATGAATAAGACTTGCTTTAATACTAATTTGAGTGTGTTTAATGATCAAACTTGTGGGTAATGGTTGAATACGTGCAAAGCCAACTCTTCAAACACTGGATGTGAAATAAGAACTTGCACAAATTATGGGAATTAATTAACCAGTTTCACTTCAGCTACTTGCTCATATTGGTTATATTAATGTACCAATAATGGATCTACAGCTTGTAAGACAATTAGAACATGTACCAATTACAGTAATTTGATATAAACTTTCACATTGTAGACATGTTCCGAATATCTAAGTTAATGTGTTCCTGATCCCACTCAATCATCTTGTTTAGCAAGAACTTGTGGTAATGCATAGGAATTACCCTCGTATACACATTAAAATTGTTCAAATTGGTTGAGTAGCTGCACTGTGAATTCTACTAATGATGGTTGTGTTGATAGAACATGTTAAAATGCATCTCTGTCATTCTACAATTATAATAGTTGTTCTAGTTGGTTAAGCACATGCACTGTAAATGATACTAATGATGGCTGTACTGCTAAAACATGTAGTAATAGCACTGTTACTTAATTTACATAAGCTAATTGTACAGCTTGGTTAAGTACGTGTACAAATGGGAAGAATGCATGCATTAATAAGACATGTGCAAATTATACAGGTACCATCAATTAGACTAATTGTGTGGCATGGTTATCATATTGTTATGCTGATTCTGCATCTCAAGCATAATGCTATAGTTTGAGGAATTGCTATAATCATAATTTAAGTACATTTACGGTTAGTACATGCAGTTCATGGTCTCCCCTATGTACAGTTAATACTTCAAATGATGGATGCATTGAAAAGAATTGTTATAATAATAATTTAACAAAATTCAGTCATGCCACATGTTCGGATTGGTTATCAACTTGTACAGCAAACATTGAAGGGACTGGCTGTGAAATTAGATCTTGTACAAATCATGGAAGCAATATAACCATATTCAATAATGCCAATTGTTCTGCATGGTGGAAATATTGTAAGGTAACAACTTTGGGTACTGCATGTGAACCATATACTTGTTGGAAGAATAATGTGAGTGTATTCAATCATACTAATTGTTATAACTATTTAGATTAATGCACTGTTGCTGATTCAACATCTTGTGGATCTACAAGAACTTGTACTAATCATGGGAGTGCAGTGACCGTTTTTAATCATGCTAATTGTTAATACTGGCTAACTAAATGCACTGTAAATGCTGCAGGAACAGCTTGCGAAGAAATGACATGTACAAATCATGGAATCTAAGTAAGTACATTCACTCATGCAAATTGTCAGAATTGGATGTTTGATTGTACTGTTAATGCAACTGGAACAGATTGCGAATTGAAAACATGTTCTAATTATGGTGCCAATGTAGTTGTTTATACTCATGCTAATTGTTTAGCCTGGTTATCTACATGTACAGCCAACACAACAAGTAGTGCTTGTGTTAATAAAACTTGTCTAAATACCACTGGTATCAGCACTTGGACATAGGCCAATTGCCAGGCTTGGTTGAGTGTCTGTTAGTTAAGTAAACCTACTACTTGTACATCTAATGTCAGTAATTGTTCCTCTGCAACGTATAACTAATGTGTTAAAGATACTAATAATGATATTTGCGTTTGGCATCAGAATGCCTGCAAGGATAGGGCATGTAACAACTTTACTGGAACTGCCAATCATACTAATTGTGAAACTTGGTTAAGCAGTTGTACTGTCAATACAACTAATACTGGATGCGTCACTAAACCTACTAATTGCACTACAGGAGGTGTGACTGAAAATTAATGCGTGATCAGTAGTTCTAATGTAAAATGTGCTTGGGTTGGAGGTACTTGTGTGAATAAAACTTGTACTCAATATTCAGGTACTTTTAACCATACTAATTGCTATAATTGGTTAAATACTTGTACTGTTAATAGTGGTGCGACTGCTTGTTAAGCTTTATCATCTTCATGTACTTCATACACAGCTGAGAATTAATGTAATATCACAAGTTCTGGCACAGTTTGCTTTTGGGATTCTACTACTTGTGTTACTAGAACATGTGAACATGCTTCATAAACCACTGATTATAATGATAATACTAAATGTAGCAATTTTTTGAATTCATGTACTGTTGCTAGATTTGGAGGATGCACAGATAAATTGTCAACTTGCTCATCTTATAAATAGTAGTCATAGTGTTATTAGAGTTCATCTGGAGTTAAATGTTATTGGAATACTTTAACATCTCTATGCGCAGATGCTATTTGCACAAATGCATTATCAACAATAACCACACATGCTGATTGTTAAAGTTTCTTGAATACTTGCACAGTAAATTCTCTAGGAGGTTGTATACCTCTAGCTGCATGTAATCAATACACAACTTAACTATCTTGTGTAATATCTAATACAGGAGACACTTGTGAGTGGCAATCAGGAACTTGCAATATTAAATCTTGTGCAACTGCTGCATAAGATGCCACCAGAGACACTTATGAAAAATGCCAAGCCTATCTTCCAAATTGCACAGTTGTTGCTACTGGAATAGGTGGTTGTGTTGCTCTTAATGATTGCAGCACCTATACATCAGAAAGATAATGCAAAATCAATAGCATAGGTTCATTATGTGGATGGAATGGCTTAATTTGTGCTAACAGAGCTTGTTCCACTGCACCTCCAACTGTAACATATAGTAATGATTATGCCTGCTAAGATTATATGGATGGTTGCACAGTAGTGGAAACTGGATTTGGTTGTCAGTCTAGAAAATCAGAGTGTTCCGATTATAAAGTAAGTAAACAGTGTGTAAAAACAACATCGAATTAATTCTGCTATTGGAATACTGAATTACCTATACCTGCTTGTGAGAATAGAACGTGTTTTAATGCTCCTAGTAATTCTCTTACTCCTCAGTTATGCGAATAGCACTCCAACCTATGTTATTCAAATATGCAGTATTGCAGACTAGAAGAATGCGAAGATCTACTATATTAAACAGATTTTGAATGCAAATACTTCAATAGTAAATGCACAACTAATGGTACTAATTGCATAGTCAGAAAGAAATGTTAAGATGTAAAAAATAGTGCTGGTTGTGTTACAGATGATTAGTTTAATGAATGTGAATGGTACAATCAAGAGTGTGTATTAAAATCTTGTAGCACTGCACCAGCATATACAACTGAAGTGGAATGCAATCTCTATAAAGAAGGATGTACAACTAAATTATTTGGTGGTTGCAGAGAGAAGACTACTTGTTCATATGCAAATGTCGAATAAGCATGTACCACCTCCAACTCTGGTGAGATCTGTGTTTGGAAGGATGGTTTTTGCAGATCTTAGAGATGTGAGGATTTTGATGGTACTTATGATGAATTTTGTGATACCTAGAAAAAAGGTTGTGTTAGTGATGGAATCAAATGTATTTTACCAAGATATTGTTCATAAATACTCTTAAAAGAACAATGCTTAAAAGGAGTTGATGGACCATGTGTATGGTATGAATATGGTTGCACTCTCTTTCTCTCTTGTTAAAGCATTCTAAGTAACCTAGATAGAGTTTGTAAGTCTGCAAATAGTTTATGCACTACTGATGGATTCTAATGTGTTGGATTGGAGAAATGTGCTAATTATAGATTGTAAGAACCTTGCAAAACTGGATTGGATGGAAATTGCTAATGGATTGAATCATCTAAGAAATGTCTATTGTTTGCCAAGTGTACTGATTTACCATTTTTAACTCACAGTGACTGCCAAAATGCTTCTTCCAAATGTACAACAGATACTTTAAACGGATGCATTGAATTATAATAATGTTTCAACTATTCACAGAAAGAACAATGCAAAATCAGTTCTTAACCCCAAAAATTGATTGATAATTAAGTACTACAAACAGGATATTGTGCATGGATTAATGGTAAATGTAGGGATCAATTATGTGAGGATTTAAGTGGTGAAACACATGAATCATGTCAAACTAAACTCAAAGGATGTACTTCAGATGGTACCAATTGTATTACTATGCAACCATGTTAACAATATTCTAATCTTATCACCTGCAATCTTGCTTTAGGAACTGATGGGAAATGCTTTTTTTCTAATTTTGGTTGTAGAGCTCTCGAATGTGCTGACATTAAAAATGGAACCAATCACTTTATATGTTAAAGTTACAATTCAAGTTGCATTTCTGATGGAGTCTAATGCATATCCCAAACGAAATGCCAAAATTATCCGAATTATCTGGCCTGCACTTTCAAAGGAGTAGATGGACAATGTGCTTGGAATGGATCTAATTGTAATTTGATGAAAAATTGTGAGGATGCAATTATTGATATGATAGCCTGTCAGAGAATGGGTGACTTATGTAATTGGACCTCATTTGCTAATGGCACTACTACATGTCTTCCTCACACATGCTAAACCAAAGGAGTTCTCAATCAATGCAATTATATCAAAGATTTCAGTGGTTAAACTATAAGCACATGTTTGTGGTCCAATGAAATATGCTAATCAGTAGATCCACGATATCTTCAAAGCACTGAATGCAATTTCAACACTTTAAACACATATAGGTGGAATCCAGTAAACAATACTTGCGAGTCCTGTTCTCCTTAACAAGTCAACAATACAAATACAACTGTAGTCAGTTATCTTCAAATATTATCCATAGTGATAATATACGCAATATTATTATGAAATATTATTCAACATTAAAATATATACAATATTTACATTTCAAATAATTAACAGCAAAAGCAAATTAACTTTGCAACAAAAATGAGGACTCACTAATTCAACTAGTCAACATATGTATCAAAACCTTTATCTCATTACTTTTCCCTTCAATATCCATCCTTGCCAGATTTACCCTAAAGAGAGTTCCCAAAATTAATATATGATTCGAGATATGAAATAGAAGATAAATATTATAGAAATTAGATTTAAAATCAATAACAGTAGGATTACGCTTAATCTCAACAGGAATACTAAAATTTGGATAAAACTTTTAACAAATACAATGGGTATTAATAAGATCCTGTCTCTTTGAATTAAACATATAGCAATAAACAAACTAATAATCAATAACAAGAACCTCCGAATTCAGAAAAATACAACTAAATCACAGATCAGGACATTAGGTTCGTTTCTTATGTATTTTAAGAGGAAATCTAATTTAGAAAAGAATTTGTGCAAATCAATAAAAAACTAAAACAACTCAAACCGAACTTATTATAATTGTTCTTTGCATTTACATCTGATAATCATTATGTAATTATTAATTGTTATTATTAGAAAATTGAAAAGTTTAAATTCATGGAAGTATTGCAATCCTATCAAGATGATATCAAAATTTGTGACTTGGAATTATTGTTCAACTACTTAAATAATTGGAAGCGTTCTTAATCGATTACCTATGGATAATTTCTGTAACTCATTGTGCCTTATGTAAAATATGAAGAAATGCCAGACCCTGCTGATCTAAAGTGTCAGCAGGATCATCCTACTGAAGAATAAATGGAAATATTTTGTAGATTAATTCAAATGAAATTGTAAATGATGTCCACTCTAGAATACTATAGATAAAAGATTGATAAATCTCTTATTAATTTAGTTTAGATCTTTGAATTCATAGATCAAGACAGAGATGGGTGGATCAAGGCATTTGAAATCACAAAACTGTTATGTAATAAATTTCACTTATCATACCTAGAGCAATTCGGTTATTTGGTGACTATTGAAGAAGCTTCCCTTGTTTTACAAGATATCGATGAAAGAGGATAAATTAATATTAACTAATTTATACACTATTACAAGCCAAAATCTTAGGCTATTTATTTATGATATATATGTAATCATATGGCTCGTTATTTTAACATCAATTAGTTATATTAAAAATAAAACTTGTATAAGAAAGTCTTTCATGTTTTATATAATTAAACATCTAATCAATTTTGCAGTACATTTTATGTTGGAAGCTCTCCATATTGGTTAATATATTCTATGATATCTGCAAACTGCCTTTGTTCAGGTTGATATTTTGGGATATCTTCTCTTTTAGTATAAAGACCCAAAGGGGCAATTCTATTTGATTGCAATGGGATAAATTCATCATACTCTTTCCCCCATCCATCATAATGGATAAATATTTCCTTTTTGCCGATTTGTTTAATGGTTGCCACACACCATATAAATGATTAATCCATTATATCAACTTATTAGTCTATTGCCAAATTGTCTACTCTATCTTAGATATATTTGAATACTATTTGGATTTATTCCATTATTCCATCTCTAACTATCTGTTTTTAAAATGCTCGATCTAAGTTTTATCTCCATATTAATGAACTAAATCATTGATTCTATTATCAAAACTTTCACAATATTAGAATGAGTGTGTTTTGATTTTCACTCTGCAAACAGGACATTCCTAATATTAAAAGAACTCTATACTGCTTTTCTCATTAAACTATCAAAAATACACATTTCACAAAATGCATGCCCACATTAAGTAGTAGTAACTTTTTAAAAGATTTCTAGACAAATTGGACAAATTAAATCCTCAAATTTAGGCCTTGACTGTTGCTCCTATTTAATCTCTAAGAGAAAATAATTCAAGTGATTTATACTTTTTCTTCTTTCGCTATAAGTTTAATCAATATTATCTCTGTTTCGCATCTTTTTCAAAAATTTATCTTTCAATTTCTCTTTATTGATCAATTGCAAATTCACTACTTATTCTATGTGTTCTTCTGCTGCACAAATCATTAGATTATAAAATAAAATAATTTAATAAATGATTAAATTAAAAATGAAATCTTTAGACTAGTAATACTTAAGCTAAACATTTTTTATAATGCTACTGTTACTATTTCAATTCATAATAGGATATTTAGAAAACCTAATTATCATTCATTACAATAGATCAATAATTCTGATCATTTTTTTCTGTCTTATTAATTTCGTAAACTTTAAGTATTTATTGTGCTAGATTTCAGAATTATTGTGTTTAACTTAAGAATAATTGGGTGTTTGTTATCTTGAATACATGAAGGATTTTTTTTAACTTGCTCTAAAGTGATAATGTGATCAAAATTACGCTCTTTAGGTGTGGATGGTTGGGATATGATAATTATCGATAAACTAGTCAGAACAATGACACTAATATTATTTTATATCCTTTTAATAGTTGAATTTAATCTTTTAAACTTTTGACGGAATGTAATATTTAATACGAAAACTTGGACTCATTCTCAAAGGTTTGTACTATTAAATAATATTTTTCGGTGAGGCTGAATTCAAATTAGTTTATCTTCTCATTTAATATTTAATTTATAATAAAGGTCAAAACCTGAATTTAAATTAACAAAATAATTGATTAACTTTTAACTTTATATATCATTTATCTACGTACGATAGTTAAAAGCATGGACATTAAGACTTTTCAAAATATGGAAATTTGTCAGAATTCCTGAGGCAATTCGACCAAATTTATTTTGTTAAAGTTTTGAATATCTTAAATTTGTCAACCGTTATTTTGATGCTAAGTTATTTAACCATTAAAGATCTCAAATCATGTGATTCACATACTCCTTTTAATAGTGCTTCGTCAGTTGGATCCGCACATAAATTAAATAAATTCTCCAGGAATTTCGCCACACTAACTAAAGGAACAAACTATTTTAATAAATCCTGGTTGAAATTTTTCCATAACTCAAAATATTTGGTTTATTCAGCAGAAGGCCTTTAAGTTCTGTCTGATTGAATTTATTCCAATTGTTATAAGCTTTATATCTCCTCCTACTAAAATTACTTTGATTATTTCTTTTGACTTGTAGCTTATTGCTATTGGGTGATTGATCTCACTTAGGATTCTCTTATATCGTGAACATCATTTTAAAATTGCTAACTCTTAATAAAACTCTAATTAACAATTGGATTATGAGGAGCGTACTTACCCCACCAAAATTAAAGCTTCTTTTAAGTGATTTATAATTAATGAATAAGTTTGATACTATCCTTAATCTTTATTACATTACATATTAGATTAAAATTGTCATCAGGGAAAAAGTAAATTATTTGAGAAACAGCTCCAATTAAATTCTATACACTAATTAACACGTTTGGGGATTTTAATATAAAATCATAGTTTGCCAACTTTTTAATTAAGTTACAAATCATCTCACAACTTTCTCTATTCAATTTACCAATCTCTGCTGAAATATTGAATAATATTTGAGAAATTTCTAATAATTTGCTTTCCTTAATCGAATAGAAATCCTTTTGAATTGTATCACAGAGTGCTGTAATCAATAAGTCACCCCATGTACCAATTATAACAGGAGCATCCGTAAATGTCAAAGTAAACTCTTAGTTCACACATAATTATTTATTTAACTACGGTTAGGTACTCAGCAATTTGAGTATCTTTAATGACACTTTTTTAATATATTTGTTTTGGTTGAAGTAAGAAAATAGAAAAACAACCATTATATTTGGGACTATTTAATATGTGGTGAATAAATACCATTATGCATAGTTTTTGCAGATAAATAACTCAACTAAATGAAACAGCTCTCAAAATTGGTTAAATGTTTTTCAAAGGTTCCTCTTATAAATTACTATTAAGATTTGTAATAAGAATAAAATTTTTAGGTTAATTAAACTATTATTCCTTCCTATATTTGTGAAGGTAAATTAATAAATTAAGGGAAGGGAATGTTGAATAGTTGAAAGTGTTCTTTCGCTCTGATCATCTCCTCAAACTCTTCCCCAAGGGGCAAAACCTCCTTTTATACAAAACCTATTATTTATTTAATTTCAATTACCTTATCCACCTATTATAAGAGATAATAATTTTAAGCATACATTTTAAAGATTATCTTCAATTTAATTTGGTAAATTGACAAGGCCTCTGAGAAATTGCTTGATTCTCTCAGTTGGGAATATTGAAAAGCCAATTAGAGAAACAAATAATTCTGGGAAAAATTGAACTTTTTGTAGTATGAATAAAGCAGCATTTGGGGTTTAAACTAAAAATTTTTGAGTTTTTGTTTGATTATTAAGATTATTTTTATTTTATTAATCTTGAATTTATTGCTCTTAAAATTATTCATTTATTTCTTATTCGGGAGGTGGATTCACTTTTTTTTCTTAATTTTCCTACTTATTTTCTTCATTTAATAGTTGAATTTCTTGATCAAAAAAAAGTTCCTATGTAAATAACGTTGAACTAACTAATGCAAATATGCAAGATAAAACGAGATAGCGATTTTCGAAATATTTTGCTATATCATTTGGGTATTTACATTAAGGGTTAAAACCCTTCCATATATAACCAACTTGCAATTTATAAGAATTCCATACATTATGATAATATTAAGCAAAGTATTATAATAAAGTATCATTCTTTACAACTGATTCCTTGTAAGATTAGTAAGTATAATTACATTATATTCTAAAGAATCTATTGTAAATCCAAAGTGGAAGCACATTTAAAAGAGTCTCTAAAGTAGTGAAATTATGAGTGGAGGGTCTCGCTCTTAAGTTTCCTCGTTGGGCTTAGGGATTTTAGTGCGCCAGAGTATCTCCCTCATTTGTTCTTTGAATTATTCTTCGTATAAAACTGGAATTATTGAAGTTAGTATTCTTAAACTGTTCTTCCATTATCTATATTGAACATGAGATTCTAAATCAGTTTATGTATCACAAAGAAATTGATGCAGATAGTGGATTATTCCCAATATCCTTTTTGGCGATTATTTTAATATATCCCGAATGTCAGAAGGGTAAAAGGCGTTAAGATAGTCTTCTTAAGAGATGTCAAGAAGCAGAATTGATTTTAATTCTTCCGCCAATGCGTTTTCTTCCTCCTATTTCAATAGATTTACAAATTTTGCCTTTACATTGATCTAATTTCCCATTTATTTTATTCTAATTAATTAATATGAATAAATAAATTTATATATCATGATAATAAAGATTATTCAATCTTTTAGCATGTTGATTCCAATAATTTTAACAATGATTTCTCTTGTTTCTCTCTTAAAAATTACTCTTACTATAAATTAGAATAATAATTTACTTCTAAATCATTTTAAATAGATTAATCTAAATCTTACAGTAATCTAATAGTTGTTTCATATGACTCTTCTGAGATTCTTTTCTCTTCACTCAACTATTCTTACAATCTTAAAATTTCCTCCCCAAATCCTCTTATTAATTTCTCAGCATTTTGATCTCTTATCTATTTTTCTTATTCAAAATAGAATCTTAATTCTTCAAGTTCTTTTTCAATGTTTTCAATTTGCTTCTCCTCATATTCAGTTCTTTAGACATTGTCTTTTTTTAATTCTCCCTTCATTGCTTATATTTTATCATCAATTTCAGCAAAAATCTCTTATTCATTCACTTTCCTACTGGAATATTCTTCATTCAAAGATAATGAAAAGTTTTTCTCAATTAAAGTTAATGATTTCAAACTTTTCTCACATATTAACTACAATTAAAGTCAATCTTACCTATCTTTAATCTCTTTCGCTGTATAAGGTTTCTTCTAGCTTCTCGTATTGTTCATAGAGCAACTAATAAATTACAAATAAAGGAATACTCTGAATTTTTAATTATCATTTATTTCTCCTTTTTGAATCCTCTCTTCAAGTATTTTTATTTTTTGAAAATACAAATCTCTCCTGCTCTAATTTTATTAGAAATTATAACTACTTTGTCATCCTTAACATTTGTGGATAGTCCTTGCAATACTCTGTTTAATTCATTGATACGATCTTGATTTTAACTAGGTGATACATTTCTCTATCAAATTATGATCAAATCTATACATTTGAATAGTCGGATTCATCGTGTTTCTTAGTCGCAGTAGCACTTTTGAACATTATTTTTAAATTTAATTTTAAGGTTAACTGTTTTATATATGTATTATTTATTTAAAATTAATGCAAGACGAAGAAAAAATTTTAGAATAATTAAAAGAACTTGACAAAGCATAAGACAAAAATCCAGTATACTCCATTAATCTAATTTAATTTAGGTCACCTTGGCATCCCTAAAAAACCTAAAATCAGCCATCTATAACAGAGATGTGGATTTATAAACTGTAGTGAAATTAAGAACTTTAAATGAAACCACATTGAAATCAGAAAATATCAAAATATATTTCTGCTCTCTCTGTGGAAAGAAGGCAATAGGAGCAAATATAGGATTAGATACCCTTCCAACGAGAAGATCAGATAATAGCATTGCAATCAATTTAAAACAAATTTTTATAAGACTATTTCTAAAATAGGAAGGGATTAAATATATAAAGCGTTCGAATTGTATAATTATCCACCTTATTATTTTAAGGCGTAGAAAAACAGTATCGGTGGTGTTGTGAAGAATGCGGTGTTCATGTAGCATATTAATGTGTAAGCTATGAAGAAGGAGCAGAATTAATTTAAGGGAATTCAGATATCTAATTATCAAATAAACCTTATCTCTATGTCCTTAATGATGCAATTGTTTTAAATTAATAATTTTCAAAATTACATAGTGAAATAGCTAAACTTAAAGATTAGATGGAATATGAATAATTAAAATGAACCATTCATGGTAGGTTTTGAAATATTTTATAATTAACAATATATATATATCTTATATTCTTTTCTTGTTTTAATTAGGATGAATAAAATATTACTAGAAGAAACTGTATATAATATATTTTTTTGCATATTCATCAAAAAACTTATATCTTAACCTCATTCATAATATTTAAGACTCATTTAGTAAACATTGGATAATAGGATTCCTAAAATAATGGGCAGAATAAATTTCAAAAAGGAGGATCCTATTAATAAAAAAGACTAATAAACCTTTCTTTAATTTTGAAATTTCAATAGTATTATACATTTATTCTCTCTTTCGCTTTTCTTCTGCCTTTTTATGTTATAAATGAAATAATTACTAGTTCCAATTCAATTTGTTTGAGTCTTTAAACACATTAAACTTAATTAGTTAATGGAGTTGGTTAAATCATTGACTGCATAGTGGCCTAAGACTCTGATCTGCTATTTGACTAATAAGATTTTAACTAATTGGTATACTAGAACAGATGCATGACTGGATGCCAAGTTGTTTCCTTAAATTTGAACTTTTTTGCCAAATTCTTCCTTTAATATACTTGTAAACAATCTAATACTAAAACAAGTTTGAGTTTGGAAGAGGTTGTCAATTTCAGCAATCTAACTATATTATTAGTTTTACTGATTTCTTTTCTTAAACATTGATAGCATATATTTAGAATTTTTGATTCACGATATGTTTTGGATCTAAATTCTTCCTATATTCATATTTATAATGTACTTTAGCTCTGTCTGTTGTACTAAATTCTACAATTTCTGATTACTGAGGTGAAATCAAACCTCGACTTTGTTTAACAGAAAAAAGTTCTGGTTTTGTGGATTTAATCTATCAAATATATTTTCTCTAACTTTATATGCCAAGTAATAGGATGTGACATTTTTTAGACTTAAGCTGTAAGGAATATAAATGTCATTTTTTAAGTCGAAAATAATCTCAGGTGATGAAACTTCAAGCATATATAAATAAATAAAAATTCTAATATTTGCAATTAAAATAAATTCCTCCAAATTTGGATAAAATATAATCAAATTAAACAGAAGAGAACAAGAATTTAAATTATTCCTTTTCTGAGTAATCTTGTTATTCAGATGATGATGTTAAAAATTAAAATTATCAAATGATGTTATAAAGCCAATTCTCAATATAAATATAATCTCATATATTAATTAATGAATTTTAAGAAAGAGACTTTAGAACTACTTGGATATGAAAATATATAGTGCTCAATTCCAAAAACTTTACTTGATAACTTCACTGCTTTTTTTACTGCTTAATAACAAAATCCTCTAACAAATGAATCTCCTGAAAGTATTTTTTTATATAAAACTGACCTTAGATTATGAGAATGGTTTGATCTTTATGTCAGCTATAAGTTAAAGTAACACTCCCTAGGTGTCAGCCCAATAATTAAGATCAGTATAATCTAAAAGTTCCAAGGGAAAGATCAGAACTTTTTTTCCTTAAAGTAATAATCATCTAATTTTTTCAATAGAGTGGCCAGTTCAAAAAGCCAACATGAGTCCATTTTCTTTTTCAAAATACTCTCACTTTCAATCTTTAACTTGTCGATATTGGTATTACTTGGACAATAGTAATAATGTTTAAGGTAAGGTCTGACCTTATCTAAAATTTTTAGGTCCGTTTTCTTGTGTTGAAATGGATAACTGGTATCGAAAAAATCTCCTTAATCCTGATCTGTTGATAAGCTACAAGTCTCATGATCTAACTTCGTTTGTGAAAATCAAAGATATTTTAAAGGATTCTGAAAATCCCAAATGCGATAAAATGCTCCGTCAACTATATAAAAGGGCTTCTAGTGCTAAAAGAATAAGTATATTTTAACTCTACATTTAGAAAATAAAAATTCAAGCACTTCACCTATGAGTAAAGCATCAACTGAAATATCGTCTAGCAACAACAACAGCTGCTAAAAATCTAGATAACCCATTTGGGGAGTTGATACCGATTATTTTTTAGGTTTCTGAAGCTATATCTAATAATAAATAAACAACATTAATCATTTTTAACAGGAAAAATATATATATTTTTTTTAATTTTATATTTAAAATCTAATAATTTATAAACAATAGTATTTTTGAACAAACTCAAAAATATAAAAACAATATTGATGAATTTATAATTATTCATTCAGGATAGTAACTTTCTTAGAATTCTTCTAAAGGGGGTCGTTCCAATGTCATCGACAAGTTGTTCGTGAAATTCCTATGTTTATTGACATAATTACGTCTAATGCTATGCTTATTTATTCTGGTTAAGATTGATATTATTCGAATATCTCTGGATTTTATCCTTAGCATTCTCCAACTTCTTTTGAAATTATGGTGCGTGTACCAATGACTGGACTGAGATCATCATACTCCTATTAATTTCTTTATTACTCGCTGCCTACGTTATATATTTTCTGTATTATAGATTGAATCTTTACCTGAAACTCATTTATTATTAGATCGGCTTTTCCTACACAGGCTCCTGTTTAGATTGTTTCTAAATAAGGATATCCTAAAACTGTTTCTAATCTTGCAATGTTCCTTGCATGATCATCTTTAATAATTTAGTCGAAACCCCATCCTTGAGTCTCTGAGGTGGTTTTTTTAGTATCTCTACTGAATCTCCTTTGGAATTGCCGTCGAATTAGATCTTATTCCTAGAGCTTCTTATGTTACAATTACAATTCTATAGTATCGATTTTTTTTTGTAATTTAATAATTTCTTCTGCTTAGGAATTTTTTAATTTGACTGCATTTTCCAATTATTATCTAGTTTATAATAATGAGTTATGCATATCATTTCTTTCCTGCATGAGCTATTTGACAGTACATTCTAGTTGATATTCTCTGGAGAGAGGATTGAATGCTGAACTTTCCTGTTGTTGCAATATAAAAAATAAGAATGATATAATACTAAGATTTTTGGGTTTCTAAAGTAAACATCAATTGCTGATTAATTTAAGTAAGAAATTATTATTACTTTTCAGTTTCATGCTTATATTTCTGAAATTCCACTGTTAAATCTTCCTAAGAAATAATTGATCGATTATATTTACTAATTGTTTTTAAAGGCTCTGCTTTGATTAACTCATTTCACTCTTCTTTTAATTATATGATAATTTCAATTTTTACATTTTTTCTCTCTCCTTTATTTGATACATCGAATACTAATCCTTAATGGTGACCATAATTTAATATATTTCCTAGACCTTTTCTTATTCCACTTAAAGTTATCTCCTCAATTTCGAGAAAACTTCCTGAATTTGTAGTAATACATGTGAATCCTCCATTTTATCACCCAACATGGCTAATAATTTTTCAACATCTGAGATTTCTTCATTCTCTTAGGTGGATTTTATTAAAGTTTATTCATTTTCATCAAATTTTATGTTTAGTTCATCTTCATCAGTTTAAAAAGAGAAGTTATCAATATCCAACAATTTATTTGATTTTGGCGAGGGTGGTTAAGAATCCAATTAAAAGGATACATTCTTTTTCTTAGGTTATGGATTTATAATTTGAGTGATGGCTTATTCCTAAGTAAAATCTTTCAAGAGAATTGTATCTAATTTCGTAAGGGTCTCTGAAAAATTAACTATGCTCTAAAAGGTTCTCTCTTCAATTTCTTTGTCATATTATTCAGTCATGAAAATGTCTTTTGTTGATTCAGAATCAGAGGGACAATAATTGAATTGGTTCTTTAAATTCAGATTGGCAAGGAAAAAATCCAGGTCTTACTTTGTTGATGACAGAGCTCTACGAAAATCAAATAGTTTCTAATCATTCTCTAATATTTGAGTTTTCAATTATTCATTTTCAAAAATGAATTTTTAATTATTTTTTAAACACTCAGCTAATTATTATTTGATATGTTCTTCATTTAATTTCTATTTTAAAAGTTTCTCTTATAATTCATCAATCCTACTCTAATAGTTTATCTAAAGAGCAGCCATTTCTGTTTTTTGAAACTCCAATTCTTCTTGCAAATTGACAACTAATTTATGTTCTTTTAATAATTACAGAGATGAGTGTTATTTAGATTATTGAGCATTTTGTTAAGGTCCCAAATTTGAGTTTGAGTTTCCTTTGTCCATAGAGACTGAGGTGCCATTCTCTACCTTTTCCATTAATTTATTTATTATTTCATCCTACTCTAATATCTTTTATTCAGCAATATCTAGTAAGGCTTATAATTCTTTAGCACTTTTCTCAGCATTTATAGTAGGCTTATTTTTTATTGCTTTGGCTCTTGCTCCAAATCTTAAAGTGCTTATTGTTTCTTTATCATTATATGAACACATTGAACAAGCAACTACCAAGGTAGTTTTAGCATTTCCTCCTAGAGATTCACTCAATATTCTGGTTAATTTAGAGTCTCTATAAGGAATGTGTTCTTTTTTGTCAGAAGTTAAAGCATTAATAACCATACCTAAACAAGTTAATGATTTATTAATATTCTTAGCTTCTTCTAGCTGTTAACCAGAAACATTAGTTTTTGCTACTTTTTCTGATCCTGCCAAATCCACAAAGTACAATTTGCTTAATTTACTGGAATCTGTTTTCAAATTTTTTTCACTAACCTAAATTTGAAATAAAGAATGAGATCTAGAAGATCTTTCATTCATTCTAGTGGCAGCTATTGTTCTATTATTTGAGCCAGTCATCATGACCTATTTCATTTCTTCAGGAGATTCAACTTTAATCTCTGTGAGATTCTATACAAAAATGCCTCTAAGTCTATCTTCTTTTATTTTTAAGTTAGTTTTATTAGTGTCTAATAAATCCATAATTTTCTCATTGTAAATTTCCAAAAAAGAAACCTTTACAATATGTATTAAGTCTTCTGATTTGCTATGCACAACATCAAATAATTCAGTCATGACTCTTGGTATTAATCCTTTAGTCCTTTCGTTGGGATTGTCTGGGCCCTATATATTTTCATAATGCATAGTACTTCCATTGTAAATGTTTTTCCTGATGAAGTTTAACCATACGCAAAAATGGTTCCATTATAACCATTCATCACGCTGTCTAAAATGGGTCTCCCTACTTCTTCGAATACATCAGCCTATTCTGAATCAGGTCCAAATATTCGATCAAATGTAAAATCTTATTTATCATTGGAGCCAACCTAAAATAATTGATAGACTCAAATGTCATACCGTAACAGTAATTTACTTTTCGCCATATGAAACACAACATTCCCCTCCTTGTTGCATTTCAAGAGCATTGAGCGGTCTCAACCTAGCAACGACTTTTATGTTTTAGCCTTCTTTCATCTCAAAATATTATAATTATATAAAATGGCTAATATTAATAAATAAAATTATACTCCTTTCATTATCCTTTGGGCACAATAAGACAATAGGTACTAGAAACTCAACATTCAAATTTATATTTCCAATCAAATGATGCGATTTTGATTATATATTATTATTCCTATCATTCGATGCAGAATGTTGAACATTATTTCTTTGATTTATTTTTGATGTAGATATTTTGATAATAGTAGAGACTCAAATCAATAATAGTTTATTGATGAGATGGAGGAGAAATGTAAGACGAATTACTTAGGTTAAAATTTCCTAAGTGAAAATAAATGATTCAGAAGGAAAATAAGACTTTTTCAAATTATATTAGGTAAGATTGAAATAATATTGTTTAAATAATTAATTAATAAATTTAATGATTATAGAATGACGACATAATTGCAATAATAGAATCACTAATTTAATTAATGGCTTTCAAAATATTATTTGTATTTATAGTGTTTAAAGTTCTTATGAGTATATGTATGAGGCAAGAATTTTGGGAAATTGTAAGTAAACTGTAGTATTCTATAAGAGAAATCTTATTTAAAATAAATACGGATCTTTTTTGTATCGAATATATAATGAATAGTATTTTTCAAACTAGATTGAAGATAAAATGGAATAATTGATTCTAAATTAATGCTACTTTTGTCATTTTTAAGGTAGTTTTTGAATAAATTTATCACATAATAAAATATATCATTACTTGATTTTTGATGGGTTGTGCTGCAGCTAAACCGGAAAAGTCACTAAGCAAACAAAATTCTCCTTGCTCTCATCCTAAAGAGGCTACTCCCTCGATTTCACTGATGTAAGAAACTGATAAAATCGATTCAGATTATATATTCCATACCTTGGACCCTTTAATAAGTAAGTTACTCATTTTATAATTAAAACAGCCAGAAGAAATTACATAAAGAAAGCGGTTTCGAAAAGCAATAATGCAAGTCGAATAGTAAAGGTTTATAATTGTTTAAATCTCACTAATACTGAAAAGTAGGAATTCGAGAAGATAGTGAACCAACTCCTGCAAATTGTAAGTCTTATCATATATTTAAGAAACATTTAAACTTAGTCAGCCAATCATCATACTATTTCAATGATAATAAATTATACTTAGTTAGTGATTTTTGTGATGGAGGCAATCTATTATCCCGCCTGGATCATTTTAGCCAACTACAACAACACAATATGTTTGATGTTTTTTGTTAGATCATGGCAGGAGTCCAATTCCTACATAATAAAGGGATTGCACATGGGTATGTTAAGTTGTGGCATTTTTAGTAATATTCAACTCGAAAGTATAGTGTTTACAGAGAAAACCATGTAGAACGTCAAGTTAATAGACTACGGCATCCCCAGTTCCTTGAAATCCACCTGCCTATAATGGAGACCTAATGGAGGTATTCAAGAAATATCCTTCAAATCCCCTGAAGCCTTGAAATAATCAAATCTCACATCCTTTAAATCCGACGTCTGGTCATGTGGATGTCTCTTGTACTTCTTTTTGACCTCTCATATGCCATTTCAATCAAGAGATGTCCAGACCTTAAAAACGGCAATACAAAGAGGAATAGTGAATTTCGAAGGCTCAGAATGGGCCAACATCAACCCAGACATGAAATAACTAGTTAGCAAAATGCTAAGTACCAATCCATAGGTTCGTCCGACAGCAGCAGAAGTGATCAATCATCCGATATTTGTGAACAGAGCCAAAATAATGACCAAGCCTAATAAACAACTTTCCAAATAGATGAAAGACTTCAAAGTATTTAGATTCTTTATAATTGTAGTAATAATCATAAATGTAGAATGCTATGCTCAATTATATAGCAGAAAACATGTTGTAGGAACAAGATAAGAAAAAACTAATGGAAGAGTTCCAAAAATTTGATTTAAATAAGGACGGGTAACTAACAAAGCAAGAACTCTTAACAGTTTATACTACTATGTACTCGTCAGAATAAGCTAATTAAGAAGTGGAAGCAATATTCTCGAAAATTGATCAAAATGGCAGTGGAAGAATTGATTACCAAGGTATTGAAATTATATTCAATTTTAGAGTTTGTTTTAGCAACTATAGATCAAAAGAAATATTTCAACAGAGAAAAATTACTCATTTTATTTCAATAAATCGATAGAGATCATAGTGGTTAATTAAGTAAATTAGAAGTCAAGAAATTATTGAGAGACATGTCAGTCCCTAAAGAAAAGCTTGATCAATTATCGAAGCAATTGGATTAAGATGGAGATGGATAAATTACTCAAGAAGAGTTCTTGTAAATTATGTTATCAATTGCATGACATATTTATATTATTTATATGATTTTTGGATTGTATTTGTCTATTTATTAAATATTCATATATATATTCATGACTTAACCTCACAATTATTATTTTATAAACATTAAATCCCCTAAGTTAATCGCCATTTAAACCATAAAGCTATCATTCCTAATGCAATTCTTATTTGTTATTAAATAATTTCTAAAATCAACTCTATCATTTGTACAAATCAAACAAACAACAATAATTATAAGTCATCTCATTTCAATAGGTTTCACAAAGTAGAAACATAGATTTCACAAGTACTATGAAAAAAATAGAAATGGAAAAAATTAATTGAGAATTTTAAATAAAATCTTTAAAAAGCATTAATTCATTGTTTTCTACAGTTATTATTAAGCTTTCATAGATCTCTACTTTAAAACAACATTTTTTGCTAAATTTAGTAATTAATTCACTCAATATTTATGTTTATCAAATAACTTTAATCAAAAATATAAATACGCTCAGTATCGAACGTATCAGGGCATTCAATTCAAAGATTTTCAGGGATAGTAACTCCTTAAAGTAATACAATTAATGCTATTTGGGACATTAATCAAATTGGCCAAGAATTGGATTGTCATGATGATCCAATTTTGAACGAGGCTTTGCAGCTTATCAATAATCACCAAATTAATCAAGCGATTTTAATATTAAATCAAAGTATAATTATTGATCATATAATTGTAGTGGTTTCAGAAGGGAAAAAATATTTGGGCTAATAATCTCAAGTATAATTGGTAATGAAAGTTACATTATTGGTTGTATCAAGTGCTATGTCAATTTTAGAGAATGATCCAGCTTCAGCATTGCTGCTGCTTTTGGGCTGTGATTAGATGTTTAAGGGATTGACACCAAAATAATAAAGTTATCTAAGAGTGCAGATTCTAAATGGACTTGGCTGTTATTACAGAAGAGTGGGATAATTGGAAAAAGCACTAAACGAATTGGAATGCGCTTTGGCTTTAATTAAAAAATATGGTTTGAAAGAGGTTGCAGTGACCCACCTAAATTTATCTGTCGTATTATCTCTGGTGGAAGAGTATAATTTAAACTTTATTAGTAATTAGACATGAGGGTGCTTTAGAAAATGCTAAGAAGGCAGTTACCGAAAGTCATAAAGAATACTAATACTATATAAAAAATCATGTGTCCATGCAAGCATTCAAATTTCAACGATGCGTAAGTTCCTTGGCCATCTCCTTCTACAATGTCGGAGTTTAGGAATAATATTTTCAACGATATTAGTTTGCATTACAAGCCTATGCATCAGCATTCAAAGTAGCTGAGGATAACTTGGGAATTCATCATTATCTAACAATTCAACTAAAAAACATATATGAAGAATTTGCTCGACAATTGGCAATAGCAGAAGGATAAAAAATTGCCATTACATCTTTAAATCACAAATTCCAAATTAGAGCAAATGTCACAAGTCAATATGCTCAAAGTGTCTTAAGGAGCAAACCCTCAGACACAGTCAAAAATGTCACCGAAAGGCTTTTTCAATCAGAATCCAAAATGTCAGGCCATACCCTTAGACCATAATCAGCCATTATGAATCAAACCCAAGTTCCTAAATTAAAATCATTTGATTTCACTCGAAGAGATGCACCTACTTTCAGAAAACAGTTGTCTGCTACCAATCGCACTTTAAATCAATTTAGTGAGGAAAATGCAAAGGTTGAAGTAGAGAAATTAGAATAGACTAAGTCATTGAAACAATGCATCTAAAATTTATAAACAGTAATAATTCATTATATTATATAAGCAAGCATAAAAAGAGCAAGAGGAATTGAAAAGAATTCAAGATTAAAAGTAAAGAGAGTTATAAAAATTAGAGGCTTTTCGATATATTAATTAATAGATTCAGTAGTAGAAATAATAAAAAAACTCAAACTAAACTTCAAGAGAAATGAAGGCATCAACAGATTAGATGAAGTAACTTTTTAATACAGATCCATAAATATAAGAAGCCTTAAATGAAAGTGAACCATAGCCTTTAGTTACTATATAAGAATAAAACAGAGTGACAAAAACAGAGGAAGAAAACTAATTAAACCATTAAATTAATAATAATGATCAAAATTTAAAATAAGAGGTAAATAAAGAAGAAAAAAGAATGTCATTTACTACCACTCTTGAATAAAAGGGATTTTAAGATGAAACAATATAGAGTTCAACAAGAAAATTAGAATTTGAATAGGATTCATCTATCAAAAACAATTATTTTTAATAAAACATGTCTTGCAAGCAGATTGAAGATTTAGAAGAAATAACAGAAGAAATCAATGAAGTGAATTAATAATAATAATAATAATAATATTAATAATAATAATAATAATAAAATCAGTAGAATGTTGAAAACTAAGTTGAGGAAATAATTCAAGAAAAAGCTAAACAATTAGAAGAAGAACAAAAATTACAAAAGATATAATATATATAAAGTTGTTGGAAAAATAGTGTAAGAAAATTTAATGAGAGAATTGAAAAATTATAATCTAAATATTCAATAGTCACTTAAAAATAGTACTCTAAACTTATAGATGAGAAAAACAATCTTCATAATGGCATTTTGTTTCTAGGTTTCAATCAATCCGATATTAATTATATTGATGTTGTGTTTATAGATTTTTACACATTACGAAAATCTTAGAGGAAGTGTTCCACTTTAAATGAAAAGTTACAGCACATATTAATTTTAACACTTTAATGTACCATTCCAATAACTAAAGAAACTTTAGATGATATTGAAACCAGGTTATCATAATTTACTCAAATCAATTAATAATAACTCATTATTCAAAGTAATTTGTTAGACATTGAAATAAAATTAATTGACAAACAGACTTCATTAAGGTTTGATGTTAATCAATTGAAAATTTATGAATTTTTTATTAAATTTGAAGAGAGCATTTCACACCTATAGCTGCCAACCTCTATCGCTGATATTTAATCATTTAATACAGACTCAATTTTTGTATAAAAGTCAGCCTAAGTCAATTAAGAATTAAATCAACAGCCTTTTTAAGAAATCCCTTTAATTGAGGAGTAAGTTGTACAAGAAGTTAATTTCGAAAAATAGCCTAGTGAAGGAAATACTAAATAGGAACAATAATCAGCAGTCGAAGAGATTCAATTTAGTGAGGGTCAATAGGAAAGTAAAAATGGAAGCGATGATGTTGATAAAGTTAATAAGACTGGATAATTTAATATTAATGTCTTTTCTTCTTAAAAATTGCAATCTTAATAAGATTTAGACAAGGCTACTGAGGAGATCGAGGACAATGAGGAATAAAAGCAACAATAGATTTAAACGAAAGAAACTAACTAAAACCTAGATTTTACATTATAATATAATGAAAGTAGTATGAATAATTCTGGGATGGATACTTTGAAAACTAATGAAGCAGATAATTATTAAAATTAATAAGGAGACAATAGTATTAAAAATAAAGATAAAGATAAACCTTCAGTTAATCAAACGATTATAGAGGAGGATGAAGAAGATCAAAAAGAGGAGTAAAAGAAAAGTGAAAGTTCAGCTCCCAATTCGAATTCAGATTTTTAGGTAGAATCAAAATAGAATCAAGATTAAATGAATTAATAATAAAACAACTAAACTTTTTCAGATGTTAAATCTCAGAGTAATTTTCTTCAGGTCCCTTTGAAAGAGCATAAAAATTATAGTAAATAAACCAGTTTGTAATTGCCAGATTTGATGAAGGAAAACATTGATTCTGATTAAGAAAGTAATTATTTATTTAATATTTAGTTTCACTGACAAAACCGTATTAGTATGAATTTGTAGGTGCAATCTCTGGAATCAATAAAACCAATGGGGCTTTAATATTGATAAATATCCTTATCAACAAAGAATAGTAATTATTTTAGGCAAAGGCAGAAGTTGAAGATATGAAGGTTAAGCCAACTTACTTTAAGGTTGAAAATGTAGAGAAAACACTTAAAAAGCCATAGAAGTATTTAAAAGGATATTTAGTTCATTGGAAAAATGAAATTGTCTTAAAAGTTTATACTAAAGCACATGAAAAAGCTGTACTTAAGCTTCAAAAGAAGTTCAAATTTGATCATTATAGAAGGCTTATAAATTTTAAATTAGCCAAAACTAACATAGAAGGTGGATTATATGTAGGTTCACGAAAGTAGGTAATTTTTTTAGCAATAGAAACAAAAACTACTTAACAAAGAAATTCTTATACATTTAGGAATGAAAATTACAGTCAATTTGTGAATAAAATCTCATTTAGAGTATTGAATAATCTTAAGTATTCTGAAGATAAGGGGATATACTTGTTGTAAGAACCACAACACAAAATTATAGCTTAGAATCTATAAGGTAAATTCAATTGTAATTTAAGCTAAAATTTTTAAACTGCTAAAACCAATGAATGCCTTTGAATTTGTAGGATTCGGCTTATTAAATGGAATTTACGATTCAGTGCACAAAAAAATAATCATAGCTAGTGATAATCGAAAGACTTAACCAGCTCAAGTTGATGTTCCTAAGTCAATACAAGGTGACGTAGTTGTACCTTTTTCACAAAATTTATTAAATCGAGTACTTATTTAAGGTTATGAATAGTCTTTTATAATTTAGAGTAATAATGAAAATTGTGTAATTTATTATGAAGAAAAGGATGAAAACTATGTAAAGTATATCTAAAATGCAATTTTTTAATTTTAAACAATTAGAACTATGTAAATTGAATATTATCAAGCTTATCAAGGGCAAATTAGAAAATAGGAAGTCAAAGTTGAATTATAAAAAAAAATCAAAAGAATCTTTTGTATAAAACTCTAAGAAAAAATATATATGATAGGTAGATTAAAAGATAATGAGATTAAAAATTTGAAATAAAACTTTAAAAGAATAGTAAGCACATTCCTAACAAATGAGAGTAACTAGATTCAAATAGATATAAACTCCTTAAAGGAATTCCTAAATGAGGAAGGAAAATTTGTGAAGTTGTTAAGAATGGATTTAAAGGATTTTGTTTATTAAATTTGAAACTCTATAAATATATATCTCTTTAAACAAATTAAATTAGTATAAGGTATATTGTTTCATTATCTAAATGATTTGTATTTCTAGAAAGTATTTAAATTATATTAATGAATTTTTGCATGTGTATTTATTTACATAAAATTATAATATTATTTCTCAGGTGTTAAATATTTAAATCAATTCTTCCGAAACAGCAGATGGCGTAAAAACTCCTAAATCTGTAAATAATAATGTAATCAAATCTGGAGGAGTGTAATCACACAAAGGATTAATAAGCTATTATTCATAAGATGCTAAAATGTTACATCCAAATTTTCTGGCAATTTCAATTTTTCTGAAAATAGTGGCTCTTCTTAGCTATATCTGATTGAGTCACTTAAGTCTTTTTATGATAGAGGGAACAAACGAGTAAATTTAAAACTTTCAGCTAAAACATAAAATGGTTTCTTTTAAAATTTAGCGCAAATAGCAGTTGTGTAGGTTCCAACTCTATTGATGATACCTCCATTCTCAACAACTGCTTCAGCTCCTGTCAAGACCATATCTATATTTTCCATGACTTATCCAATAGCAGAGTCAAATATTAATTTGCAAGGATATCCAATTTCTGTCAATTATCTATATGTTTCTATTCCCTCTGATTTCGGTCTGCTTTCAGGAATGTATATTTGCATAACTATGCCAGCCTTGAATGCTTCTATCAAAGAATAGATAACAACATTTGAGTATCCAACTACTAAGACTTTCTAAAGTTAAAATTCTTAAATACAAATCTATTATTAAAGAATTTCAAACATTGGGTCTTAATGTTATCTTTAGAACGAATTATAATGTCGATTAGCTCTTATGAAATTTCTAAGAGAGAAGATTTCAATGCTTCCATGCCATCAGCTTGCGAGTGCTGCAAACCTTTACTAATGTAATGTTAATAAATGGTCTGAGTTGATCTTAACACTAACTCTGACCTGCCATGACCAGCTTGCGCGTTATTGATTAAATATTCTCCGGCGGTCTTAATCTCATGTGTAAGACCTTGCATAGTCATTTCTTGATTAAATTATGGAAATACCTTTGCTATTTGTGATCAAATTAATCATCACCTTAATTAAAATTACAGCATAATGTTCTTTAGTTGTTTCATTTAATTGTGTAAACTCATCAAGTACTTTATATAATTTCAAATAGCAAACCTTTTTTCAATGTAATTGACATGGAATCTGATTTTTAGGAAAACCCTAAATTCATAAATTATATAATTATATTTCAAAGAATTAATATAGTAGGATTAATAACAATCATGTGGAGGAGAAAATTAATATTTTTTATATACAAAATGCTTATTAAGTTTGATTACATAGATTGGTTCAAAATTTAGAAAAAAGATTTATAATTGAAAAGCCTTATAGATAAAAATAAAGGATTTTAATAAGTTGAAAGTTATAGTCAACATTTTTTGAAATTTATAATTTATTAAATTGTAAATTAATAATATGGACTTTGAAAGCTAATTGATACAATATATTATTTCCAATAATTGAATAAATTGTATGGTTTCAGTTCATTTATATAAAAGCAATGATTTACTTATTATTAAGATTGTTTATTTTGAATTTAAGAATATAAAGAATAATAAATATGATAAAATATTTAATCATTTCTACTCTAATTTTAAGTTGCATTTCGAGTGACTTGGATCTAAATACATTTAGTAATTATTTAGAGGTGAGAATTAATCATTTGCATTTGGAATGGCTATTAGATTTGGATAATAAGTTAGTGAATGCAACAGCAGAATATCAAATAAAAGTGTTAAAGAATGTAGATCATGTATAAGTTTAATACTATAAACTAAGATTGATTTGGATATCTATTTGTTGGATGTGTTTAATGTTTATCTATTGAATGGAAATCCTCTTGAATTTGAGATACAAGTTATTCAAAATTAAACTCTTGTGTAAGGAGACAAACTAGTAATAAAGCTTGATCGTTAATACAAAGCCTTAGAAAATCTGATAATCAGAATTAAATATGCCTATACAGAAAAGGCAAGGGCTGCGGGTTTTTTAACAAAAGAATAGACTTAAAGTAAGAAGGTTCCTTACATGTTTTCGTAATGTGAAGCCATAAAATGTAGATCATTAATGCCTCTCTAAGACACTCCTAGCGTTAAGTTTACTTATTCATCTACAGTCTTGAGCAAAGACCCTCTCATTAAAGTGTTTATGACTGGTCACTAAGTGGATTCTCTATAATTGATAGGACATTATGAGGAAACTAGATTATACTAATATTCTTTCAAATTGGATATTCCTATTCCTGCATATCTAATAGGAATAGTGGCAGGAGAAGTTGAATAAAGGAATGTGGGAGGAAATTGCTATGTTATTTCAGAACCACACTTTTTAGATGGCTATGCAAAAGAATTAGAAGAACTCCCCTTCTTCCTTGAAAAAATGATTGATTACATAGGTCCATATATCTGGGGAGAGTATAAGATAGTGGTACTGCCCTAATCTTGTCCTTTTGGAGGAATGGAACATCCATTATTAACCTTTGCAAGTCCAATGATGATTGTAGGAGATAAAAGTGGAGTTGGCATTGCAATACATGAAATAGCTCATTCTTGGATGGGCAATACTGTGACTGGCAATAATTGGTCCAATTTATGGATCATGGAAAGTCTATGTGTATTCTTGGAGAGGAAGACTTATTAATTTGTAAGACCAAAAGATTATGATGTAATTGAAGCAATAAATGGAAATATAGATATGATTGAAGATATTGAAGGTTTTGTTGATCCAGAGAAACTAACCTATAAATCTCTGCATCCAAATACTGCTTGGAAGAACCCCAATGATTCTTTCTCTTTGGTTCCCTATGAAAAAGGATACCAATTACTCTACTATCTTGAATAATTAATTGGAGAGGAGAATTTTAAGTTCTTTCTTAGATCCTATTTAGACTACTTTAAATTTCAAAGTATAGATGAGGATGACTTTTACAAATATCTGTTAAGATGGGTCAGATAAAACATATAGGATAATCAATAGGCGATCATTAATGAGATTATTTTTATATACAAACCTTGGGTGTATGATTTAGGTATAATCTAATTATAATTTAGGATTACCACCTAGATAATTCTCTTAAACTACTCCAAAATATCAGTAGGCTATATCATTGGCAAATGCGTGGATATAAAACAATGAGTAGCCTTAAAATGCAAATGAATACAATGACTACATGCCAAACCAATAAACGATTTTTATGTAGCAGATTATGTCTAATTGGGAGAAGTTAACCAAATCCAAAATTAAAGCTCTAGATGACTTTTACAAGTTTTCAGGAGCTAAGTAAGGAGTATAGATAGGTTTTAAATGGTATAGAACTATTGTACTATGTAAATACGAAGATTCATTTTGGGCTGTTAGATAATTTTTATAAAGTATTGGAGTTCGATCTTATATTGTTGGAATTTATGAAGTTTTGATATAAAATTACTTGTAAATTCATATAATATTATTTAAGAGATTTAGCAAAGTAATGGTTTGAAGAAGATAAATATTTGTATCATCCTTTAGTTTCAAACAAGGTATAAGACATGCTGAACAAAGCAGGTATATTTGAGTGAATTCGATTGTGTAATTTTTAAATAATGTATTATTATTAAGATCTAAAAAGTGTATTATATCAATTATGTTTAAATTCTTAAGAATTTTTTCTCTAATAAAACTTAATCATCAAATAAATAGAAATTAAAGAGATATGCTGTTTTATTTTATTAATAAATTTTTATATCGTTAAATGAATTTTAAGAATGCTTATGACTATTTACTTAATTTTCAATCTCAAACTAGTCGAAATACATCAAGAATATAGAGTAGTGAGGATAGTTAATTTTTGTCTGGCTAAAAGTCTTGCCAAAAGAATAGTGAATAAAAATATAGAGTTGACAATTCTAAGTAGAGTAATAGAAACTTATTTGAATCTAAGAGTGATGTTAAAATTAATCTTGGTGAAAATCCATTTGATCTAGCTTCATCAATAAATTACTAAAATTTACAGTAATCAAAGCAAAATTATATCAATTAACAAGGATTATAATTATTGTAAGAATCAAATAGAATGGATGATTAATACGAAATTAAAATAAGAACCAATGGACCTATAAAAGAGGATATCATGAGCTTCTTATAATTATTAGGGCAAGTGGAAATTCGTAAAATTGAAAATACCTAGGAGAGAGACTTTAATTATAGACAGACCAAGAGTTTTCATAATTAACATTGAGATTGAATAATAATATATTTGATTTTTAGTTTAAATTCTGATTATCATTTTCAATTATCAGCCAATTATTTAATATTACAAAAAATCAATACTTAATAAGTATTTTAAACTATGGAATATAAAGGCTTTCTTTAATAATTATTTTCATATTCCTTAATATGTATATTTTATTTAGTACAGTTCCAATCATTAAAAATCTAAATTAGATAAATGAATTTATATTATGTAGTTCCTTTGTAGATTGAACATCTTTGTTTATGTTTCGAATAATCTCATCAGTTTTATAAATTTCAGGATTCTTATGAATTCTTTTTGATCATCATTTATATTCTAAATTCTTCAAATTTGAGTTTAAATTTTATTTTTAAGAATAAATTGTGATAATTATTTTCTTTTATAAATATAAATGGATTAAAGTGATTTTCAAAAAGACTTGATTGAATCAGAAGAAGCCTTTATAGAGTAATTCGATAGGAATTCAGCCAATTTCCATCATGGCAATCCAACAGCTGTTCCAGTAGGAGGACAAAGAGTACCGGAATCAATGCCAACAATGTACCCTGAACAGGTATAATAGAATGCATCATAAAATGTAAGGATTTACAAAATTATTTCAATCCCCAGGAGTAAGATTTTGGTCCAGAATACAAATAGTTAATGCAATATAAGGAGGTCTTGGATTTATTAAAAAAAGTAAACTAAATGTCTAATATATTAGTCTCTGAATAAAATATCTGCTCATCATGAAGCACTTTTGCGTAACTAAGATAATCTAAAGAAGTCTGAGAATCAGGTTCAAATTTAGAAATTCTAAGGCTTGATTGATAGTGAAAAGGCTAATTTGAAAAATACAATTTAATAATTGGAGGGACATACATAATACATTCTTTAGCAAGAAAGGTATATGAATTATATCGAATATGGGTAGATTCAAGAATAAATACAATGATTTATTGTAGATCCTCTCCTTGGCTTACAAGAGTTACAATTCAAAGGAGGAGCTCTTTGAGTTTGGCACATTGATAAAAAACATGACATCTTTAATCTTCAAAGATAATTAGAAATTGACAGAAGACATAAAATTGATTAAGAAATAGAAGAAGTGAAATATTATTTTTCACTAATTAATATTGTTATATCATCTAGACAAATTCTTTAAAGAAGGAATGTAACTCTCTTAAATTATAAATTACTATCTTAAGGACTTAGAAATTATGTGTTTTAATTCATTCTTGAAACTCCTTCCTTAATAGTTGAATAATATTTTATGTGAATTTGTACTCTTTAATTTCAAATAATTATCTAAAATGTATTAAATTTATAATATTGAAAGGGATGAATTAACAGAAGTATCACATTCTTCTTAATATAATGGAGGTGAAGATATCGAGAGAATGATATTATTTCTAAATATATATACATATCAAGCAGAATATATGTTATTAATTAACTCATCTTACATCTCATCTACGTTTTCTTTGAGTGGTAAATCTTGAGTTTCCCTCAATTTCTATAGGGTTAACAACCCTAAAAGTAGTAAAGCAAACATGCCAATTGATGAATTCAATCCAAAGGCATGGCAAAAGATTACATAGGAATCCTAAAATATAAATAGGAACTCAGTCAAAAAAGTAAGTCCACAAAACCCATAATGTCTTAATGAAGTAGGGAATATTTCTAAAGCATAGACCTAACAATATTCTTAAATAACTATACATTGATGAATCCATATGCAAAACTTAAAGTCAATCTACACATAACGAGGACCATCATAATAAATGTGTACACCAATTTATCATAGAAGGTTATTAAATCACTGGCTGTTTTATTTAAAATTAATAAAGGCAGGGCAGCAATCAAGAAATGAAATATGGCACCCAAAATTAGTATAGCTTTAATTACTTCTTTCCTTAAGTAATTGAGAGAAGCATAGCCACTGATTAAATAACCAGCAGTAGATACTAATGATAAGAGGAGATAGGTGTGATGTCTTTCCAATCTTGAAAATCTCTCTATTTCTTTGGCTGTTTAGAATTAACCTAAAACTACAATGCTATACAAATAAAGAAGACAGAACATTCTAATTCTAATTGATTTATATCTGAAAATAGAGGAAAAGTTATATCCTTTTGGTTATTCATGAATCTCCACTTAGAGTAGGATATTTTTCATTTTGTCCTTCAATTCATTAATTCTGACCTCATCTTCCAATATCCAATTTTCTGGCATTTCTCTTTCGTTTACACTTGCAATGTAATTAATTGTCAGTCTTGCTTCCTCAAATTTACGTCTGATTACCAATATTCTTGGGGATTCCTACATAAATTTGATCAACACTGAAAATAACACTGCTGGCAATCCAAATAATAGGAGCATTGAATATTGCCAATTTAAATTAAACATCTCTATAAGTCTTGGAGAAATCACTTCGCCAATTCCATAACATGTTAATAATAGAGCAGGTCCAAACTTCTGAAGATTCTCACTTGATATTTCAAAAAACAAGATCATCGATGAGTTAAAAAACCCTCTTGAGAAGAAATTAATTGCGAATAGAGCCACACTCAAAATATATGCCGAAGGGGAGAGCATACTTATACAACATGCGAAACCCATCATTAGTAAAGTTTCAATCATTACAGTGCTAAGTGTATATATGAAGAGTACTATCTGCCTTATCTGATTTCCATTTATTCGCCATAATACAAGGAACCCATACTACCTCCAATATAATAGGAGGTGACCAATATGAATATTTGAATTTTATCGCCACACACCATTAAGAAGTATTTGATCAAACTACCTAAATCTGAGTGATCCACTAATGACACTTTATTTTCCCTGGTTTTGTATTATTCACAAAATGCTCCTTCTGTGCAATTCGAATAATTCAGATCTTCTGATAGACATTTGTATTGTTATTGATGAAAGAATAGCTCAGTCATTGCTATATGAAGCATTCCTGCAATCATATACTGTAATCCAATGATAATGAGGGCTCTTTTTTAAAATTGGTGACCATTCCCAGCTTTTATTAAAGCCTATTCAATTGTTAAAACATCAAGGTATTTAGGCATTTTTTAGTTTTTTATAATAATGTTCAAAAAGAACACATTCATTTTATACAAATGTACATCGCTCATTAAACAACAACCTCCAAATGAGATTCTTCAACAAAAGAAATACATATAAAAACAATATCTGAAACATCCAAAGCCGTATAAAATCTTTCCAGGCAATTTAGAGGATCTATATTTTAAATTTCACTGTTATGGGTCTTCTATGACATTTGATGATAAGATGGATATTCTTCAGAACATGGTTAATTAGAATAGTGAGTTCAAATATCTTTCCTTCTATGGCGTACCATCAATAATTAGCTCATTAACAAAAGAGCTTAAAAGTTTAAACTATACCGATACCGATGGTAAATCTCGCTCTTTAATTTATAGAATACAACATTTCGCAGTTCATTAACATCCTCCATCAGATTAAGTATTATGACTAATAATCTTGGATTGCAGCCATGGACAATTACCACAAATAAGGTGTGCTCAATTGGTATCAATACACTGAGTTTACCCATGCCGTGTATGATTTTTCTGCCTTCTTAAATGAGATATGGCATTTGAATATCGTAAAGGACATTTCACAAGAAGCTTTTTGTGATTTCATTGGTTTTGTAGAGAATAAACGAAATCTTGATCTGTGCGAGAAAGAATTGAATCGAGCATATCAACATCTAAGAAAGTTCAAAGTGTTTGCCACCAAAAACCAAATGCTTGTTATTATGCAATATTTTATGTATGCTCTCAAGTAACCTCCTGTATCTTTGGAAACATATCAATTCATCTTTTTCTTTTGCATGGATCACCTCACGATACAAGAATTAGATTAGGCCAATCGCGCATTATTTCTTAAATTGGTATAACAATTTCATATGGAACTCAACCAATTCTAAGATATCAACAAACTAATCTCCAACTTTGATGATTACATTTTATTGATCAACATGATGTTGAAATACCATGAAGAAATCGATCAGCCATTCAGAGATTAGTTTGCTGAAAGAATTCTCAATCTCTTTTTGAAGGGAGAACTTGAAAATGTATCGTATGATTCTCTTAAAAATCTGAACATTTTGTCTGAGAAGATACAGAATTAAAAGTGTTTCAAACTCGGTCATGAAATCATTGTAATGATTAATGAATTGTCATTGGTTAATCTCAAAAATATTAAGCAAAAGAAATAAGATCTACTAAGCATATATCAGATATTTGAAAAATTAGAGGACAAAGATCAAATTCTATCGGTTCTTGCCAAATCTAATCTGAATTTAGAAGATGTGAATTTTACTCATGAAGACTTGATTGTCTTCCTTAAACAACTAGATCAAAGTGATTTGGTCTATTATTTGACAGAGTTCTTGGAATCGACTTTAACCTACGTAGCTAAGAATATCAACGACTTCCAACCAGATGATTGGTGTTTCACCTTCTATTTGCTTTATAAATATGTTATTAAGGACCATGAAGAAGCTAGTAAATTTGACAATGATCTAAATATCCTCAAGCAATACATCAAGTTGAGATACATGACAAGTTACAGGCAAACTATTCCCACAAATAGTTCATATTACAAAATATTGTCAGTGGTAGAAATAGAAGTCTTCTTTGCTGACGATTTACTCAATTTATATTGATAAATATTCATATAATAATGAAAAATATAGTAATCCAATTCTATGATAAAAATGAGCAATTCGAAACCTTTTGTGATTCTAATACAACTCCAATGATATTGGCTAATTTCATCCAAGACGCTAATTACTATGAGTAAATTAACATTTAAAACCCTTTAGAAATTTCAACCTGAGTGAAATATTTTATTTCAAGATCAAAGACACTGAATTATATTTTGGTCATAGGAATACGCCTATTTACAAATATATAAACAATATGGATAACCCAACTCTAATCTTCTATCGAGGTTTAAACGGTTAATAGAATTGTAAATTTATATAAATAAATAATGTATAGTGAAGTCATGCAAAAAAATAGAGGATTCTTAGAACTAAACTGATAATATAAAAGACCATAACTAAAAAGAAATTTTAAATGGAAAAGTGTTATCTAATGCTTGGAATTCAAATTAGTTTGAATAATCCTCATTTGCAAAATCTCAATAACCTTAATAAAAAAAGATCCTTATATCTGAAATAACCGCTAAAGATCATCTTAAATAAGGTGTTTTTCAAAATAATGATTTGCAAAGATTAACCGAATAATATTTCAATAGAGCTAACTATGGTTAATTTTAAGCATAAAACTCTGTTATATTATAAAAAGTTAATGAGAAACCAAATAACTTTTTAGATTAATATTTCGGAGCAGTCAATTCAGAAATATAAGGCTCTCATCTATTTTCTAGATTAAGCTAAATAAAATAACCTTAAATACCATCGAATTAACAAAAAAATGAACAATTATAAAAAAATATAGAGTCTCAACCTAGATCAGGATCGATGAAAAATATTCAAAATCAAAAAAAAGCAAAAAATTAGAAGAAAGCTAAATATTTAATAAGTGTTGAAGCAAGTAAAGACTAGCTTTAAATTCTTTCCAATTTTATGAAAACTAACAATATCCAATTTACTTGCGATAAGCAATATAATTGCAAAATTGACTGATGTTTAATAATATTTATTCATATATATTATATAAATTTTAAGAAAGAATTATTTGGTATCTAAATTCAAACATTAAAAAAATAATACGTATATTAATATAATGTAAGTGTAGAGATTAGAACATAGTAAGTTAGCAATTATTGGCAATGTGGATTCTGGTAAATCAACATTGGTTGGAGTGTTAACAAAAGGAATCTTAGATGACGGAAGAGGAGGAGCAAGAGAGGTTCGAATTTTAATTTATGCAGCGCGTTTTCAATTACAAGCATGAAAAAGAGAATGGAAGGACATCCTCAGTGGCATAAGAGATAATGGGATTTGATGAGAATTTAAAACAAGTTCTTCCCGAAAGATTCAATCAAAATAAAAACAAATACTGGAGTCTCGTTGTTGAAAAGAGTAGGAAGATAGTTACATTTTTGGATCTTTGTGGTCATGAAAAATATTTAAAAACTACAATATTTGGTTTGGTAGCTATGATACCGGATTATTCTCTGATTATAGTTGGAGCTAATATGGGAGTATCAAAAATGACAAGAGAACATTTGGGAGTGAGCTTATTCTTGAAAATACCCTTTGCAATAGTTTTAACAAAAATTGACATAGCTCCTTAAAATGTTTACAATGAGACTATCGAAAATATAAAAGGTTTGATTCGTAGTCCAGCAATTAAAAGAACAGCAGTAGTATTTGATGAGAAATCTGAGATGGATGAAATCGATAAATGGGCAGCACTTATGCATGGGAATAATGTTGTTCCAATATTTTAAGTCTCCAGTGTCACAGGAAATGGATTGCAATAATTAACTCGCTTTATAAGTAGAGTACCAAACAGAGATGAAATAAACAAAGCCTATTAAACAGTTAATGATCCATTCCAATTTGACATACAAGAGAATTTTAATGTTCCAGGAGTTGGTGTTGTTGTAAGTGGAATAGTAAGAAGTGGAAAAGCAGGATTGAACTAGCATGCTTTGTTGGGACCAGATAAAGGAAAAAGTAAATACTTCAATGATTGTAATTTATAGCATTCAAACCAGTAACCATCAAATCTATACACATAAATAGAGTATCAGTTGAATCAGCATAGGTTGGAGAATTTGCCTGTTTTGCTCTTAAGCCATCTAAGGCTGGAGATAAATTAGACAGAGCTGATTTCAGAAAGGGAATGATTTTAATTGATCCAGCTGTGAAACCTGAGCCTGTAATAGAATTCGAAGTATAGAATTACATTTATTTTAGGCTAACATTCATGTACTCCATCATCCAACTACAATGAGTCATGGATATTAAGCAGTTATGCATTGTGGTGTGATTAGATAGGCTGTAGAAATGAAGAAAATATTCTAACATGAAGTATTAAGAACTGGAGATGTGGACACAGTGAGGTAAGAAATTACAAATAATGAAAGGTTACGATTTCTTTATGCTGCTGAATATCTGAAAACTGACTAGATACTTGTGATTAGAGAGGGCAGAACTAAAATATTTGGATATATCTCTAAACTTATTACAGAAAAACAATTGGAGGAGGAAAAGAAAGTTCAAGTAGTACCAAAATAATAACAATAATAAATATAATAAGGTTGATTATTTTATAATTTATGATTAAAATCATTACTTTGTAACGATTACATAAAACTCCTCTTCTGTTTACTATTTTGATTAATTACTTTAAAATATTATGTATTTTCTAAGTATAAATAAGAAAATATTAATATCATATTAGTAATAACCTTGAATCATTCATCGATCACGTTATCTCAGATTGATTCTATTCACAGTATTCAAAGATAGAAAAGTAGTTCATTAAATATAATATTGAAAAAATTCTAGTAATTTAATTTGTAATCTATACCTCTTGATCACCATGTCTGATCAAAGTGTAAGTATCAACTAAGAATAGTTATACAGAATATCAAGTATCTTTGTTAAATCAAAGAACAAGTAGATGCTTCTCCAAAGAAATAAATATCAATTGGATGGTAAATTATATCAAAAAATGGATGAAATTAATAAATTTTGTTTAAATTATTTTATATTTTAACAGAATATGAGTCAAAAGAGAAATTAAATGAAATTTTCGATAATCTCTATGATATTAAACCTGAAATTCATCATATTGAAACCTATATACATAGTGAGAGTAGAATATAATATAAATTAGAACATTTAACAATTTATAAAGGATCTGTTGAATATATTTAATTGATAAAAAGTAGATTGAAAACCATAAAAGAAGAATGAAGAGGATTAAATTGGTTATTTTTTTAATGAAGAATTATAATTATATCATGCTGATGATCTCTCTTAGAGATAAACCTTAACGTTAGATAATTTGGTGGCCAAGATTTCTTCAACTTATCTGATGATTGAGATTTCTTATTATCTGTGTTCAGAATCTTCAGCATATTAAGTTCTCCATGAATCGCATTCGGCTTCCTTTTATTCCTTTCCTGATGAGGCAGCGTTCAATTCGTCGGTGGCGTCTTCCTTTCTCTTCTTTTATAAGTCCAAAGCTTATTAGTTGTCTTGGAGTTATCTTTCAGAGTCTTCTCTGGCAGCGCTCAATGATTCTCTTTATGAAGCGATTTCAACAACCAAGGCTTCAAAATCTAATTAAGCTTAGATTTCAGTGGCTCTGGCATCTTCAAGGGCTTCAGCTAATTAATTGCTGACTTCACCTAATTTATTGAGGACATTGTTCAATTATTCAGCTGAGAAGGTTGAAGCAACTTACATAAGAGCGAGGATTGGGTTGGATGCACCAATCTTGTTCAATTATGTTAAGGCAGCCAAGACTTCTTAATCTGGTTGGATTGAGCTCAATTTTTAGATGATGACTTCAACAGCCTCAATGACGTTTTCGGTTTCATTCTCGAACTTGACGAAACTGTCAGCATCTTCAGCTCTTTATTCTCTGATTTAGGTTTCTTATTCGTTCAAGATATCTAATTGGACTTATTTGTTTTCAACATCCTAGGTCAATTATTCAACCTTGGCACTGAGGGTTTAGATTTCTTATGTTGATTCGGTGATTTCGTTGGAAGCGAAGTCAATTCTTCTGTTGTATTAGTAGATTTCTGTTTCGCAGTCAACTTCATCTTAAGCGTGCTTTTAGTCAGCTTCTTATTGGTTGAGGATGAGGTTTTCTCTCAATTATTGTAACATTTTAGCGATATCTCCCAATGGGGCCTTGTTGTTCAATTAGAGAGCAATTGTGTCTAACAATTTTCTTCCTAATTCGTGTTCTTCCATGGCTTCCAATTGTGTGAAGACAGCCTTGCTTGGATCGTTGGATCTCTTAACAAAGACAGCTTGTGTGAGTGTCAATCCCAAAAGAGCAATAAGAATCAATTTCATATTTAATTAATGTTTTACAATCTCAAAATTATTCATTTTTCCAATCACACTATTCGTTTTTACTTAAATTTTTAATTTCTTTTTTATTTAATTTTTAATCTCCGCGAATCTTAACGACATTTAATCTTAATTCAATAAACCAAGACAAGAGATGTTGCTGTAACAAATAATTTCTCCTTCTTTAGAATCTTATGTAGTTTTTCAACTTTTATATGAAAATCATAAAAAACGAAGTTTCATATAAAATAAATAAAAGGATGATAGTTGTTAGCAGTTTTATTTTTATCAAGTAGAACAAGGAATAATTCAAAAACATATCTTAGTCTTTTGGAATCTATATATACATATCACAATTTTTAATTAATAGATTTTATTCTTTAAATTAGATGATATTTAATTTTAAATAACCCTTTCTAAATCTTCTTATTTCAACAACCAATAGATTTAAAGTAAAGAAGAGATGGGCAATAAAAATTATAGATAGAATTAGTTAATATTAAATATTATTATTTATATATATATATTTTACAATATACATTTTCACTTAGTCAAGTCTTTTCTCTTGTTAAGTATGGCTTGTCTCATTTTGGTTACATCCTTTTCTCCAGGATATTCGCCATCTTTCAATGCAATGTTGGATGCTATTTTATCCCAAGAGTTTTTCTTTTGTAGCATGAATAACACAATACATATTCACTTTTATTTTGAGATCGCAGCTCCTAGGTTTATTTATTTGCATCTTTGCGTGCTTGAATATCACTTTTCAATTGTCTTCATATAGATTATCTAATGAAATACGTTTAAAACTGCAATAAATATTGTTATGCCTTCTCTTTTCGTTATTATTTTTAAATTCTTTCTTCCTAATCTTTTTCTCTTATCTGCTTGAGTCGTTCATCCTCAAGCTCTCTCAATTTATCTCTTCTTTTCTATTGCTCAGCACTCTAAAAAGTTGTAAATTAATCTTCCATTCATACCACTAGAGAAACTCCAGCATTAGGTGCAATAGGCATTTCAAATGGTTGTCTGGCTTTATAAAGAATTTATAAAATACCATACCTGCATCATTAAACATATGAGGTTCAGCAGCAACTTCTGGAATTACATATGTCTCAATTGTGCCTGCTGGATCATCAAAAAATTCGTCCATTTTTTATAATTTATTTAATAATTTATTACAAAACAATATTATGTTGTTGAATGACTCTTTGAAAATATAAAAATTTTACTACAAATCCTATAATAATACTAGTATCATGATTAATTTTTTCATTATATATAAATGCTCATTTTCCAAGATACAATGCATCCATACATGATTTGCTCGATTCAATTCTAAACCTCTTTCCCTCAAATTCTTCTTTTCCATAAAGAGTAAATACAGCATCTTTTGGTAATCTAATGCTTTTGATTTACCCATTGTAGTCTAGCTTAGCTTTATTGTCACATATCTTCACCTCATTTCCTTAATAATCGCATTCGCTGTATAAATAAGCACAATTTTAATCGTAATATTTAACTTCCTAATTGCCAATATAAAACCCATAAAAGCTAAGTGATTTAATTGTTGATTCATCCCCTAATTTATTAAATATATAGATTACAAGTTCCAAATTCAACTTTGATGTGATTATCATCATTTTCCTATTCTTCATTTACTTCCACTCTAACATGATCACTTAATGATGTAAATCCTGAAATACCCATCAATTAAACGAAATCTACAATATCATTAGGAATTTCATATGAAGAAACCAAAATTTTTTAAGCATCTTTAGAACTCTAAAACCATGTGTGATCATCAGCATCAGCAATAATTCCCAAATCATCAGTCTTAAAACTGTTTTCAAAGTTGGATATCAGCAGACAAAGCTTGAATTCCTTAGCACCTTTTGTTGCAATCTTTACAATGTCTTTATTTAATTCAACTATTTCTTGATTGAATTGTTTCTTATCTTCAAATGTTGCTCCAACCAAATAAGAATTTACTAAAGGAGTTGTATCACTATCATAATTGAAAAGAGGCAGTTAGATTTCTGATTCTTATGACTTAACATATTCAATGTGTACTAAAGGATTATCAGTGGCCATCCAATTATATGAGATTTAATCAATATGATCCCCTCTAACTCTAATTGTAAAACCTCCTTTAATTTTAGAAAATACCTTCTTAATTAACATTCAAAATTTCACTCATGAAGGAAGAACCACTCATGTCCAATAAGCCAATTGAATAGGCAATCTTGGGAGTTCTTTAGAATTGTTTTTTGAATTTGATATTAATATCAATATCTTTATTAACGATATTTTGAATTGTAACTCCTGTCTCAGATTCATATAGAAAATGTTCAGCCTAGCACAAATAAATTAAACCTAGAATGATTAACCAATTCATTTCCGTTTTTAATTATAAATATAAATATAACTATATAGTTTGTCATAATAATATTTAACATTTAAGTTCTGAAATAAACCATTCTTTCTAGATTTCATAATAATACATTAATATAATTTATCACTCAATCTTAGGCATGTTGGAACTTATCTTAGTAACAATTATAAGATATCACTTCCGAAGATATATTTTAATTTTATTTAAACATATTACAGTATTATGTATTAGCATGTTTTATGTATTAAAAGTTCATACTTTCTTGCGCCTCTTGATAAAACTTACATTCCCTTATAATATTAAATTAATATATCCTGATAAATACCTAATTAGATATCATAACCTAACAGGAACATAACATACCAAAATAAGAAATCTTAAAAGTAAAAGATATTTTATAGGAGAATTATTAATTTTTTGTTCGGAAAAAACCAATTTATTTAACATTATTTTTAGAATTATTTTGACATCTCTTATCAAAGCAAATAAATCTTCAAAATGATCAATTATTTTTTACTCATTGTTTTTATTCAATTATTTTAATTTACATTCCTATAAACTTGTTAATTATCAAATAAGAAGCTATGGCTTGTGATTCCTATTGAATAAAATTATATATTTTCAGCAATATCTAAGAATTGATCATTATATATCTATTCCTTTCTCAAAATGGACTATATGAATAGTTTTATATCGAAAATTTTTTTGATGTGATTTCTGCAAAGAGAATTACAGTATTTTTTAATTTTTCTGCAACCCTTTCTTATTACTAGTTAAATTAATGGAATGAAATAATTATCAAATATAAATGGGAATTGCCAAATAATAGATTTATCAATCAATCAAAGTAATTTATGATACACTATACATAACTTCTAAATAATATAGAATTTCTATTCTAGATTAATGTGTTTTCTAATAACATTAATATCATTTTAATTATATCTAAAAGCATTTCCTTTCTAATAAGATTATTCTTTATGGATTATTAGTTTAAATATTTATATAATTAGATAATATCTCATTAACCTATGTCTTAGATTAAGTCTAATTTACCATACATAATCTAATATTGGCCTATCATCAATTCCAAATCAAAAAAAATATCTTTATTTACAATTACAATTTATTACTAAATCTCAACTTCAATCAATAGTCAATATTCTATAATGAATATTGAACTTTTTATAATCATGTATTTTTTCTTAGATTATGTTTCAATATTAAATAAGTATATAACACGTTCATTGTAGTAAATTAAGAAAATAATTAATTTGAATAGTAAATTTGAGTATGAATTCAAAAAATCATTCATAGGCTTACTCATAAGCTTATTCGGAAGAATAGGATGAGAAAGTTATAAATTTAACCAACATGGAAGTTAAATGGCTTAATATATTAAAGCGAATATCTAGAGATGATTTAGAATCGATTAGGAAATAATTAGAAAAGCAAAGAGAATCATTATTGGAGATCTAAAAAAAGAGTGAAAATCAAAACATAGAAGAAAAATGATTGTGCAACTGATATATTTATCTCAATTTTGTTATTTTATTCATTTTATAATTCTCATATATTCATAAACTTGTTTTCTTTTCTTTTCACTTATTTACAAACTTATGAATACAATCAAAGATCCATTTATAATAAAATGCACATTATTTTCAATATGACAGATTGATCTGCAGTACTATATTTGATATTAAGCTTATCCTAAAAATATTTAACTAATTTTATGTTGACTCACAACCTAGCCATTATGAATAATTATCCATTTATATATTTAGAATAGTTGTTCTTAATAAAAAACATAACTTAATCATTCAGAACATTATATTAATAAAAGGTATTATTTTACATCTATTAGAAATCAGAAACAGAAATAAATTATATAATTTCAATCTAATTATGATCAATAAAAATATCCAAACTTATTAAATAGCGTTAGACTAATTCAAGTCTACATAGTATTTCAATTTTTTATTTATATTAGACAGCAATAAGAGGATTTAATATTACAAACGAGAAATTATAAGTGTAACTATTTGAACTAAGAACTATTGTTCATAATTTATTGTTTTTAATAAATCAATTTCTTTTGCTGATGAATTGAGCGGTGGTTGATAATTTCTCACTAATGTGTTCTTAGAGTCTATCAACGATTTCATTTTAAGCAGCTCTAAAATAGGATATTATTGAATATTACCTTTCAGCAGTTTAGGTTTCGTAGATTTCTGATTAGACTGCATACCATGCTTATTATCCAGCAAGTCTTTCTTCACTGTTTTCTAATTCCAAGGTGTGGAATTCGATCCATGATTAAGCATCTTCAATGGTATCCTTTTATTCTTAGATTTAGACTTCCAATTAAGCTTTTCTTTCAACCAATCTGGTGTGTTCATTGCTCAAATGAACGCTGAATTCAGCCCAGTGTGCAGCTTATCTATCTTCAACGTCCTTGATAATTGGATTAATTAAATACAGTTTTGGTAGCCTTTTCTTAGACTAATTATTATCTGATTTCGCTCAATAATTAAGCAATCTTGGTCAAGGCCTTTTGGTTGACTCCGTGAGTGGCTAATTCGGTAAGAGCAACAACGACTGGCTAAAGTGGATAATAGAAAGAAAGGATATACTTATAAGAGTTGGCTGTGTGAGGTGTTGTCAGTGAGTCTCTTGTGAACTGTTTCATACTTTGATTTAACTTAGACGAATGAAGCACCTAAGCTCAAATGTTGGATGAGTTTGGCAGCATCATCAATAGCATCAATAACATCATCGATGGCAGCAACCTTGGCAACAAAGGTTTCGTGTTATTAGTTTCTTGTGGCTTCTTCTCTAGCATAAGTTTATTCATTTGTTGCAATGTCTGAAATTGTAACTCT